TACTGGTATCATCATATAATAGTTCTATATGATCATATCGGCCTACTGGCAACATTGTATGATAGTTCTACCGTATATGACCGCGTATAAGCCGAATTTTGAGGACCAGAAAAAAGATTCTGTAGAAAGGGGTCGGCTTATCCACGGGATACACTTTCATGATAGTATTTTTCAGATCGTGATCTGTCAGAAACATCGCCTGAATGACGGTCCGATAGATTACAACTTCCCGAAAGTTTGGAAGTTGCCACAACTAGAGCCATTATTGTTATAAATTATCAATAAAGTTATTATTATACACCAATGTTGTCATTATTAAAAAAATGATATGCATGTTACTACTTCCGATAATAAGTTTTCAATTGAATGTTCAAAGTTTATTGTTCTCCGTAAACTCCGCGATCTTTACATGTAACAATATATGTAATTCACAGCTATAATATATAATCCCCAGATGAAATCGCCAATAGCTATTACGTACATTTTGCAAAGTTCATAAATTGATAGTGAACAAGTGTCTACCTTTATTGAAAGAGGCAAATAAACAACTGTATCGGCGAGTTATTCCGTTTGCCATTTGCAAAAACATGTGATCAGCTGTTTCCTGTGACGTCAAAAACGGTGACCACTGTGATTGCTTCCTGTTGTTTAAAAAGCAACACGGTACACAAGGAAATGAGCATTGATAATAACGGGCCGATTGGTATTGTCATGTTGTTTACACAAACATTTTCAAGTTGTGGGTGCTTAGCGATCGTGTTGGGAGTAGGGGCTTTATTCCTTTGTTGTCGAGAGATTAGTTTAATAACCTGGAGAAGCCTGTGAGTAAGTGATGGTCATTCAATGTGTTCATAGTATGAATTCAATTGGATTAACATACAATAGTGGTATAAAGGGGGTTATAAAAGTTGGTATTTTTACTGACTGACATTTTCATCATGAGTTTTAAACGAAAACGCCATGCTTACGATGCTGAATTCAAACTGCGAGTCTTCGCTCTAGCCGATATATTTTCTCACGGGTTCATAATTCTATATACACCGATTCACAAAATGGCGCTTCGTTGTTGATGGCAACATATAACGATCATTATGAGATTAAAAAAACCCACGAGAAACAGCTTTCCACTTTATGAAAGTGGATGACTGGTTTGTTAAATCTTTATTAGAAATAATAATGACTTTTTCAATATAATTACAACGTTTTTCATCTTATATTTTTGAATATCTGCGAGTACCGGCACATGTCTTGCAGTCCGACTTCGCAGTGTTTTTTTGCCTTTCAATTCCTGGTTCGGCTTATCTGCGGGTCATATCATTTTCTTTCGTATTTCAATGGTCAAGTTAACACCTCGGCTTATCTACGGGGTCGGCTTAATCCGCGGTCATATACGGTACATGTTCATATCAACCTACTGGTATCATCATATGATGGTACTCTATGTTCATATTAGCCTACTGACATCATCAGGCAAACCCCCTGTAGTCTATCTTCATGTCAGATATGCATGCCCATTTGATAATTCTACTTTGATCATGGCACACATTTGTGATGAGTGAGTGAGGAAGTTTTACGCCACTTGTAGCAATATCACAGAGGACTTCAGAGATGATCTTCACATTTGGGGAATTCAACCACGTCAATCAGCATGACAAGCGAACTCTTCAACCGCAAGGCTGCCCAGTGTGATGATGCTGTATTTTTCATTTGTTTTTTTCTGCAGACTCTCAGTCTTTTTTATGTCATGAGCAAAGAACATGGATAACATTCTGTTGACACCTTATATGATTAATGTAATTCAGACCCCAGACCTACCTAAAGTAAGAAGCAACTGATGGCATGGTGTGGTCAGGCTCCCTGACTTGGTTGATGCAAGTCAATCTAATTGCATCGGTCAATGCTCATGATGTCGCTCACTGGATTGTCTGGTCCAGACTTGATTATTTACAGCAGTCATATGGATGGTATTTTTGCTGAATGAAGCATTAAACAACAAACTTAATGAACAAACAAACACACCTAAATTACCTTCATTTTCCGATGCAGACCAACTGGCACACCATGTGTTGAAATTCTAAAGTTAATACCAGGCTACTAACACACTCTGGTGTTAATATTCTATAGTTAATACCAGGCTACTAACCCACTCTGGTGTTAATATTCTATAGTTAATACCAGGCTACTGACACACCCATGTGTTTGAAATGTATAGTTAATACCAGGCTACTGACACACTCGTGTTACATTTTTATTGTTAATACCAGGCTACTGACACACTTGTGTTAAAATTCTTTAGTTAATACCAGGCTACTGACACAGCTGGTTAAAAATGTATAGTTAATACCAGGCTACTGATGCAGATGTATTAAAATTCTATAGTTAATACCAGGCTACTGGCACACCCATGTGTTAAAAATGTACAGTTAATACCAGGCTACTGACACACCAATGTGTTTGAAATGTATAGTTAATACCAGGCTACTGACACACTCATGTGTTAAAATTCTATAGTTAATACCAGGCTACTGACACACACATATTAAAATTCTATAATTAATACCAGGCTACTGACACAGACATGTTAAAAATGTATAGTTAATTCTAGACTACTGACACACTCGTGGTAAATTTTTACAGTTAATACCAGGCTACTGACACAGACATGTTAAAATACTATAGTTAATCCCAGGCCACTGGCACACCCTGGTGTTAATGTTCTATAGTTAATAGTAGGCTAATGACACACCCATGTGTTAAAAATGTATAATTAATACCAGGCTACAGCAAATGTTAAACTGTGAGCGAGGGAAAAGCCAGAGTGCCAAAGGAGGCATGTTTTATCCAACTTATGAACCGTCTAAAATACCAGATATACCAGAAAAATGAGAAAACATTGACATACCTTTTAGTGAAACAATACAGTGTATCTCAATTTTAAAGGATTTCGTTCTCTCAAGGTGTGTATGAGAAAAAACACATGCAGCAGGGACTAGCTGGAGTCATGACATGATAAATTGAAGAACTTCTCATCACCTGCCTCGGTAGCTCAGTGGGAAAACAGTGGGTTACGAAACTGGACACAATATGTGAGGTTGCAGGTTCAATTCATGTCATGGAATTTTCATGTAAAAATAATTGTCACTTTTAATCAATCATCGAATACAATTGTGTTCACATCAAGACACAAGGTTATAAAACATCATTTGTAAAACTTAGGTATTACAATTGAAATGTAAAACCTCAAAGCAAGTTTAGCAGTGACCCATATTAAAACCTAGTTTTGGAAGAGAACCAATTACAAAACCTGGGTTTGGAAGAGAACCGATTAGAAAACCTAGTTTTGGAAGAACCGATTACAAAACCTGGGTTTGGAAGAACCGATCACAAAACTTAGTTTTGGAAGAACCGATTACAAAACCTGGGTTTGGAAGATGAGCTGGTTACTAGGTTTACCAGAGGTTGTCAGGATCCTAATGCAGTATATGGTGACAGGTTTATAAAAATGTATAGATAGTAGCAATGTGAGTTTAAATAAAACATTATGCCATTGAAGACATTCCAGTGAGTGTCTGAGTTTGATTTCATCTCATGGTTATAGTGATTTAATCAGATTATGTATTATATATTTTTATTTTATTTTAATTTTTGTCATATTTTTAGACACAAGGAATATTTAGACATTCTTTTGAAATGTCGGTATTTTCCCACCGACAGTACCCCTAAAATGTCAAAATGTGTTACCTTACTCAAAAACACTCATGTGATAAAACCCAGATGCTTGCTTCATACTGCTGGTGGTATGCCTACACACAGGAGAAAACAACATGAACGATGTTCCATGATGTAATATGTATATATGTATACTACTCATCTCATTGATAGTGATGAAGACCGCATACATGTTCAAAGAGTACGTTTTAAGTCCTGTAGTATGTTTTAAGTCATTGTATTTATCTGAAACTATTAAATCAGCATTTGACTTGAGTGAATGAACACTGTATGATGGAGCTACTTTCCTTGATATGGTTTTCAGAGTAAGATTAGTACGTAAAAACTCAGTACATAAGTAGATACATATTAAATAGAACCAAGGATATTGGTTTTAAAAATCATAAAAACTTGAGGGGAAAAAAGAAACTTAAAACATTTATCAACATTTTCATGTTTACACCCTAATGAAAACGGGTGTTAAATATCTGTTGCTGGCGTACCGTACTGGTACATTTGTCATTCGCTTAAACTTACGTTTCATTATGTGTTAAAAAGCATAATTAATTTCTTGTGAGAAACATTTACATGTTACAATCTAAACAGAAGTTGTATTGATAAGATCCTAAATCCCGAAAATAACAAGTCTGTTATGTCATTCAATGAAATTTATCTTGTTATTAGACATTAAGTGGCACGATATGGTGGGGTTGCGATACGAAGTGTATTCCAATACTATGGGTGCGATACGATTTGTATCCCAGTACGGTACATTTATTTCATAAGTTGATACTCTTCCTTTTTGTGGGTGAATCACAACCCTGAATCCTTTGTTTTTGAATTTTAGAGATCAAAGATGAGATATTATTGGGCAGAAACATATACGCTAGAGGGCGCTGTGAATGTTATGTTATTTTTAGCCACACGGGAAATGCTAAAGAATCTGTAAGCTGGTTGTCGTACAGTTTCTGTTATAAGTCATATGTGTTTACACAAAAATAACTTTAATGTAACGTATCATGTATCGCGATACAGAGGCTGTAAATCTATGAATTGTATTGTTGGCCTCTTATCGCAGTACAACACTATATTGCCATATCATTACACCACTAATGTAAAAGATAGGTCAAGTCTGTTTGGTCATACATTGAGATTTAACATGTTGTTGGACAAGATTGGCAAAACATCCTCTATTCCTCCTGTATACGTTGACAAGAATAGATATATTTTATCATGTGAAATGTTATCTTGTACACAGCTATGTTACTATTGTCCTTTCTATTTTTTTCAAGCCCAATTTTACAGAAGATTCGAGGTGACACAGGCGCTGTGATATTTGAAGTGGGTGTCAATCCGAGTGGTGTGAGATTCCATTACCAAGGAACATCTCCAGCCACAATCACCCTGGATGAAACAATCCCCCAGCAGGAGTGGGTCTTCCTTGCTATACAGGTGAGTCAGAGTGGGTCTTCCTTGCTATACAGGTGAGTCAGAGTGGGTCTTCCTTGCTATACAGGTGAGTCAGAGTGGGTCTTCCTTGCTATACAGGTGAGTCAGAGTGGGTCTTCCTTGTTTACAGGTGAGTCAGAGTGGGTCTTCCTTGCTATACAGGTGAGTCAGAGTGGGTCTTCCTTGCTATACAGGTGAGTCAGAGTGGGTCTTCCTTGCTATACAGGTGAGTCAGAGTGGGTCTTCCTTGTTTACAGGTGAGTCAGAGAGGGTCTTCCTTGCTATACAGGTGAGTCAGAGTGGGTCTTCCTTGCTATACAGGTGAGTCAGAGTGGGTCTTCCTTGCAATATAGGTGAGTCAGAGTGGATCTTCCTTGCTAAACAGGTGAGTCAGAGTGGGTCTTCCTTGTTTACAGGTAAGTCAATTTTGTCAGTATGCTATACGCAATGTTAGGCCAGACTTTTTCTTCTTTTTTATTGTACCAATTTTTGGCCTAAAAATTCAGTTCGGGATTGGCTGTTTTATGTAATAATAAAATTCTTTTTAACATTTTATTTATTTCTGGTTAACGGAATAACGAAACACTGCTTTTCATTAGTTGTTTAGAGTCGGTGGATTTTTAAAACAAGTTTTAACAAATCTGACCTTACCATAAGTATACCTCTGACAGGCGAAATCACATCAGTTTTACAACATGGTGCTTTTTCCAGGACATCCATCAAACAATTATAATTATGGGTAAAACCTTAGGCAAAATTAATTTTTACATTGTCTTCTGAAACACATCTTTTTTATCTATTTTGAAACTCCAGCCGTCCCTCTCCGCAAAAGAATACCAAAAAAATCTGTCCCTCAATTACAAATGCTACCTGTTATTGCTAATTGTTTACAGTCTAGTCCATTCAGAACTTATGTCTTAGAGCAGCAGACCCACTATCTAGCTACAATTACCTGCAGGCTACTGTGTAACATTTGTGCTTTAGAAGTCACCAGGATCTGACGTGAGGAGATAGCAGGGATTTTAATTAAGCAACAATGAATTATTCAGGTGGAGATGGAGTGGTCTGATTATCAGACTGACAATATCTAGGTTGAACCATGGATACACAACAAGCACAGCGTAGCTTGCACACTTGGCCATGAAGACGAGCAGGATCTGTTTGTTATGATTCAGGTGGAAGAGAATGTTGAACAGTATACTTTGTAGTTCAACAGTGCTTTGAAATAGGATATTTCCTCATTACTTTGATAGATTCACTACATTTCACCAATGTGTTTCATTGAGTCAAGCTGCCATAGCTTATTAAGTTATTACAGTATCATTCAGTCAGCCTTATCCAGTCAGTAATTTAGGTTCATCAGTAATATGCCTCATCAGTAACCTTGACCTACATCAGTCAACAAGCCACCCTTATCCTATCCATACCCTTGACCAACATCAGTCAACAAGTCACCCTTATCCCACCCATAACCTTGACCTACATCAGTCAATAAACCACCCTTATCCCAACCCTAACCTTGACCTCCATCAATCAACAAGCCACCCTTACCCCACCCATAACCTTGACCTCCATCAGTCAACCAGTCACCCTTATCCTCTCCATAACCTTGACCTCCATCAGTCAACCAGTCACCCTTATCCTATCCATAACCTTGACCTACATCAGTCAACAACCCACCCTTATCCTATCCATAACCTTGACCTACATCAGTCAACAAGCCACCCTTACCCAACCCATAACCTTGACCTCCATCAGTCAACAAGCTACCCTTATCCCACCCATAACCTTGACCTAAATGGTCAACAAGTCACCCTTACCTCAACATAAACCCTCTACCCAGCCAGCATTATTAAATCCCTGGCCAGGAACTCCACCAGTCTGTTAGCCAAGTCACCAGGTAAAGACTCTTACCTCACTGAACCTAGCTATCCAACTTGAAAAGTGAGTAATAGTCACGTTCCTGTTATTGATGTAAACTGTCAGCAAAGGGGCGTGTCCACACAGATGTGCCAGCTTGTCACATACAGTAAGTATTTTCATATTCACTTAAATCAATTCTGTCTATTTGCACATGCTTCATTTCCGTAATGACGTTGATTCTCAGGTAAGCAGACAGAGATTGATTTACAATATGTAGGTGTCTGAGGTGTGGTCTGAAGCCATGCATGAGTCGACGGCCGCCAGCTGTCTCCAGTCCTGGCCTCTGCTATTGTCCTGCATCTTTGTCATATCACCACACTGATATATAGGCTTTTGATTACTTCATAGAAAAACTAAACTGCAAGAATTCAATGATATCAGCAATTCATTCTATTGATTTAGGGACACATTTCAATGATTTTGTTTCAAAAATATCTTCAGTATGTTCAATACATTGTTTAGATACAGATTATTTAGCTTATCATATTAGCAGGTGATCAGTTATATATATGCTTACCTGTTATTTCCAGCAATGTGACCCTTCTATTAGTAAGATGACGTTTTTTCAGTAATATGACCTTTATGTTAGTTTATGACCTTCCTTAAGATGACCTTATATCAGTTATGTAACCCCTATGTTTGTAAGGTGACCTTTTATCGGTTATGTGACCCTTCTGTAAGATGACCTTTTATCAGTCATGCGACCTTTATGTTTGTAAGATGACCTTTTATCAGGTATGTGACCCTTCTGTAAGATGTCCTTTTATCAGTCATGTGAACCTTCTGTAAGATGGCCTTCTCTCAGTCAACTTAACTTCTGTAAGATGACCTTCTCTCAGTTAACTTCACTTCTGTAAGATGACCTTTTATCAGGTATGTGACCCTTCTGTAAGATGGCCTTTTATCAGGTATGTGACCCTTCTGCAAGATGCCTTCTCTCAGTTAACTTAACTTCTGTAAGATGACCTTCTCTCAGTTAACTTCACTTCTGTGAGACAACCTTTTATCAGTTATGTATCCCTACTGTAAGATGACCTTCTCTCAGTTAACTTCACTTCTGTAAGATAACCTTTTATCGGTTATGGGTCCCTTCTGTAAGATGATGTTTAATCAGGTATGTGAGCCACTGTAAGATGACCTTTTATTGGTTATGTGTCCCTTTTGTAAGATGACCTTTTATCAGGTATGTGAACCTTCTGTAAGATGACCTTTTATCAGGTATGTGTCCCTACTGTAAGATGACCTTTTATCAGGTATGTGACCCTTCTGTAAGATAACCTTTTATTAGGTATGTGAACCTTCTGTAAGATGACCTTTTATCAGGTATGTGACCCTTTTGTAACATGACCTTTTATCAGGTATGTGTCCCTTCTGTAAGATGACCTTTTATCAGGTATGTGACCCTAATGTAAGATGAACTTTTATCAGTCATGTGTCCCCACTGTAAGATGAACTTTTATCAGTCATGTGTCCCCACTGTAAGATGACCTTTTATCAGGCATGTGACCCTTTTGTAAGATGCCGTTTTATCAGGTATGTGTTGCTTCTGTAAGATGACCTTTTACCAGGTATGTGACCCTTCTGTAAGATGACCTTTTATCAGGTATGTGTCCCTACTGTAAGATGACCTTTTATCAGGTATGTGACCCTTTTGTAAGATTACCTTTTATCAGGTATATGAACCTTCTGTAAGATGACCTTTTATCAGGTATGTGTTCCTTCTGTAAGATGACATTTTATCAAGTATGTGTTGCTTCTGTAAGATGACCTTTTATGAGGTATGTGACCCTTCTGTAAGATGACATTTTATCAGGTATGTGTTGCTTCTGTAAGATGACCTTTTATCAGGTATGTGACCCTTCTGTAAGATGACCTTTTATCAGGCATGTGACCCTTTTGTAAGATGCCGTTTTATCAGGTATGTGTTGCTTCTGTAAGATGACCTTTTACCAGGTATGTGACCCTTCTGTAAGATGACCTTTTATCAGGTATGTGTCCCTACTGTAAGATGACCTTTTATCAGGTATGTGACCCTTTTGTAAGATTACCTTTTATCAGGTATATGAACCTTCTGTAAGATGACCTTTTATCAGGTATGTGTTCCTTCTGTAAGATGACATTTTATCAAGTATGTGTTGCTTCTGTAAGATGACCTTTTATGAGGTATGTGACCCTTCTGTAAGATGACATTTTATCAGGTATGTGTTGCTTCTGTAAGATGACCTTTTATCAGGTATGTGACCCTTCTGTAAGATGACCTTTTATCAGGTATGTGACCCTTCTGTAAGATGACCTTTTATCAGGTATGTGACCCTTCTGTAAGATGACTTTTTATCAAGTATGTGTCCCTTCTGTAAGATAACCTTTTATTAGGTATGTGAACCTTCTGTAAGATGACCTTTTATCAGGTATGTGACCCATTTGTAACATGACCTTTTATCAGGTATGTGTCCCTTCTGTAAGATGACCTTTTATCAGGTATGTGACCGTAATGTAAGATGAACTTTTATCAGTCATGTGTCCCCACTGTAAGATGAACTTTTATCAGTCATGTGTCCCCACTGTAAGATGACCTTTTATCAGGCATGTGACCCTTTTGTAAGATGCCGTTTTATCAGGTATGTGTTGCTTCTGTAAGATGACCTTTTACCAGGTATGTGACCCTTCTGTAAGATGACCTTTTATCAGGTATGTGTCCCTACTGTAAGATGACCTTTTATCAGGTATGTGACCCTTTTGTAAGATTACCTTTTATCAGGTATGTGACCCTTCTGTAAGATGACCTTTTATCAGGTATGTGTTCCTTCTGTAAGATGACATTTTATCAAGTATGTGTTGCTTCTGTAAGATGACCTTTTATGAGGTATGTGACCCTTCTGTAAGATGACATTTTATCAGGTATGTGTTGCTTCTGTAAGATGACCTTTTATCAGGTATGTGACCCTTCTGTAAGATGACCTTTTATCAGGTATGTGACCCTTCTGTAAGATGACCTTTTATCAGGTATGTGACCCTTCTGTAAGATGACCTTTTATCAAGTATGTGTCCCTTCTGTAAGATGGCCTTTTATCAGTTTTGTGTCCCTACTGTAAGATGACCTTTTATCAGGTATGGGTTGTTTCTGTAAGATGACCTTTTGTGGGTTATATGTCCCTACTGTAAGATGCCATTTTATCAGGTATGTGTTCCTTCTGTAAGATGACTTTTTATGAGTTATGTGAGCCTACTGTATGATGAAGATGACCTGACTGTCACGTGGCCCTGTATTTGCTGGGCCAACATAATCTGGTTAACCATAGCCACAAGCAAAGCCAGTAATAAATTTACCAATAGTATAAACAATAACACAAGTGTTTGGAAGGCCTAATCCGATATTATCATATGCAGCCAACCATGTTGGATTTACTGGGCTTGACTGGACTAGGTTAAGCCCAATGATTTTAGCATTATTTATCATATACAAGCCTGTGTTATCTATGCGATAAACCTATCCAATAAATGTGATGCCTTCTTTCTCAATAAACTTTTGACTAACATTCCCAATATGCTTATATAGGTGTTTCCCAATGAGTTGCTAAAACATGGCGACAAACATGGCTGCATGTCATTTGGCACTATATGATAAGATAGGTGGTTCACTGAGAACTTGTGTTCATACGCGAGTCTCTAAAGCTACTGACTGAGTGAAATTATATCTTAAACATCCATTATTCTAAGAATTACATAACATGATAAAGAGATTATATCCCTTGTGTGTTTCCATATAATAAATATCATATACTAGTGGAGAAAAGTAATTGTGCTTCATATAAAGTTGTGTAAATGTTATATTGTTGAAAATAACATTATATTTGGTCATTGGTCTGATCAATGTTTTATCATGACAAAATCATGGAGACACCTGGTGACAGCAGCTAGGGAGACACGCCCTAAAAGAGAGGTGGTGTAACATTCCAATAAACAATGTCAATATAAGGTGTATCACTGGACGTCGGGACAGATAATGTGCTCTCTCATACGGTTCTGCCACTAACTGGTTTCAACCCAGGAATTGTCCAAGCTGTTAATGTGGCAGTTTGGTGTCGATTCCATAGATGAACCAACCGAATATGGTTGTCTTGTTGATGTGATGTCACACATGGATGACCGGCCTTTGGCAAGTCATGGGTTTGGTTTGGTGTCGATTCCATAGATGAACCAACCGAATATGGTTGTCTTGTTGATGTGATGTCACACATGGATGACCGGCCTTTGGCAAGTCATGGGTTTAGTTTGGTGTCGATTCCATAGATGAACCAACCGAATATGGTTGTCTTGTTGATGTGATGTCACACATGGATGACCAGCCTTTGGCAAGTCATGGGTTTGGTTTGGTGTCGATTCCATAGATGAACCAACCGAATATGGTTGTCTTGTTGATGTGATGTCACACATGGATGACCGGCCTTTGGCAAGTCATGAGTGTTTCCCTGCTGCAGATAACATCTCCAAAGTGATGATACTGTGTTTCAATGAACATTAAAATGTCTGCCAACTTTGTTTTGCACCATTCCTGTTTGTAGCATACCCCCGGCGCATAGAGGTTGATATTAAGGAGGCCGTTGGCATTGTTTACAGTTCAACAAAAATGTTTTTATCAAGGAGCTGATAGCTAAACATTCATCGTGTGCTGTTCACATGAAAAAAACACTTTTATGAGTATCATGCACCAAACAAAAGATTCAAATTGTACGCCATGTAAATTTTGAATCACGACCTTAAAAAGGAGATGTCTTTTCTGAGCATGTATTGAAAGAAGCATTATTTATTTTCAAAATTAATTAATTTTTATTGAACTTTTTATGAAGCTAAGTTATTTTTTCTATTAGTATATTAGGAATGAAATATATGTATTATCACCAAGGACTCTGATACCATACCATATTTGTTCCTAATTTAACATATTTACGATGTGGAAACAAATGGTCCATCACTACCCAGTCGTTGTACATATTTATACCCTCTCCTCTGTTTCAGGTGTACAACACCGCAGTCAGTTTCTTCCTAAATGGCCTTGGTCCAGGATTCTCAGCTGTTCGAACTTTCACCCTCATCAGTCAAATTGAAGATGTATCTGGACAGTACAGAATGGGCAAGAGGTCTAATGGTGAGTGACCTCTTATGACCTCTTATGACCCTTAATGATATCCAGTTGCCTTCAGTGACCTCTGTAAAAACAAATCTGTATTGAAGGATATGGGAACAGGTCCATATGGGACTGGCTCGTTCCTATCAATGAAATTATAAATCGCTAACCATTTGTATATCCTTACTTATTGGTCATATGGTAAACCAATGACTTGTCCATTTTTGGATTTTTTGCCCATTATATTTTTTTCTAATTCCATTGAAACAAAAGGATAACCCCATTAGATCTCATAATGACTGATTACCCCTGCTCAAAGTGATTGCTCATAGTAACATCTTCCTGCTGAGATGACTAAAGGTACCAGTCAGCTAGCAGTGTATTACCGTATTCGACGTAATAAGCGCCCACAGCGATATTTGCTAATATATTGGCAAGTGAACAATCCCAATTGGCACTCCTTCCGACTGATCAATGTACACAAGACTTATTAATTTGTGTTTAATACGCACTCGTGTGCTATATGTACCCTTAATTATGGGCAATTAAATTCTGGAAAAATATATCTGTCGTATATAAACAGTTCAGGCCGTCAGCATAAACCACGAAATTTATCTTTCAACTCTGTTTTTTTCCACCAAAATAATATTCCTATAAGAGCCCCCTATTTCTAATTTTGAGAGCGCCGCTTATTACGTCGAATAGGGTAATCACTTTTTGAGTCCGTGTCATTGAGTGTCTAGAACAAATTCCAGGTGGCTTTTGTGTTCAGGGACTTGAGTCTTCCACTCACTAGCACCCTGTGGGGATTCCAGGTTAGAAGAGGCCCAATGCTGATTGTAAGAGGCTAAGGCTGAGACTTAGTGACTATGTTGATGGTGTGTCATTGTACCCCTTTGGCCAGGACTGTTGTTCACAATACATGTTCACTATCACATGATTTTCTGGTTCAGACTCGATTGTTTTTTTACAGACCGCCATCGTGTAGTAGGAATATTGCTGCGTTAAAACAACAAACAAACAAACACTCACTTGAGCATATTGGCAGGGATATGGGTGTTTCATGAGTGTTCTGCAAGATATTGACCACTGATATCTTTCTTCTGATGTTTTCAGGCACGGGGCAATTTCTTGGAAGACTACAGAATTTCCATTTCTACTCCACTACACTGACAAACAGGTAAGACTACAAATGTCCATAACTCATCCTCCACGGCTGACATTTTGGTAAACCTATACAAATCCCTGGATCCATTGCCATGGTCCTCCCGATCTCAAATTACCTGCCCTTGATCAGCCAATTTGATTTGCTATGCTACTCAGTGAAACAGACCAATCAGAATGCGAGCTACAAACCAGCCTCAAGGTTGGCTTGGCGATATCAACAACATGGCGGCCAGTCCCATTGATTACGATAGAGTTTTCGAGAAATTCAACTTTGAAAAACTCACTGACGACCAAAAAAAAAGCCCTCAAAAATCTTTTTGATGGGAAAGATGTCTTCCACTCCCTCCCCCTTACCCATTTCCTTTTTCCTAAACTCAACTTTTGATTGGTCGGTAAAATGTTAATGAAAATCAAGGGCAGGTAATTTAAGATCGTAAGAACCATGGGAGTGGATCCTGGGGTTGGTGTAGATTGCCTGAAATGCAAGCCCTAGAACTATATAGAGGAAACAACTCACAACTCAGACATGATAAGAAACTGCTTGCGGGGTGAGAGATGGGCACTGCTCCACAGCCTGTTGTCAGAGTCACTCCTTCATCTGCAGATGTAGATGGGGTGCAGGGTGCACCAGCCCAGTTGCAGTAAACATACATTTGGAAGTTTTGTAGGGGATGTGGTGTACCAAGTTTAATTCATTTCCCGCCCAAATAAGATGTCTACCAAATATGCAAATTGTCCCACAAATTAGTTGCATACATATAGAATATGTATGTTGAGGTAAATAAACTCCCATCCTTTTCTAAAGAGCTGTAAAATTCAACTCTTGGACATTGTAATAATTACCATGTGTGAAGCCCCAAGGGTATTCTGCGTTAGAATAGGTCGCCAGCAACCTGTGCTGGTTGTAAGAGGCGAGAAAATGGATCTGGTGGTCAGACTTGGTGACATGGTTGATTGTGTGTCTTCATTCCCCAGCCGCATGTATCATTGCTCACAACACCAATCACTGGATTGTCTCGTCCACACTCAAATAATTGCAGGTTTGTGTCACATAGCCCTAATATTGCAGAGAGACATGTTTAACAATAGACAAACTGTTAAACAAATCATGTGCAAAATTCATACATTGTTTCTGTGTATTTAGGGTATCATTAATTTCTAGACATAGTTCTGTATAACATTATTATGTTTTATTAACTTCTTGGTTCTCAGGCACCACTCGCATCATCATAAAGTTTGCTGCACGTTTCATTTTTGTTTCCATTTTTTTTTTAAATATAAAAAAATCCTTAAGTCAAATACTGTATTCCAGTATTTCACTCATCAAGGAATACATTTATGTAGGGAGGCCCTTTCCCTGATTGATAGTACACAACTGTTTATCTGGTTATACAACTGTTTATTTGGTTACATACTAGTTTAAACAACAACAACAAAATGACACCGCCCACCCACCTACACAATATTTTCAAAAAACATTGCCTGAGAACCAATTCTTTTATTTTTTTTTAAGCCTAAGCATGCAGACAAGGTGGTGACTGAACAACTTGAAGCAAAATTTTTAGGCCTGCCAAGTCTCCCTTTAAGAGAACATAGTAAATGGCTCAAGATATTTAGAAATGTACACTGACTGACTGACTGAGTATGGTTTTACGCTGCTTTTAGCAATATCCCAGCAATATCACGGCAGGGGGCACCAGAAATGGGCTTCACACATTGTACCCATGTCTGGAATCGAACCGGGGTCTTCGGCGTGTACACACATGCACTTTAAGATAGGGAGTATTCATAATATCTGAGTCAGCCAATCAGTTACACTTTAACTGTCTATATTTCTCTATCAGATACATATTCAGTATATAAAATGAGCCCTATCCTTTACAGAGAAATACAGGAAGTCTACACAGGCACTCTACCGCCAGTGCGGATCCAGTCCCAGTGCCGTTGTCCGGGGTCACATCCTCGAGTCAAACCGCAGCAGACCCATTACTGTATTCCCAACGGGCTCCCTGACAACGCCGGTCAAGACAGACTTCGCATCAACGAGGAGTCCCACCCACTGGAGTATGCTAATGACGGGGACAGTAACAGCATCTGGATCTCTAAGTTCTTCAGCCAAGTGAACATCACAGTTGATCTGGGGGATGAGTTTCAGGTCAGTGGCATAGTGAAGCACAAGGGGTGATCTTTGGGGCATCAGTAATTTCTATGAATACATTTTTTTGCTGCTTTTCAATAAAATATTTCCAATAACCTGCTCACAGAAAACTGATACATTTTCCCACTTGCTCAGCCATTTCTTATAAATCATAATGAATTTTTAAGTATGATTTGTTTTATACACTGGCGTTAGCATTTATGTACCCCTCTTTGTCTAATTTTACAGCATTTTTTCATCTACTTTGAAACATCTAAGCTTTAGAATCTAAACTTGTTTGCCCATTTGCCCCCGGCAAAGGTGTATGTCTACAAAGGCTCTTGCAAATTTTCTGATCCATTCATCAACATGGTCACCATAGTAGAGATTTTGCACATGTAGTTCAAGAAAAAACATCTCTTGCTATGAATGTGTTGAAACAACAGGTACAACTCAATGCAATTAGGGTATAAATAGAAAAAGTCAATGACAGAGAATAACCAGTCTGGATTGTCCTCCAAAACAGATTCCATTGGCTGGAAAAGGCAAAATTATATGAATGAAAATCAGTGATGACACAGGTGTTTGCAAAAAGGGTAAGCATTGCCTTTGAAAGGAAAGCTTCCAAACCATATTGTTTCTGGGAAATAAAATTAAAAGAATAATGGAGTGATGTCACAAGAATTCTACATTGCTGATAACTGTTATTCTTTGTTTTGTGTCAGGTGTTCTATGTGGTGATACAGTTCTACAGCCCCCAGCCCCGGGGGGTGGTGATTGAGCGTCAGCGAAATGGTTCGGATGAGTGGGAACTGTGGCAGTTGTATGCTGACAATTGCCAGACCTTCTTCGGTCAACCAAACAATGGTCCCCTGCCACAGCCAACTTCAGTCAACTGTATACAGTTTGGATGGTATGTGCTCAGAAAAGCATTGTGAAGTGTTCATTGGTATGTTTTGTCGTAGAGATTATTCAGAAAATATCATAATTTGAGACCACTGGATTTCTAACATCATCACAGTGACTGAGTGAGTTTTGTTTTTCGCCGCCCTTAGCAATATTCCAGCAATACCATGGCGGAGGACATCAGAGAATGGGCTTCACACAATGTACCCTTGTGGGGAATCGAACCCGGGTCTTCGACGTGATGGCAGAATGCGTAACCACTAGGCAACCCCACCGCCGATAAATCACAGACCAGGGTCCACAATAAGTGTTCCTTTTATCCTAGCTAGAGCATTGTCAAATATACTACTCAAAAAAGTTAAGACCACCCGATTCTCTCATTTTACTATCATTTATCTGTCATGCCATTACGGAATAACTATAGTAATATGAAAGAATCGGGTGGTCCTTCTTGTGAGATGTACATGTACAGATCTAGGTTAAACATTCTGAGACTAGAGTCAAAGATTTATAGATTTTGGCTGTGTTTTATGCTGAGGCCAAGCATATATAGAGGATGACTGACAATTCTTAGACCTTGGTCCAAACATTCATAGTCCATTGCCAAAGCAATGATTTCCCTTGGTCCTTATATCTGCAAGTCCTGTTTGACCGCTGGTAAAGGCTATAAAATGGAGGTCCCAAGGTGACTACTGTGCCAACAGCAAATATATATATATGTTGGGAGGAATCTTGGACATGCCACCTTCGATATTCCCGTTATTCGAAAACTCACCATCGGCTGTGGCCTCCTGTACTATACATACTGCCTGGGTTTGTCTCCCGGTTGTCCTTGCCTGCTTGGTTGGTCACGAGTCTGTGGTTGGTGGCTGCACTTCTCTTGAGAGGCATCACGGAAAGTAAACTTCAGGTGGAGCTAAATAAATCCGATACAACCAGTGCTGAAATGGATGGTATTCGAAGCGAAAATCAGCAAAACAAATGCGATTGTGAACAAAAAAACCGAACAAAGCGAAAACAATTAGGTAAGGCAAAATATGTGTGTACTTGAAGAGAGACGGTGATGAATGGTGGGCTATAGATAGGGAAACAAGGGAAGGGTGACGCTTGTGGCCCCCAAACGCAAGGTGTAGTGCCACCGGTACAGTGCAGGGTGCTGACCCGGGGGTGATTTAGTTGTAAAGGGTGCTTGAATTACAGAGGTAATTAGCCCATGGTTTGGATAGGCGCCATAAAGCCATTTAGTAGTTAGTACTAAATGCAAATATACAAAATGGGACATTCTTTTACAGAACCTTTACAGCAAAGTAGATCCTAACAGAGGAAGAAAACATTTCAAAGTTGTGAATTCAAAAGATTATGGCTTTCCTGTGCCTTATTAGAAGAAGTATGTCTTATATATTATTTTTCTGCTTTCAGGGGAGGTGAGCAAATTCCATATTCCCGTGGCAACATCACTTTCAACATCCTGGCACCAGAGCCAGTGGCTCGACCAGGTCACAACAAATTCTACAACACACCAGAGCTGTTCGAGTTTGTCAGGGCCAAGAAACTCCGCATCAACTTCCGAGACCATTACTACGTAGGACAGGATGCTCAAATCAGGCATCAGTACTATGGGATATATGACTATACAGTCAGTGCCAGGTCAGTACTAAGGGATACATGACAATAAAGTCAGTGCCAGGTCAGAACTAAGGGATACATGACAATAAAGTCAGTACCAGGGCAGTACTATGGGATATATGACTATACAGTCAGTGCCAGGTCAGTACAATGGGGTATATGACTATACAGTTAGTGCCAGGTCAGTACTATGGGATACATGACAATAAAGTCAGTGCCAGGTCTGTACTATGGGATATATGACTATACAGTTAGTTCCAGGTCAGTACTATGGGATACATGACTATACAGTCAGTGCCAGGTCAGTACTAAGGGATACATGACAATAAAGTCAGTGCCAGGTCAGTACTAAGGGATACATGACAATAAAGTCAGTGCCAGGTCTGTACTGTGGGATATATGACGATACAGTCAGTGCCAGGTCAGTACTATGGGATATATGACTATACAGTTAGTTCCAGGTCAGTACTATGGGATATATGACTATACAGTCAGTGCCAGGTCAGTACTAAGGGATACATGACAATAAAGTCAGTGCCAGGTCAGTACTATGGGATATATGACGATACAGTCAGTGCCAGGTCAGTACTATGGGATATATGACTATACAGTTAGTTCCAGGTCGGTACTATGGGATATATGACTATACAGTCAGTGCCAGGTCAGTACTATGGGATATATGACTATACAGTTAGTTCCAGGTCAGTACTATGGGATATATGACTATACAGTCAGTGCCAGGTCGGTACTATGGGATATATGACTATACAGATAGTTCCAGGTCAGTACTAAGGGATACATGACTATACAGTTAATGCCAGGTCAGTACTGTGGGGTATACAGCTGTACAGTCAGTGCCAGGTCAGTACTATGGTGTATACAGCTATATAGTCAGTGCCAGGTCAGTACTATGGGATATATGACTACCAGTCAGTGTCAGGTCAGTACTATGGAACATATGACTATACAGTCAGTGCCAGGTCAGTACTATGGGATATATGACTATACAGTCAGTGCCAGGTCAGTACTAAGGGATATATGACTATACAGTCAGTGCCAGGTCAGTACTACGGGGTATATGACTATACAGTCAGTGCCAGGTCAGTACTATGGGATATATGACTATACAGTTAATGCCAGGTCAGTACTGTGGGGTATACAGCTGTACAGTCAGTGCCAGGTCAGTACTATGGGGTATACAGCTATATAGTCAGTGCCAGGTCAGTACTATGGTGTATACAGCTATACAGTCAGTGCCAGGTCAGTACTTTAGGGTATATGACTATACAGTCAGTGTCAGATCAGTACTATGGTATATAAGACTATACAACTAATGCCAGGTCAGTACTATGGGATATACAGCTATACAGACAGTTTCCAACTGTTTCAGATGTGACTGCCATGGCCATGCTGAGCACTGTGATATATCGACCCTGCCCTACAGATGTAACTGTACACAGGACAGCCATACTTTAGGAAACCAGGTAATACCACCACTCACTACCCGGCCATTGTAACTCACCAGACAACGTCCACTGCAGTCTCTGTTCTGTTGCAGTTTACATATCCTTCACTACAACCTAGGTTCTGTAGCAGTGTACCCATCCTCCACTACAACCTAGGTTCTGTAGCAGTGTACCCATCCTCCACTACAACCTAGGTTCTGTTACAGTGCACCCATCCTTCACTACAACCTAGGTTCTGTTACAGTGTGCCCATCCTTCACTACAACCCAGGTTCTGTTACAGTGTGCCCATCCTTCACTACAACCTAGGTTCTGTTACAGTGCACCCATCCTTCACTACAACCTAGGTTCTGTTACAGTGTGCCCATCCTTCACTACAACCCAGGTTCTGTTACAGTGTGCCCATCCTTCACTACAACCTAGGTTCTGTTACAGTGTGCCCATCCTTCACTACAACCCAGGTTCTGTTACAGTGTGCCCATCCTCCACTACAACCTAGGTTCTGTTACAGTGCACCCATCCTTCACTACAACCCAGGTTCTGTTACAGTGTGCCCATCCTTCACTACAACCCAGGTTCTGTTACAGTGTGCCCATCCTTCACTTCAGCCTTGGTTTTGTGTTCTAGTGTTCCTGTCCTTCACTTCAGCCTTGGTTTTGTGTTCCAGTGTTTCTATCCTTCACTTTAGCCTTGGTTTTGTTGTTCAGTTCCCTATCCTTCACTTCAACCTTGGTTTTGTGTTCCAGTGTCCCTATCCTTCACTTCAGCCTTGGTTTCGTGTTCCAGTGTCCCTATCCTTCACTTCAGCCTTGGTTTTGTGTTCCAGTGTCCCTATCCTTCACTTCAGCCTTGGTTTTGTGTTCCAGTGTTCCTATCTTTCACTTCAGCCTTGGTTTTGTGTTCCAGTGTCCCTCTCCTTCACTTCGGCCTTGATTTTGTGTTCCAGTGTTCCTATCTTTCACTTCAGCCTTGATTTTGTGTTCCAGTGTTCCTATCCTTCACTTCAGCCTTGATTTTGTGTTCCAGTGTTCTCAGTGTGCTGCTCTTTTCAACAACAAGCCGTTCCGCCGTGGTGACCAGACCAACAGCTACAACTGCCAGCCTTGTGTATGCTACAACCATGCAGACTCTTGTCAATACAACAGAACCATCGATCTCTTTCCCAATGAGCATGATAGAGGGGGCGGGGGTATGTGCATTGACTGCAAGCACAACACGACCGGGGCGAAGTGTGACACATGCCTGCCATACTACTACCGGCCTGCCGGAGTCAGCATGTTCTCCCCGGATGTATGCACTCCCTGCCTCTGCAACACGTCAGGGGTCGTCAACGACACGGACTGTGCTAAGGTTAGTTTGTATTATCTGTTGCCTAAATAGGTTTCTGATCAAAATAGTGTATGTTCCCTGAAATTCATGGTCAGCTGTAAGTTTCTGATCCAGATGACATATGTTCCTGGAAGTTGATGGTCAGCTGTAGGTTTCTGATAAAGATGACATATGTTCCTTGATGTTGATGGTCAGCTGTAGGTTTCTCATTGAAATAGTGTATGTTCACGAAGTTGATGGTCAGTTGTAGGTTTCTGATCAAAATAGTGTATGTTCCTGAGTGTTGATGGTCAGCTTTAGGTTTCTGATAAAGATGACATATGTTCCTTGAAGTTGATGGTCAGCTGTAGGTTTCTCATCAAAATAGTGTATGTTCACGAAGTTGATGGTCAGTTGTAGGTTTCTGATCGAAATAGTGTATGTTCCTGAAGTTGATGGTCAGCTGTAGGTTTCTGATTGAAATAGTGTATGTTCCTTAACTTGATGGTCAGCTGTAGGTTTCTGATCAAAATAATGTATGTTCACAAAGTTGATGGTCAGCTGTAGGTTTCTGATAAAGATGACATATGTTCCTTGAAGTTGATGGTCAGCTGTAGGTTTCTCATCAAAATAGTGTATGTTCACGAAGTTGATGGTCAGTTGTAGGTTTCTGATCGAAATAGTGTGTGTTCCTGAAGTTGATGGTCAGCTGTAGGTTTCTGATTGAAATAGTGTATGTTCCTGAAGTTGATGGTCAGCTGTAGGTTTCTGATAAAGATGACATATGTTCCTTGAAGTTGATGGTCAGCTGTAGGTTTCTCATCAAAATAGTGTATGTTCACGAAGTTGATGGTCAGTTGTAGGTTTCTGATCGAAATAGTGTATGTTCCTGAAGTTGATGGTCAGCTGTAGGTTTCTGATTGAAATAGTGTATGTTCCTGAAGTTAATGGTCAGCTGTAGGTTTCTGATAAAGATGACATATGTTCCTTTTAGTTGATGGTCAGCTGTAGGTTTCTAATCAAAATAGTGTATGTTCCTTAACTTTATGGTCAGCTGTAGGTTTCTGATTGAAATAGTGTATGTTCCTGAAGTTGATGGTCAGCTGTAGGTTTCTCATAAAGATGACATACTGTATGTTGCTTTTAGTTGATGGTCAGCTGTAGGTTTCTAATCGAAATAGTGTATCTTCCTTGAAGTTGATGGTCAGCTGTAGGTTTCTGATCGAATTAGTGTATGTTCCCTGAAGTTCATGGTCAGCTGTAAGTTTCTGATTAAGGTGATGCTTGTTCCTGTAGGTTGATGGTCAGTGCAGCTGCAAGGTGCTGGTGGAGGGAAGACAGTGTGACCGCTGTAAGCAGGGGTATTATAACCTCCGGGCAGATAATCCAGCTGGTTGTCTCCCCTGTCAGTGTAACTCTCATGGCACAGTGGGTGGCGAGGCTACCTGTGATGCCCTCACTGGCAAATGTAACTGCAAGAAGAATGTTCAAGGTAAACCATCATATAATTCTTCAAGTTTGATATGTGTCCATATCTGGATCTCATATATGTGATACTCCGGGTTATCAGAACACTGACATTATGCACATATTTATGATCTCATCTCAAAATATGTGCTCCAATGTTTGTAAATCTGACAACTATAATGTGAAGTTTTGTACTCACATCTTCAAACAATGGAAACTATTAAGCTGAACTTCACAGGCTACTCAATGCCACATATTATAGGGGTAAAAATACCCGTGAAGATCTGTGTAAGAATAGATCTTCAGCAACCCATGCTTGCTGTAAAAGGCGACGATGCTTATCGTAAGAGGCAACTTACGGGATCGGGTGGTCAGACTCACTGATTTGGTTCATGTCATCGTATCCTAGTTGCGTAGATTAATGCTTCATGATATCAGTCACTCGATTGTCTGGTCTAGACTCAATTATTTACAGACTGCCATCAAAAAGCTGGAATATGTTGAGTGCGGCCAAACAACAAACAACAACGATTACGGAAAAATGTGATTCATGCTTGTTCTTCTACAGGTGACCGCTGTGACCAGTGTCAGTTTGGTTTCTTCAACCTGACTGTCAACAATCCTGATGGATGTAACCCCTGCAACTGTGACCCCATTGGCTCCACAAGCATGTACTGCGAGCCCAACACCGGTGACTGCCGATGCAAGGCTAGCGTGGTTGGAAAGAAGTGTGATCAGTGCCATGACAACTACTACAACTTCACTGTGGGCTGCATTCCCTGTGGGTGCGCAGCCGCTGGAACAGAGCCCGGAACAGTATGCAACAAGACCACGGGGCAGTGTGTGTGCAAGGGCAACACCGAGGGACAGAACTGTGACCTGTGCAAGGACGGAGCCTACAGCTTTGGATCATCTCCGGATCTGGGCTGTGAAGCCTGTATCTGTGACCCAAGGGGAACCTTGAATGGAATGGCCCTCTGTGACAAGGCAACAGGGGCCTGTGTATGTAAGGAGAGGGTTGATGGTCGGAGGTGTAACGTGTGTAAGGGCAACACATGGGGTCTTAACATCTCAGACCCACTGGGGTGTAAGACTTGTGATTGTGATCCATCCGGCACCACGTTCGGTGATGTACAGAATGTGACGCAGCTGGCTTGTGATCAGAACACTGGCATCTGTTCATGTCTCCCACAGCGGCTGGGTCGAAGGTGTGATGACTGTCAGTCTGGTGAGTAATAGATGTTACAGGGTCAAGGTCATACAAAAACTCAAGGTCATCCAGAAGTCAAGTTCAAGGTCATGCAAATTGAGTATGCAGAGGAAAAGTTACAGAATATGAAAACAGACCATAGACCATAGAAATTAAGTACACATCATGTCTTGCCCCATTAAATAATTTTATGTGATAAAAATCCTTACACTCATAGTTTCATCAGAATACCATTGAATATGGCAAGCCTGGAAACACAATCTACCCATTCTTTTTTCCCCTTTCCTTTTGTTTTTAATTCTATTTCTTATCACCAGGGTACTTTGTTGATCGGGCACCTGGTGGTGGCTGTAGGTCATGTGACTGCAACACCATGGGAACGCTGCCAGGCACGAACTGTAACACGCAGACAGGACAGTGTGAATGCAAAGGTGGAACATCCGGGGTCACAGGTCGCACATGTGCAGAATGTCTGGGAACATACTACAAATTTAATGCCTTCTTTGGAACGTGAGTTGATTTTGTTTTGATCTACAACAGAAGGATGTTTGAGGAAATACAGAAACATGTCTCTGTCTTTGTGCAGACAGGATACATTCTCACCATAAATATTTGTGAAGACTCTCTTGCCTTTCTTCACAGATTTATCTAGACCTGCTCAGAGGCTGATGTTTGACCCCAAGTCTCGAGCATATGTCTGGAATAATTCCCACATTGGACTTAAACATTTCCCCATTCCTGCTTTTATCTCGATACATGTGGGTGCACGGGTGGCCCAGTTGTCTAAGGCGCTGTGATTCGCTGTGCAGAGTTGCGTCCCTTGGGCACGCCAGAAACCTATGATTGTGGGTTAACAGTATCGTTAGAATCCTGGTTCACCCCACTTGTGTTTCTAGGTTTGTCAGCATCATACCCGTGCTCGTGAGTTTCACCAAAGTGGTAAACGTCTAAGACTTGCATCACTTCCAGCTTTCCTCCCACATTAAGCTGACACGCTGTGATATAACTGGAATACTGTTAAAAGCGTGTTAAACTCAACTCACTCACTCACTCACTCACTCACTCACTCACTCACTCACTCACTCACTCACTAATGTTATGGCTTTGAAGTGTCTTGTATTTAACTGATAACAAGACCAACATAAGGGAAAATTCTTTACTGCCTAGTTTACTATTAGTTTAGCATTACTGCATTGAATGCAATGTTAAAATTTAATGTTGAAATACCCCGGAATTTAGGAAAAAAAGAAAATAAGAAACAGTCCAAATTTTGAACAAAATAATGATTTTTCCTAATTTGCCTGCCAAGGGCACTTTGTTTGAAATGCTAGATTAGTCAGTGTTCTTACATATATGAAATATGTCTATAATATGATAGAAAATGAACTGAACATCCTCACAATGCAAACTGATTTAAATAAAAGTGACAGAAAACATTTCTATGATCATTAAGGGAAATCTCTACTACGAGTCCACTGTACAATTCCGACTATATCAGAACAGGTGTTAGTGAATCACTACCAGTTAGTGACCATACCAGGTGTTCATGAAAAGGTGATTGTATCCTGCCCCATCAGTGGCACCCATCACAAACACATGGAAAAGCAAGTCAGTTGTTCACCTGAAGAAACACAGGAACATATGATACAAGTCAAAATAGTGAATTGCATCGGACATAATTTTTTTAAATAGCATCTCATTTCTTTGCAGGCCGTTGTAATAGCATCAGTTAACATGATGTCACAATCAAAGACCCATAAAGATTTTGGGTAGAATAGGTCTTCAGCAACCCATGCTTGTCGCAAAAGGCGACTATGCTTGTCGTATAAGGTGATCGAGTGGTCAGGCTCGGTGACTAATGATACATGTCATAATATCCCAATTACGTGGATAGATGCTCATGACGTTAATCACTGGATTATTTACAGACCGCTGTCATATAGCTAAAATATAGCTGAGTGGGGCGCTAAACAACAAACAAACAATAACGCTGGAATGGTCACCTCTATTTTTTACATCAAGACACTGGCTATTACTGTTTACAAACAGCAAAATGAGGAAAATGATTTTGGATGACAAATAGAATCCCACTCGAAGTTTTAAACCATTATCGACTCATGTTGATATTTATGTATATCAAAAGAGACACAGGTGAGATTTTCTGTGTACCAATTGTCTCCAGGTGTACGGAGTGTGGCTGTCTGGCCGCGGGAAGCCAAAACAACACCTGCAATGCTGCGAGTGGCCAGTGTTTCTGTAAGCAGTTTGTCACCAGCCAGACATGTCAGGTCTGTGTGGCGGGAGCCAGCAACCTTGACCCCAACAACCCCTTTGGCTGCAGTAAAGGTGAGACCGGTTGACACATGCATAGCCCTTGTAAACTGCAAAGACAAAGTGCAAATTCAAGCCAGGTTATCTGTAGATTTAACTGTGTGCTTAATTGATTTCGGAGAAAGAAGCACTTCTATCAAATTCACAGTTACCACCTCTGATTGAAGCAGCCACTTTGATGGAAGTGCTTCTTCCTCTTTCATTGTTAGTAGACTTTTGTTGGTTCCAAATTCAATTCTGATTGGTCAATCAGAGGTTTCAAATAACAATAACGATCTCTGAATGACCAATCAGAATCTAGTAATTTCCAAATTTTTAGTAGAATAGAATATGATGCTGATTCATTTGTTTCTGACAACAGAATTAACAATGAAAGGAGGTTCAAATGGTGGACTAATTTGCTACCAGTACAGTCATATAAAACTTGACAGATCTGATGTTTCATCTCTAATTCAAATATTCAGGAACCAAGAATTAAGGAATTATTCATCCGTTACTGTAGACCTGAGTTTAGCATATAACAGTATTCAGATAAGTCCAGTAATTCATAGTGGGGAGTAGGTTATTCTGGTAAAACCCATACCATAGTTTTATGGGTAATTAAATGCACAGGGACTGGTCAGTTGCTGTAGGTGGGATTCTGGGGGAGTCGGTGTCAATGCCAAAATGTATAAAAACTATAGGGAAGGGGGACTGAAAAAGTTACACAGTTCTATTTTTTGTTCCAATAAATTTAGTATAGATCTATTTAGGAACTGGTCAGTCTTTAGGGACTGGGTGTGTGTGTTCCTTAGATGTTTCATATGTCTATTAGCAATGACTGACCAACACAAATCTATCCCCCAAATACACAGTGAAACAAGAGCCATCACCACTGGAATATTGCTGGGCATGGTGTTAACCAACAAACAAAGTGAAACAAATTCTAAGTTAAGATATCAGCCATGGCAAGCAGCAAACAATGGTATTCTCTCTTGAAAAAAATATAACAGTAGAAATTGCAGAATGATTTATGGTGCCATTCCTCATCACTAATATTTGAAATCAAGAACTACTTCTATAATCCAGAGCCATCCCAGCAGCCACCGCCAACACACAACCCGAGAACCATGTCCATGGAACTCACATGGCGACCCCCAGACTATCCTAATGGTGTTATACAGGAATACAGGGTCATCAGGAACGCTTCAGTCGTTGCCACCATCAATGGTAGTAGTGGTAAGTGGTGTTGTCCAGGAATACAGGGTCATCAGGAACGCTTCAGTCGTTGCCACCATCAATGGCGGTAGTGGTAAGTGGTGTTGTACAGGAATACAGGGTCATCAGGAACGCTTCAGTCGTTGCCACCATCAATGGCGGTAGTGGTAAGTGGTGTTGTACAGGAATACAGGGTCATCAGGAACGCTTCAGTCGTTGCCACCATCAATGGTAGTAGTGGTAAGTGGTGTTGTCCAGGAATACAGGGTCATCAGGAACTCTTCAGTCGTTGCCACCATCAATGGTAGTAGTGGTAAGTGGTGTTGTACAGGAAGACAGGGTCATCAGGAACGCTTCAATCGTTGCCACCATCAATGGCGGTAGTGGTAAGTGGTGTTGTACAGGAATACAGGGTCATCAGGAACTCTTGGCTGGCACCACTTTGTGCTTTCCTACCACATTAATCTGACATGCTATGATGTATGATCCTTTCACTCACTTGTTTAATTCTTTCCATCTCTCCATCGTGATTAAATTTTCCTTTCTCATATCCATGCCTCAAGTGATACATAATATTTTAATAAAAGCAACAAAATCCTTTCATATTGGTAAGAAATCTCTGCTATTTCATGCACATTAGTTAATGAATCACTATCAAATAGCGATTATACTAGGTGTTCATGAAAAGACGAGCATATCCTGCCCCACCAGTAGCACCCATTAATGGAAATTTGTTCACCTGAAGAAACACAGTAACATATGATTCAAGTCTGAATAGGGAGACCGCCTTCGTGGTCTAGTGGTAGAGCATCCGCCCGGTGAGCGGAAGGTCCAGGGTTCGATCCACGGTCGTGTCATACCAAAAGACGTTAAAAGATGGTACTTGTTGTTACTTGTTGATAAAACAAGGACTGGTCGGCCCGGAGTCAGTATACTGTGCGTGAGTGGGATATTCATGTTAAACTGCGGCATGGTATCTCAGTGTGCTAGCACTATAAATCGGCATCAGTCCGGACAAGTACAAGCAGCCACACACACACATTCGTGCATGCACGTCGCTATATAACCCCATTTCACCTCACCTCACCTGAATAGAGAATTGCACCAGGTACCATTTTGGACACTGATGCATCAAATTTGGAAATGTCCTCCACATTTTTACCATGAACCGTTTTGAAACCTTGATGAAACAACTTTCGAGAAAGAGTCGTATGACACATTTGTCGTCCCATCCACTTATCTCCCAAATGTTGTATGTTTTAGAGCTAAAGTATGAGGACGTCAACCTTCTCCCCTTCACAAACTATGCCTACAACATCGAGGCAGTGAATGCGTTCGGGAGTGTAAGAAGCACGACTGTTGTCTTTCGAACCTTAGCTGGAATCCCCAGCAATGACAGCATCCTAACAGTGACTGACGTCGGCTCTCACAGTGCAGTGTTCTCGTGGACCTATCCCAGCGTAATGAATGGTCCTCTGGAGAAATTTAAATTGGTGTCACGAACCCCGGGTCAACCTGCCACAGACCTGACCCACTGGGAGGGTACGGAACTGAGTGCTATCCTCACCAACCTCATCCCCTTCACCACCTACAACTTCTCCGCCCACACCTGCACATCAGGTGGCTGCTCCCCCAGCGCAGTCTTCATGATCACGACTCTGTCATCAGTACCAGAAGGTCAGGCATCTCCAAGAATCACCCCTCTTAGCAGCACAGAGCTCTTCATCAAGTGGGATCACCCAAGCAAACCAAATGGTAAATAATCCAATCTCATTAAAATTAGATCTTAGTTCTTGCTATCTCTAAACAAAGATCTGAGGACATCCCATTACAGGTCACGTCAGAACAACCTTTGGGAACTTTGACCTTCCAAGGTGGTAGACGTCTGAGACCTGCAAAACTTTGGGCTTTCCCCCCACATTAAACTTTCATGCTGAGATATAACTGGAATACTGTTAAAAGGTGTGTTAAACAAAACTCACTCACTCCAAGGCAAAATATACAACCCACCTTATATGAGCCACGTTGTTATTATTTACCTGTTTCTAGGGATTATAATCTTCTATGAGCTGTGGATGCAAGGAGTACCAGGGGTCAACGGCACCCGCAACCCTCCCCTCCGGCGCATCTTCACATCTAGTGGACAATACAACCCTCGGGTCAGCTCAACCCAGAACAATGCCCTGCCACCTCCAATCACTAACTTCACAGTAAATAGCCTGGAGCCATTCACTGTCTACGAGTTTCAGGCACGTTGCCAGTGTTTCTGTCTTATGATTAGTGTGTTTGTTTGTTTGTTTGTTTGTTTGTTTGGTATATGACAGCCTCATGATTAGTATGACAGGGAATGCTTGATAATCACCTTTATCATGCCACCATGTTGGAATGTTGAGATCTTATTGGTACTTGTGATAAAATACTTTATTACTTGCCCGTGAAGAGATCACCCGTTTAATAAACAAACCGCTGTATTACACGTTGTGTAAATGTTCTAAAAAGATTTTATTTTTTTCACACACTGTAGCCCTCGAAAATAGTTTTAAAACAATGCCCCATTACCATGTCGCTAAATGTGAAATTACAGCTTAATGTAAATGTTTTAGAAGAAATTTATTTTTTGTTATAAAATAGCCTTCGAAAATAGTTACTGCAGACTGTGCAAATGTGAAATGTATCTTAGTTTAAGTGTACCTGAATATCCCTTTTGGAGGGGTGACCCGTGAAGATTGGGGTAGAGAATAGGTCTTCAGCAACAAATGCTTTCCGTAAGAGGTGACTGCTTGTCGTAGAAGGTGACTAACAGGATGGGGTTGTCAGGCTCGCTGACTTGGGTGATGCATGTCATCGCATCCCAACTGCATGATGCCAATAACTGGATTGACAGGTCCGGACTCGAGTATTTACAGACCGCCATCATATAGCAGGAATCTTGCTGAGTGCGGTGTTTAACAAAAAAACAAAAAAAACAAATGATGTAGATGCCTCTGGTTGTTTCTCATGGGCAACATTATTGCTACGTAACCGTTTCCTTCAGTATCTGCAGTCTCCACTGTACAAGCCAAACCATCACAACACCTTTGAGCACAGTATGCCTTTCTACTCAGTTTCACCTTGACACCTATGAAGAATAGACTGTTTTCTCCAAACTTCAGTGTTCAGTGTTGTGAGATTGTGATGGAACTGTTGGTATTCCAGGTGCTTGCCCAGAACGATGCCGGTAAGGCTGCCAGTCCGTGGACAGTGGGGCGAACTTGGGAGGCAGGTGAGCTCTTGCTGCCTCAGTGTGATGTTTACTGTGAAATCCTGTTAATCCGGATGCTACTTTCCTCATCCAGAATGACAAATTTAAGGATTAACTCACAACTGAGAAATGTTTCTTTGTATATACCGTATTTGATGTTATAAGTGCCCAGGGCACTCTCAAAATTAGAAATAGGGGGCTCTTATTACAATATAATTTTGGTGAGATAAAAAACAAGGGTGAAAGATTGTAAATTGTGTGGTTTATGCTGACAGTCTGAAATGGTATAAACGAAGAATCTGTGCGTATTATACAAGATAGATCTATTTTTGAGAATTTAATTGCCCATAATTAAGGGTGCATATAACACACGAGTGCGTATTCTACACGAATAAATAAGGCTTGTGTACTTTGATCAATTGGAAAGGGTGCTAATTGGGATTGTTCACTAGACAATATATTAGCAAATATCGTCGTGGGCGCTTATTACGGTACGGTATGTCTGGAACTGTAAACAGGCTGTCCTGACCAATGAAAATATCTTTAACCATCTAAACTACTAGATCAGTCATTTTGCAGTATCCTCGTGTTCATCACTGCTGTTGCCTCTGTTAATTCCTCATCTGGTTATGCCTCTTATTTATTCCTCTTTATTTCCCTTTTCATTCGTCCCTCTGTTCCCATCTTTCATTCATCCAGTTCATTGGCCCCTTCGTTTCTTTTTTCCCTCATTGGGCTGTTTGTGGATTGATACGAGGGCTGGGACAAATCCAAATTTTCTACCCAGGTACCTGAACCCTATTACAAAATGTCCAATCAGGAACTCTTTCTGGTACCCTAGCAAAAACTTGGTGCACATATAAAAGGTAATGCATACACTGAAGTTGACTGAATCTTTAGCTTAACTCAAACATACAAAAGTCAGAAGGATTGCATGTTTAGTCAGAAAGAAAGGCAAACATTAGCGACTTGTATAACCATGGATTTCTATTATTAGTGCAGTTAAAATTGTTAGAAATTGGCACTAGTCCTGTAATCCTTGCCAGACTGCCCAATAGTTAAGGTATCCTAAGGACCAGTACAAATTTGGCATTTTTATGGGTTTTGCTATATCTTATCATTATAAGAACTAGTGGACTAAAAATGATTGTTTCTACCGCTCCGTTAAACAATATATCACATATATTACAACGGGTCCGGATGGTCCTGTCCGGTCCAACTGAGGAGCCACCTGACCCAAGTACCAAGTTACCCGTCCCAGCCCTAAAATACAGGAACTCTAACAAGTCATGCAAGAGAGATGTTTGATATTTCAGCTCCTATCTTCACACCACCGCCAGTCATTAAAGGTGTGAGTAGCACAGAGTTGAATGTCACCTGGAAACAGCCTCAAGATGACGTAGCTCGCGGTGTCATCATCTCCTACAGAGTGTATCAGTACAGACGAACCGACACCCTGGCCAACCCCTTCGCTCCGCCGATGGTCTGGGTGGTACGTACCCTTAACAACGAGCCCTTCAACACTTCGTTTCTCTGATTAAACAATGTCCTGACTCCCTTCACGCACCTTTGGTCTTGGTGGTATTTTCAGAAACCATGTCATATAGGGTGTGTATGTGAATTAATGACACTTAGAAAGAGGGTGGGCATGTGTAGTGGGTGTTTCACGGACCCGCCGCCCCTACTGGAAAGCAGCTGGGAAAAAGATAAATTGAACATAAAAAGTTTTTTTTTATTATGTCTCCTGCTAGACCCTCTTATACAATTTAAAATGTATATATAAATTCCATATCTACGTAATTATCAGTGATTCATGAAGCCAGCTGTAGTATTAACTCCATAGCAGAATGACTTTCATATAAAATGAATAAATGATTGACATAACTATTTATTTGTATTTTTATTTCGACCAACATTGTTTTAAAAGCTGGAAAATCCGTGAAACATTAAATCATAAAAGAGTGACCTTATGGCAAGAAAAAATGTCACATGTTTTTAGGGAGGGGGGCATGAAACAATGTGACATAAATGGGGGAAGCCAGTAAATACACAGTCCTAAGACCTGTGACAAATAGGCTGTTTTGATTGGTACATATATTGACACTCATGTCTGTAATTTACAAAGAATATGATGCTGAGTTCATTAATTCCTATGTACATATATACGATAAATGTAGGCTTTGCATCGGAAATGGTAAAATAACTATATGATTCCTCAAGACCTGATGTTGTGAGCCAATGTTCTGTGTGACCTCAGCACCGCATGCATCTTGCAGAAAATCCATGAATCCCCAAGCAATGAGTTCCACAAGGTCGTGCAAGGCTTCACACCCTTCTCAGAACACCAGTTTCAGATAGAAGCCTGCAACAGCATTGCCTGCGTCAACAGCACAGCGGGAACAGGGAAAACTCTCCTTGCAGGTATGTGATTAGTTCTGATTTATGATATTCAAGGGGGCACAGGTGGCCCAGTCATCTAAGGCACCGCAATTAGCTGTGCAGAGTTGCATCATTTGGACCTGCCAGAAATGTAAGATCATGGGTTCGAACCCGAGTTTGCCCTGATTATATATGTCACCATACCCTCATGGGTTTCACAAAGGATCACTTAGGGTTTTCCTATCACATTAAGCTGACACTCCATCACATAACTGGGATACTGTTCAAATTAGTGTCAAACCCAACATACTCAATATTCAAGCAATATTATAGCTAGAGACACCAAGAAGTTCACACTTTGTTCCCATGTTAGGAATTGTGCCTCGGTTTTCAGTGAATGATTGAACCACTCGGCTACCACACACCCCCTCTCACATGTAATCTGTGTGTACTTGGTTTCAGTAGAACCTAGGCAGTAAGTATATCGTATATTAGGCCAGACTTTTACTTGTTCCTCAGAGTGCCAAATGAGTATCCGAAGCCTGATAATAAGTAGGATATTGGCCTTTTCTTGTAACATATCAATTTGTCTCATGGAATGACCTGAATGTTGACATTTTTTAATATGTGGTGGATTGAAAATGTCAATTTCTTAGGGCATAAGATGAGATAAACATGCTAGTTGATTTGAAATCTAAATGTGTTCATTATTACATGTATTATATTATACATTTATCTACCGCACTTATCCAGACTTTGTCCCTGATCATTGGATCCGTATGCATTCCAGTTATCATTCTCAACTCCCTGGGGAGTATACAACCTATGCTGGCTGCAGGCGCAAGGTTTTCACATCCAGCTAACATGTCGGTACCCATTCCCTGCTGGGTGAACGGGGGCATATTTGAACTAAGTCACTTGCCGTGACAGAGCGACACCACACGTTTTGACACTTGTGTTTCCGTTGTATGTATGTATGTATTCATGTTTCCACTATTGGGTCATTTACTAATGGATGAGTGGGTTCTTTAGAGTGCATAGGGCTGTACAGTACTGGGAATATACTGTACACTAGGGGTAGTGACAACACCGTAAAGACCTATAAAAATAGTTTGCCATAGGCTGAATAACAATGATCTCGGCACCTGATGCTTGCTAGCCTGGTGCTTTAGACCACCTGCCCACTCCGCCCCATATATTATGTACAGGATAAAACACGCCTCCAAGGGGTTTTTTTAAATGTAAAACTGCGAGCCTGAGGGCTTTTCCTGAGTTCAAGATTTAACATTTTCAATCAAAACCTTGGAGGCGTGTTTTATCCGACTTATGAACAGTTAAAATGCAAGAAATACCAGAAAAAAGTAAGAAAACATTGCGATACCTTATAGTGAAACAATACAGTGTGTCGCGGTATAAAAGGAATTCGATCAAAGCGTGTGAGAGAAAAACATGAGCAGCATGGACCAGCTGGAGTCATGACAAGTAAAATTTCTAACTTCTAATCACCTGCCCTGGTGGCTCAGTGGGAAAACAGAGGGTTTACAAAACTTAACATGATATGTGAGGTTGTAGGTTTGATTCACGTCATGGAGTTTTCATATAAAAAAATTGTGACTTTTACCAATCATCAGAATATGAATAAAATGGGGTATCAACAAAAATAAATTTCGAGTGCTTGAACACAGATGACACGATGATGGTGTGCATCTTTATTAGAAGACTAAATGGAGGTGGATTTCTCTTGCAGCACCAGTTGATGTGAGGAAACCCTTTGTAGATGGCTTCAACTCCAGCGTCATGAAGATCACATGGGAACCCCCCACCTTTCAGAATGGGCCTCCGCCAGTGTACACAATCGAGAAGACCTCTATAGCGCTGTCGTCACCTGCACAGGTTGTCAGCGGAACCAGGTTTCCTGGAGGAGGCTACTACAAGTTCCTGCCAAATGTTATTCCACAGAATGTTGGTTTCACGGGTAAGATCATTATGATGCAATTTCACTGCAGCGATATCTACATTACAGTGTAGATATCACTTGATCTCACCCAAGCGATATCTCCTTTGGGAGCCAGATGATAAAAGGTGTTATTATTTGTACAGATTGACATTATTAACAATTTTCAGTTCTATTTTTACTTTCCTTCACAGGCATACGCTTCAAGTTTCGCATGAAAGCTAAAAATGGCCTAGTGTTTTTCACAGCAACACCATCTCAGGATGAATTCTTTGTCGTACAGTTTGAGAATGGTCGACCAAGGCTTGTATTTGACACACAAGGTAATTCCTTATTTCTGTTTCTTATAATATTTACACTATCGAGGATATCATGAAATAACTGCCAAATGAATGGATCATTTCATGTTAATAGCATGTTATTGTTTTCAGGATATTCTAAAAGAAATGTTCATGATAATATTCTGTCAGAAAATCAAGGAAAGCTTAGCTTTCTATTACTTTCTTTGGCCCTGGTATATATTACCATTTGTAATGCAGCATATATATGATGCTGAAATAGTCTTGGTTCTCAGGCACACTGTGTGTTCGCATAACATTCATGTTTGATGTATTTTTATTCCTGCTTTTAGAGTGTTACCAATCTATTTTAATGTTTCACAGATAGACCTACCATAAAGTTTCCAAAAGTTAATAAACATTAAGAATGGATTTGTTGATTGAAACTGCTATTTTTTATTGGTATTACTGTAAAACATATATATTATGAAATTAATGTCAAATAAATTAATTTCAAGTAATGCTATCACATTTGATTGGCTGGCCAAGCACTTTTCTTTTGTGTTTGTTTTCACAATCTGAAAAACAATCGGCCACACCCACTGACAGACTAGTGTTTCCTGATTGGCTGATAATAGAATGGGCGGGGCTTGTGCCAAATTATTGCACTGAAAAATTTAACAAGTTTCATATTGTTGTCTACATTTCTTTTTTTAATGAATAAGTCAATTCTGTGAATTTATTATTGTTGACAAATGTATATATAAGAATAGATTTCATCATGTTTTTGTATGTATGGAGTTCTGGACATAAAAACTGGTGTGCATTTTGCATAAATCTATGTAGATTTACAGAGCGTGAACACCGTTTTTTTATGTTTATACCTCCATATTTTATCTCAACCCTGACAACATATTCAAAGTCAATCTGTTAAAACAGGAAATTAATTAGCGTAGCCTTAGAGGCAATCCACCTGCGTGGAATTAATTGTGATTGTTTGGGGTTACTAAAATGGTTATTAAGCATATGCTAGGGAGATTATTTTAAACATGTCTTCACTTAACAGGTTGCCTTACAATCACTGAAATAAATTCAACAACTGATGGAAACGTCTCCTACGCAGATGAGGTCTGGCACAATGTTGTTGCTGTTAGATCTGCTAGTGCAGGTCGCATCAAATTAGACCAAGTTGAAGGTCAGATATCAGCTGTGTAACTGTGCTTCTGACCCTTGACCTCTACAGTATTTCCTAACCTCCTCTGTGCCTGACCACAGTTGTATCTCCTGGCCTCATTTAAGTCTCCTGACCTCAGCTATGTTACCTGACCTCAGCTTAAATAACTCTTGACTTTATCTGTATCTCTTGACCTCAGCTCTATCTCCAGCCTGCAACTATTTTAGTGACCTCATATATATTACCCGACCGCAGCTTGAATATCTCCTGACCTCATCTATGTCTCCTGATCACAGCTATATATCCTGACTGCTTTGGTATCTCCTTGACTTCTGGAGTATGGAGTTGGTACCCAGGGGTATGGAGAGAGAGAGGGGGGGGGCACCCAGGGGCATGGAGGGGGGGCACCCAGGGGTATGGAGGGGGAGCACCCAGGGGTATGGAGGTGGCACCCAGGGGTATGGAGTTGGTACCCAGGGGTATGGAGGTGACACCCAGGGGTATGGAGGGGGGCACCGAGGGGTATGGAGTTGGTACCCAGGGGTATGGAGGTGGCGCCCAGGGGTATGGAGGGGGGCACCCAGGGGTATGGAGTTGGTACCCAGGGATATGGAGTTGGTACCCAGGGGTATGGAGGTGGCGCCCAGGGGTATGGAGGGGGCACCCAGGGGTATGGAGGGGGCACCCAGGGGTATGGAGGGGGCACCCAGGGGTATGGAGGGGGGCACCCAGGGGTATGGAGGTGACACCCAGGGGTATGGAGGGGGGCACCCAGGGGTATGGAGTTGGTACCCAGGGGTATGGAAATGGTACCAGGGGTATGGAGGTGGCACCCAGGGGTATGGAGTTGGCACCCAGGGGTATGGAGGTGGCACCTTGAGTTAAAGAGATACTACCCAGGGTCTGCAAGGGGTAATCAGAGATATGGACCAAGAGATGATACCAAGGACCACACCAGATCACAGCAAAACACTGACCAACTCATACCCCATCTTGAAATGGATGTTGCCTTGGGAATTCCTTGTCCAGAATCTGTGCTCTTGTATGCTCTAACTCTAACCTCTCTCTTGCTTGTAATCTATCCCAGGTTGCAAAAGTGTGGGCAAAGTGACCACAACTAACGATGAAGGTCTTGACTATGATGACAATTTGTGGCACGACTTTGTTGCCAAGCGTTCAGCAACCAGTGGCACCGTCATTGTTGACGAGGGTTGGAAAGGTATCCTTCACTGTCTACAGTAATACCTTCAAGTTACCTGTGTCACACCACTAACCACCAAGTTACTTGTGTCTCGTTCCACCCCAATACTGCCCTCACTTTCTCACTGTTACCTGGCTCACTGTTACCTGGCTCACTGTTACCTGGCTCACTGTTACCTAGCTCACTGTTACCTGGCTCACTGTAACCTGTCTCACTGTGACCTGGCTCACTGTTACTTGGCTCACTGTTACCTGGCTCACTGTTACCTGGCTCACTGTTACCTGGCTCACTGTTACCTGGCCCACTGTTACCTCACTGTTACCTGGCTAACTGTAACCGGTCTCACTGTTACCTGGCTCACTGTTACCTGGCTCATTGTTACCTGTCTCACTGTTACCTGGCTCACTGTTACCTGTCTCACTGTTACCTGTCTCACTGTTACCTGGCTCACTGTTACCTGGCTCACTGTAACCTGTCTCACTGTTACCTGGCTCACTGTTACCTGGCTCACTGTTACCTGGCTCACTGTTACCTGTCTCACTGTAACCTGTCTCACTGTTACCTGGCTCACTGTTACCTGGCTCACTGTTACCTGGCTTACTGTTACCTGGCTCACTGTAACCTGTCTCACTGTTACTTGGCTCACTGTTACCTGGCTCACTGTTACCTGGCTCACTGTTACCTGGCTCACTGTTACCTGTCTCACTGTTACCTCACTGTTACCTGGCTAACTGTAACCGGTCTCACTGTTACCTGGCTCACTGTTACCTGGCTCATTGTTACCTGTCTCACTGTTACCTGGCTCACTGTTACCTGTCTCACTGTTACCTGGCTCACTGTTACCTGGCTCACTGTAACCTTGCTCATTGTTACCTGGCTCACTGTTACCTGGCTCACTGTTACCTGGCTCATTGTTACCTGGCTCACTGTAACCATATCTTAATGCTGAATGTGATCTGCCTCACTGTCTTTTTGCAGCTTGTCTCACTGCGGCTTGTCTCACTGTGGCATGTCTTACTGTAATCTATATCCTATATTATATCTGTACACAGTATGTGTATATATAAATGATATCTCTAGCCACCTTTTTATGTAAATTTGTAAATGTTTTACATTTTGTATACTACTGTATGACATTGAGGCATGTTTTATATTGTATATATTTAACTTAGGCATGGTATACATTGTATACTTGTATATATGTTGTAGCTAAGTATGGTGTACATTGTATAACATATTGCAGAAAAATAGAATACACCCACACAAATATGTTTCTATATCTCACTACTGTTTTCATACATAGAACTTTTCATTTCTAATCTTTATATGAAAATAACCATTCTGGTTGTCCGCTTTCTTGGAATGCCCCATGAAGATCTGCTTTATAAGTGGCCTGTCATGAGGCGACTTACAGAATCAGGTAGTCAGGCACGCTGACTTGGTTGATGCATGTCATCATATCCCAGTTGTGTAGATTGCTGTTCATGATGTCAGTCACAGGATTGTCTGGTCCAGACTCAATTATTGACAGACCACTGAATGAGATAAATGTTTCAAAACCGATATTGTTGTTTATTTTTATTTGAAAATAAATTCTATCCATTTTAGCTATTATAACGGTAACGCTATTTTTCAGGGCATTATCATTTGCAGAAGCCATCAGTCTTTTCAACTGCCCTCCTTTGTTGGGCAGTTAATGGAAGACCTCGGGCTTCTGCAAATAATAATGCCCTGAAAAATTATGTTACCCTTATATTAATTCTTTGTCTAGTCTGCTGCATTAGTTCTCATTGCCTTATTGTGACATCTAATACCATTTATCTATCCATGGCTTGTAGGTAACAGCCCTGTCAGGGACAAAAACTGTAGAAACACATCTATCATTGGGCAGACAACAGGGGTATATGTGGGCGGCCTCCCCACAGACTTCAAGATGCTCAAATTGAAGGACAAAAATGCTGGGGTAAGATTCCTTGTGTGTCAGATAGAATGTATTTTTATTTTTCCTTCTGCTTCTTGATCTATTTATTGAGGAAATTTGTAAACAAAAAATTGAATTTGTCCAGCCAAAGTGAAAACTTTCCAGGTCTGTCTGAAATACATTGACATGTTTTATTGTATCTGCACATTGTCCTCAGATGTCTTCCAGGGCTGCCTGAAGGACATTGACATGTTGTATTGTATCTGCAGATTGTCTGCAGATGTCTTCCAGGGCTGCCTGAAGATCATTGATATGTTATGTTGTATCTGCAGATTGTCCTCAGATGTCTTCCAGGGCTGCCTGAAGATCATTGACATGTTGTATTGTATCTGCAGATTGTCCTCAGATGTCTTCCAGGGCTGCCTGAAGGACATTGACATGTTGTATTGTATCTGCAGATTGTCTGCAGATGTCTTCCAGGGCTGCCTGGAAAACATTGACATGTTATATTGTATCTGCAGATTGTCTGCAGATGTCTCCCGGGGCTGCCTGAAGATCATTGATATGTTATATTGTATCTGCAGATTGTCTGCAGATGTCTTCCGGGGCTGCCTGAAGATCATTGATATGTTATATTGTATCTGCAGATTGTCCTCAGATGTCTTCCAGGGCTGCCTGAAGGACATTGACATGTTGTATTGTATCTGCAGATTGTCTGCAGATGTCTTCCAGGGCTGCCTGAAGATCATTGATATGTTATATTGTGTCTACAGATGTCTTCCGGGGCTGCCTGAAGATCATTGATATGTTATATTGTGTCTACAGATGTCTTCCAGGGCTGCCTGAAGATCATTGATATGTTATATTGTATCTGCAGATTGTCCTCAGATGTCTTCCAGGGCTGCCTGAAGGACATTGACATGTTGTATTGTATCTGCAGATTGTCTGCAGATGTCTTCCGGGGCTGCCTGAAGATCATTGATATGTTAATTGTATCTGCAGATTGTCTGCAGATGTCTTCCGGGGCTGCCTGAAGATCATTGATATGTTATATTGTGTCTACAGATGTCTTCCGGGGCTGCCTGAAGATCATTGACATGTTATATTGTATCTGCAGATTGTCTGCAGATGTCTTCCGGGGCTGCCTGAAGATCATTGATATGTTATATTGTGTCTACAGATGTCTTCCGGGGCTGCCTGAAGATCATTGATATGTTATATTGTGTCTACAGATGTCTTCCAGGGCTGCCTGAAGATCATTGATATGTTATATTGTATCTGCAGATTGTCCTCAGATGTCTTCCAGGGCTGCCTGAAGGACATTGACATGTTGTATTGTATCTGCAGATTGTCTGCAGATGTCTTCCGGGGCTGCCTGAAGATCATTGATATGTTAATTGTATCTGCAGATTGTCTGCAGATGTCTTCCGGGGCTGCCTGAAGATCATTGATATGTTATATTGTGTCTACAGATGTCTTCCGGGGCTGCCTGAAGATCATTGACATGTTATATTGTATCTGCAGATTGTCTGCAGATGTCTTCCGGGGCTGCCTGAAGATCATTGATATGTTATATTGTGTCTACAGATGTCTTCCGGGGCTGCCTGAAGATCATTGATATGTTATATTGTGTCTACAGATGTCTTCCAGGGCTGCCTGAAGATCATTGATATGTTATATTGTATCTGCAGATTGTCCTCAGATGTCTTCCAGGGCTGCCTGAAGGACATTGACATGTTGTATTGTATCTGCAGATTGTCTGCAGATGTCTTCCGGGGCTGCCTGAAGATCATTGATATGTTAATTGTATCTGCAGATTGTCTGCAGATGTCTTCCGGGGCTGCCTGAAGATCATTGATATGTTATATTGTGTCTACAGATGTCTTCCGGGGCTGCCTGAAGATCATTGACATGTTATATTGTATCTGCAGATTGTCTGCAGATGTCTTCCGGGGCTGTCTGAAGATCATTGATATGTTATATTGTGTCTACAGATGTCTTCCGGGGCTGCCTGAAGATCATTGATATGTTATATTGTATCTGCAGATTGTCTGCAGATGTCTTCCGGGGCTGCCTGAAGATCATTGACATGTTGTATTGTATCTGCAGATTGTCTGCAGATGTCTTCCAGGGCTGTCTGAAGGACATTGATATGTTATATTGTATCTGCAGATTGTCTACAGATGTCTTCCGGGGCTGTCTGAAGGACATTGACATGTTGTATTGTATCTGTAGATTGTCCGCAACAGCTTCCCGGGCTGCCTGAAGAACATTGATATGTTATATTGTATCTGCAGATTGTCCATAGATGTCTTCCAGGGCTGGCAGAAGAACATTAACATGTTGTATTGTATCTGCAGATTGTCCGCAGCGGCTTCCAGGGCTGTCTGAAGGACATTGAGATCCTACAACAGGAGTTCCCCGAGGAGGTGTGGCAGGAGCTGAAGTGGGAGGATGCAGTAGCCAATGATCTCGCCTTCCTCAACTGGGAAGGATGTCCCCTCAATCTGGACAAGGGTGCTCACTTCATGGGCAAAGGTAGGAATCCCAATTAATAACTTCACAGCAATGGGGAATGAAAGATTGAACTTCTTAGTAATGACACAGGAATCTGAAACAAACATCTCTCTCTACAGAAAGACACATAGATATATACAGGGCTATCAGTAGTGCAGATAGATATATACAGGGCTATCAGTAGTGCAGAGATCATTGAAAATGTAATGCTGTATCTACAGATTGTCTTCAGGGGTTCCAGATCAGAAGTAAGAATTATTTTGGGCTGAGCTGAGCTGAGCTGAAATGGGATTTATCGTCACATTCAAGATTATTGCACTTATTAGCAACGCGCATGCATGTGTGTGTCTGTCTGTCTGTCTGTCTGTCTGTATGTGTGTGTGTCTGTCTGAGTCTGTACTAGTCCGGACATTTTATAGTGCCAGCCCACTGAAATACCATGTCACAGTTTAACAGGAATATTCCACTCAGACACTGTATACTGACTCCAAGCCGAACAGTCGTTGTTTTGGCCCCTTAATGCCAAGCGCCAGGCAGGGTAACAACAAGTACCATCTGTTGATGTCTTTTTTTTCATGCATCCGGGGATCAAACCCCCAAACTTCCGCTCTCTGGGCACACATTTTATTCACTAGACCACTGAGGCAGTCTTCTGCAGAAATGATCTTAAGAGGACAGTCCATGAGTGATCCATTATCAATGGTTGATGACATCACCAAGTATTCTTCACAAAACACATATATAATGTCACAGAAGCAAACAAATCTTTCAAAACTATCGGAACTATCAGTTCTGACGTGCAATCAAGACACTGGTGATATTTCTCAGTGAGGGGGGCATGGGTGTCCCGGTCGTCAAAGGCGCTGCAATTCGCTGTGCAGAGTTGCATCCCTTAGGCACGCCAGAAACCTATGATTGTGGGTTCGAATCCTGGTTCACCCCGATTATGTTTCTAGGTTTGTCAGCACCATACCCGTGCTCATGGGTTTCACCGAAGTGGTAAACAAGTAAGACCTGCATCACTTCGGGCTTTCCTCCCACATTAAGCTGACACGCCATGTTATATATGACTGCAATGCTGTTAAAAGCAGCATTAAACAGAACTCACTCATACACTCACTCACTCACTCACTCAGTGAGAATTATGTCAGATTGTCCCGAAAAGGCACTTCAGTATTGTGCTACATCATGAATGTTCCATCTTTTCCAGGTTATGCAAGATTTGCACAGCAACCCCTCTATCCCATCACCGGTGACATCTTCACGGTGTCCCTGTCCTTTAGAACTGCCATGCACACCGGCCTGTTGTTCTTCGTGCATGGTGGTACCGGGATCTACGTGTACGCCGGACTCATACAGGGCGTACTTCGCTTCGAGTTCAGCGACGGCCAGCAGACCACAACCGTCCTCTTCAACACTGACACCGTCAACCTTTGTGATGGCAACTGGAGGAATGTGATTTTCAGGAAAAACGGTCTTCAAGCCAACGTGACATTTTCAGATGGTGCCAACATCGTCCATGGGGATCCTGATGTGTCACTTACTGTGCCAACGATGTCTCCCATATCAGTAGGTGGTATTAAAGCAGGATCAGAAGAAGAGACATTCATCAAAGAAAACAGCTTCTCCCTACCAATAGAACGTGAGTAATAATAATAATAATGATGATGATAATAATAGTGGCAATTCTCTTGTGCCATGTAGGGGCGGTCGGGTAGCCTAGTGGTTAAAGCGTTCGCTTATCACGCCGAAGACCCGGGTTCGATTCCCGACATGGGTACAATGTGTGAAGCCCATTTCTGGTGTCCTCCGCCGTGATATTGCTGGAATATTGCTAAAAGCGGCGTAAAACCATACTCACTCACTCACTCTTGTGCAATGTCCATCCAGGAGTGTATGGTCACAGTGCTACATAGCTAGAGATTAGGATCAGATGGGAAATAGAAATAGTGGTGTGTTTTGAGAACTCATTTGGAAGAGGCCAGGTGTGGGGACTGTTTGATGTCAGCAAGAAGAGAATTCCTAAATGAAGCTGCTGCATGGGCGAATGTTCTGTAACACACAGGACCAGTGTCCGAAATAATTGCCTGCCCACCTGCCCGTGGCTAGTAACTTTTTTGTCGGGGTGCATGAAATTTTCCTCCACCTGCCTGACTATCTGGAGGATAATTTTATGTATTCGGTTTTATTATGACTCCTTGTAGACTCTCAAGTAATTGTTTGCAATATTTAAAATGAATTAAGTCATGATTTGTCTCTTATTTTTCATGTTTTTTCAATATTTATTATGTCTGATTGCGGACAGGTAACATTGAGGATAGGCAGGCAACACTTATGGGTCAGCTGCCCGACTGTCTTGTTGGGTTTGAAAAATATTTTGAACTCTGCACAGGACTTGAGTTTTTATACAGAGGCATTGTCAGCAGGTGTTGATGTTCTGATCAAGGGTTCTTGATTGCATGTATGGGTTGGTGTCAGTTAAATCCATGTCTTGTTTATCAGAACCATATATGCAATTAAAATTAATTCTAATTAACAGGATTTTATTTTGACATTCAAGAACATTATGAAGATACATTAACTTAATGAGGTGATAACATGATTTTATTGCCTGTTTTAAAGAAGTGATAAATTTATATGATATTATTATACATATTTTTATTTGACAAGTTGATTTTTTAATGAAACAATAATGAGTCAATTTTAAGATTCAGGTATGTATTGGTTTTTTTACAATTGAAGGGAAAATAGTTTTTCTGTTTGAGAAACGTTTAGTGTATGCTTCTATAGAGTTAAATGCCATTATGCAATATTAGGCATTTGGTCAAAATTGACACAAGTTTGCTTGGGCATTACGAAAAAAACAGAACAAATGTTCATGAACAAATAGTTAGTACCCTGATAAAATGATGCAAGGTCTGTGCAATTAGGACAATTATGTAGTCAGTACCTTAGATTGACACATGTCACAAAAGTTGAGTTAGTAGACGAAGCAGTGTTTTGTCAATTGCCCGAAGCTTTATTTTAAGTTCCCAGTTTTGTGCATACCTTTGATCAAATTTCAGCATTTGGAGGCTGTATTGCTGACTTCATGGTCATGCGCGGGTACAGCTATACCTATGACTTTCTGACGACCTTGGACGTGATGAACCTCAACATGGACGGGTGCCCTCCATTCAGTGTGCCCCAGGTGCCCTGCGAGGAGAAGCTGGTCACCACCTTGTATGAGGGCACGAACAATGTCACGTACGACTCTGGATTACAGCCGTACACAGGTGATTTGTGTTTTTCGTTTTGCTGATGAGCCAGCTCCGTTGCCTTTTTTGGTATGCTGATACTGGACACCTTTTCGGTAGCCATTGCTTCTCTTTTAGAGTGTTTTTTTGGTTGAGGAAGGAACTTTAAATGAAGGCTGATATTTGTCTTGGTTTTTATGATGTTCCTGCATCCAGGCATGTAGATCATGTCAATTTATCAATTGTGTATCAGTTGTAGGTCAAACTCTAAAGAGACATGTAGTCAGTAGGGCTGCAACGAATACGCCATAGGGCGAATATGATTCGTATCACGAATATAGGGTAACGAATACGAATATTTATTCACAAATGTATTATTTGTTATATTCAGTGAAACAATAACAAATTAATTCTTTGACATGGTTTGTTAATTATTAATATATTATACATTCACATACTTCACTTATCCAGGTGCTAGTGACCAGTGACCACAATACTGTCAAATTAAATATTATAAGAGTATTGTCTTCGAAGAAATCTATGCATATGATATGTACTTATGGATATTTTTGGGTCCAGTAAATGCACATGATATTTTATTCTAGTAGCAACGAATAACGAATTTAATTCATGAATGGATAAGTGCGATTCACCGAATACACGAATGAATCGTAACAGCCCTAATAGTCTGTATGTATCAGCTCTAACCAGTGTCATCATTATTGAAGGGTCACCTAGGTATGTAGGGTGTCAAACATGAACGTATGCCGACAAGCGTCAATAGGCCAGAGTATGTTGACAATGTAATTAACAGTTGAAGAACATGTTGTTTAGGCCAGTGTCACACTGATTAGATGCTTTTATGAAACTGGAAAAATGGACAATGACTATTAAAGCAATGAAAAGTGCAAGATTTAACATCATGGTAAAAGCTACCCAAAATACTCTCCTGTTCAGCCCATGCACTTGCAATACATGACAAGGAACAGTCATAGTGGGTATAAAATGGTTCAATCCAGATGCAATTGAACTGCACTCTTGGAAATTGAAATTATCTCATGTTATCTGCATGACCCCTCAATAAAGACGCTGACTGTACCTTAAATATTTCTCAAGACTGCGTTTACAATAAAATGCTGTCATATCTCCAGATGACAGATAAAGGCTGTATCAGCGTATGTACGGATGAAAATATGAACAATATTTGGGGGATAATTTAGAAAATGTACCAGATACGTATCTCAGCATACATGTTCTAACATTCATTTACAGACCTATTTAAAAAATATATATTCTGATTTCAAACACTGTTAGCATGCATTTTTTCCAAAAACACAGCTGTGTAAAGTGGGTGGGCAAGTATACATGCTCTTATGAGTACTGATATATTTGTCCCCAACACAAAGAATTACAGCGAGCATGTTACACCGGAAATACCATGTCAACAAATCCTTCCTGAAGTACGCAAATTAATCATGTAATTACACTGTCTGGTTGCAAAAAGTGTTCACTGTATATCTGGACTTATGGTTGTAAACTTTTTAAATATTTTTATTCAAAATTTCATTCAATATTGTTTACATTTATCAATGTGAGAAAACGTATGTACAGCTTATTGCTTTTTCCTGCTCACTTGACAAGAACATACACATGGCTATCGTAATCTCTGCATATATGCCTTGTAGAACTGGAAAAACAATACCCTAGAGCGGGATGCACATTATACAATGGACAAATGAAATACAAGATTAATCCATTAAATTCCATTGTGTACTCTATAGTTTTTCCAGAACTACTATATTGAAATAATGATGAGTATGTATACTCCTGATGTTGAAAAATTATCTGGAGCCCTGTGACTACAGTTGAATCCGTCTAAATCGGACTTGCACGGCTGTGTCTCACACAGAATATAAAAACACAAGATTGAAGACACATTTACATGTGCAATAGTTAATTTCATGAAACAGTGTAAATAAACCGTAGATTTATGAATGTAATTTTTTTTTGTGATTTGGGACCATCAATTTCATCCTAACATTCTTACACTCACTTTCAGTGAATTTCCGTTGAAACAATACATGAATATAGTAAAATAGGGACCATAAATGTGGTCCAGTATTTACAGAAATCCAGATAAGTCAGTGTCCGGTTTAGACAGATGTCACTGTATCATGTCATGATAACGTGTTTCTCATTTATTATAGAGAGGTGGGTCAGAGGAATACAGGGGTGTACCATAAAGAATGACCGTGCATAGGGCAGGGTTATTAAAAAAAAAAAACATATTTGGGGAGGGTCATGAAAAAATGGACATTTTGTAATAAAATATAGAATGCTTTTGCATTTTGTGTTTTCAGGAGGGGTTGTAAAAGAAATGTAAAAGGACTTTGTGAGGGTTAAGAAAGAGGGGAGGGTCATTATTTTCAGTACATTAGTGCTTCAAAAACCTTTGTCATCCCCATAATAAATGACTGGCCCCTAACTACACGAAACAGCCACTGCTAGTTGACACTATGTATTTTCAGATTACATCTATCGAGTGACGGCCACTAATGCAGCTGGAGGATCCAGTGGACCTTGGGGTTATGGCCGCACACGAGAAGGATGTAAGCAACAAGTTGCCTTGGTTTTTATTAGTTTACAAAATGGTGCCCAAGCTCAATTTAGGTGGTTGGAAAAAACAAAACTATTGTTGGTAGTCGATGGTTTAACGGCATACCTTTATCAGATTCATTGTCATCATGCAAACAGTATTGTAGCAAACGTCAAGGAGGCCACCAACACATGTGTCGCACAGGGTCTCATTTGTTGGCTCTTAATAGATTTGGAGCCTAAAGGGTAGTGGTGTCGTCAGAAAATTTGAACAATTGGCATCTTGTTCGAATGAAAGAAATTCGTAATTTGAGAGCAAACATTTTGTCCTCATTCATGCAATAGCCGTTTTCATTAAAATCAGGTCTTAATGCCTGCTACAGCTACACAAATATCTGAGGACATCCAATCAGAGGTCATGTCAAATATGACCTTTCAGGAACATTTCCTAGTTTCAAACTGGTGACTTTGCTTTGAAAAATACTTAACAAAGTTCTCAATTCAAAATTTTGAAACTGAACAACGAAAATTCTGGAACGTCTAATAGATGACCGAGATGGAGTGGCTATACTTCGCACAGGCTATGGAAAGTCTCAACCGTTTCAAATGTTTATCCCATTAAAGCGAGAGATAGACAATGATTCTGATTGGATCAGTGGTACAGCACGGAACTGCCGTTTAGAATGCCTCATGTTAACCTTTTCAAGGTTGCATGATTAGAAAACATGTTCACACTTTCACTTTCTGGTTAGTGAAATTCTAACTGGTCAGATGAAAGGTCGTTCTGACTTGACCTGTAATGGGATGTACTGTAGGGTAGCAGATATCTGTAGCGGTAGCAAGTACCAAGACCTGATATTAATAAGATTGTGCAATTGTATACTGGTTGTTAATGCTCAACAGCTCTTGTAATTACAGTGTCTGGTTATAAAAAAGTGTTCATTGTATATCTGTAACCTATTTCATTAATTTTATTCAAAATTCCTTGTAATGTTGTTTAGATTAAATTTGTCGAAATCGTGTGTGAAGCGATTGGAAGACTCACAGTTATTTACAGCAATCACGTTCGGATTACCGCTACTGACGCCTTGAAACGCACTTTTGTTAACAGAGAATGGATACATATATTATAAATTCCATACTTTGACTTGTTAAGAGTCATATTTGTTGTAATTTGACTGTTCTATGTCAACATATATCTAGAATCACTTAATTGCCATTACTTACAAGATGCTAATCCCACTTGTTTATCCCCATTGTGTTGTACATTGACTGTCAGCCATCCTGAATGAGGTGTGCAACTATGTCACTTCTCATTGTTTCTATTGTTCATATTTATGACTTTATCCATGTCAGATGACCTTGGATATACACTCGCCAACGAAAGAAACGTGAATACCGTACATATTGGTTAATATGAGAAGAATTACTCATATTCAAGAGATATTAGATTGGTTAGATGCACAAACAAACATACTGGTATGTTGTGTGAACAAACGCTCATGATCGAATCACATGTGACATCATAGATTCATGATTAGAGATGCACCATTTGACTCATGCAGGATTAGCATGTAAAGTTTGGAAATCATGTGATAGGAATAAAGACACTCTGTGGTAACACTTGACTGATTGTTAGTTTTGTCATTAGGTGATGACCCGTGAAGATTCCGGGGTAGAATAGGTCTTCAGCAACCCATGCTTGCCGTAAAAGGTGACTATGCTTGTCGTAAAAGGCGACTAACGGGATCGGGTGGTCAGGCTTGCTGACTTGGTTGATGCATGTCATCAATCCCAATTGCGTGGATCAATGCTCATGATATCAATCACTGGATTGTCTGGTCCAGACTCGATTATTTACAGACCGCTGTCATAAAGCTGGAATATTGCTGAGTGCGGCGTTAAACAACAAACCAACCAACCAACATTAGGTGATACAGATTGGTAACATCTCTTCTTAACTTACGTACTTTTCTCTATATGTTTCTATGGTTTGCGTTTCTTTTGGCAGTGGGTATATAAAAAATAGGAATATACAATGTATCACTCTTGCCTTTCTAGGGTAAGGATAGGTGCTCTGTGGCAACAACTAACACCACGTGTCTGTGTGCCTGCGTGCTGACTATCACTTGAATACATAGGGATATACAAATAATCGTATGCAGTGTACCACATACGCAGCATGCTGTTGTTAATATCATGAGTGAGTGAGTTGGGTTTAACACCGCTTTTAACAGTATTCCAGGGATCACAGTGTGTCAGCTTCATGTGGGAGGAAAGCCCAAAGTGATGCAGGTCTCAGACATTTACACTTCTGTGAAACCCACGAGCACGGTTATGGTGCTGACAAAACTAGAAACATGATCTGGGTGTTAATATCATGAAATGATGAAGCCATTAAACTAATGTTTATATAACTACTGGGTATATATGTTTATCAACAATCTGAAAAGTATTTATATATGCTGCTGTGTGTTATTTCAGCGCCAGTGGGTGTGGTCGCTCCCTACAGGGTTCGAGCCCTGTCGGGGTACATCATTGAGGCGTTCTGGCTGAAGCCGACCAGTACATCGGGTCTGCTGACCAAGTATGTGCTGACTGCTTACAACCAGGATAATCAGAATGTAACCCCTGTCTTCATGGAGTTCACAGATGCGGAGACGAGAGGAGGTCAGTGCCCAACACTGAGATTTCATACTGAGAAGATCATCGCTTGAAAGTCATTGGTGAATGATGATAGACTAGTTAACATGTATGTGTGGTTATGAAATGAAAAGCTATTTGATTTGCGTAGGCAAGGGTATGGTGCAATCCACAAGCATCCACAAGTGTCTGGAGGTGTCTTCTGTTGACTAAAACAGCTAAGTGTCTGGAAGTGTCTTCTGTTGACAAGTACAGACAAGTGTCTTGAAGTGTCTTCTGTTGACTACTACAAATGAGTGTCTTGCGGTGTCTTCTGTTGACACACACAGACAAGTGTCTTGCGGTGTCTTCTGTTGACTAATACAAATGAGTGTCTTGCGGTGTCTTCTGTTGACTAATACAAATGAGTGTCTTGCAGTGTCTTCTGTTGACACACATAGACAAGTGTCTTGCAGTGTCTTCTGTTGACACACACAGACAAGTGTCTGGAGAGGTGATCTTCTGTTGATGTTTGCATCCACTGTTCCAGCCAACATGTCTGGCGTGATCCCCTACACCAACTACCTTATGAAGATCGCAGCCTGTACATCAGGGGGATGCACGGAGAGTCAGAACGGTACACAGATCCGCACAGATGAAGAGGGTAAGCTGAAACATTAACATGGGGCATACAAGCAATTGTGACTATAAAATATTTCTACAGAATTTCCATATAATTTACTATCTCCCCTGAAACCCTTGGGTTGCTGTTGTTGCAGTTATGTCCAAAAACAATGTTTGTCTTTCTTCCCAGTATTGATGTTTTGATGTGTTATCAAATGTATTATAAACCTCCTACGTGTTTGTGTAACCCATGTGAGGGTTGTTTTTTTACCCCCCCCCCCCCCCCCACAGGCATTGGTTCAAATGTATAGTCTTGCAGTCTGGTTTACAATGATTGAAACGCTCCTATGTGAGCTTACAATGGATGATTGATTGTTAACACTCCTAAAAGGGTTACAATCATTGTAAACCCTCCTATGAGGAGTTACTTATACTTCTATACTTGTAATTTTGTACTTGATTTGTACTAAATTTGTACTTGATGTTTCAAATATACAATATTCTAAAATCAAAGACAGGAAAAGAAAGTTTCCATTGTGGATGGCAGGAATTGAACCTGCAATCTCACATATCGTGTTTAGTTTTGTAGCCCAGTGTTTTCCCACTGAGCCACCAGGGCAGGTGATGAAAAGTTGTTCAATTTTACATGTCATGACTCCAGTTGGTCCATGCTGCATGCGGTTTTTCTATTGCACGCTTTGATCAAATTCAAACTCCAAACACACTGTGTTGTTTCACCATGAGGTATCTTGATGTTTTCTTGTTATCTATGTGAAGAGTCGTCCTATAAGTTGGACAAACCATGTCGCCTTGGGATTACTTGAGATTGTAAACCCCGACCGGAGGGAACTTACCAAGGGGGAAAGTGGTTTCTCCTTTACCTCTTCTGTCACATATTAGTCAATATTCTTATCAACCCTTGTACTATAACCTTTGTAATCTAATGTAAATATCTAAAATCTATAGTACTAAAAGGTGATGTACAGAGCCTTGTGTGTTCCGTTTCACTTTCAGCTCCGGAGAATGTTCAGCCTCCTGTTGCTGAAGCTGGTCCAACATACCTGCTGGTGAAGTGGGGTGAACCCTCTAAGCCCAACGGCCTCATCACAGGCTACTTCTTGTACATGGACAACCGGATCATCTACACTGGAGGCAGGAAGGAGTTCAACGTGACCAACCTCCGTGTCTTCACTGGCTACTCCCTGTACATCAAGGCCTGTACGTCTGCAGGCTGCATGGAGAGTCCCTCAGTGGTGCTCAACACTGCCCAGCTCCCACCCTCTGCAGTCAGCAGACCTCGACTACTTGCTCTAGGTGGGTCAGTCGACAAGGAGATGTTAGTTTGTTTCTTTGTTTTTTAGCACCACGCTTCGCAATATTCAAGCTGTTTGAATGTGGTCTGTAAATAATCAAGTCTGGAGGACAATCCAGGAATTGAACATCAATCTACAACACTGGGATATGATGACATGCATCAACCATGTCAGCGAGCCTGACCACCCAATCCCTTTATTTGCCTCGTACAACAAGCATGGGTTGCTGAAGACTAGTTCTAACCCAGAAGGTGGAAGTGACATGAATTTCCACCATTGAGTTATGTCCTGTGAAACAGAACGGTGAATGGTTCATTCTGAGGAACCATTTCCATTACATTGAATATTAAGTGAAGCAGTTTTCAGTTACATTTTCGCTTCAAATCAAGACTAATGAATAGTTCACCATCAGTTGTTTAATTTTTGTATTTATCATCTTTTTCGTTATAACCATCAGTGTGTCTCGTCATCAATGTGATCATAAGCATTCCTAAACATAACCATAACTTCAATGTCATTCAACTTGCAACCTCAAATAGTCAACCAGTCTGGATCATTGAATCATGGGTAGGGTGGAATGTGCCTTTGTATTTGTGTATCCATTCCCAGTGAACATTGCCAAGGTTGATGTTTGTTTGTTGTTTAATGCTGTACTCAGCAATATAACTTCTATATGACGGCAGTCTGTAAATAATCAAGTCTGGACCAGACAATCTAGTGGTTGAAATCATGAGCATTAATCCATGCAATTGGGATAAATGACATGTATCAACCAAGTCAGCAAGCCTGACCACCCGATCCCTTTAGTCGCCTCTTACGACAAGCATAGCCACCTTTTACGGCAAGCATGGGTTGCTGAAGACATATTCTACCCCGGATCTTCACAGGTCACTAAGGCTGATGAACCTGAGGGACCTGTCATATAATACAACAGGGATGGGTCAGAGGTTTTTGATGCACTAATGTACTGAAAATAATTACCCTCCCCTAGTCCTGATCATATATGTGGTAGACCCTCACCATGTCCTTGTACATTTTTTTCACGACCCTCCCTGAGAAGATAAACCCCAAACACACTTTATATTTTTTATAGAATATCCATTTTTTCATGACCCTCCCCAAATACATGTATTATTTTTTATGACCCTCCCTAATGACAGTCATATGTTTTGGTGACCCTCCCCTGATTCCCTCTGACCCACCTGTGTAATAAGCCACCGATCACTCACTTCAATGCATGATGGACAGTGGTATTCCATTGGCTGCTCCAGGAACAAACAGAGTGGATGTAAAATGGAGTAAGCCAGAGCAGCTGAACGGGATGCTGGATAGATATATTCTGTACCTGTCTCTGGATGCGAGTTCTCCCGGGCTGGTTGTGTACAACAACTCTGACGCCTTCACCTCCTACATCCTCACCAACCTCACTGCGGGGACCACCTACTACATCAGACTTGCGGTGAGGAACGCCCAGGGCAGCATTCAGATAATTACTTCTGTTTGTAAGATGTTTAATCGGAATTCTACCATGTATTTGGGACATAAATGTAACTAAATTCTAGCAAATCACAGGACGCCCACTGGACACACATTAGCATGAGTAGAGAAGTAGGATAAGCAAGTCAATGGCTAGCAAGAAAGAATCAAATGGCATTTAAAGCAAGATTTTCTTTGTTTAAATTGGTTTACAGATTCCAACAACACTGAAAAGTGGTTAAAAAATAGAATGCGAAATATATCTATTTTGTTTCTTTACCACCTACCAACCAGACGTTTTCCTGAAATAAATCTGTAAACCAAAACTGTAAAAAAATCTGGCAATGTCACCATTCTCTACATTAGTCCATCCAAATCCCCCATTCTATCCAACCTGTATATAACTTGGTCACATTGTATAACATTGTGTCCCTGTAGGCTTGTACAGGAGGTGGGTGTCGCCGGAGTGACCCCAGCAGTGTTACCACAGAGGAGAGTGCCCCTGATGGCGTGCCTGCCCCAGTAGTGACCTCGCCCAGTCCCTCCGAACTCTTCGTCACATGGACAGTCCCCCAGCAGCCAAATGGTGAGTCGGAATGTTGATCATTCTCTGCTGATGTCAGGTGCTGCAGTCATGATATAGGCCACTTACAATAGGTAGCGGTTACCTGGAAACTATTCTCAACCTGAATGCCTGATCTTCACAGGGGAACATGCACAAGTTGCTCAAGACCAATTCTAACCCAGATCTCCATATATTCTGACCTTTGCATTTTGACAATACTGAAAACTGAGACCTGTTATGGCCTCTACATGGCCGGCTTTTTTTTCAAAATGAAATGAAATTTGGTACATGTGTAGTTAGTAGTGGAACTGAACGTATAAATTCTGGTTGTTTACAATATTTTTAATTTTGAACTTTATTAGACTTTGCTCCCAAATTCTCTTGAAATGCATATTTGGCTCCTTAAATATCTTTTCGTCTGAAGTTGCAAGACTGATGGAGCTGAACTTTGTAAAAAAATTCAAATCATTAGATTTTAGGGTGTATGTCGAAATATTCGAACAGCAATGCTGACAGCAACTTTTGTTAATTGTCTTTGTTGACAATTAAAACTGATGACTACATATCCAAGTGAGCTATAGTGCCATGGCACGAGTTTTTCAATTGTCAAAAATTTTCAGTGTTAGGCAACTGCTGAAGCATCATCTGAGAAAGGACCAGGCCTAGTTAACTGGTATTTTGGTAAACTATGGTACACCACAAGAATTCAATTCTAATCATGATCTGCCCTCCTGAAGATTCTTGTAACGACCACTGTCTGTTTCTAGGTGCGATAGTGCGGTATGACCTCTACCAGAATGGCATCAAAGTTTCCAACACCCTGGTTCGAGAGTTCCGTGTTGCTAGTCTCCAGCCATACAGCCTCCACATATTCCAAGTGGCGGCCTGCACCAGCATCGGCTGTGGATTCAGCGAGGAGGTGCAGGCGCGGACACAGGAGTCTCCACCAGCTGGCACCGTCCTCCTGGATGTTGTCGTCGCTGATTCTCGCTCAGTCAATGCCAGCTGGACTGCCCCTGCTAGTCCCAATGGGAAGTTATATTATGATGTGTACTTTGAAGGACTGTTCTACAAGGATCCAGGTAAAACTTTGAGAGAAGATCTAGAGATTTGACAGTGCTGAATTTTTATATTGGTTTGTAAGTTGTTTAATGCCGCACTCAGCAATATTCCAGCTATATGACGCCGGTCTGTAAATAATCAAGCCTGAACCAGACAATCCAGTAATTGGCATCATAAGCATCAATCCAGTCAACTGTGATACGATGACATGCATCAACAAGTCAACAAGCCTGACCACCCGATCCTGTTCGCTGCCTGTTACGACAAACATTGTCGCCTTTTACAGCAAGCATGGGTTGCTGAAGACCTATTCTTCTTCACAGGAGGGGTGCTGAATTGAATTTGGAATCAAGCATGCAGCATGCGGTTTCAAATGTTAAATTTACTACTGTCAAATTTGATTTTACATTTGATGTGTATTTGAGAATGCTGTTGCATTCAATTACTCAAAAGTTTTCAGTTATGATCTCTCATTCAAACCTTGTACTTTCAATCTTATATTACCCCCAAATCATGATAGGAATAAAAAGTTGAGATGCACTGAAAATATAGGCTTATTTTCATATTCATCTCATAACTCAAATTCTATATTTCAATATTGGTCTGGAAATGCCCAGGTTTTTATGATTCAGACTTACTGCATTCAAAGCCTCCTCACCTGGCTAGTCTGTATTCATTCAATGAGCATTTACCTGTCACAGGGTTAAACTGTGGACCAGCAAAAACCTGTTTTGCAGGGTATTTTCAATAAAGTTTTCACTGACCTAGGTGTTAAATGGTTCATATTTTATTGCAGACAACTGGGACTACAGTATAGTGCGAGAGCGTCGGAGCCTGTATCGAGACACGACAGTGTATCAGCTGATAACCATCACGGGGCTCATCCCCATGTCTGGCTACACCGTCCAGGTCAACGCCTCCAACACCCGCAGCTTCATCCTCAGCGCCACCGCACAGGCAGACCTACCCCCAGGATGTAAGTAGCTCACCAATCTCAAAATCAAGGAATGGCTCACAACCAATTATTATGTAGAATCCATATAGTTTTTAGTGAAATTTGTTTTTGTTACGATCATCTCCAATTATCTATCACCTAAAATGACTTTCATACCAAAAAAACAGGTCAAATTAGAAGTCACCTAGAGGGGGTGAGAGAAACTGCATAAATGGAGAGAACTGAGAAATAAGCTGTAATTAGAACCTGCATAAAAAGGTCAATACACCAAAGGAAATACGCAAAGATATGACAAGCACATTTTGGGATGACTACCCTTCTCATTGATCGGTTGAGAAATGGGCTATTGAAGTTAAGAGAGGAAGAAGTTTAACAGGAGATGACCATGATGAAGACAGGTCAGAAGATGGTCGTCCTGAAGATGCCACATCTGAAACATCTGAGAGTGGAGGCTGTCCACATCATGGTAATGTCTGGCCGACATGTCAGCATATCGCTGACACGACTTGGGTCAGTTCTGCCTGACATGTCAGCATATCGCTGACACGACTTGGGTCAGTTCTGCTTGACATGTCAGCATATCGCTGACACAACTTGGGTCAGTTCTGCTTGACATGTCAGCATATCGCTGACACGACTTGAGTCAGTTCTGCCTGACATGTCAGCATATCGCTGACACGACTTGGGTCAGTTCTGCTTGACATGTCAGCATATCGCTGACACGACTTGGGTTAGTTCTGCCTGACATGTCAGCATATCGCTGACACGACTTGGATCAGTTCTGTCTGACATGTCAGCATATTGCTGACACGACTTGGGTCAGTTCTGTCTGACATGTCAGCATATCGCTGACACGACTTGGGTCAGTTCTGCTTTATATGTCAGCATATCGCTGACACGACTTGGGTCAGTACTGTCCCAGGAAACAAGTGTTCAACATAACAATACCCAAGTGTTCAACATAACAATACCCAAGTGTTCAACATAACAATACCCAAGTGTTCAACATAACAATACCCAAGTGTTCAACATTACAACACCCAAGTGTGCAACATTACAACACCCAAGAGTTCAACATTACAACACCCAAGTCTTCAACATTACAATACCCAAGTGTTCAACATAACAATACCCAAGTGTCCAACATTACAATTCAGTGTTAATGTTCAATGCTACAATTCCCAAATGTCCATGACGTGTGTCCACCAGTGTTCTGCCATGTGGTCAGCACATTGCACCTCTGTGTTTGTCCACAGCCCCGGACGGTGTCCGACCACCTGTGTTGGTGTCCGAGACCTCCACATCCATCAGGGTCACCTGGCAGGCCGTGGGACGGGTCAATGCGGAGGAAGATGCCGCCTATATCCTGCAGTTCCGAGAAAAGAGACCAAGTGCTATCATTCAGGAGTAAGTCAATATCTAAAGAATACCACTCAAGTATATTTTAATATCAAATATTTCAACTCAAATTGATAAATGTTTAAAACCCTGAGGCTTGTAGAGAAGTTTTAAACTTTTATTAAAATCATTTTTCCAACTTTTTAAGTTTGTCAATTGTAATAACCAGTGTGTTGAGTGTAGAAAGTACAGCTAACCGGTTTCAGGAGCAGAGAGAGTGAGTGAGTGAGTTTGGTTTTTACGCCGCTTTTAGGAATATTCCAGCAATATCACGGCGGGGGACACCAGAAATGGGCTTCACACTATGTACCCTTGTCAGGAATCGAACCCTGGTCTTAAGAGTGAGGAGCGAACGCTTTAACCACTAGGCTACCCGACCGCCCCTTTCAGTGGCAGACAGAGTTGTGATGTCATTTGATTGTGACATCATGGTAACTGATGATGTCACAATGATCTGCAAAGCATTGTGATGCAATTACATTGTAGTGATATCTCCTAGATATATATCGCATGATCTGTCCTGTGGAAGCCAGTTTTAGATGATGAATTAAGTTCTGAAGTAAAAAAGTTAGGGAGTGTGGTGTTAGTATCTGGTCACAACATTGACATTATTCAAGTAGTCCAGTAAGCAGCACCAGAGTTACAGCTGAATATTTTTGTGGGGGAAAACTTCAAAACAGGACATTTATGGGCTTGATACAGACAGTGGCAATTTTGAAAAGGCAATACCAACAGGGCTGTGGCTATTATTAGATTCATGGGAATTGATTACGTATACCACAGTGCTAAGTCAGCCATTAACCTATCTACATGGGATTGTACAGCTTGTGAAATATCTAATATAAGATCGCTACGTGATATTGCAAAGAACAATGCATGGTCTGTTTCACAATAAAACATTGTTCTGTCATGACGAGATTCTGTCATGACATCGTTGTTCTGTCTTGACGAGATTCGAACATGCACTCGCAAGTTGAGAACGTTGTAAATTGGACGACATTATTTTTTAGAGGGGAATGTCTAGTGAATTGGTCCCCATAGATGTAGCTGGGCGATGCAGATGATCGCAATGGCTGAATGATCACACCCAAAGGTGGGAGAGATATGACAATCGTTATTGGGAGAAGGGGTGCAGAAGATAATCAGCATTACAATTATGAGAATACTAAACTTAAACCCACTGTACATAAAATGGACTTGTCCGACACTGAAGAGGTAGGCTCGTATTCAGGGAGTCATCATTATTTAAATATGGGTAAATGTTTTTAAAGCTTGTAAATGTTATTGACATCTGTACAAAAGCTGTACAAAATGTTGATATCTTATAGAAGAAGAAACACGACTTGTGGTCATTGTTTATCATCCAAAACTGGCTCCCACAGGAGATATCTACATTGGAGATATCGCTGCAATGAAACTGCATCACAATGCTTTGCAGACCATTGTGACGTCATTGGTTACCATGATGTCACAATCAAATGACATCACTTATGGCTCTGCTACTGAAGCTGTCAGCAGTACTTTTTACACTTAAGACACTGCTTACAAACTGAAAAGGTTGGAAAAATGATGTTAGATGATAAATAAAATCTCACCCGAGTGTCTTTTGATATCAAATATGCCATCACTCGTTGATATATTTGATATCAAAAGACACTTGGGTGAGATTCTGTATTTATCGTAAAATAAAACACTGCAGGGAGAATGGGAGAATAAACCACTTGGGACTGCATCCCTCATGGTTTATTCCCCTTGCAGTGTTTTATTGTATGATAAACAATGACCATGAGTCGTATATTACTTAATTAAACTCTCTGTGGAGAACTTGATATCACAATCTTGGGAAAGTGTGCAGACCTTTCTCGGGCATGTGACATAAGAGGTGAAATTGAGTTTAACGTCGCATTCAAGGTTATTGTCCGGACAAAGGCTGGTTTTATAGTACTCATCAACTGCGATACCATGCCGCAGTTTAACAAAGATACCCCACTCAGACACAGTATGGTGACTCCACACTCACTCACTGACTCATTCGTGTTCATGGCTGTTGTTCAGGTATCTGTACGCAAAATGAAATCATCAGATTTTGGAGTGAAATTTAACATAATGTTAGAGAGTGATGAGAAGCAAGACCTAATGCAGTCCTGATCCTAATAAAGTTCCTGGTACTGGTGACAATAAGTCACAGACCTATACACTCTCCGACATCCACTTCATAACTTATGGCTCATTAAGGCTCATTATGTAGATGTTAATATTGGCTGTTGTGGGTTTGAAAGTGTACTAACATGAAGCTAATTGAAGTAGACAGCTATCAGGCCAATACATTTACCTTCAAAAACGGAAAATAACACTGACGCCTTCTCCAATACCTCAGATTTGAGGGTTTACCTATGTTCTCTGTTCAGTGTGTTTGGACCAACCGTCACCTTGTCGTACCTCAAGCAGAACCTGCTGCCCTTCAATGAGTACGAGTTCCGCCTCCAGGCCTTCAACAGTCTCGGGTCCACATACTCCACTTGGGTCCCGCAAGTTACCAAACAGGATCGTAAGTTACCAAGACACCAACATTAGATTAACATTTTTGAAAATTATAATTAAAATTGGAGAAAAAATATATCTGAAAATCACAAGTCTTTAGTTGAACTCCAGGACCCACTTGCACATAGCAATCTTAGGGCTACGACTATTGTAAGCCTGTAAAGCATGGGAGTTGCGATCATCTTAGCCCTAAGATTGCTTTGTGCAAGTTGGCACTCATCACACATGACAATATATTTAACTTTTTGACACAAACATTTGAAATGCCTTTTGTTAAAAAAATTACCGATCTAAATTAATGAATCATAAACCAAATAATGAAAAAAAGGAGCCCAAATCCATAAAAGGCAGCCATTTGTCTGTTTTACACAAATTGTTATGCTGACCCTAAAGTTTTACAGAAACTCTGTAACAGATAGTGAGTAAGTATGGTTTTTCGCCGCTTTTAGCAATATTCCAGCAATATCACGGCGTGGGACACCAGAAATGGGCTTCACACATTGTACTCATGTCAGGAATTGAACCCGGATCTTCGGGGTGACGAGCTACCCGACTGCCCCTGTAATAGATAGAGGACGAGTGCCAGTACCGTATCGGAACATAAACATTCTGTCTCTTTTTCTTGTGACTGTATGTTTGTTTATATCCTCAGGTAATGTACTGGCACAAGTTCTCTATCTATCTTAGAGCTAAGACAAATACTCGAGTTCCACGAACTATACACTGCAGATTGTGCAAACTTCACCATTCACATTTGAAGCAGATTGCATGATTTCATGTAAACTGTTAGTTATTTGTTGTTTAAGGCCTGTCATGCTGCAATGTACAAGTTTCACAAAAAATGACAGTTTCACTCCTCTGTAAACTGTTATCTTTACCATACTTTGTCAGCATTTAAAAGTACTCACTGTGACCAAAATAGTGACCACCCATTTGATGAAAGTGTTTGCTTATCCTACTGTTTTACAAGTACTATCTTGCACATGTTGTGCTAATCATTTTTCTGTTCATCCTGGTGTGCAGGTCCAGTCGGCCTTGACCCACCCACAATTGCTGAGGTCCAAGCTCGGTACATCAGTCTCACCTGGATACGCCCCCTCAACCCCAATGGCATCATACGAGAATACAGACTCTACGAGAATGGACAAGTCAGGCTTACTGTAAGTATGGAGGAGCTTGTATCTATGAGAGGGACCTATCTCTCTGTGAGTCACATCTTACTAACCTGCAGGATTTGTCTTTCAAAACTTCCATCATTGCATTTACTGTGCCAAAAAAAATATTTGGGCAGAGTTGTGTCCCTTGGGCACACCAGAAACCTATAATTGTGAGTTTTTTTAATCCCGTGTTAGCCCTGATTATGTTTCTAGGTTTGTCAGCACCATATCTATGCTGGTGAGTTCACCAAAATGGTAAATGTCTAAGACCTGCATCATATTTGAATGTAGGTTTGGCAAATTTTGGCTCATATTAATGGCAGACCTCTAACCTATGTCAAAATAAATACTTTGTGGTAGAAATGTAAAATACTTTTGTCACAAAACATGTTTAAGATACGTCCTACATATGACTTCATGACTGAATTGTGTCTGTCGTTTTTTAAGGATTAGGGTGTATATATTCATATAAAATCAGACTTCTACATAATTCATCACATTTATTGACATGTCATAGTTCTGACATAGATAGGAAATGTATATGAGAATGTGCCATGAATCTGATACGTACAGACAGTCAAACCAAGATACAGGTACAAAGCTGTATATTAAGTCAAAGGAGGGACCATATACAAGGTTCGAGCTAGCGCACTGTATTTCTATCTCGAATTCTATATAAGTGGGCAAATTTATACATATTTATATAGTGAGGCAGTCTGGATTGGACAATGGGGTCGTGATATCGGTACATTCAAGTGAGTGAGTATGGTATTACGCCCCTTTTAGCAATATTCCTGCAATATGGGCAAAATGGGCTTCACACATTGTACCCATGTCGGAAATCGAAACCCGGGTCTTCGGCTTTACGAGCGAACGCTTTAACCACTAGGCTACCTGACTGCCCCGGTACATTCGATATAACCGGGTTCGAGATAAGTGGGTTTGACTGTTTATGTAAATCTGATTGTAAATACAAAATTTACAAGATGATTTTTCTGAGCAAACTCTTTTCGATTAACAGTTTTTTCTTTCTTCATTTTAGTTGCCTGGCAACCAGACCTCATTCCAGGCTAACAATCTCATCCCGTACACCTACTACATGTACAGTATTGAAGCATGCACCGTTGGCGGGTGTACCAAGAGTGCTGACTCAAATCAAGTCAGGACGCTTCAAGCAGGTAAATAACGCTTAGAGCTACTCAGTGGGTAATCCATCAGGAACACAGAGCCTGGACAAGTCACATTCAGCACTGACCATTCAAACCAACAATAAAATCTCTGAGCTATAACTGGTTCTCCCATTTTCACATAGATATTGATTAACTCACCTGGTTAGTGTTACAGAGTGTGCTTCCCAGCTTTAGAAATTATACTACTCAAATGAAGTTAAGGAAACCCTATTCTTTCCCATTACTCTCTTGTATCAACTGTAGTAATATGTCTCAAACTTTTGGCCTATATATAATTATGTATCTATTTCAATCATGTAATGAATTCCCCTATGGGAATGAACACAAAAGAAGAAATAGTAATGCGAAAGAATTGGCCATTCTTTAACATCTTTTGAGTAGTATACATCTTGGTGTTTGTAGAAAAATAAAACATAACTGACGGATATAACAAACTGTTTTATCGTCCTGTCATTGGCTGTATATTTCATTACCAGATTCAACGTAATAAGCGCCCAGGGCGGTCTTAAAATTAGAAATAGGGGGCTCTTATTAGAATTTTATTTTGGTGAAAAAAACAGAGTTGAAAGATAAATTTCGAGGTTTATGCTTACAGCCTGAAATGTTTATGTACGACAGATAGATTTTTCCAGAATTAAATGCCCATAATTAAGGGTGCATATAACACACGAGTGCGTATTATACGCGAATAAATAAGTCTTGTGTACATTGATCAATCGGAAGGGGTGCTAATTGGGATTGTTCACTAGCCAATATCTTAGCAAATGTCGCGGTGGGCGCTTATTAGAGTGGGGCGCTTATTACGTTGAATACGGTATATAAAAGCAATGGATGTAACGAACACGCTTATAACGGAAAAACAAGCTCACTAGACAATTGAAGGCAATGGATTATTTGGATTAAGTACCGACACCTTGTCCTCATTTTACTCCCTCAACTAACAATAGTAAAAACTTGATTAGGCTGTAGCATTTGAAGTGGATATATGCTGACTATAAAATGCGACGACAAGAGTGAGGAAATCCAGTCGAAATGCTTATAATGAACTATGGTTATAACGAACTAAAATTAGTGGTCCCTTTGAGTTCCTTATAACCATAGTTTACTGTATATGATGGCGGTCTGTAAATAATCGAGTCTGGACAAGGCAGTCCAGTGATTGACATCATGAGATTTGACCACCCAATTGGAATACGATGACTTGCATCAAGCAAGTTAGCAAGCCTGGCCACCCGATCCTGTTAGTCACCTCCTACGACAAGCATAGTCGCCGTTTACGGCAAGCATGGGTTGCTGAAGCCCTATTCTACCCCAGATCTGAAAGGTATAGGTTTTATGTATGTATGTAGACATCACTGCAGGTTCAGAGCCTTCCTTTCCTTTCAGTCCCTGATGGCATCTTGGCTCCCAACCTCACAGCGCTGTCACCGACGACGGTGCAGATAACATGGACTGCACCCTCCAACCCAAACGGTGTGCTGCAGCAGTACATGGTGGAGAGGCGACTGAATGGCACGGACAATGCCGCCCTGGTGGCCACCGTCGCTGCTGCTGCTGACCGCGCCCATGTGGATGCATCCCCAGTGTTGTCCCCGCACACCGTCTACCAGTACCGCGTCCGCGTCATCAACACCGCTGGGGAAGGAACCGGTCCATGGGCCACCATCACCACAAAACCATCACGTAATGCAAATGAAAATGTTTGATAAGGCCATTTGTCATGAATTTTTAGATCTTTTCACATTTGTGAGGTGGAAGTCTGATTTTGTAGCAATAAATTATTTAAACAGAAGTTATCTGTTCAAGGTATCTCTGTACTTTAACTGGAAGCTGAGATTGAAAATTGGGTGCACACTGATCTATTGATTGGGCTAGTAATGTAGCGTTTTGAGCATGCTTGAGGGATTAGAGTTGGTGTATTATAAATATGCACAATATTATTAATTTAAAAAAAGAAAGATATCCCATTTCAGGTCACATCAGAATGACCTTTCGCAAACTTTGATGGACAATGAAATGACTAATAAGAAGTTGGTATAAGCCAATCAGAAAGCAGCTTTCTCGAGCTATGTGACAGCAATTTCAAACTGGTGGCTTCCAATCCAGACTATGCTTTGAAGTTCTTCTGGACAAAGTTCTCAAATCAAAATCTGTAAACTAAATAGAAGAATCTTCTGGAAAGTCTAATATATAGCCGATATTGTATGCATTACTTCCCACGGGCTGAGCAAAGTCGCTTCCTTTCAAATGATTATCCCACTGAAGTGTGAGATAGACATTACCATGACCCATAATGGGATGTCCTTAGATTTTTGTTTAGTGGTAGCAAGAACTAAGATTGATTTGAATGAGATTGGTCTAACTCTTGTATTGACCACGCCAACCATGTCTCCCCCAGGTCCGGCTGGAGTGAACCCGCCAACAGTGACAGTCCTCAACTCCACGGCCATCAACGTCACCTGGCAGACACCACTGCAGCTCAATGGCAAACTGGAGTTCTACATCATCCGTCTGCCGGAACCACGCATGGAAGTCCGCAATGTCACTCAAAGGAGCGCCATCATGACGGGCCTAACACCTTACACGGAGTATGTTGTAACCCTCACAGCGTGTACATGTAAGTAAACACAGACAGGACTGGTGGATGCTACTGTCTCATGTACTAGTATAATCTAGGACAAGCATGCTGGTGAGCTCTGTGGTAGAATACTGCCCTCTAGTTAGGTAAGGGAGGCAACTCAGATGATTTATAGCAACTCTAAAATACTCTTATCAAATTATGTTTTGAAACTACAATGAAACTGGAATATTTGCATAACACAAGATTGGCATGTGTCTGCAGCGGGCGGTTGTACAGAGAGTATCGGCGTGACGAAGATGACGAGTCCCGACATTCCTGATGGTCAGCAGCCTCCAACACCAACAGCTGTCTCCCAGTCCATGATCTCCATCCTGTGGCAGCGACCCACTCGGCCCAATGGACCAACTCTCAGATATGAACTGGCCAGACAGAAGATTAGACAGCCATTAGACAGTGAGTCATTCTTCGTCAGTAGTGAGCTGTAGACAGACGATTAGACAGCTGTTAGACAGTGAGTCATTCTTCATCAGTAGTGAGCTGTAGACAGACGATTAGACAGTGAGTCATTCTTTGTCAGTAGTGAGCTGTAGACAGCCGTTAGACAGAGCCATTCTTTGTCAGTAGTGAGCTGTAGACAGTAGATTAGACAGCTGTTAGACAGTGAGTCATTCTTCATCAGTAGTGAGCTGTAGACAGTAGATTAGACAGCTGTTAGACAGAGAGTCATTACATTGATAGGGACTTATAGATTATTGAAGATTTGACAGTTATTAATGTTAAATGATGGAAGTTATACAGTTGGTTGGTTGTTTTGTTGTTTAAATATATGACTGCAGAGCTACAGATAAGCAGCATATTAGCTTAAAATACTCCCCAAAAATATTCAAAACCCAGTTACTTTCAATCAACTTGCATGCAGAGAAACACATGCATTAAATGAAAACTCTAATGTATAAAAACAGCTCAAATAATTACCCATAATGAAGCTTTTTCAACATGTATACAAAGGAGCTCATTTCCGATACGCAAATACAAGCTAATTTACTTTCTGAGTCAAGCCTATATATTTAGAACAGTTATATATGTCTAAAGCATCATTGCATTTTTTTAACATCTTAAAATGTTCACTAATTTGGGGGAAAACCCAATAGAGTGATAAATAGATGAGTGCAAAAATTTGGTTACCCAATGAAAAATGTAATAATCCAATTAAAATAGAAGCCCTGCAGTAAAAATTCAATCACTGAAAAGTTATCTGGAGCTCTGAGACCCGGAGCAGAGCCATGTATTTTATTTATCCTCAATTGGACACATGATGGATAGAATGTTTGTTGGTTGTTTCACGATATTAAATTCATGATTGCTCGCAATTAGATATGTATAGGATAAAACACGTCCGAGGGTTGTTATGATATTTAAAACCCGCATCCCGAGGGATTTTCCGAGGGAAAAGGTTTTAAATGTCACAACAACCTGAGGGGAAGTGTTTTATCTTACTTATAAACCGATTTTGAACCTAAATTAAAACAACATTTATCAACATTTTTATGTTTCGAACATACTTTCCATGAACCTTAGGAAACGGGTGTAAAATATCTGTTGCTGGCGTACAGATCTTGAAAAAGACATTCTAAAAAGCAGTGCGGTTTATCAACACCTCTGTAGCCTTGTGGTACACTCACTGAGCTACAGATATGAAGGTTGCGAGTTCGATCCTCGGGAATATAAAGAAAACATTTGTCATTTGATTTTACATTTCATTACATGTTACAATCTGAATGGAAGTTATATTAATAAAATACCCAGGACATTATATAAAATCCCTGGTATATTATAACACATTATATAGCAAATATGACTTGAATATCCTATAAAATCCCAGGGACATTAAAACGTCCCTGTTTATGAGATTTAACCCGACTGGAGAACAATAGGATGACATCACCGGAGGTTTATAAGGCCTTGATTAAATCTATGATTGTTCTGAATGTCTTCCTTGTTTTAACGAGTAACAGGCCAAGATGTTGAACCTGTGGAAAGGAACAGCCAATCAGGAGCCTACCAGTACTAATTCGTGTCTTAAAACATCAGGGGCCTAGCGGGACGGTGCCAAGGGGAATGATGCCTCTAAAATTATTGATAGCAACATGTACTTCGATATAATGTTAATTTCTAGTCCTAAGAAACACAGCAGAAATACTGCATCAGTATGAGTTGTAGCAGGATCACTCGGGATACATTGGTTTTTATGAGTCCCACGTCATGCATCCTAGCGAGGGATGCAAAAAACCCTATGTACCCTAAGTGATCCTGCTGCAACAAGTTTATCTTACCGACATGTTTTAATATGATATTGTAAAAAAAATTAAACAAATTCAAATAGAAAATAGCTGTTTGATTGAGCTGAGGTTAACTTGTGTTATGTCGCATGACTTTCATTGACTGGAAAAAGCGTGCAGCTTTTTGTTTCAAAACGAGGTATAATGATTTATTCTGCCTCTCAGAAATCCACGTGCAGCCTGTCTTGTTCATGGTGGGGTATAAGGGATTTATTCTCCTGTTGAGAAATTTATTTCCCTCAAAGGTGGGATTCATCATAGTTTGTCAAGTTCACGTTGACCAATCAGATCTCATCATTCTGACATGGAGGTATGATAATGTTCTTTATCTGTTCCAGGTACTATCAATGACGTCGGTGTCTGGCAGAGCCTGTACACTGGTACAGGGTTGTTCTACGAGGACAGAGGACTGCCCATGTTCACAACATATGTCTATCGGGTCACAGTGTTCAATGATATTGGACAGAAGACAAGCAACGGATCTACAGAGGTCACTACATTTGGGGGCTTCCCTCGGAGAGCAGCCAACGTGACCCTGCGAGTCGTGGATCACCTCTCTATCCTAGTACAGTGGACTGTTCCAAGTAAGACCAGTTACTGCTTGTACCTGTTGTAACAGTTGCAACACAATATGCTAACTTTTTAATGAGTGAGTAAATAAATAAATAAATAAATAAATCAGTTATTTCTTTATGTAATTTAAGTTATTGGATTTATCTGATTCAACTTAACTTAATTTAGTAGATATTCATTTGAATTTTATATTTTATTTTGTTTTACTTTTATTTTTTTAAAGTTTGCTGCCAGTCACTGAAAGTAGATTGGTTTGAGCAAGTGGGTCAGCGCTAATTTCTTTCTGTTATACCTGCAAATGTTGCTGCAGGATTTTACATGACACGTATTTGATGCAATAGAGAATAGGTCTTCCGCAACCTATATGTTTGCCATAAGAGGTGACTAACAGGATTGGGTGGTCAGCCTCGCTGACTTGATTGATGCATGTCATCGTATCCCAACTGAGTAGATCATGATGTCAATTGCTTGACTGTCTGGTCCAGACTCAATTATTTACAGACCGCTGTCATATAGCTGTAATATTGCTGAGTGCTTTGATTATTCTAAACAACAAACTAATATTTTCAATATCAAAATTAAACACTTTGTTATCATGAACATCAAAGTATGAACCCAATCATACCTGTGATGAAATTAAATGTGTGAACCTATAACACTTGTGGATAGGACTGTTTTGATCCCCGGCGCGAGTATGTGCCTTCCGTTCAGAAAGGTGTCATATTGCCTTGCTGTAAGCTCTACCACCCTTTTTGAACACATCCAGCGCCAGAGCATGACTACATACCAGCCAATCTGCTGGCTAGAGCTTACAACACCCACAGTGTATGCATATCCAGGCCTGTCAAAGGCCCTGTCGAGGCCTTGGGTCTCGATTCAAAAATCATGACTTACAAATTTAGAAAATGACCCTCACCACATGCCCCGCCCAAATGGGTGATGAGTCATCATGACTCTCATTTTTACAAGGCTATGTAAAACCCTGCTGCTGTTCAGAAGAGTTCTAGGAATGTCCATTCATGCCAATTGGCACCAGAAGTGTGATGATGCATGACCATGTTTCCAGGTCCTGAGGAGCTGCAAGGCGAGGTGCAGGTCTTCCGGGTTAACGTCACGAGTACTGACAGAACATTCAGCCGCACGGTGCCAGGGGCAGACAACTCCACCCTGCTGCAGAATCTGAGCCCCAACACTGACTATACGGTGACGCTCACTCTGACCATATATGGTGGAGCTTCATTGACAAGTGAGGCCAAGACAGCTCGCACAGAGGATGGAGGTACGAACATGGACAGAATCTGTCACATAGAATATGTGATCCATGAATATCCAGGTTAGAGTAGGTCTTCAGCAACCCATGCTTGCCATAAAAGGCGACTAATGGGATCAGGTGGTCAGGCTCGCTGATTGGTTGAAGCATGTCATCATATCCCAACTGCATGGATCAATGCTCATGATGTCAATCACTGGATTGTCTAGTCCAGTCTCGATTATTTAAAGACCGCCATCATATAGCTGGAATATTGCTGAGTGCACAATTAACAACAAACAAACAAACAACATAGAATATACATGTGTCAGTTGGAATCCCAAACACGGAATGTATATGAGACGGTGGATTTCTGTCAGTTAGAATCCCTGACTCATTGATTCATGTCAAACAGAATTTCTGTCAGACTTGATGTCTCTCTTATCCGTCTCCAGCACCGTCAGGACTGTCCCCTCCTACACTGACTATCATCAGCAGTCAGACTTTGAGGATCTCATGGATGGACCCACAGAAGCCTAATGGTGACATCACAGGATACAATGTCTTCATTGACGGACGCAAGATCCCCACCAACCAGACGACTGCTGGATCTATTGTGGTGCCTGGACTACAACCCTACACGGTGTACCGGATCTGGGTGAGTAGACACACTGCTCCATTATACCGGATCTGGGTGAGTAGACTCTCCACTCCATTGTACCGGATCTGGGTGAGTAGACCACCACTCCATTGTACCAGATCTGGGTGAGTAGACTCTCCATTCCATTGTACCGGATCTGGGTGAGTAGACTCTCCACTCCATTGTACCGGATCTGGGTGAGTAGACCACCACTCAACTGTACCAGATCTGGGTGAGTAGACTCTCCACTCCATTATACCGGATCTGGGTGAGTAGATCTACCACTCCATTGCACCAGATCTTGGTGAGTAGACTACCACTCTATTGTATCAGATCTGGGTGAGTAGACACACTACTCCATTGCACCATATCTGACCAGAGCCTTTGACAAGATCAATGAGGATCTAAGTGCATTTGAGCAGTTAATTGGAAAATACCCTATACTTATTCTTAATTTAATTTAATAATGACAGGGGTAATTTCTCACTCATAATGTTATCATTTCCAGATTGAAGCATGTACACAGTTCAACTGCACCCAGAGTCCAATAGCCTTGGGTACCACAGCTGAGGCCTTACCCCAGGGTGTGTCCGTCCCCTCCCTACAGGCCCTTGGGGCCACATCTGTGCAGGTGACCTGGACAGCCCCAGCCCAGCCTAATGGCATCACGGTCAGATACGATGTCTGGAGGAAGACAATGAGGAAATGTTCTGATGTGTAAGTCAATATGTTAATGGTTATACAACGCCACACTGATGGCAGTCTGTAAATAATCATTTTAGTGCTTGCTATCCAATGTATTGTATCTCAGACTGTAGTGATTGTACAACGATGTAATGATTGTTATACAATGTAATATTTGTTATATGCAGTATAGTGTGCCCTTTATACAAAGTGGGGCGGTCGGGTAGCCTAGTGGTTAAAGCGTTCGCTCGTCACGCTGAAGACCCGGGTTCGATTCCCGACATGGGTACAATGTGTGAAGCCCATTTGTGGTGTCCCCCGCCGTGATGTTGCTGGAATATTGCTAAAAGCGGCGTAAAACCATACTCACTCACTGACTTTATACAAAGTTGTGTTTGTTGTACAGTGTAGTTCTTGATATGGGTTATAGTGTTAGTTATGCCATGTACATACAAGTGAGTGTTTTTAGCAATGATGCTGTGCAGGGTAGAAATATAACAGCTCATGACAGTATCACCATTCTACCAGCTGATCTGATTTGGCATCTTCTTTTGGTATATTTCAGTCCACAACCCAACCCTGATCCAGAACTGACCAAGTGTACCTATGTCCAGTGTGGTGTACTCCAGAACATCTGTGGGGGGTCGTGCTACTCGGGGGCCAAGGTAAGAACTGACCAAGTGTACCTATGTCCAGTGTGGTGTACTCCAGAACATCTGTGGGGGGTCGTGCTACTCGGGGGCCAAGGTAAGAACTGACCAAGTGTACCTATGTCCAGTGTGGTGTACTCCAGAACATCTGTGGGGGGTCGTGCTACTCGGGGGCCAAGGTAAGAACTGACCAAGTGTACCTATGTCCAGTGTGGTGTACTGTGGGGGGTCGTGCTACTCGGGGGCCAAGGTAAGAACTGACCAAGTGTACCTATGTCCAGTGTGGTGTACTGTGGGGGGTCGTGCTACTCGGGGGCCAAGGTAAGAACTGACCAAGTGTACCTATGTCCAGTGTGGTGTACTGTGGGGGGTCGTGCTACTCGGGGGCCAAGGTAAGAACTGACCAAGTGTACCTATGTCCAGTGTGGTGTACTGTGGGGGGTCGTGCTACTCGGGGGCCAAGGAAAGAACTGACCAAGTGTACCTATGTCCAGTGTGGTGTACTGTGGGGCGTCGTGCTACTCGGGGGCCAAGGTAAGAACTGACCAAGTGTACCTATGTCCAGTGTGGTGTACTGTGGGGGGTCGTGCTACTCGGGGGCCAAGGTAAGAACTGACCAAGTGTACCTATGTCCAGTGTGGTGTACTGTGGGGGGTCGTGCTACTCAGGGGCCAAGGTAAGAACTCACCAAGTGTACCTATGTCCAGTGTGGTGTACTGTGGGGGGTCGTGCTACTCAGGGGCCAAGGTAAGAACTGACCAAGTGTACCTATGTCCAGTGTGGTGTACTGTGGGGGGTCGTGCTACTCAGGGGCCAAGGTAAGAACTCACCAAGTGTACCTATGTCCAGTGTGGTGTACTGTGGGGGGTCGTGCTACTCAGGGGCCAAGGTAAGAACTGACCAAGTGTACCTATGTCCAGTGTGGTGTACTGTGGGGGGTCGTGCTACTCGGGGGCCAAGGTAAGAACTGACCAAGTGTACCTATGTCCAGTGTGGTGTACTGTGGGGGGTCGTGCTACTCAGGGGCCAAGGTAAGAACTCACCAAGTGTACCTATGTCCAGTGTGGTGTACTGTGGGGGGTCGTGCTACTCAGGGGCCAAGGTAAGAACTGACCAAGTGTACCTATGTCCAGTGTGGTGTACTGTGGGGGGTCGTGCTACTCAGGGGCCAAGGTAAGAACTCACCAAGTGTACCTATGTCCAGTGTGGTGTACTGTGGGGGGTCGTGCTACTCAGGGGCCAAGGTAAGAACTGACCAAGTGTACCTATGTCCAGTGTGGTGTACTGTGGGGGGTCGTGCTACTCGGGGGCCAAGGTAAGAACTGACCAAGTGTACCTATGTCCAGTGTGGTGTACTGTGGGGGGTCGTGCTACTCGGGGGCCAAGGTAAGAACTGACCAAGTGTACCTATGTCCAGTGTGGTGTACTGTGGGGGGGTCATGCTACTCAGGGGCCAAGGTAAGAACTGACCAAGTGTACCTATGTCCAGTGTGGTGTACTCCAGAACATCTGTGGGGGGTCGTGCTACTCGGGGGCCAAGGTAAGAACTGACCAAGTGTACCTATGTCCAGTGTGGTGTACTGTGGGGGGTCGTGCTACTCGGGGGCCAAGGTAAGAACTGACCAAGTGTACCTATGTCCAGTGTGGTGTACTGTGGGGGGGTCATGCTACTCAGGGGCCAAGGTAAGAACTGACCAAGTGTACCTATGTCCAGTGTGGTGTACTCCAGAACATCTGTGGGGGGTCATGCTACTCGGGGGCCAAGGTAAGAACTGACCAAGTGTACCTATGTCCAGTGTGGTGTACTCCAGAACATCTGTGGGGGGTCGTGCTACTCGGGGGCCAAGGTAAGAACTGACCAAGTGTACCTATGTCCAGTGTGGTGTACTGTGGGGGGTCGTGCTACTCAGGGGCCAAGGTAAGAACTAACCAAGTGTACCTATGTCCAGTGTGGTGTACTGTGGGGGGGTCGTGCTACTCAGGGGCCAAGGTAAGAACTCACCAAGTGTACCTATGTCCAGTGTGGTGTACTGTGGGGGGTCGTGCTACTCAGGGGCTAAGGTAAGAACTGACCAAGTGTACCTATGTCCAGTGTGGTGTACTGTGGGGGGTCGTGCTACTCAGGGGCCAAGGTAAGAACTCACCAAGTGTACCTATGTCCAGTGTGGTGTACTGTGGGGGGTCGTGCTACTCAGGGGCCAAGGTAAGAACTCACTAAGTGTACCTATGTCCAGTGTGGTGTACTGTGGGGGGTCGTGCTACTCAGGGGCCAAGGTAAGAACTCACCAAGTGTACCTATGTCCAGTGTGGTGTACTGTGGGGCGTCGTGCTACTCGGGGGCCAAGGTAAGAACTGATAGTTTGATAAAAAGACTGTGTAAATTAAGCCTTAAAGATCATGTCAAATATGTCATCTATATTTTAAGCATAATGAACATTTTGATTGGCCAATGCAAAGCCAATACACTCAAGACATGCTTTACAGCGATTAGATATTACATTCTATAGTATGTTACAGTCAATGTGTAAAATGTGAATCATGTAGGCGATTCACTAACTATTATAGTTATAGTTAAAGCCCGAGGACGCTTGCGCCCAAGTGCTTTGACTTTATGACAATTAAAAAAACTATACTTTATTACACTACACATGGGGGTAGAGCAAACGTCATTTCTTTTCTAAGATGCCAAATTTACGATTAACCTTATGTTTTATTTGAGCGGGTTCGAAATAAAATCCGTAATGACCTGTGACGTAAATTGAAAATCCTCAAACAGGGCTAACTGATGGGCTCTTCTACCTAATTGCCTGCACCCTTATGTTAAGGGACATATTTATGTTTTGAACACAGTACTACATCACTGAAATCGGGAGTTTGTTATTTAGATACATCATATTTCATTATCTGTTCAGTGTGCGGTTATAGATGATCCCATGCAACAATAAGTAGGATTATTAAAATTTAAGTATTTATATTAATTTGCATCAAATTAATCATGTGACTCAAAACATTTCACTAGTGCAATGTTGGGCCCTAGCTATAAAATGTAAACAAAGCCAACCAAAGTTCGATGTCGCTGGTTATTGTGAGTTGAAGAGTTTTCTTGTCGTACAAGTTGCAACTTTGTTTCCACCACTGATGTTAGAAAACTGTAGCAACTGCAAGCCATGAAATAGTGTGCTTACTGAGTTGGTTGAGGTAGGCTACATGATGCCGTAACTGGCGTGAATCCAAGGCCTGGGACGTGATATGGCGCACCGTGGGATGAACATGGCGGAGAAAGATCAATATAGCGTCTGTTTCCTGAATGCCGTACGCTGAGCAACAGGTGTACATGCAGTTCTGAAACTTTTTAAGGATTGCTCATGCCTTTGGGGTAGACTGCAGTTGACCCACTCCTTTGTCCAGAAACAGACATAATTTGGAGGCCTCACACAACTTTGTGATGGCTGTAGCATGGACACAGTGGTTTGAATATGTATGTGATAAGCCTGCAGGATAATGGAAGGTGGACATCATCTTGCCGTTTTTTTTGCAACATAATAATATTCAAATAGTGGACAAGTTTAAAGAAATTATTTCAACGAAAATTGATGTGGATGTGCCACATTGCTTGATGGTAATAAAAGAACAATGTTACCAAGGAAACGTTAGATCATTGCAGAGGAAATTAGAACAGTGCCAGACGTCAGTCTATTATGATGTAACTCAATAAGTGTACTTTATCACAGGATAAAGTACAGTTGGGGCCTTTGATCTGTTAGCAGGGCAACTTAGAATTGTTTGTAGACCTGTAGGTTTATGACATGTGTTTGTCTGTGTAGACCTGTTGCGATGGGGTGCTGCATGACATCAAGTCTGGCTATGCCTGCTGTGGCAAGGATTACCTGAGCCAGCCCAGTCTGGATGCTGTGTGCTGTGGGGGAAAGTTCTATGGACCAGTCACAGGCTACAGGTGCTGTGGGACCAGGTGAGCTGCAGTAGCTGTTACATCACTGGGTACAGCATAGGTAGAGATTATTATCTGAGATTGTGTGTCATACTGATTTTACAAAACGAGTGTCAGAATTGTTATATTTTTCCCAAGCGAGAGCGAGGGTAATACATGAATTCTTTCTTGAGTTTCGTAAAATCAGTATTAATTTCTTTATTACCTATTTTTCTTAATCCTTTTGGTCTCCTCTTTAGAAAAATGCAGTAATCACCACAACTGTCCTAGAAAACCACAATTTGTCGAAAGATGTCAACAATCTTCAGCAATGACTTCGTTTCTAGTGTGACGTCATTCCGACCTTACGTCACAATAAGATTTGAGCAATGCTGTCCGATGACAGAAACGATACACTGATGCGCAAGAAGTGATATTTGCTCTACTGCACATATTCCTATAGCTATGGGTAATAAATAAACATATGTGTGGATTTGTGGATTATCTGTCAGGAGAATCGTCATGAGCATTGCCAGTGGATATGGAAAAAGTATTTCCAAGGGACAGAACATCTGTCGGACAATGGGCCACATGCACAAAGTGAACTTAGTGCTACAATCGTAACTCCCAAACTTTAACATAGACTCACAATAGTCATTGTGCTAAGATCTCTTTGTGCAAGTGGACCCTGGGTTCTAAGTAGGATATTCCATATGATATCCATGTCATTTTAAGACAGATGATGCAGAAAAACTTTGCTGCTTTGAAGACATTTGGCAGAAGTCAACCTATTGATTATATTAAGTAACATTACCAAGTTTTGATGTTAAAAAAGAAGAATGACTTTGCTTGCAATATTCTGGCTCATGTAGCAATGTGACTACCTGTGACATGCTTCTGCTGTGTGATTACTTAACAAATTTTACTGATAAATTTTTCATAGAATATAATGCACATGTGTTAATATGAAATAGTTAATACCCTTGATCTTTCAACACTTTTATGGGAGCACAGTCGTCTATAGTGGAGAGTTGTGTCCCTTGGTTCAAATCATCTGAGACCTACATAACTGAAATCTTGTTCAAAACGGTAATAAACCCAACTCAGTCACTCACTCACTCTTTCACTCACTCACTCTCACTCACTCACTCACTCTCACTCACTCACTCACTCACTCACAGGTCTGTTTGATGCACTTGACAAGGATGGTGTGATGTTTCAGATACGTGGCAGTGCGTGCTGGAGAGGTATGCTGCCCAGACAGCAGAGAAGACCGTGTGTCCATCGGCATGGGTGACCAGTGCTGTGGGGCTGTCCCCTTCTCATCCACGGGGGCCCAGATTTGTTGTGCTGGTAGCTATTCATTACACCGACACCATCGATATTTGTCCTTGTTTTTGTTTCTAATGACTTGGTCCGATAACCTACCTTGTTCCAGATTCACATGACCAATGTTCCAAAATGCATAAAGCGTAAATATGATTTTAATAGTATTATGGTCTAGATGTCAGAACTAAATGCCTTTAAGAAAACAATTGTCTTGGACATACAGTAGAACACAGATATAACGAACACAGATAGAGCAAAGAAACAGATACAAGAAACTGTTAAAAAATCCCTGATTTATCTCCTATATATTATCATATAAAAATTACATACATAACAAACTCTCTACAGCGAACTAACGGATATAGCAAACTGATATCTGATCACACCGAAAAGCCCATCTACCACTAATTAGTGACGTGTATAGCGAACTGAGAAATCTCACTCAGTGTAAAGTGTCACGGACAATTGGCTGCATGCAATCAGAGGCGAATCAACAACGTATATAACGAACTGATTTCCCCGGTCCCTTGTAGTTGTTATATCCATGTTCTACTGTATCAAAATTCAGGTACAAATTTGTCCTCAGTGGATGCAGGATATTATGTTGCAAACCCCTGTTATCTTTTTTTTATTATAAAAGGGTGGGGGTATATATTTATACAAAGTAATTCTGTCCATCCGCCCTTCCAAGATATTTTGTGTGACCAATAACTTGAAAACTACTGCATAGATTTCTGTACTTTCTGTACCAATAGGAGACGTGCAGTCGAAGTTTGATTTCAATTTTTGGATTTTCTGAATAAAAATTACTGGACTTCTAGAACTATTTTATTTCAACATTTGTGCGACCTATATCTTGAAAACTACTGCATGGATTATGGTTTCCATACTAATAGAATAAGTGCAGTGCAAAGTTTGATTTTGATATGTGGATTTTCTGTGGATTTTTTTTTTTTCATTTTTTGAAATTAGAAGTATGTTGGAGTTGAGGTCAGGGGTATTTGGGAGCCCTTCTTACTTTTTGCCTTTTCCACAGAAAAAGCATTGAAATAAGTAATTTTAACTATGCAATTCCTGCAAAAATTAGAAAAATTGTTTCAACCATCGCAATGTTTTTGTGTATGAGGACACTGAAACATGTCAAATGTTCTACATAAACATCAATGGATGAGATGTTGGTGAAGGTAAACTGACTGTATATGTCTGTGTGGTTCAGGAACTCTATCTGTCCGTTATGGGCACCAGTGCTGTGGGGGCGCTGTGGTGACCGATACCGCTGTGTGCTGTGGGAATGACACTGTAGGTGCTGTGTACCTGCAACAGTCACTCAAGACTTGCTGTGGCACGCAGTACGTCGACGCTGACACCACGCTCTGCTGCTCCAGTGATACAGGGCACTCGAAGGTAATGTTGCGTGCGAGTGTGTGTAATTCATAAGCTTTCTCTGTTTTTGCAATATCAATGACCAAGAGTGAGTGAGTGAGTGAGTTTGAATTTACCCCACTTTTAGCAATATTCCAGCAATATCATGGCGGGGTACACCAGAAATGGGCTTCACACGTTGTACCCATGTCGGGAATCGAACCCGTGTCTTCGGCGTGACGAGCAAACGCGTTAACCCCTAGGCTACCCGACTGCCCCCAATGACCAAGAGGATCAGAGATTAGGCTATCCATATTTCTTTTTGTGTTTCTCATCTCCAACCTCAACCTGGAAGAGAGTGGTCAGGCGAAATAATAAAAAATAAATAAAAAAAAATTTTTTATGATATTTTAAAAATTTGAGACACTAGGAACCAGTCTTTTAATGAATTTATGACATAAATCGAGTTGCTTTGCTTGGGAAAAGAATTTTTTATCAACATTGATGACCTAGGATTCTTTTGAGTGTACAAAGATAGTAGTATTTTTTTCACATTGGGGCATAATTTTCACCTACAGTGGGAAGAATTTAGATGCAAAAACGGTTATTGTTTCACGTGGGAATGAAAATTCAGGATGGGCGGGAGATTGGAAAAAAATACAGACAGCCTTAAGTCCACATAATAAGAGCTACGTGTTGACTGTTTGCTTCCAGGTTCACTACTACTCTGACTCTGTCGCGCGGCAGACAGCCAATGAGCTGTGCTGTGGCCTGGAGAAGATATCAGGAGGCTTGGACTGCTGCAACTTTGTTGGCTACAACCGTCAGACACAGGTCTGTGCTGACATGTCCAACACGACCACTGGTAAGTGTCTTTCTGTGGCAGCAACAACCGTCAGACACAGGTCTGTGCTGACAAGTCCAACACCACCACTAGTAAGTGTCTTTCTGTGGCAGCTACAACCGTCAGACACAGGTCTGTACTGACATGTCCAACACGACCACTGGTAAGTGTCTTTCTGTGACAGCTACAACCACCAGATCCAGGTCTGTGCTGACAAGTCCAACACCACCACTAGTAAGTGTCTTTCTGTGGCAGCTACAACCGTCAGACACAGGTCTGTACTGACATGTCCAACACGACCACTGGTAAGTGTCTTTCTGTGTCGGCTACAACCGTCAGACACAGGTCTGTGCTGACAAGTCCAACACCACCACTAGTAAGTGTCTTTCTGTGGCAGCTACAACCGTCAGACACAGGTCTGTACTGACATGTCCAACACGACCACTGGTGAGTATCTTTCTGCAGCAGCTACAACCGTCAGACACAGGTCTGTGCTGACATGTCCAACACAACCACTAGTAAGTGTCTTTCTGTGGCAGCTACAACCGTCAGACACAGGTCTGTACTGACATGTCCAACACGACCACTGGTAAGTGTCTTTCTGTGTCGGCTACAACCACCAGATCCAGGTCTGTGCTGACAAGTCCAACACCACCACTAGTAAGTGTCTTTCTGTGGCAGCTACAACCGTCAGACACAGGTCTGTACTGACATGTCCAACACGACCACTGGTAAGTGTCTTTCTGTGTCGGCTACAACCGTCAGACACAGGTCTGTGCTGACAAGTCCAACACCACCACTAGTAAGTGTCTTTCTGTGGCAGCTACAACTGTCAGACACAGGTCTGTGCTGACAAGTCCAACACCACCACTAGTAAGTGTCTTTCTGTGTCGGCTACAACCGTCAGACACAGGTCTGTGCTGACATGTCCAACACGACCACTGGTAAGTATCTTTCTGCAGCAGCTACAACCGTCAGACCCAGGTCTGTGCTGACATGTCCAACACAACCACTAGTAAGTGTCTTTCTGTGTTGGCTACAACCGTCAGACACAGGTCTGTGCTGACAAGTCCAACACCACCACTGGTAAGTGTCTTTCTGTGGCAGCTACAACCACCAGATCCAGGTCTGTGCTTACAAGTCCAACACCAACACTGGTAAGTGTCTTTCTGTGGCAGCTACAACCGTCAGACACAGGTCTGTGCCGACAAGTCCAACACCACCACTGGTAAGTGTCTTTCTGTGGCAGCTAAAACCACCAGATCCAGGTCTGAACGTGACATGCAAATTTGATCATTGTTGACAATGTAAGCCAAATGTTGCTGGCTCCGATATATCACAGTGCTTACAATGTAAATGAAAAGTTGCTGGACAAGGTAATACTGCGTTGAAAATGTTCCTGGATATGGTAATACAGTGTTGACAATGTTGCTGGTCAAGGTAATACAGTGTTGACAATGTTGCTGGACAAGGTAATGCAGTGTTGGTGGACAAGTTAATACAGTGTTGCTGGTCAAGGTAATATAGTGTTGACAATGTTGCTGGACCGGTTGAAGGTAATACAGTGCTGACAATGTTGCTGGACAGGGTAATACAGTGTAGACAATGTCGCTGAACAAGGTAATACAATGTTGCTAGTCAAGGTAATACAGTGTTGACAATGTTGCTGGATATGGTAAAACAGTGTTGCTGGTCAAGGTAATACAGTGTTGACAATGTTGCTGGACAAGGTAATCCAGTGTTGCTTGTCAAGGTAATACAGTGTTGACAATGTTGCTGGACAAGGTAATACAGTGTTGCTGGACAAGGTAATACAGTGTTGACAATGTTGCTGGACAAGGTAATACAATGTTGCTGGACAAGGTAATACAGTGTTGACAATGTTGCTGGACAAGGTAATACAGTGTTGACAATGTTGCTGGACAAGGTAATACAGTGTTGACGATGTTTCTGGTCAAGGTAATACAGTATAGACAATGTTCCTGGACAAGGTAATACAGTGTTGACAATTTTGCTGGACAAGGTAATACAGTGTTGACAATGTTCAATGTTTCAGGGTGTGGTATGGGAGCAGTATGTTCAGTCAACCAACGAAACACAGCCTTCTGTGACCGATGTGACTTTGATCATTCAACCTCATCGTGTGGCTCAGTCAGTGGTTACCACGTTTCCACAACAACCGCAACAACCCCAGCAGAGTCATGCAGTACAGCCGTGGACAAGGTGTCGTCCAGCCTTAACCTGACCTACACAGGTACGACCTCGCTGACCCTGTACCCAAAGTATCCTAAAGGGTCTCCTTCAGACACATCATGCACTCATTTATTAATAATAATGCACATATTTATTATTCACCTAGCAACTTCCTTAAACATGCCCTAAGTGCTACATTATTACCCCGGTCAATGGATCATTATCATTCTCAGCTCCCAGGGGAGTATACCATCCAAGCTGCCTGTAAGGCGCTAATTTTTTTTGCTTTTTGAATTCTGTAAATCATGAAATTAATGAGTCACCAAATTAATGCGAGTGTCAACCACTGGCCTAAATACATCTTGAAACTAATGCGAGTAGCCTTGTCTTTAAACTATTACAGCAAGCAATAATACCAAGACTTTGAATTCCATGAGATAGTACAGGGTGATAGCATTTGAGTGAATAATATTGTCACAAACTTAACTTCAACTGTTTGACATGTGATCAAACTATTGCTGTACTGGACATTTTCACAATGTTAGTAAGCATGGTAAGCAGTGTTTTTCTAATGAATATAAAATTATTTGACAAGTGTACCGAGGACAAAGACGCCATCATACATGACTGGCGACTGTCATAACTGATTGCACAACATGTGTAAACAAAGTGACCACACTTGGAACTTGATGAGATTCACAGTTTACATATAGTACTCAGTATGTTATATTGTTTATTGTGAGCTTTGTTGTGTATGTCATTGTTTCTGCCCAAGTGTAGTGTATCGGACATGACAATATACTCCAATGTCTCTGGATAATATTTGTCACTTGAAATTTGAGTTTACAATATTACCAGTGACTAGCTTGACACTCCTGGTCCTGGACCTCATCATTGTCTCTGATCTGTCATCAGTTCATTCAGTCCAAGGACTGATTTGTGATTATGGAGATAAGAAAGATGTCTGGCAAGTCCAGATGAAATGTAGACTTGGTTTACAGACCCACTAAACACTATGAAACACTGATGAAAAAAAGATGTTTAAGAGATTATCTGGGCTAGTAGTGGTACCCTTCAATTGAGACAAATAGATTTTGATTATTTTTTAGCGTGGAGATATAAGTCGATGTATTTTCAGATTTGTGCATCCCTGCTGATATCTTCCATTGCAGTGATGAATACTAATGTTCAACTACTGTTGTTTGTCTCAGACACTGGTCTCTCCCCATACTCTGACTATGAGTACTCCGTGTCCGTGGTGAACAGCGCTGGCAGCAGCAGCAGCAGCTACGTCGGTGTACAGACGCTGCAAGCGGCCCCTGGTGAGGTCAAGGCCCCGGTCACACGGGTCAACCCTGACCAGCTGTACATTATCTATCTCACCTGGGACACTCCAGGAAAACCTAATGGTAAGTGTACATAGCTAGTATGGGCGAGTCTGAACAGGACTTAAGCAACCCATGCTTGCCGTAACAGGTGACTGTGCTTTTCTTAAGAGGCAACTAACGGGATCGGGTGGTGAGGCTTGCTAACTTGGTTGATGCATGTCATCATATCCCATTTGTGTAGATCAATGCTCATGATATGAGTCACTGGTCAAGACTCGATTATTTACAGACCGCCATCATAAGGCTGGAATATTGCTGAGAGAGACTTTAAATAAACAATCAAACAAAAGGTACTTGTGAGATAAACCATTCATTTTTTTGTACAATTCAGTAACAGGAACTCGTTTCAGGAAATGCCATATCCTCTGTCACTATTTACAAGAAGACACTGATTGTCCCTAAAATAGGAATTTGTTTAAATGAAAAATATTTACTACTCAAAAGAACATCCAATTCTTTCATATTACTGCAGTTAATCTATAGCTGCTATAATCATGAGGCACTAGAAGGTTTATTGTCATATTACCATCTCATCCTACCAGGTACCCATTCACTGCTGGGTTCACAGTGCAATATTTTAATTTGTGAATTGTGACCTTGCTGCCCAGTTGTCTCAGGTGCCGCTATTTGCTCTGCACAGTTGTGTCCCTTGGGCATGCAAGGAACCTATCACTGTGGGTTTAAAATCCCAGCTTGCCTCGATTATTTATCTAGGTTTGTCAGCACCATATCTGTGTTCGTGGGTTTCCCTGAAGTGGTAAATGTCTAAGACCTGCATCACATTTGGCTTTCCTCCCACATTAAAGCTGCGATGTCATGATATAACTGGAATACTGTTTAAAGCGGTGTTAAAACCAACTCACTCACTCACACAGGACCACCACATGTAAACCTAAACCTTCTGTTTGGTGGTCTAATGGGTAGAGGGTCTGCCTGGAGAGCAGAAGGCCAGTGTTTCAATCCCTGGTTGCATGATACCAAAAGACTTTAAAAGATGGTACTTGTTGTTACCCTGCCTGGCGTTCGGAATTAAGGAGATAAAACAAGGACTGATTGGCTCAGAGTCAGTATACTGTGTCTGAGTGGGGTATTCATTAGAATGCATGGTATCTCAGTGGGCTAGCACTATGAAACCAGCACTTGTCCAGACTAATTGCATGTGCAATAATCTTGAAATGTGAAGTTAAACTCCATTTAACCTCACCTAAACCCCCTGTTCATGTTCATGTTCATGTCAATACCTACATTAGTGATGTCATTCAACTGTTTCACAGGTGTGATCAGCCGATATATCTTGAAGCGAGATGGTATTGAGCTGTACCGAGGCCTGGATATGAAGTACACAGATAACAACTCCGTACTGCCCTACAAGACGTATTCCTACATCCTCTCCGCCTGCACCCAGGCCGGCTGCACTGACAGCAATGTAGTAAGTAGTTCACTGTCAGTCTTAGCAAATTTTCGCTTTCCGTTATCCCCATGTTATGGGTTTTCGGACGCTTAAGCATTCATAATTGTCTCATTAATCACATGAACAACTATAAAACATCTCACTCACTTATAAAGATGACTTTATCTTAAAAACAGGCCATCATCTAAGTATTTACAATGTCTGTGGGATGCCACACCCCTTGTTATTGGGCGAGTAATGGCAATAAACATGCCCGTCCGAAAAGTATAATGTCCGAAAACCTATGATCTGACGATACTACTGGTAAATGCAACAACAGGGTTTTGGTGATTATACATGGAGGATCTCGCCCTTTTGTCGATAAGAGTTAAAACTCAAAGGCTTGCAGAGGAGTTTTAAACCCTTTTCGGCAAGTGATGATGTATTTGATGTCAGAAGAGACGAGGGTGAGATTCTATTCATCATCCAACTTTTACAGTTTGTAAAAAGTTCAGGCGTTTGCTCTTGGAGGGGAGAAGGGATGCTTCATTTAGAAAAGTGTCATGTTGCGGCCTTTAGATGACAAACTCTTATGACTTAGGAGAAACCTGTTTCATATACATGTTTTATTTTCCATTCACGGGCCTGCCGCCCCTACTGAAAAGCAGCTGAAAAAAATATAAATTAACAAAATAAAAACATTTTTGTTGTCTCTCGCTAGTAATATAGATCCTCTTATACAATATAAGATGTTATATGTCACTATGTCACTATGTCACTATGTCACTATCAGTGATTCAAGAAGCCAGCTGCAGTTTTAATTCCATGGCAGAATGAGGTTCATATGAATAAATAAATGATTGACATAGCTATTTATTTGTAATTCTGTTTCGACCTTGAGTGGAAAAGCTGGAATAAATCATGATGAAACATAAACTTAAAAAAGTGAGCCTAAAGGATATGTGCTGGAGACGTTTTACTAATGAATTTTGTACTCCCTCCTCGGCAGACACTCCCTACTTTTGAACCATACTGATAACAGCACCCACTCTCTCAACTGAATCTGGTGGATATTTACATACACTGAGGGATTAAATTGTATTGTGTGTATCAAGGGTTATATCGAGAATGAGTACCATTTTCTGTTTGTCTGTGAGGTATATACCGATCTCTGTCGACAATATATCCCCCAGCAAATATTTTATGTATCCGACTTTAATGACGAAAATATTCTATGTCTTCTAAACAAGAGTCGGGAAACAGAAGTTTAGCATGCTACATATTTCATGCAATGGAGCTGTCAGCAATTGCTTCTTGGTAACCACAACGTTCTTCAATTTAAACTATTTATTTTTATCATATCTCATCTGCATCATTCCAGTAGGGGGCACGGGTGGCCCAGTCATCTAAGGCCCTGCGATTCGCTGTGCAGAGTTGCGTCCCTTGGGCACGCCAGAAATTTATGATTGTGGGTTTGAATGCCCGTTCGCCCCGATTATGTTTCTAGGTTTGTCAGCATCATACCTGTGCTCGTGGGTTTCACCGAAGTGGTAAACGTCTGAGGCCTGCATCATTTCGGGCTTTCCTACCACATTAAGCTGACATGCCATGATATAACTGGAATACTGTTTAAAGCGGCGTTATACCCAACTCACTCACTCATTCCTGTAACCATTTTTGACAAAAAATTGAATTGTGACCCAAATATTGTACCAAGGGCCAGTGGCCCTCTCAAGTCCTGAAATAAAGAATTCACCAGCCAAATTAATTTTAGAACACTCCCTATATTTTTACATTTCCAACACCTCCTTCTGATTCTCACACCCATGGAGATAGCATGGACAATCTGTGTGTAAATGCTTCCTGTTTACAGGTGCAAGTGGCCACAGCACAAGCTGCCCCTGAGGACGTCCTCCCCCCGACTATGATCGTCGAGGGCCCCACCGTCCTGCGTATCCAGTGGCAACCTCCAGGCAAACCAAATGGTGTTGTCACCATGTACAGAGTTATCTTCCCAGATCTGGACAGAGGCTACAATCAGTCAGTGTCCGATAGGGATCTCACAGTCACAAGTAAGGACAACACGCAATACCACTCTTGTCTCTTCAGGGTGCCCACATTCTCATGGTCATGTCAAATGACGAGGTAGAATCGCCAAAATTTAAAAAATAAAACAATTATATATCAAAAGAATTTAGGGACTTTTTGTTTTTGTTGTTGATTTTTTTTGGTGGGGTGTGGAATGATAAAGCATGATAAAGTGTTACATAAAAATGTTAGCGAAATATGAGCAATCCCTAAGGACCACCCATCCCTCCCAACCCCTATGATAAATTACCTATCCCCTACCTTGCAATTTTGGTTTTATTTATGTTTCCCCAAACCAAAAAAGAAATGGCCTTACCCACTGCTGGACTACTGGCTATATATAAACATTGGATTGACAGTGTTATATCATGGCGTGGCACCGTGATGGCCAAAGTGATGTATGTCTGGGACATCTGCCCTGTTGGTTGACTGTTGTGGCGCTGAAAAATCAAGAAACATTATCAGGGTGAATTCAGTATTCAAAGCCATCGTTGGATTCCAGCTTGACGAGGGGCGGTCGGGTAGCCTAGTGGTTAAAGCGTTCGCTCGTCACGCCGAAGACCCGGGTTCGATTCCCGACATGGGTACAGTGTGTGAAGCCCATTTCTGGTGTCCCCCTGCCGTGATATTGCTGGAATATTGCTAAAAGCGGCGTAAAACCATACTCGCTCGCTCGCTCCAGCTTGTCGATGCACCTCAACAGAGTGAATTATTGCACTTTAGACAACTGATAGTGCCCTCCCCCGAATCCCGAAATCCATCTATTTTTTACTCCAAGTCTCATTGTTCACCTCCTGAATCCTGAATATTATTGAGAAAAGTGTGTGATTTATTAAAATGTTGAATCCTTATACCACATACTTTTTTGGTTGTGTTCCATACACCACACTGCTAAGTCCCAAATATCCACTCTAAAGACCCCCAAATGTTGCATAACAAAAGGGGGTCAGCAGCCTCACAACTTGGCCACTTGACCCACACATAAGAGAAAATGTTTAAGTGCACGTTGGTGGCTGTGATTTTGTCACTATTGAACCAAGAAACAAACAAGTTACTTGTCTATACACACTAAGAGACAATCAGGTTTTCAGGTGTGTTTTGTTTTGTTTCCCCCAGATCTGACACCATATACAGCATACACAGCAGTCCTTGAGGTTTGTTCCCAGGCAGGGTGCACACAGAGCCAAAATGTTACCGTGACAACAGACGAGGCAGCTCCTGAAGGTTTGACACTGTGACATCACAGATCTTCTTATGACCTTACACTGTCTGAAAGTGTGCTTTGATTTAAAGAAAGTTTAGACATTTTCAGTTTACTTATGATTGAGTTTGGTTTCTAGCACAAAACATGTGGTATAAGTTAGGTTTCCACAATGTCCATCTTCTGGTATCCATTTGTCATCATTTATTTACAAAATAATTAAGAAATTGAATGTAATAGACCATTAATAATTGGTCTGTATAGAAAAGACATCTATTAATCAAAATAATAAGGTCATTCTTTCTGTATCAGGTGATCTGTGATGAAATATATACATTTTTAAGTATCAGAAAATATGTCAATCCAATTTTTTTTTCTTTTAAAAAACCCGACAAAAACAAAAGACCAAAATGTCTTATATTCCAGGTGTGGATCCTCCAAAGGTTGTGATCATAGACTCTACAACAGTGCAACTCTATTGGAAACCTCCAACTACCCTGAACGGAGTTCTCCTAGGCTACAAGATCACCCGCATTGGACTATCTGGTGTCATCATCATATACAACGGCCTGAACCTCAGCGTTGCAGACACCAACCTAACATCAAGTGGAGTCTACTCCTACACCGTAGCTGCTCGCACTAGCGCCGGAGAAACAACCAGCACAAACATTGCTGTCATCATTCCCCAGAGAACCCCCCTCAACATCCCCCCTCCTCAGAGAGTGAGGGTGCTTGGTTCCGAGGAGATCTCCGTGTCGTGGGACCCTGTGATATCTTCCCAAGGGATCATTGACCAGTACAAGGTTCTGCTCAATGTAGGTCAGAGCACGGAGGTGGAGGTGGGGGTCGGGACGCAGACAACCATCATTGTGTCCAACCTCACACCATACACACAGTATGAGGTGCGTCTTCAGGCCTGTCTGGAGAATGTGCAGAATGGCTGTGGTACAAGCCCCGGTGTGACTGTCACCACTGAGGAAGCACCACCCTTGAATCAGAAACCTCCATTGTTGGTTGCCCGTTCATCTGACGCTATCCTCATCTCATGGGCAGAACCTGGGAATCCAAATGGCCAGATCACAATGTACAGAATTTACCAGAGAAAGTATGGAAACCCCACGGAAATCCTCATTAACCAGGTTGATGGATCCACTCGAACATTCACTCATTCAGGAACAGATTTAACACCATACACTGTGTATGAATACAGGATAAAGGCTCTCAATGCACAAGGTGAGAGCTTGAGTGACTGGGCTCGGGTCAGAACCCTGGAAGCACCTCCAGAGGAGCTAAGCGCTCCTTTTGTATTAACAACTGGCCCTTACGGCTTCTCCCTTCAGTGGACTCCTCCTTCCAAACCTAATGGTGTCATCACCATGTATAAGATATTATACAAAGGTGTGTCTGCAGACCCGACAGTCCAGAGCCCAACCAACACACTCATAGTGGAAGCTACCAAGACATCGACATCCATCAGCGGGCTCCAACCATACACCAACTATGAAATAAGACTTCAAGCTGTCAACAAAGCCGGTAGTGTAACCAGTGGAACAGCACCAGTAAAAACTGCACAGACGTCACCTTCAGGATTAAGCGTGTTCCGGGTTGAGAAGATTATCAGTGGACAAGCTGCCATTCTCAGGTGGGACATGCCAACCAAGCCAAATGGCATGGTCACCAACTTCCGCATCTATGAAGTGGGATCCGATGTTGCCATATACCAAGGGTTGAACAGAGAGTTTGAGTTCCGTCGACTCCTACCTTACACCGACTACTTGGTCCAACTAGAAGCATGTACTGTGGTAGGGTGTACTCTAGGTCAGAAGCAGACCTTCACCACCGCCGAAGTAGCTCCAGCCAGCCAGCCACCTCCATCACCAACCTTCACCAACTCCACCCACGTGCTCATATCATGGAAACCAGCGGCCAATCCCAATGGCAAGATTTCTTCTTACCAAGTTCTGAGACGTACCAATACCCCGACAGTTTCTCGTAGGAAGCGTGCTGTGAGTGACCCAACGGTCATCTACATGACCACAGATACCAACAAGCCAGAGTATCAGTACATGGACTTGGACGTCCAGCCCTACACCCAGTATCAGTACATGGTAAGGACCAGCAATTCCAAGGGTTCCGTGGACTCACCCTGGCAGACAGTGTCCACCGAACAGGCTGCTCCACAAGGAGTGGCTGCACCTACTGTAGGACATGTAGAGAATGATGTCAACTCTCTACAGGTAAATTGGACTGCACCAATCAGTCCAAACGGTGTCATGCAAAGTTATCAGATACAGAGAAACAGCAGTGTTCCGCTCAGCTTCCCAGCAGCTGCATCCTTCAGCCATGTCGACAGTGGGCTGGAGGCCTACACATGGTACTCCTACACAGTGATTGCATGTTCAGGGGGAGGGTGTACCACAAGTGATGCTACAGTCATCCGGACGAAGGAGGCAGCTCCATTGCAGGTTCTGCCACCACAGCTGGCACCAATGGGTTCCACTACATTAAGGGCAATCTGGCAGATGCCCCAGATTACCAATGGGGAGGTCAGCAGGTACGAGCTGCTCATGGATGGTGTGTCTGTTTATCAGGGATTAGCTATGGAGTTTGTCATAGGGCAGCTGATTCCTTATCAAGAGTACAAGTTCGTCCTTAAAGCCTGCACTAGTGGTGGATGTTCACAAAGTACTGAAGTCTCCGGTAGACCAAATGATGCCCCTCCGGTTGGCATGGAAGCACCCATCTTGAGAGTCATGAGTTCCACATCAATAGAAGTGTCCTGGAGCCAACCCACCAATTCCAATGGCATCATCACATCATATGATGTCAAAAGAGAAGGCAGGCTTATTTTCACAGACAGTCTTGTGACGGGAGCCTTACGAACAACCTACACAGATTACAGCTTGGCGCCAGGGACGGAGTACACTTACATCGTCATTGCTCGTAACCGCAAGGGAAATGTGGAAAGTCCTGCTGCAAAGGCAAAGACGTACTCCTCCTCACCCACGGGTCTCAGTCCCCCAACCCTCCTTCCCATCTCCCCATCCTCTATACAAGCCACTTGGCAGCCCCCAATCAACCCCAATGGGGCTATCATTAGCTACAAGCTGTACACAGGCAATGATAAGGTGTACGAAGGGGGACCCAACCAGCTGACCTACACCATCCCCAACCTCCTCTTCTACACGGAGTACACGGTCCGTGTCGAGGCATGCACACAGCGAGGGTGTGAGCTCAGTACAGGCGTGACTGAGAGGACCATGGAGGCTATACCAGAGGAACAGGCAGTACCAACATTGCTGGCACTGGCCAATGAACAGAGAGCTCACAGTGGGGTCCTTGTCACTTGGATACCACCAACGAAGCCAAACGGGGTGATAACAAGATACGAAGTGCTGAGACGTCGTGTTGTCACTGAGACTGCAGGTGAGTTTGCGTATACTTGAGACCCATGAAGATCCAGGGTAGAATCTTCAGTCTTCACCAACCCATGCTTGCCGTAAAAAGCAACAATGCTTGTAAAAGGCGACTAACAGGATCTGGTGGTCAGGCTCGCTGACTTGGTTGGTGCATTTCATCATATTACAATAGACTAGATCAATGCCCATGACGTCAGTCACTGGATTGTCTGGTCCAGACTCGATTATCTACAGACCGCCGTCATATAGCTGGAAAATTGCTGAGTGCAGCGTTATACAACTAACAAACAGCATTTACATGAAATATTATCTGTCCAATCATATATGATTTTGCATAAATTCTTGTCTTCCAAAATATTGTTCATTTGTAAGCCCCAGTCAGTGCTGTTTTGGGGGCAGGGGTAAGTTTTGACATTTTTAATATTATGGTTGCTTTGAACAATTTGCCCCAATTCGTATTCTACATACCAGGCCAGGTTTATGATACCTGACCTGATAATGTTCCATGTGTGATCCATCCTCTCTCAACCGCCTCTGTGGTCTAGTGGTAGGGCACCCACCTGGTGAGGAAGGTCCGGGGGTCAAAAGATGGTTTGTTGTTATCCTGCCTGGCGTTAAACAAGGACTGGAGTCAGTATACTGTGTCTGAGTGGGATATTCATATTAAACTGCAGCAAGGTGTGTCAGTGGGCTAGCACTATAAAATCGGCATCAGTCCGGACAAGTCTGCATGCAACATTAAACCCAATTTCACCTGATATCACCTCATCTAACCTCTCCTCTCCTCTCTCCAGGCACGGTGTACGGGAATGTTGTGACTGTGTACAACAACACAGAGCTCCGGATGACAGACTCGGACCCACAGTTGAAGCCTTTCGCCTCCTACCAGTACAGGGTCACCTCCTTCAACAGTGTAGGTGGCGCTGGCAGCATGTGGGCACTCGTTGTCACCAAGGAGGCCCCGCCCACCTTTGTGGCTCCTCCTACAGTAGATGTGAGTACCAGTGTATACTTAAAAGAGAAACTACTTCTCCTTGGGATTACTTGAGATTGTAAACCCTGACAGGACGGAATATACCAAGGAGGCCATAGGTCCCCGAGGTATGTACCCACATATAAGGGTTTGCACCCTGTTTATTGGTCTTTACAGGAATTTTTATGTTGTTTTCTATAAGATTAGGTTGTTTAAAGCTGTCATTCAAATTAGGGCTGGGACTGGTAACTCGGGTACTCGGGTCAGGTGGTTCCTGAGTAGGACCCGGATACCAACAGGACTACCCGGACCTGTGGTTAGTCACGTGATATATTGTTAAATGGCAAAAATGATCTAAAACTTCCACAGTTACATTACAAGTGACGAATGTTGGCATTTCTTTTCTGACTATGCACACATTCCTTCTGACTTTACATGTTTGAATAGAGATAAAACTTCTGTCAACTTCAGTGCATGCATGACCAGATCGTTTGATACGAGTATCTAAATACATTTTGCCAGGGCTACGGTCAAACTATTCCCAATCAGACATTTGTGCCTATCTCTTGAGACCTACAGTAGGTACCAGGGTAGGGTCGCATAATAGGGCAGTGGGTACCTGGGTAGTAAATTTGGACTCGTCCCAGCCCTAATTCAAATGATAACCTAATGTAGAGTGGAACATTCCAGTAAGTCTCCATTCCTTATAAATAATGGAGCATGGATTGAGGCCAATTCTGTTTAAGGAATGGAGAGTTACGAGGATATTCCCCAACTTAATACACATCCCTACTCTTACACTTTGACAAAGTATTCTAAAGAGCATTCTAAAGAGCAGCTCGCTACGGAGCATGTGAAACATCCGCAGAGCACACAATCAACTGTCCATTCCGGAAAAATAATGGATACTGCAGAATGACATCACAGATGTGTTATAAACATTGATATCAGGCTGTAACTGCTGACATTGCTGTTGCAGGGCACCACTGCCACCACGATCACAGTCACCATAACAGTACCACTGCAGCCTAACGGAGACATCCGGGAGTACAGCATTCTGGTTAATCGCACTGTCGTAAGAGGACTTTCCTTACACTATAGACTTTATACTCTAATTCTTGGGCCAGATTATCACTCATCTTTACATTTTCCGGCATTTTTCACACTTCACATGTCTTAACTTGATATTAATTCATTTTTCCATTAGAGTCTTTTAATTCGAAATATATTTTAAGACCTTACAACTTTTTTGTCCAGATAGAATATTTAATGATACTTTGGCCTAATATTAGCACTATAATGGGTATCTAGATAATTGTATGATCCAAGGGATTTTGAGTTTACAAGGTTACGTTGTTTTGAAAACTTGAAGAGAGAGTGTTTTATTTGTGAATTGATGAATTGATCAAACCTTCAGTTACTAGGCTGCATGGCAGTGATATGTTCAACTTTGTTGGTCAATTTATTTCAATAGGCGAAATAGGTAGCAGGCAGAAAAGCAAGTTTAACAGTTGGTTTCAGATCAATGAAAAAAATTGAATTCCTTTGATCTACTCTGCTTTAGAAATTTTGAGTTTTAGAGAAAGTGAAAATTTCACGAAAATGATTTTAACTATTCAGGCGTCTTCAGGAGTGACTCTACAGCAGACGGCCGGGATCGCCCGACCTCTGTCGCCCTTCACGACCTACTTGGTGCAAGTGCGCGCTTGTACAAGTGGCGGCTGTACAGACAGTGCAGGGGTCAAGGTCATCACAACAACAGCAAAGCCAAGTGGCCTGGCCGCGGTGGTGGTGGCCGGGAAAACCAGCACCAGTGTCACCCTCAACTGGGAGCCGCCCCAGAAGCCAAATGGCCACATACAGAGGTGAGTACAACCACAGGGATCTATGCAGACATGCTCCAACGTCAATAGTCGATGTTTCGTCAGGCGGTGTGCAGACTTCCCTTGATCAGACATGACATCATATTGTGACATACCAAACAATACTCTCTTTCGCTTTTACCCTCATCATGAGAAATTGTTGACGTTTCAGATACCTGCTATACCAGCGGACAGCATGTCCCCGGACAGACCAACCGTTCCCACAGAGCTGTCTCACGGGGGATGTAGGGGAGGTGTACGCTGGACTGGACCTGTTTGCCTCCTCCCGGGGGCTCTCCCCCTACACCAACTATCAGTTCCAGATCCAGGCGGAGAACGAGGCAGGAGGGGTGGACTTTCCACAGTGGGTCTCCACCATCACAGAACCAGCAAGTAGGTGGCAGTATCAGAAGCATGGCAATGAAATCTGTCCTCTGTAAAGTTGGCCCTTGTTGTAGATTTAAGGGGCAGTGACAGAAGTGTCAACTTTGGTCAGAATAAGTTATACTACTTGGTAATTCCAACCTTCTTTACATATGCAGCATGTCATATGGCTGATGTAAATCGGTTGTGAAAGTGTTATGTCTTATAAAAACATGCTATAATGTACTAATGTACTTATCGTTGTTTGTGAGTCAAGATAAGCTGAGTACCAGAATATAGACAGTGGTTACGCACACACTTGTTTATAGCCTGGATTGTAGTATATATTTGATAACTACCCGGTATATAAACACCGGTAGTTTGTGTTTTAAGACGATGCCAAACTTCTTTCAGTATGCCAGATGCGGAGCCGTGTTTAATTTGTATTCTGGATGCTGTAGTGCAGTACATTGGATGCCTTAAACCCCCACCCTGACTATAAATAACGTGCAAGGTGGCGGTGTTTCAGTTACAAACAGTGACTGACAATGTAAACACAACCAAATTTCAGGAGAAGCATTTTGAAAACCGTACATAAACGAGATCACCATTGACCGTCAAACTTTGTATCAACTGACAAACCTTGGATACCACACATGGCTCCATGTCTAGATATTATTCAATAAATTTTCTGTAATGTTATCATAAAAAAATTTAATTGGAAATATTTGGCGTCTGCACCAATCACAGTGGGAGGAGCTTATATAGGGTTGCGCTATAAATAGCATACCACATGGTCATGTGTACATGTGACACATTCGATGCACTTGTGGTCAAAGTGTATTCTGGCATAAATATTTATGACAGAACAGCAGCACAGCAATAGTTTCAGTTAATGTGACAGTACTGATACATAAATACGAAAATGATGTTAGTTACATAAGTATTAGCGACAAGATTCTTTCAGTTCAATCCGAAAATTGTACAATATTTGATTGCTGGAAAACATTCATCTGTTTTACTTGCAAAGAGTGACAAATGAATCAACTATTTAGCCCTAAGCTTCTACGCACACATGGTCAGGTCTTCTATGTGAAACTCTCGGTCTAATTTACTTGTACCAGCTGTGTACACTGATATGACTCAAGTGTTCTTGAATTGGATGCTAAGTTTTGTCTGTTAAATGAAATATTTCATTATTAACTGTTTTTATATAGAATCAACTTGAGATTCAATGACAAATTTATATCTTTGGAAATCTTAATTTGTTGCAAATATGGGGATTCACCTCAATAAAGTGAATGAGTCAGGTTTATTAACACTTTCAACAGTATTAAAGTTGTATCATAGGGTTTCAGCTTTCGGGTGGAGAAAAACCTGATATGATGGAGGTCTTAGAGGTTTACTGCTTCAGTGAAACCTGCACATAAGTTTAAAGGCCTGGGATCATAATCAATGGGAATCTAGGATTCCCACCCACAAGAACATGATCCTGGCATGCTTAGGACCTCAACACCGTAAATTGCAACCCCTCAGACGAGTAGCCCTCCCATGACTCCCACGCTGTAAGACTTGGTGGTATTGTGTTGCAGTCCCAGTGTACGTGGCTTTTCCCCGGCTGTCTACCAATGACACCAGAGCAGTGGTTGATTGGACGGGAAGCTTCCAGCTCAACAGTCGCCTGAGGGAGTACATTGTGATGGCTGACGGGAAGGTAGTGTTCCGCGGAATCAGCACGAGCCACGGTGTAGAGAGGGACACCAAGGCACAAGGTACGAGGATAATGCTTGAAGTTTAGTTCACGAAAACTGTAAGATTATCTGCTGCGGTGTCTTCTGGATGAATAAACTCCATTTGTTGATCAAGTGACAAAGGATATGCTAAAGGACAAAATAGCTACTGTCAAACTCATGGTTGAGTATATCAAATAATAATAATGACTTTTTCAATATAATTACAACGTTTTTCATCTTATATTATTGAATATCTGCGAGTACCGGCACATGTCTTGCAGTCCGACTTTGCAGTGTTTTTTTCCTTTTCACTTCCTGGTTCGGCTTATCTGCGGATCATATAATTTTCTTTCATATTTCAATGGTCAAGTTAACACCTTGGCTTATCCGCTGTCATATACGGTATACCGAGTCTACATCCCCCGTTTACCAGCTGGCTACTGACAGAGAATAGTCAAGCAGTGCAGACAAGTTGCAGAGCCTCTAGCCGCGTATTCCCACATCTGCTACAGACAGGAGGCTATGTTATCATTAGCATCACTTAAAATCACTGGAGGTCTCACAAACCGGCATATGGACTATTCCTGCTATGTGATAATGGGCTAAAACAAGGAAGGGTTTTGTTGTACCTCTCTATAGACCTAATTTACTTCAAAGAAAAAAGTCTTTTGCAATTTAAAGTTCCAGTAGAAAATGCCCTGACACATGTACAACAGTGAGATATTGTACAGCCATCTGAAAACTCCACAGTATTTTGTACATATACACTGCCAGGCAAAAGAAAGTTTCCACTTGAAAATTTGATTTGACCCAAAAATTACAAACTTTATCAAACTATTACTAGGCTCACTGAAACACTCCAAAGGTGAGGTCCATAACACAGCTATGATACCCATATCAAATACATCATCATCGAATAACCATTTCTTATTTGTTTCATTTTTAGCCACCATCAAACATGGGTGTATACTTTCTTTTGCCCGGCAGTTTTCAAGGACATGTGTATTTTGGAGTGGGGATTGTGTATGGTCAGTCTGTATAAATAATATTGTTCCTACGTATTCTTTACCATTGAAATTATACCATGTATTAAAACTAACACCTAGGGCTTAGATTCAATAGGCCAACTAGTCCTTACTATTTTTTTTCAGCTCCTAACAACCTGGACAAGTTCAGATTTAAAATTTTGGAACATGTTTATTGATTGACCTTACACACATGATAAAATTTTCTTTCTAAATTAACAGGATTCAAAATTCAGTATTCCTGACAAATTTCTATTATTCTGAATCTCTGGGAGGATGAATGGGGTGGTGTTTGCTTGTGTCACATAGACTGTCTCTGTGCCTGTTTCAGTGATCACCTTCGTCATCCAGGCCGTGACGGAGACGGGACAAGCTGAGTCTCCCAATGTTGTGTTTGATCCCAGCGCCATAGGAAATGTTGGTAAGTCACCATCTTGTGTTGTAGGGCACAATCTTGTGTTGTAGGAAATGTTAGTAGGTCACCATCTTGTGTGGTAGGTCACAATCTTGTGTTGGGTGTAATGTTAGTTGGTCACCATCTTGTGTGGTAGGTCACCATCTTGTGTTGTGGGTAATGTAGGTAGGTCACCATCTTGTGTGATAGGTCACCATCTTGTGTTGGGGGTAATGTTAGTAGGTCACCATCTTGTGTTGTAGGTAATGTTGGTAGGTCACCATCTTGTGTTGTAGGTAATGTTAGTTGGTCACCATCTTGTGTGGTAGGTCACCATCTTGTGTTGTAGGTCGCCATCTTGTGTTGTAGGAAATGTTGGTAAGTCACCATCTTATGTTGTAGGGCACAATATTGTGTTGTAGGAAATGTTAGTAGGTCACCATCTTGTGTGGTAGGTCACAATCTTGTGTTGGGTGTAATGTTAGTTGGTCACCATCTTGTGTGGTAGGTCACCATCTTGTGTTGGGGGTAATGTTAGTAGGTCACCATCTTGTGTTGTAGGTAATGTAGGTAGGTCACCATCTTGTGTGATAGGTCACCATCTTGTGTTGGGGGTAATGTTAGTAGGTCACCATCTTGTGTTGTAGGTAATGTTGGTAGGTCACCATCTTGTGATGTAGGAAATGTTGGTAGGTCACCATCTTGTGTTGTAAGAAATGTTGGTAGGTCACCATCTTGTGTTGTAGGTCACCATCTTGTAATGTAGGTAGGTCACCATCTTGTGTTGTAGGAAATGTTGGTAGGTCACCATCTTGTGTTGTAGGTCACCATCTTGTGTGGGGGGTAACGTTAGTAGGTCACCATCTTGTGTTGTAGGTCATCATCTTGTGTTGGGGGTAACGTTAGTGGGTCACCATCTTGTGTTGTAGGTAATGTAGGTAGGTCACCATCTTGTGTGGTAGGTCACCATCTTGTGTTGGGTGAGGTGAGGTGAAATTGGGTTTAACGTCGCGTCCAAGATTATTGCACTTATATAGCGACGTGCATGCACGTGTATGTGTGTGTGTGGCTGCTTGTACTAGTCCGGACTGATGCCGATTTATAGTGCTAGCTCACTGAGATACCATGCCCCAGTTTAACATGAATACCCCACTCAGACACAGTATACTGACTCCGAGCCGACCAGTCCTTGTTTTAGACCCTTAATGCCGAGCGCCAGACAGGGTAACAATCTTGTGTTGGGGGTAACATTAGTAGGTCACCATCTTGTGTTGTAGGTAATGTAGGTAGGTCACCATCTTGTGTGGTAGGTCACCATCTTGTGTTGGGGGTAATGTTGGTAGGTCACCATCTTGTGTTGTAGGAAATGTTAGGTAGGTCACCATCTTGTGCTATTGATTGGAAGGAAGGTTCAGAGATTTTTGATGCTAATGTACTGAATATAATGACCCACACCTAATGCTCATCATATTTTGTTCACTTTTTTCATGACACTCCCTGAAAAGATAAAGTACAAAAGCACTCAATATTTTATTATAAAATGTCTGTTTTTTCATGGCCCTTCCTAAATACGTATTTTTGGGGTTTTTTACCCTCCCCTAAAGATATGTAATTTATTTATGCACTGTTTATATATCACAGCCAACTAAAATATATGAAATGTCCATAATCATATTTAAGACTATAGTTTCCAAATGCTTCAACATGGCCTGACCACTGTCCTTCAGGCACCACTGCACCGCCCGTCCCCACCAAGACTGACAAGGTCGTTACCGACCTACCGTTCTACCAGGAGATCTGGTTCATCATCATCATGGTCTTCCTGGGACTCTTCCTCATCTTCCTCGTCGTCTTCATCTGCGTGAAGTCATTCGGAGGTCGTAAGGCTTACGTGAGAGAGAGGGCGCCACTTCACAGCCGAGTCCAGAAGCCACTGACGACACGGCCGTACTACATCGATGCCTCAAATGGCAGTGTCATAGAATCGGTGAGTTATATAATTATATAGTCTCTATTATAAACCATGTCAAGGTCTTTTGAAAGGACTCATATATCCTACCCTCCAAGACTGTTCTGAAACTGCATCAAGGACTTGCCATTGATAGATTATAAAGTGAGGTAAATTCAAAATTTTAACACAGCAACAGTTAAAGTGGGTGGTCTGGCGAGTGAGAAAGTCATGAAACAAAATATTGATTGGCCTTAGTCAAAGAATAATTTTTTTTCTCTAAAATAACATGACTCAATATTTGTGCCTGATAAATTCCATTATCCTGTATTTGTGTGTGGATGAATGGGATGGTGTTTGCGTGTGTCGCAGAGTTTGCTAGACTGTCTCTGTGCCTGTTTCAGTGATCACCTAAAATATTGAAATTGGGCAAGGTTTGAGAAACATTAGTTGTTTGGTGTCCTGGCAATTTTGTCCCAAAGATATATGTTTTAAGGGGCAATTATTTCATATTTCTTAGTTCCTTATATTTCTGAAGCAATTGGGCACCAAAAATGTTCCTCAAAGGAATTATTGTTAATATTCCTTAAGGAAGAAAATTTATGGATGTCAACTTCTTTATTATGAGGAAGACAACATTTCGGAGTACATGCTTACTCCTTCATCAGGTGATGTACTCCGAAACATTGTGTTCCTCATAATAAAGAAGTTGATATCCATAAATTCTCTTCCTTATGTGTATCTCTTCTAAATGCCTTTCAACATGTTCAAAGACCTAATATTCCTGAGTTCCAGACATGGCAGACACTCCATCCATTGGCAGGATACAATTCCACATAATTGCACCACTGTGTTCATCCATTCCATCATCATGTCACTCACCATGCTGTCTCGGACATAATGTTTTCAAGAGTGTTTTATATTTACAGGACTTTCAAGTCCGTGCCCCAAGTCGAACCCAGAATGTAGCATCTTACCAGGGCCCAGACATGGGTGTCATCAACCCCGCTTTCCTTCATCCCACAAACGAGCGCTACTCCTTCGACAAACTCTCCCGCTCCTCCAAAACAGAAGAAGATGAGGATGCATACTGGGACAAGAACTTCGATAGTGGATGGGTACGTGTGATGTATGAGTTGTGAATCAGGTCATGATGCTTGTCCTTGAGGGATAGATAGGCCACAGGGTATCCACAGATCAGGGCATATAGAGTGTTTGTTTGTTGGTTTGTTGTACAACACCACACTCCGCAATATTCCAGCTATATGACGGCGGTCTGTAAATAATCGAGTCTGTACCAGACAATCCAGTGATTGATATCCTGAGCATCGATCTATGCAATTGGGATACAATGACATGCATCAACCAAGTCAGCGACCCGGACCAGGCGATCCTGATAGTCGCCTCTTCCGACAAGCATGGGTTGCTGAAGACCTGTTCTACCATGTATCTTCACGGTTTTGAAGACTCAATGAGCTGTATGTGTCTGTCTCAAGATTAATGTATGCAGCAAGCATATTAGACATACATTTTGTCATTGTCACTACAAGGCAATGTCAACGGTCACAAATTACATGATAACAAAGAAGAAACTATTTTTGTTCAGACATAAAAAAATAATTTTTGTTCAGACATAAAACTGGTATTTATAGTAAGGTCAATGATTATTATTTGATAATAACCAACTTTCCTTGCGTGATTGTGAGTTTAATGGAAAATAATTGTGAAAAAACAGGTGACAAAATTATGGTTGACGGACTATAAACGAGCTCCCGTGTAATACAATTTCATGAAACGAGTGAATAGTTGTGGTATCTGATGAGTTAAAGCGATATTATCATGATAAACCTATGATGTAATTTGTTAAATTTTGGTGCGAGAATCACCAGCAAAACAATGCCATGTGCGTCAGCCTAACAACAGGGTTGCTGGAGTCATCGATTGTGCATGAACTCTATCATCTCTACACGCAATGTCATTGAATAAGCCAAGCAATGTTGAGAGTTTTCAATACTTGTTAGTAAAACTAGTTCCAGCAGTACAGAAGCACTCGCTTTGGTATTAAACACTGTGCTATATCAGCTTATTGTTATTCAACAGTGGTATCTTTAATCACACTCTGTCACAGTGGTGTCTCAGCATAACACCACTGCCACAGGCTAATTTGCATATCACGTGACCGGACTTTTCTCTTGTTTGTAAACAAACGCGCTTTTTCAGAAATCAGTATAGAACGGACTAATGCAAGTATTTGGTATATGCTTTAGATATTGTTTTGCATAATTATATAGATATGCTACCACAACTGCGACAGTGAGTTGCATGACAATATATATTTATACATCAAAGTGACCGTATCGCTAGCTCTCCGTAAGGCTTTGATGACAGCACGTGGAGCCGTACCACCAATGTAAACAAAGGATAACTACGCAAAAACAAGTAGATTTTCACGTTTTAGGATACTTTCTTAATGAACCGTAACCATTCTTTGACATTTTTTTATAAAAATGTGTAGACTTGTCAAACATGAAACGGATGAAAGCATATGCAATATCTTGAATGGACTGTGAAAGATGTGACGAATCATCACATTACGCTGGCCTGTGGCAGAGGTACTATGCTGGCTGGCTGCCGGCCTCGAGGAACTCTGGGTAGGAGAGTGATCTTTAATGGGCACCGGGTAATCAAAATGCATTTTCTATATTGCAGTATGATGAGGATGCAGAAAGTCTGAATGGACCTGCTTACAGTTACACCCGAGAACAGACGGTGTTTACAGACACACATCTATGATGGACAATACCTACAGCATCATCAACCATTAGCGCCACTTCGGTATTCTGGGAACCAATGAGTGGTGGGAAGACATCTGTGCATTAGCCACATATACACCAATCTGTCCATTGTTATCATCCTGTACATGACTTAGCCTAGACATATTTATAAATGCCAGGGATATATCTAGGATTTCAAACTAAGTACCCTTGGTAGGCATATTGGGGAAAAAATCATTATTTATCAAAATATGGAATCATGAATATTTAATGTCATTATTTTCTTAGATTCCGAAGTATTACAACATCGTATTCAATACAGTAATTCCTTTTCCTTTTTATTGGTCATGTTGTCAATAAAATACAAGTTCTCTCTACTAAGCCATAGTATTAGTTATTAGTCCAACAAAATTAATATAAATAGAGAAAATCTTAATTCCATGTTGGGAAATTTTACTGCCTTAGCGGCAGACATGGGGACAAATATCGGTCTCTGAGTGGACCTAGGTAAATCCCTGAATGCATCATTAACAAGGTCAATATGCTTTTTTCAAAGGGAACAAAACAAGAGACAGACAGCAATATGTATAATAAATAGGGAATATTATTGACTTATATACACAGTATATACACAGAGGCATTCTGTATCTTGAATAAGTGTGGCAAAATATTTTTGAATAAAGTTGAACATGTTTAAGGTTAACACAAGTGGCCATATTTCTGATGTTTGATCTACTTACATAACTATTGTGATTGTTTTACTCTGTTCATATTCATGCCACTTTTCATGTCTCTATTATATCCATATAAATAGAAACATTAAAAACAAATTCTTCTTAGGCAATGGATGCAACTTGGTGGAAGTTGCATATTATTTTTTATAATACCATAAGTATGCTGCTAGCTGAAATATTGATGGTAGTTCTGTCTGTTAGTCACTGATGCTATGGAAAAAAAGGCAGACAAACATCAATCTCACACTGTTAGTAGTTTCTCGTGGGCCAAGGGCAGATACCTGGTCGTTGTTGATCTGATGATGGATAGGGTGATGTACAGAATGCACTCATTGTCAGGGACTGGTCATTTATTATAGGGGGAGATGGGCAGTGAAAGAGGGTGGGCTTGCCAAAATATATCACAACTTTATTTTATTTTTTTTGAGGTGGGAGGAGAGCTTAAAATAGTGGGGTGTCAGCAAATTTGATCGTCCTAAGATCAAACACCCCACACCAGAGCACCCCACCCTCCCCTATAAGAAATGACCAGTCCCTCATGCTTCTATCACTTCTGATCACTTCTGTCCATTTTTCATGTAAGTTATTTTTTATAAGGGCATGTGCAATAGAGTATTTTGTAAAGCATGTAGTCAATACCTATGCCAGTGTGATAACCAGTGCACCTCCTGTGTATTAGCCAATGAAGTCGGACGAAACATGAGCAAGAGGTATGCTTTTGTAAATAGTGGTCATCTACAGGTTTGTCATATATTCCTACAGGAATTTGGCACCTATTCTAAAAATGACCCACTTTTTGTCGCATACTAGAATGAAGACAGATGTTTATATTAGTTGTATCTGATTCCCTGTAAATACACCATCTAATTCTCTGTTATTCACTACATCTGGGGAAACCGGACTATGGTTCTTCACCATACATCATGATAATAGATTCATTACATCCTTTAGTAATCTGTTACAAGTTTAATTGGAGGTATTAAATCACACAGCACCAAAAGGGGTGATTTCTATGTGCTGGATTCCTGTCGGATACCACCAGATGCCAAAAATGCATCTAGTTATCTGGTAGTGGATACACTTTGGATACCCTATCCCTGGTATCCGTTTCCAGACACCTTTGTGGATACCCAGCCTTTTGGAATCTGTGGATCTTGATCCTGGATGTAAATCACCCCTTTTGGTGCTGTGTCAGTGGTGAAGGAACCTATCACTGCCTGTTTAATTCGACTGCATATCATCCTGATGTCTCCAGCTGTTTCTTCAGCATTATACATGTTATATCTCCAGTGTCATACAAAAAACAATCACAATGGATTCGTTTAGATTTTGTATTATTTATTTCATATCACATCAGTAAAATAATGTCATTGTTTGTACTTATGGAGAATAGTACCTCTCATCTTTGTACAATATTTTGCAATAAAATAAGTTCCAATACTTCAGCACTTGTAACATTTGTAACATAGTGTAATGGCACTGATGTTTGAGTGAATGAGTGAGTGAGTAGGATGTTACACCACCTTCAGCAAATATAGCGACCTGTAGATAATCAAGTCTAGGCCGGGCAGATTGGTGGTAGATCGCACGAGCAACGATCCCAGGAATGATGGTGTGATCACACAATCCAACATGTTTGTCACACAAGTAGCATGGTAAATGGGGACGGATTCCGTCCACAGTGTCCTGTGGGTTGTGCAGGTTGGAATTGGTCCCTAACATTTCTCTGCATATTTAATGAACAACGTACACAACACCATCCTGACTAGTCAAACCCACACGATTCACACCATCACCCATAGTTAGCATGTGACACCATTATGATCTTGCGTTCAAGACTTTAAACAAAATATCCACCAACCTTGGTTATTAGGTGGTAAATAAGGTTTAGTGTCCTATTCAAGATTATTGCACATGCATGCTTGTGTGTCTGTCTGCTTGTACTAATCCAGACTAATGCTGGGTTTATAGTGACAAAGTAGACACAATTTATGGATAACAACTTCTTTAATACTTCTTTAATACTTCTTTGTCAAGCAACGGTATAAGGATCTATACCGAAACATCGCCTTTACAGTATCAAAGAAGTTGTTATCCATAAATTGTGTCTACTTTGTCATCTGTCAACTTCTAAGTAATGCCTCTCAAACAATTCGGGTTTATAGTGCTAGCCAACTGAGATACCATCAGCAGTTTAACATGAACACTACACTGAGACATATTAAACGGACTCCAAGCTGATCAATCCTTGTTTATCCAAACACTTGCCAGGGTAACAAGTACGATCTTTAAACATCTTTGGTTTGACACATCCGGGAAATGAACCACAGACTCTCCCGGCAGACGCTCGGTCCAAGAGACCACAGAGACAGTCTCTGTAAATTAATGAGTGAGTTAACACTGCCAGTATTTCTTTCACATCAAAGTGTGTCGGCTTAATCATGTTGATGTGAAAGAAAAGGTCAATGGAACTGATGCATTTCCTTGAGGCTAAAACTCCTAGTAAGATGCTGTGATCAGGGGTAGATTTTCCAACAAATACGTATGTAGCCAGCAGAGCTTGCTCCTTTCAATAGTAACTGTCCTGTCTCTTAACTAACTGGCCCCAAAACTAAATGTTGGAGCCCACGAATAAGTTAACAAGTGGGCTCTGAAAACTTTAGAGTGCCTCACCCCTGAAACGTCATTTCCTGCACCGAGATTAAATCTTGGCTTCCATTTGCTTCATTTCAAGCCAGTTTTAAGAGCAAGTAAAGATGATGTACAAAATGGCCGCTGGTTGTGTAATTCCACCGAAATGATCTTTGAGTTACCCATTCACACGACCACATCCCCCCTGAATACTTTTTCATCGTAATAACATGATTCACGAGCAGTGACCAATTAAAAAAATTAAACATACACAGAGAAGGGGTGAAATTTTGACTAGCCTGACTACTTTATGTTTCAGCAAGCATTTCGTAATTTTAACTGGCCGTGAGCCAACGGGCCAGCAGTTAAATCAACCCCTGTGTAAATCTCAGCACACATGACACACTACAGCGCCACCAGCATTCAGCATGGGCGTATTCAACACAACGGTTATCTCTGCATCAGCATGCACAACATATAAACAACACTCGCCTTGATACATGCAACACAACCATGACAACAGTGCTGCTTCTCTTGTCTCATACCACAACACTGCTTCTCTCATCATACACAATACCAGTGTCAGCAGGGCTCGTAGTATCAATTTAACATTCAATATTAAGCCCCAGGGAACTGGCTGCATTTACAGACAAGTTCCATCACTGACAATACAGTGCTGTGTCTCTCGGCTCATACACATGACAATATCACACTGTGTTCATAGCAAACAGATTGAAGCAAACCAAGGAGAAGTCTTTCATGTGTAGTATCAACAGTGCAGCATGTGTTTTGTAAATATCAGAGCACCTGTTGGCAAAGAGACCCTGAATGCAAGAAGCAGGGATGATGATTAATGAGATGTCACGTAGTGAGTGAGTACGGTTTTCTGCTTTTAGCAATATTCCAGCAATATCACGGCGGGGGACATCAGAAATGGGCTTCATACATTGTACCCATGTGGGGAATCAAACCCGGGTCTTCGGCGGAACGCTTTAACCACTAGGATACCCCACCGCCATGTTGTCACGTAGACCTACAGTAGTAATACAGCCTATCTCCTATTCCCATGATGAGGCCGGTGTTTCCTTCCCGATTGGCCCACCGTGTAGAGTACTGCACTGCTGGGATTGTCTCCCTTGTTACAGGGCATGGCGGGGGCACAGTCTTCAGCAGTTCACCAGTCTTCACAGACCAGAATCTTGTATAGCAGTCCTGTCCAGCTGAAACAAACCACTTCATTTACACTTCTGTGTTAATACATAATCGATAACCTCCATACCACACTTGCTCTCTCATCAACTCACCTCCATACAACACCTGTCCTCTCATCAACTCACCTCCATACTACACCTGTCCTCTCATCAACTCACCTCCATACCACACTTGCTCTCTCTTTACTCACCTCCATACAACACCTGTCCTCTCATCAACTCATTTCCATACACCTGTCCTCTCATCAATTCTCCTCCAGACAACACCTGTCCTCTCATCAATTCACCTCCATACAACACCTGTCCTCTCATCAATTCACCTCCATACAACACCTGTTCTCTCATCAATTCACCTCCATACAACACCTGTCCTCTCATCAACTCATTTCCATACACCTGTCCTCTCATCAATTCTCCTCCATACAACACCTGGACTCTCATCAACTCACCTCCATACAACACCTGCTCTCTCATCAACTCACCTCCATACAACATGTGCCCTCTCATCAACTCACCTCCATACAACACCTGTCTCTCATCAACTCACCTCCATACAACACCTGCCTTCTCGTCAACTCACCTCCATACAACCCTTGCCCTCTCATCAACTCACCTCCATACAACACATGTCTCTCATCAACTCACCTCCATACAACACCTGCCCTCTCATCAACTCACCTCCATACAACACCTGCCCTTTCATCAACTCACCTCCATACAACACCTGCCTTCTCGTCAACTCACCTCCATACAACACATGTCTCTCATCAACTCACCTCCATACAACACCTGTCCTCTCATCAACTCACCTCCATACAACACCTGCTCTCTCATCAACTCACCTCCATACAACACATGTCTCTCATCAACTCACCTCCATACAACACCTGCCCTCTCATCAACTCACCTCCATACAACACCTGCCTTCTCGTCAACTCACCTCCATACAACACATGTCTCTCATCAACTCACCTCCATACAACACATGTCTCTCATCAACTCACCTCCATACAACACCTGCCCTCTCATCAACTCACCTCCATACAACACATGTCTCTCATCAACTCACCTCCATACAACACCTGCCCTCTCATCAACTCACCTCCATACAACACCTGCCTTCTCGTCAACTCACCTCCATACAACACATGTCTCTCATCAACTCACCTCCATACAACACATGTCTCTCATCAACTCACCTCCATACAACACCTGCCCTCTCATCAACTCACCTCCATACAACACCTGCCCTCTCGTCATCCTCACCTCCATAAAACACATGTCTCTCATCAACTCACCTCCATACAACACCTGCCCTTTCATCAACTCACCTCCATACAACACCTGCCCTCTCATCAATTCACCTCCATACAACACCTGCTCTCTCATCAACTCACCTCCATACAACACCTGTCCTCTCATCAACTCACCTCCATACAACACCTGCTCTGTCTCATCCAACTGTAGTGGTATCCGACTGTATCGGTTGAAGAGTCCGGAATACTCAATCACTGCCCGCTGCATGCGCACATCCCACATCTTCACCTGGATTGAAGAAGATCCACACTTTCTAACAACCACCAGTCACGATTTACACCCGTGAGAAAAGCATTAACCACTTGTAATAGGTATTAGCCTGAGTTTCGTATTGCAATATATTGCAACAATGATTCATGTACTGTGATACATACCACAGTATATTGCATATGTTCTTTCATCTGTAATTTGTTATAAACCTGAGCATTTGTAGAGCATGGGGACGCCATTTGTGGATCATTAAATATCTTTAAAAAAATTTAAAAGTCACAGTATTTGCACACAGCAATATTATCTTTGATTTTTTTATCATGTTTTCTTTTTTTAAGCCAGAAATAGACCCATACATTGTATTTGCCAGCAGTAGAAACTAACAGTTTTAGTCCACTAGTCCTTATAATGATAACATATAGTAAGACCCTTAAAAAGGGCAAATTTCTACTAGCCCTTATGATGCCTTAACTATTAACTAACGCTGGATTTACCATGAATATTTTTGATAACTTCATATTCATCAACCATGTTGTTGGATATTACTATGGTTACATATGCACGCCTGATAGACACATCATATACAGGAAGCTGGTTGCAAATGGTTTCACTTTTTACGGCCACAGGAATAAGTTGCTAATTTCCGATTTTAAAATTTTTAATCTCACCTTTCACTAATGTAAACTTTGCCAACAAGATGAAAATATCGATGATTTTGAAAAGCACAGTAACCAGCATTTTCTAATGTATTGCGATATGCAGCATTAGAAATTGGCACTAGTCCTGTAGTCCTTGCCAAACTGCCCAATAGTTAAGATATCATTTTTAAGGGTTTTGCCAATTGTTATCATCATAAGGAGTAGTGGACTAAAACTGTTAGTTTCTAACATGTCTAATGCTGGATATGTATTCATTAGTATTTCATGCACCTCTATGAACCACAGTAAGCTCCACATCTTTAGATCATCAGACTACTATGGCAGTTGCCTTCCTCCCTGGCCTACATGGAACACTTACCCTTCCTGAAATGTCACTTGAGAACAGTTCATTTTCCGAGCTGCTAATCCTGAGGGAGGAAATGCTTGTCTTGTGTCCGAGGTAGGTGCTTGGTTGAGTTGGCAGGCTGCGCAGGTCATGGCACAAGACAACCCCATTCCTCCCGCCACTGTACAGGTTGTGTCCTGACTGGAAGGTAGTAGAAAGTCATGGATTCATCATCCAAAACTGGCTTCCACTGGCGATATCACTAAGGCGATATCTCCTCATATTCCCGAGGCAAGGGAGTTAACTGACTGTAAAAGTCCATTTTCCTCCCTTGCTGAACTAGGCTAGAATTATGGAATTATATTTTGGTTGGACTAAATTCTAATGACTAATGTATAGTCCAATCAAAATCGTGTAACGACATCCGGTTCATGAACTCCAAAGCAGATTTGCAGGATTTGCAAAGCATGTGTACCACCAACTCGACGTCAACAGATATTTTCCAAATATTTTCATGTTTTCAATCAAGGTGCTCACGAAGTAAGACAGTTTTATCACGATATAGATTTTGATTATCGATCAAATCGACCTTACTGGGTGCCGCCACTTTGTTTGAAGTAAATGCAAGTGATATGAAAGGTGGAATCTGATTGGTCAATGAGGGACATAGAAGGGACATTACTCCTAAAAGCCATTGGTGGCACTGCGATTGAGCTCTGAAATTCCAGCCTAGTTCAACAAGGGTGGAAACTGGATTTTTACCACTTTTACAGTCAGTTAACTCCCTTGACTCAGGAAGATATATCTCAATAATGTAATCAAATTGCATCAAAGTACTTTGCAGACTACTGTAAAATCATCAGTTACCATGACATCACAATCAAATTACATTCATCATCCCTCTGCCAGTGCCACTGATGCCAGTTAGCAGTACCTTTTACACTGCAGACATACATATCAGGGCTTACAAACACAGTTGGAAGAATGATGTTCTACATGCTGGATGGTAAATAGAATAAAACAATACATCAAAAGACCTGCCGGTGAGATTCTCTATTTAGCATGTTCATATAAAAGGCTAAACATATATATAATTTGATTTCAAAGAACCGTAAATCTGGAAAGTTTTGCCAGCAGGCAAGTACTGCGAAAACTGTGAGTAACACACTTGCAATAGTTTCACAACACAGTTATATTTGACATGTTTGTAGATCAACTAAAACGCCAGGAGGTATATTTCTTCTGTTTTCTTCCACACTTTGTCAACCAGTCAGTTGCCTAATTAACATGACTAAATCAATAATCCCTCCCATTTCCTTAATTACACTTTGTCTGATCAGAAACATTTACAGACCTGCCACATCTTGTCTATTAGCTTACATAACACTGAGCAGTCCAGACATATGCCAGCCAGTCAATACTGTTAGATAAACATGCTACTCCAACCTTCCCTTGTCAACTAAAACAACACATGCATCTATAGTTAACATGGTTAATAAAACACTGAGTTACCCTTTCCTCATGCCGCTGACTACTTATAAAAAATAACACATGCAGAAGTAGCTTTGATCATTGGTAATCTCATGAACAGGGTCTCGCAAAAAGTTCCAAACGCAGGAAAGGCTAGTGTTTTAAACACTTGATAATTTCATGTCGCAAAACTTCCCAGATTTACAGTAAATTATAACAATGTCCGTTAATGATTGCTTATGGCAGAACCACTGGGTTTAATCCTTTTCTATCAAAACAATTAATATGAAATTCAACAAAACATGCCCCTCCTCATGCTGAACAACTCACGTTGGGTGAGAAGATTTGAGCAAAGGGATCACTGGTGCATGGGAACTCCCACATGCGCCTTGTCTCCACGTCCACCAACAGAGAGCGCTTCTCACTCCCCACACTGAACTGTTGCCTGGCATAGTTCCACGCACATGTCCAGGTCGCCCTGGACCCAAGATCAAAATCAAAGTACTCCTCTTGGCGCCGAGTCTTGTCCAGATTCCTGATGAAAGCTAAACTGAAGGAGTTGCCGGTATGGCATATGGTGGTGTACAACACATGGTTCCGATCGGGAGACTTAATAAACGGAGCCCAACATACGTTAGAGATCTTATTCCATGACTGAAGAACCGTAGTCCCTGTTGCACCGATATCGAGCGAGAGCGTGGCGCTGCTGTCTGTCCTTTGCTTCTCCCCGAGATGCAACAGTTGCAGTCTCTGCATCACCGTCTCCTTCACCGACCACAGTCCTAGAATCTTGTCCTTGTCCCGGCTAGTGTCCATCATCAGCATGTGATCCAGGGATTCGTGGACTCCACGAGGAGCATCCAACACAACCCACGACCCAGCTGGTTTCAGAGACCCGATGTCTGACATCACCATCTGATTCTTAAGATGTGTCTGCCCAATATCACCTCTTTCACTTCTACACAGTAGGTGAACCAAATTGGCCGTCCGTTTTGGGAGATTAGAATCTGGTTTGGTTCGATTTGAAGACACAAGTTCAGACAAATCTTTAAGTCTCTGTTTTTCGGCCTGATCCCTTTCAATTTTTTCCTTTGTGACAACATTAACATTGTTGTTACTGGACAGGATCTTGAAGTACTTCTTCTGATCTGGGTCATAGTAGAAGCCTGGTATCTGTGCTCAGTGTTAAGGACAATCTGTCAGTGTACAAGCCTCCACTTTCAACAATTTCAAACTGAATAATACATTCAGAAAATACACAGAATACTCAAACTGCAACAAAATGGCTTTTTACAAGTCAAAGTATGGCATTTATGATATATGTATCCACTCTCTGTCAACTAACTTTCATTTCAATGTGACAATAATGGTAGTGTGACTGTGGCTGCTGAAAATAACGGCGAGTTGGTGCGATCTGCCAATCTGTTCACACACAATTTAGCAGAAATTAATGTAAACATTATCAAATGAAAGTTTGAATAAAATTAATAAAATAGATTACAAACTTCAGTTCAGACATACAATGAATACTTTTTCTGACAAGATTGTGTAATACCAGGATAAAATTAACACTGTGATCACATGGTTCCTGACCTTTCGGTTCCCGACCTTTGATGTTAGATGCTGCATGATGAATTGCCACAATAGTGTGTAATTTGCACTGTTGATAAGTCCGCATCCAGAAACATTTTAAGTTATGCATATTTCATTTCATGTAAATATATCATCTGATAGATGAGGTTTCTGATACTAGTATATAAACATATCCAGATGCATATCCATAGCAATATGAGCTACTATATATAACACATTATTTGCACATGCAGCGCATATATCATTATATATATTACATTTTACACTGTAAATTTCAACTTACAGTGTCCACCATGACTGAGATCGATTCTACATATTCTTTATGTTGTGCAACTTTAATTTCACTTGTGAACCATTGTGTAACAGAAGCAGTCCACATTCGCCGCCACTATCAACAGAGATCAAGGCTATTTCATTTCATCCGCCTACTATGAACTCATTAACATGATTAAGTAATTATCACTTATCCTGTTTAATTGGCTTCATGTCCCATTGGCTTCCACCTATGTGTTCTGTCCATCGGGATGTGACAGTATTATCCTCCGTCATTACTTACTCATGTTATCCCACTCATGTATCCAATTGTTGTTACTGTTAATCCTCTCCTGTTAATCATCCACCTACTACAGTGATCCCTCGCTACAACGCTACCAATGGGGTCCAAATAATTGGTGGGCGCTATAGACGATGAGCCGTTTAACCGAGGCCGAGGCGGGGGAGCGCGCTCGGCCAATCTCACGATCTTCGCCTTGTATCGCACATTGCAATGATACAGGTTGTTCATAGTGTAAAAATAAAGATATATATATATTCTGTACAATGTCTCTCATTCAGTCTTGCTTGACAACGGTATAAGGATCTATACCAAAACGTCACTTTTTACAGTATTAAAGAAGTTGTTATCCATAAATTGTGTCTACTTTGTCATTGGTCAACTTCTAAGTAATGCCTATCAAACAATTCATTGTGTATACATGTTAAACATCTGTTTCCGTTCTACATGTAATTGAATTTGAAAGTCCATGGTAAAATCTGTGATACAAATACCACCACCGTTTGGTTCTAGTGATATGTAAAGGATATGAGGAGCTTCTGAAGTTTGACTCTTTGAAGTACAGGCCTCACTTGAGGTGTCTTCAACTCTTTTAGTCGTCTGGCGAGACTTCCTTTTCTTCTTGTGATACCTTTTAGATGACATGGCACACTGGTTTCTCTTGTTGGACTGGTCACAGTGTCTTTCTTGGGATGCAGAACTGCTGGAGATGTATTGTTTTCCTTTTTTCTTCCATTTCTTCGGCTCTTGGTGATGATCAGCACTAGCAGCCACTTGTTTCCTCTTACCTTCTGTGTGGTGGCGACTTGTCGAGGGGGAGCTGGTGTCAGGCGGAATGCGGTCTTTACCCATAGCTTCTTAATCAGTCATTAATCATTTATTATTCTGTGCAAAGCTCACTTCGACGACTGAAACAGATTAAATCAAGCGTAATACTTCAATGAGAATATCTCTCTGCCCTTAGACACATGTTAGACTTCCACTACCCAGGAAGAGGATTATGCAAATGTCACTATAAATTCAAGCAGCTTATAAGCATGATCAAATGCTAAAACAGACTGGAGCAAAATACACGCAATCAGGGGTAAGCGTAAACCCACAAAAATTCCCAAGTTAGCCAACGCCCATACAGTCAACGAAAAGGCCAACATTCTAGCTGAGCACTTCTCATCTGTCAGCAGCAACACAAATTGCAGCAAAGAATTTAAACAGGCAAAAATGCTTATGCCTAAGATCTCAAAACGGCCGCAAAGCAAGCATCTGGTATACAATATACCATTTACTGTGACAGAGTTTGATGATGCGATACAACATAGAAAAGGCACAGCACCTGGTCTTGACACAACCAGCTACGAGATATTGAAAAACCTACCTGATCAAACCAAAGGCTTACTCACTGAGTTGTATAACACGATATGGTCAAAAGGAGAAGTCCCAAAAGCATGGAAACATGCTGCGGTTATCCCGCTGCTAAAGCAAGGGAAAGACGAAGCCCTACCAAACTCTTATCGACCGATCTCACTCACCTCAAACATGTGCAAAGCCATGGAAGCCATGGTTACAAAAAGGCTCATGCATCACCTTGAAACTGGCAACCACATAAAACCTGACCAAAGTGGCTTCAGGAAGGGCCACTCGTGTCTAGATCATATTCTAAGACTGGAAAATGAAATAAAAAAAGCCCAATTAAACAGACAATACCTAGCCGCAGTATTTCTGGACTTCAGCAAAGCCTTCGACATGGTATGGCATGACAGACTCCTCTCAAAACTATCACAAAATGGAGTTGAAGGGAACATGGCAAACTTCATAGACAGCTTCCTGCAAGACAGGTCGCTTTCCGTTAAAATAGGGAACAATCGATCGGATCCTATGGCACTGGACAATGGCACGCCACAAGGCAGCATTATAAGCCCAACCCTGTTTAATATCATGATCAATGATCTTTTTGACCATGTCAACTCTCCTACCCAAACTTCTAAGTTCGCTGATGACGGAGCAATATGGGTAAAGCACAGAGATATCTCACAAATCAGAAAAAAACTCCAGTCAGCCCTGGACGGAGTAGATCAATGGTGCAATAAATGGGGATTCACCCTTTCAAGTGAAAAAACTGTTGGAGTTCTATTCAAACGCCAGGGGAAAGATGCTATGATACCCTGTGTCTCCATAAAAGGCAAACCTATCAAATTCGAAAAATCTGCAATATTTCTTGGAGTTATCCTTGATCAACACCTCACTTGGCGCAAGCATATAGAATATGTGGAAAACAGATGTCAAAAAGACCTGAACGTATTACGGGCAATTTCAGGCACATCGAGGGACACTCAGCTGGACCTCTACAAAGCTCTTATCAGATCAAAATTGACTATGGTTGTGAGGCTTTTCACTCAGCATCAAATACTGTCTTGAGGCGACTAGACAGAATACAATACAAAGCCCTAATACTGGCCACAGGCGCAGCGACAGGCACCTCACTAGAAGCACTACAAGTAGAAACGGGAGAACTCCCATTGAAACTAAGACGAGAGCAGGCAATATTATCGTTCTGGGGACGAACATCAAACCCTTTGGTTAAAAAGATATGGCAAGACAAAAACGCTCGAGATGAGGCCCTAGCTCGAAAAAATCCCTCACTAAAGCCATCTGGGATATTAGTACGTGAACTCATTCGAAGTCACAATTGCGATGACATTCAGCCTCCACTACAAAGGGTTACACCCTCCCTGGACTTTACAAACTCCCAAAGTTGACACTGCTTTAACATCAGAAGTCACTAAAAGAGAAAACCCAACCCTACTACGATCAGTAGCTATCACTAAAATTCAAACTACCTGGGACAGCTGGGCCCATATATACACTGATGGATCCAAGAATCCTATCAACAACAGTGCTGGTTACGGGATCCATATCCACAGCTCCAAACCCCAAGCACATTCAGTTCGCTTGCCCGATGGTCAGTCAGTATTCACGGCTGAATTGGAGGCAATTCATCATGCACTCAAACTCATACCGGAACTCCCGGAAGCAAAGGCAGTCATCCTATCAGACTCGCTAAGTGCACTTCAGGCCATCAGTGGAAGAAACTCAAACTCCAGGCCAAACACAGTCAACAATATTCTATACGAATATACAAAACTATCGGACCAAGGGCAACAGGTGGAGCTGTGTTGGATCCCCTCTCACATAGATATTCATGGAAATGAAAAAGCAGACTCACTGGCGAAGCTAGCTCTAGACAAAGCGGATATACAGCCTATTCCCTTTAGTAAACTAGAGATAAAAAGCAAAATCAAAGCCTCCATAGCAAAAAGATGGCAAACCCAATGGGACGCAAGTAAGATCGGCAGATGGCTATACAAAATTCAACCCAAGGTCCAGCAAAAGCCAAACTCATACTCAAATGAAAGGAAAATTGAAACTGCTATCTCACGCCTCAGACTTGGTCACAAAAAGCACTATGACAAGGTTTGTTCATCTTGCAATCAGGCTGAAACCATTGACCACCTGTTACTAGAATGTCAAGACCATGCCCCAGCCCGGGCTAGGTTAAAACAAGAATTGCAGTTAGATCCGCTATCTGTCATAGATCTCCTAAAGCCAAGAGATGCAATAGCGAAGGCCAAACTAACTCTATTTCTGAGAGATGGACAGCTGCTCGAACGTATATGAACAGAGCAGCCAAGGATAAAAATGAAATCATATCAATATAAGAAAATAGAAATCATATCAATGCAAAAACAGAAATTATGTCACAATAGATATGTGAACCCTTCTCACACACAGGAGTCCCAAAGAGGGACAGGTCAGCCGAAATTGCCTAGGCAGAAGGCGACCTCTTAAACACCTAATGCAACAACAACAACAGCATGATCTTCTAAGTTAGAGGCATGACTTGATTTACATCTCAAATTAGGGGCTTGAAAATAGAGGTACATTCCTAAATTCATGTTAATTATTAATGACCTTACCTGAACAGATAATAAGATAACAAACTTCCATCAGTCCTTAATTTAAAAAACTCAATTTGCATTTAAATAAAACAATAATTATAATGATTATGAACAGATAAAAGATAAAACGAAAGCACGCGCAAGTAGAATAATAATGTGGAGAGTGAAAAGGTTGTGAAACCAACATCATGAACGCGTTGGCAGACGCAGTAACCTGTACACTGTATCAATATATATTCTTAGGTTACATAATGTCCGTGTAAGCAGCCAGTTTGGAGAAATAATAAAATAGGTTAGTGACATGAATTTCATCGCTTACCGATACAACAAGAGTTACTGTTCCTGCTTCAATACGATGTGCACTTTCCTACATGTTTATCTCAGATTCTGTTGACTGAATGTAAATTGAAAAGTGGAATGTGATTTAATATGAAACAAATAAATGGGATCTATATGACATTGTTATTTCAAAATATGACACTTCGTTGAACTAAGTGGCAGTTCTTTGGTCACATTTCTGTACATTATCTATATTGAATAAGATGACAACGATAATAATATTTTATCACATTCCGTTATTTTTGCACTCCTTGTTTTCATATCACTTCCGGGATAAACATGGCCCACGTGAGAGTTCAAGAAAATTTCTCAGAATCAGATTCTGACTCTATTAAAGAAGAGATATCGACCGGTGAGTAACTATACTAATCATAATTTGATTCTTGGTGTCTAGTGTTATCAGGATACGATTCACGTTGACACCAGTGCTTATCATCTGACCTGAAAACATTCCAAATGTAATGTATTTTTGCTTATATTCCCTTTTAGTTTTACTTAAGCGATACGCATTCATACATACATGAATTTTGTTTATAAACATGAACGTACATTCGCACACGCACACACACACATTTTAGTTTCATTCCTTGTTTTTTAACCAGCTCGTCACTGATCACTGACCACGCTGACAGTTGTCCATTTTAACCAGAAATGGGCCATTATGACAGAATCGCCTGGTCTGTCTTCGCGCTGCTCCCTTTTGACTGGCACAACAAAATTTTAAAAAAACTGGGGCCTACCTTTAGAATACAGTACCACAAACATTTCAAACAGGACACAATACCCTATGACGTAATTTGTAGTGTTCTGTTGCCAGTCAACCAGCGAAACAATGCCCTGTGACGTCAGTGGTCATCGTCAGTGTGCATAAGCTCCTCTCGATGATCTATCCTCAGTGGCTATTATAGATTCTATAGCAGCTCCTAATATTCTTCTCACAAAAACATTGAGAAAGCAGGATGAAATGGTTTACTGTCAAATATTTTGGCGACTGGAAACTGTCCTGGAACATTCATGCAAGCCACTTTCACTGCTACGTTTATTCAGTAATGAGTCCAAAGCGGACTCACCCTTGTGATGTCACTACCCATGCTTATTCCTCCCACATTCCTTATTATGATCCACATTATCCTTAGAGTGTTCCCTACCACACTTTTCTGTCACAAAAATCACCTGATAAATTATTAAATACCATGTCATTCATGATTACCCGCTAGTTTGACGTCTGACACCTGAATCGTTTTCTGTTTGTGCCATATTGGTTCATTCATCACCACTTGGTATCTTGTGGATTATGGAATGGGATGAATGTCCCAAATGGTATTGGGATCTTTCGTAAGCGTCAGTAGACTTAAGTCACGAGACACCATTCCTACCTGTCACCTTCGTAAGCGTCCATCAACTATTCGACCCTTTTCATTCAGTTCCATAACATCGTAGACATGACTAGGTAGTTTCACAGTGTGGACGCTGCTCAGTTGGTTGGCTGTCGGGCTAACAATCATAAGGTTGTGATTTCACATCCGACGGATTCTCACTAAAACTGGTTGCTTGTGTTTGAGGTGACCTACGGCACAGATCGTTGTCTCAAGAAGTTGTGGTACTGTATTCTAAAGGTGCTCCAAAACTGGATTTGATCTTGTCTTTAGAAATGATACATTTCTTATGATAATTCTCTTTTATGTTGAATATTAATATATTCCTCATATTATGACCTCCACATAACATAGACTACAAGTATAACAGTGTAGTGATTGATATCTTCAGATGATGGAGATGACGCCAAGATTGACAACACCAAAGCCGATGGCGCTCTACCTCCTTCTGGTCTGGCAGACGTCATGGCAGCCATTCTGACCAAGACTGTTCAGAAGAAGGGTGCAGTTATTCTTGCTAAAGGTCAGACAGATAAAGAAATCCGTGTTCGAAAGAGAAAGAGAGACAAAGAAGAAGGGAAAGTTATTGAAGATGACAGTGATTCTGATGTTGAGAACAAAAGAGAAAAATTTGAAAAGGTTCTTATGATGCTCATATTGTCATGATAAAACTTGTGTGCTTTACTTGTGTCTTTATCTAGCTGGAATATTGGTTAATAGTGTCATAAAACACCATTCATTCAGTCACTATCAAACTTGAAAGTTTGGACAGATTTGATCATGGTTGTCTTGTCTGTTATATAATATTTGTTTCAGGTTGTTTGTAAAATATTTGTGCAGCTGTCTAACAATCATAACTGACATGTCAAAATAAATTGTGTTAATTACATTTGTTTATATAGATCCACAAGCTTGTGAATCCTAGTTGAGTTAAAATTTCATTTACAGAGAAGAGAGTGGAATAACATGTTTCGAGTGAAACCAGATCCGCTGGAAAGAATCAGGGAACGCCGTTTACAGAGAATTGCAACACGGTGAGTGTCATGCCAGTACTCTCATACCTTGCCTGTATTGTAGTACAGTATCACCTTACTCTCACACTGTGTCATACACTATTACCTTCTCACCTTATTCTCACACTGTATTTGTCTACCTACAGGGGTGTGGTCCAGCTATTCAATGCTGTCCGTCAGCAACAGAAGGTTTTGGAGGAGAAACTCACAGAAGCTGGGTCATCCATTAAGAAAAGTGAAAAAGTGATGGGGTCCATGACTAAAGGAAAATTCCTCGACATGCTGAAAGGCTCCACACCTTCATTGTTGGAGGACTCAAAGAAAGTTATAAAGAAAGAACCGGTTCGTAACTTTCATATCCTGTTGGTGGCATCAGCTGTTACTGTGTGTGTGTGTTTGTGTCAGGGCCTTATACAATACAAGCTGCAGTATCCGATGGGTACCACATGTACCCCTCGTGATAATGCTACAACACAGTTATCTTACTGACATATTTTAATATGCCATTGTAAAAGAATTAAAACATTCAAAATTGATAGAAAACAGCTGTTCGATTGAGCTGAGGTTAACTTGTGCTATGTCACGTGACTTTCAATGACTCGTAAAAAGCATGCAGCATGCAGTATAAGGGATATATTCTGCCTCTCAGAAATTCATGTGCAGCCTGTCTTGTTCGTGGTGGGTCAATAGGGATTTATACTACTGCTGAGAAATGTTTTTCCCTCCAAGGCAGAATACATAGTATTTTATCAAGACTATGTGAGTTCATCATTCTGACATGGAGGTATTATAATGTTATTTATCATCCAATTCTGGCTTCAACTGCGATATCGATTGGATGAGATGAAGCAATCACTCCTAGGTGATGCTGGTGCAATGAAATTGCATCGTAATGATTTTTGCCGACTATTGTTTCGTCACCAGTTACAAGACTTTCATCTTATATTAACTTACCACATAGAATTGGACCAAACATGTATATTGGACATACATAGGGGTCATATAGCTGGAATATTGCCAGTGTTCGGCATTAAAAAACAAACACACAAAGAAAATATTCCTTCTGCACATATCAAAAGGTGACACAACACAAATACAGCCAGGAACTAGTCTATAGGATAAGTTTGGAATAATGAAATAAAATATACACCTGATTCTGCTAGATTTTTATAGCCAACAAAACAAGTCACTTTCTCAACAGACGCGATACCATTCTGACTCACATCATGTAGTTCCATGGGCCTATATACTAAATAATAATATGGTAGTTAAAGGGGGACTCTGTTCCATGTTCTGTTGCCTGTTTTTAGTATAAATCTAAACATTGTATGTGAGGTGAGGTGAAATTGGGTTTAACGTTGCATACAAGACATCTTCCCGAGGCAAAGGCGTTAACTGACTATAAAAGTCCAGTTTCCACCCTTGCCGAACTAGGCTGGTATTATGGAGTGATGTTTTGTCTGGACTAACCAGTCTATGCATAGTCCAATCAAAATCGTGCACCGAAATCAAAATCTGGTTCGTAAACTGTCGTGCAGATTTCAATCGATTGCAGGGTTTGCAAAGCATGTCAGCAGATATTTTCCAAATCCTTTCATGTTTTTAATCAAGGTGCCCACGTGATTTGATGCATTTCGCGATGTAAGACCTGTTTTATCACAATATAGATCTTGATTATCGATCAGATCGCCCTGACTGGGCGCCACCATTTTGTGTAAAGCAAACGCAAGTGATACGAGAGGTGGATTCTGATTGGTCCATAGGAGAGGCTTAGAAGGGACATATGTTAGATGTTTACCTGTCTTTCTCCATGTCTTGTCTCCCTTTAATTAACGTCTGTCTAATAATTTTTTTTGCAATGATTTGACTGATATGTCGACCGCTGTGCAATTTCCGGCATCTGGGATCACATTTCTGCCATGTTTCAGACATTGAAAAAAGAAGAGGAGTCCGCCAAGTGGAAGATTTTAAGGGACGATTTCATGATGGGAGCCAAGATGAAGGACTGGGACAGGAACGACGGCAGCAGTGACGAGGAGGCGGATGGGGGAGGAGGGGATACAGACTTGTCTGATAGCGAATGAAGAAATAAACCTATGTGATTGTATTACACTGTGTTTTGTGGCCATTGGTAGGACTACCACTGTTCTTTGCCTTGCACCAGTGGAGTCAGATTCGCCAGAAGATCCAGACTGGCTGTTTCCACCATTTGTGCATGAACATTGGTTTTTAGTTCTGGAAATGAAGCATGTCTGAATAGACTTAGCGTAGCTCACCAATAATGAAGCGCTTCTTTGAGAGGCATTTAGAAGTTGGAGTACTAAGTTAGGATAAGATCTATGGTAAACACTGCTTTATTACAATTAGGAGCTATGTTTTGGTGTAGATTCTAGGTGAGGTGAGGTGAAATGGGGTTTAACGTTGCTTCCAAGATTATTGCACTTATATGGCGACATGCATGCACGTGTGTGTGTGTGGCTGCTTGTACTGTTCCGGACTGATGCCGATTTGTAGTGCTAGCTCACTGAGATACCATGCTGCAGTTTAACATGAATACCCCACTCAGACATACTATACTGACCCCGAGCCGTCCTTGTTTTAGCCCCTTAATGTCGAGCGCCAGACAGGGTAACAACAAGTACCATCTTTTAACGTCTGTTGGTATGACGCGGTCGGGGATTGAACCCTGGACCTTCCGCTCTCTGGGCGGACGCTCTACCACTAGACCACGGAGGCGGTCTGTTGTAGATTCTAACACTGTTATCAAGGAAGTGCTTGCTTGATAACAGTATTAGAACCTACAACGTCACTCCTAATGGTAATAAAGAACCTGTTCATCCACCTATCTTATCCTTACTTAATAATGAAGTGGTCTCTCTGTTGTTTAGTAGTACTGCACAGTATTACCGGTAATTTACCTACTTAATTCTATCAGGATGTCAGACTCGGTGGTTGTCATCGTGCCCCAACGTTGGACATTTACACACCATCAACTACTGGTTTGTCTGACCAAGATTCAACTATTTTCATGCCTGCTTGATAAAGCCGACATATTGCTGACTGCTGTGTACAACTCACTCAACAGTGGAAATCATAGAAATACTTGCATGTCTTGATACTGAATATCGTATTTACCTGTTGCATAATTCAGAAATGAACATCAGGGATATGTGTGGCCCCACAACAGTGTTGAAAGTTTGAGGTTAACAAATCTTGTCCACTGTGTGGAGTAAGTTGTATGTACACTAGTACTACTGCTGTAGAGACCCATGAAGATCTGGGTTAGAATTGGTCTTCAGCAAACCATGCTTGCTGTAAGAGGCGACTAACAGATGGGTGGTCAGGCTGCTGACCTGGTTCATGCATGTCACTGTATCTCAGTTGCGTAGATGATATCAATGGATTGTCTCGATTATTTACAGACAGCCGTCATATAGCTGGAATATTGGTGAGTGCCAGTCAAACAACAAATACTACACTATACAAGGCACAAGTAAAATATGTATGCCTCAGATAAGAGACACTGGACACTGTCACCTTGCCAACAATGCACAGAGGTCGGAGGTTTCTTAGAAACCACACCTCTCATCGTTTGTTCTAATGCTCGATGGTGTTACCCAGACAGAAACTTTCAGAACCTCCTAATGTGTGGACCTGTTTCTAACGTTGGTGTGGTTGGCTTTCACAATTCTAGATCTGCCCCTTGTGGATGAATGTGTTTCATCATACATTGGACAGTACAGTATAGGTCTCCAGTACCAGTAGTTGAGGATCGGATGGTTACTATGGTTACGGTGCAACCTGTAATATGTTATATTTGGGATTACACTTACTTAGTAAAGTACACATTCTAGTACTTTTTATGGTGGCGTGTGAGGCATCTACTCGCCAGCAAACAAACTATCCACCTAACCACTCAGCTTGGCTTCCACAGAAGGGAAGTCGACAATGGGAGTCTAGATCACGTACTTTGTGTACCCCTCTGATAAGTGTATACTGGCAATGGACTCCACCCCAGAAAGTACTGTAATGTAAATTTTACTAAGAAAGTAATCCCTAATATAACCTATGTAACATCAGGCCACTTCCTAAAAGAAATTGTTTATTCATAGTTTTGGCCTGGAGTCCTGCCAATTTACACTTATCAATACTGTGGAAGTTGAAGGCCATTCACTCACTCGTTGGTGACGTTGTGGTTGGTCAAATTAAAAACATACAAACATAAAAAAATGTTTATTTTTTAATAAAGTTATTACAAAAAGTAAAATATCTTGAAATTGTTCATTTCCAGCCAGTAAAGACTATTTGAATGTTATGCGTAAAGCCGCCCTTTGTCTAGCATATGTCCGAGGTTGATTAAGAAGTAGATTATCAGTGACCCCAAGACCAAACACTGTGACGGTCATGGGGTTGGCGAGTGATGTTGCAGTGACTGTCATGTTGGTGGCGTCCACTGCCAGATCCACAGAGTTGCCGCCGTAGTCGAGGCCGGTGATGGAGAGGCGTGTGGTTGACGGAGGGAGGTTGGGGTTGAACGCTAGTTGTGTATCCTCAATACGGAATCCACCATAACCAAAAATAACTGCCTGTAGATATCCCCCCATACCAGTGTGGAAGTTGACGGCCCCGCTACCATCCGCGTTCTCTGTCCAGATCTGGGGGGAATTTAGACAGTGAATAGCAGTGTTATAACCAAGGACTTATTCTTCCTAGTTAACCAAGCCATTATGATGACGTCGCACTATTGTAGTTGCAGTTGATTCTGAACGTGCAGTTTAATAAGTAAAACTGACACAACCATTGGCCTTTATGCAGAATTATAGAGTTAATAATATCAAACATATTTTAAGTAGGAGAAATCTCTCAAATCTGTTGATTCCGGAAGAAGAATTAGTTTCTCCATTACAGAAAATACATCTCCCAAGTGTTTTGCTTGGTTTGTTGGGACGTTAAACGAACTCTCGGGTTTTACCAAAGCTGTAAACCTCTGCGATCTAAATTCATATTTTCAGTACTTTGAAAATAGGAACATCAAACGATACTATGTATGTTACGATGAATATTCAAATCATGTGCGATATTCAAGTGATTCTCTACTTACATAAAACGGTTTTTGGACATTCAAGATGGTGCGCTGAAACAGTGAGTCGGCCTTGACCTTGTCACCTAGCTGCAACCAGTTGATGGCGAAGATCCCCCAAGTCATTGCTGGGCCACCAGGAGTCACCTAATCACACACGTGCACAGACACGTCTTATTCCACATCCCGATAATGAAGATGATTATCATGATGAATGCCAAACAGACAAAACAATAGGACATCAGTGATCCAAATGTCTTCCTTACACTTGAGTTCCATATTTTCAATAACAAAGCAAACCAAACAAATCAGTCATTCAACCGCATTATAAATCATGCACTCAAACAAAATGATAGTATCTATTAATGCCAGAATAATTTGCTGTAGTACCGCTGGATACCGCTGGGTGGCCTTGAGGTTGAAGTGTTTGCTCATCGAGCCGGAGATCGGGTTTCAAATCCCCAGGGTACAATGTGTGAAACCTGATTCCTGGTATCTTCCATCCGGATATGAATGGAATATAGCCAACTCCGACTGAAGATAATTATAATATGAGACAGATGCAGTCGGACACACACGTGTCCGTGTAATACCTAGTTAACTAGACCCGTAAAGATCCAGGAGAATAACAGGTCTTGGACAACACATGCTTGCCATAAGAGGCGACTGTTTCTCGTCGTAAGAGGCGACTAACGGATCGGGTGGTCAGGCTCCTTTACTTGGTTGATGCATGTCATCGTATCCCAATCGCATAGAACGATGCTCCTGATGTCAATCACTGGGTTGCCTGGTCTCGATTATTTACAGACCGCCGTCATATAGCTGGAATATTGCTGAGTGTGGCGTTAAACAACAAACAAAACCTCATTGACATTCGCTGTGCAGAGTTGCGTCCCCTGGGCACACCATAGTAATTATCGTTGATTCGAATCCCGGTTCTCCTAGATTATGTTTCTAGTTTGTCAGCAGCATACTCGTGGGTTTTACAAAGTGGTAAACGTCTGAGACCTGCATCACACCGAGCTCCCCCCATCAAGCGGACACCTGATATAACTGGAATACTGTACAAACCCAAACTCACTCACTCATCAACTATTAGTGAGGTTACCTTCTCGTAGATAGTGACGTCATTCCTGAGCACATGTTGCGGTAGCTGCGACATCAGTGGGAACTCCAGCATCACCGCGTCCGCCTGCTTCACCACCGTGCCTGCAGACAGAGACAAACACCTACTCTTGCCTGGCGTATCGGAGACCATCAATACACCTTTAACAGGTCTGTTGCAATCTCATTAAAATCAGATCTTAGTTCTCGCTACCGCTAAACAAAGGATCTTTGTAATGAGATTGGGTCTGTGGTTGAATCGAGATTTGAGTAACTGAAAAGACGAGCGAACTGGATTTTACATAACATTTTAGCTGTCACGGCAGTCTAAAAAATAATAAAGTTTATGTAAACAAGTGATCGATAGCAGGAAATAAAAACCAGATTCAATTACATGCAGTTTTCACTTAGTCGACTGTCTCCCATAATCCCCACGGTGTGAAGAAAAAGACGATCCTTCAAATATGTTTGCCATTCCTTGAGAGTAACTCCCCCTCCCCTCTCCCAGCATCATGATCGCCCAAACAATTTGTTGTCATGAGCATTTACGCTGTTTTCGAAATTTTAGTCCCAAAACAATAGTTGTCCTCAATATTTGAACACCTACCTCCTCCTCCGCCATATTAGTATATCATATCTTTGTTTCATAAAGAGTATCCAGTGATGTCGGCTTGCCATTTATATGCATATGTCAGTAACAAAACGGCCATTATTTTGAATAGTAAACACCGACTTCATAGATGTAGCCTATACCTATCTTGTAGGTGTCAAACTCGGGGTGATACTGTAGCTTGTCGTCGAAGGGGATGTACATGTTGTCGGCGATGTCCTGCCAGTTGTCAGGGGCAACCTGACCCGCCATCTTGCTGGAGTACACCCCGGTCAGTAGACTGAGCTTGGCGATGGTGTTGGTGTAGACGGAGTTGCTAACGTTGTAGTGGTACTCGTCCGGCGGCATCACACCTGTTCAATAAGCTTTACCACTGTACACACCCTAGCTGCGACATGACAGATGGGGATGAGAACGCAGGTATAAATTCGTGCACGAGTCTCTATCCCAGTAGGTTAAAATTAAACTCAAAGTTGTAGTATTGTTCTAAATAGTCAGAGGGGCAGTGGGGAAGCCTAGTGGTTAAAGCGTTGGCTCGTTACGCCGAAGACCCGGCGGATACAGAGGGTGTGTGTGTGTGTGTGTGTGTGTGTGTGTGTGTGTGTGTGTGTGTGTGTGTGCCCCACCCCCTTTTTAAAAAAAAGCTGTATCCGCCCATGCCCGTGTTTGGTTCCCCACATGGATACAAAAGGTTTTATGGTAGACATGTTGAGGACATTTCCAAATTTGACGCATCAGTGACAAAAATGATGCAGTTCCCTATTTTTACTTGTAACATATGTTCCGGTGTTTTTTCAGGTGAACAATTGACTTGCCTTTGCATTTGATAGTGATTCATAAACACATGCTCATCATACCTAATAACCGACTCTGTTTGGGGCAGATATTTCTTATGAATATGGAAAGGGTTTTGTCGCTTTTATTTATGGACATACATGTCCTATCTCCAACAGTTTTGTGGTAGTGTTCAGACAGACGTACCATGTATTTCCCACAGATTTGTAGTGGTGTTCCTGACAACCCGCGAGGCCCAGAATTCGGCCATGTTGGTGATAGCGTCCAGTCCCCGCCCCAGGGTGAGGAAGTCGGTGTCGTTTGTGAGTTGAAGATACTGGCGGAACGTCAGGGACACGTCGCCGGTGATGTGTTGTTCCAGATCACCACAAGCCTCTGAAGGACTGGTCTCCATTCCTGAAATATACATGCATGTTTTGGTACCTATTTTTTATCGGTGTTCATAGGCTTAAAAATTGAAATGCTTTGTTTATAGAGCATCGGCACGTCACTTAATATCCTTCGCGTCAGTCATTTTACGACCAATAACAAAATGTCAAATCTCCTGCGTCATATGAAGAATACGATGTTTCCATACATTGCCATGCTTGACAACTGACATTGTAACAAAGAACCGAGACCAATATGTGCCCACTCGTGTTTGTTTGTATTCTTCCCATGAAACATTTATTTTTTTTATTCAGCCGTATACACACTGCCAAGTATGTCATTAACAGCTATAGCACTAGTACAGATCTGATGAATCTGAAAATCAGCGCGATGAAGTGAGTGAGAATTATTTAACGCCGCTTTCAGCAATATTCCAGCATACGGCGGGGGACACGTGAAATGGAGTCCACCCAGTGTACTCATGTTGGGAATCGAACCCGATTCTTGGGTGTGACGAATGAACGCTTTAACCACTAGGCTACCCCACCGCCCCCAGCGTGATGAACATTATCAACGTGTTACAGAATGATGAACTGATCAAAACTTAAACACTATTTCTCTTATAAATTAAAAGTTCTCAAAGATTAAACGAAAAACACAGAATTGTGTTTGTGTTTGTAATATTCGTTTATCCCTTAAGACGGCATTTAGAAGTGGTGAGGTGATGTGAGGTGAAATAGGGTTTAACGTCGCGTCCAAGATTATTGCACTTAAAAAGCGACGTACTGACTCCGAGCCGACCAGTCCTTGTTTTAGCCCCTTAATGCCGTCAGGCAGGGTAACAACAAGTACCATCTTTTGACGGGTATTTTTGGTATGACGCGGACGGGGATCAAACCCCGGACCAGCCGCTCTCCGGGCGGACGCTCAACCACTAGACCACGTAGGCGGTCCATTTAGAAGTGGACAGAACCGGAAGGCATGATGCATCCTGGATAAAACTTATAAATTATTTCTCGTATTTATCGGGAGCTTTACACTTAAAATATGTAAATAAGGCTTTGGTATTACGGGACGTCAATTAATTAAAATTAATCTCTACTTCGTGTTTTGTATTCCTTGACTATCATACTAACTTTCTGTGGAAAGAAAATCAGACCTGTGAATGCCGACTCCCATGGAAATCTGGCTCCGCGGTATCCAGTCGAGTTGGCCAACATCTGGGCTGTTTTCAACGTGCGTATGCGGGTGCCAACCACCGTGCGGCCTAGGTCAGCATGGAGCATCATGATTGGTGGGAACATCCACGTGGACTGGTCCCAGAACACGTGGCCGTTATAATCCTGGGGACGAGTAACTGATGTATACTACTCCAAAGAAGTTAAAGAACACCCGGTTATTTTATATGATTACTAGTATATGGCCACAGATTAACTTCATGTTTAGTCATATGAAAAACAAATCGGGTGTTCTTTAACTTATTTTGATTAGTATGCATTATGTGTAACTACTGTCAACTTTCAAGGCCGGATCCAGCATTTTAAAGGGGAGGGGTCTAAACTATCAAAGATCTCTCGTAGATAATTTTACTGCCTGCATATTGCATTTGGTTTTCAAGAGGGAAGGGGGGGGGGGGGGGGGGGGGGGGGGGTGAGTGTGCCTATGACTTTGATATACGAAGGGGGCTTTTTGACGAATGCCACTTTGAGCGTCAGCGTAATGTTGTGGACAGTAACGCATGTCTTAAACGGTCATCACTTAGGTGAAATCTACTAGCACGGGTATGGTGCTGACAAACCAAATACAATAATCTGCCATGTTGCATGGTTGTGTCATATGACTCCGTGGCTTGGAGCTTAGGAGTGACCATCGTGATGTGAATACTCCCAAATGTTAACCTCCCAAATCACTCAACCTTGAAGACCTGGGTTAGAATTGGTCTTCAGCAACCCATGCTTGTCGTAAGAGGCGACTAACGGCTGATTAGGTCCTATCTGTAGAAGTCAAGCAGTCATCATTGACAAGCAGGAGATACTTTCTACATGGAGTGTGGAGTTCCCTAAGGATCAGTGCTAGGTCCGCTGTTGTTTATACTGTATACAAACACACTACAGATGGTGGTACAGAATCATTGACTGAACCAGCAGACAACTAACAACTGCTCAATTCATCTAAAGCAACGGAAACATCAGTTTCGCTGGGGCACATTACTGAGGGCTCTATTGACATGAAGTCGTGGATGTCATAAAGGAGGCTTAAGTTAAATGACGACTAAACCGAAGCCCTACTAGCTGGAACGAAACATCAACTTTGCAGTTTAGCAGAGACAACCATTACCACTGGATAATCGCAGACTGACTGACAAAGTGAAAAGTCTAGGTATAATCATTGACTCAAACCTCACCCTTGATGCCCAAGTTAACCAGCTTTGCAGATCATGCTACTTTCACTTAGGATGCATTGGTCAGATAAGGAACCACATCACCACAGGGGCGGCTAAGAACCTGATTCAGTCTTTGGTGTTATCCCGGCTAGACTACTGAAACAGCTTGTTGTGGGGGTTGCAAAGCAAACGCGAGACCGTCTCCAGTTAGTGCAGAACACGGCAAACAGGATTGTGACAAGGACATCACGTACGTCACACATCACTCCTGTCCTCAAGCATCTACACTAGCTTCCGGTTGAGTCAAGGATCATGTACAAAATGCTGTCTTTGTCTTACAAGTGTGTCAACAACCGGGCTCCAGCTTATCTTTCCATTCTGCTCCAGCTTCATAATCCACCAAGAACTCTTTGATCAGCAAATCAACACCTGCTATTTAGCTGTTCCTCAGTATAGACTTTCCAGCTATGGACTAAAGACTTTCAGTGTGGCTGCCCCAAAGTTTTTCAAAACTCGTAATTACGAGAAAAAATAGTTTATAATAAGATTCTGTTTATTGCTTTGTCATTATATCACGGTGATTTTCATCATCATCATCATTGTAAACGTAATTACGATTTTTTCCTCGTAATTACGACTTTATTCTCGTATGTCAAGTTTTTGAAGTCGTAATAACGAGTTTTAAAAGAGAAAAAAAAAAAATACCAATATGGTCCTGATGGGCTTTCTAATGGGCTTTCGTAATCAAACAACCTAAGTCCAGTTCATTACGAAAATGCATTACCTTCCCACGGGCGCCGTGGGCTAGTCCTCCTGGCGACAGGCCAACGAATGGCCAGGCGGCATCCTCCTTCAAAGGGAGAGAACTGGTGAGGTAGTAGAGACAGGCATAGTTGATTCTGGCAAGGGTGAGGTTCCCCTCCACATCCACGCGACCCTTCTCCCAAAGATCCCCCCAAGCAGCCACGTGGGAGGAGTATAGCGTCCCATTCGACATTAACGCCATAGCTAACAAAGAATAAGTTACATTTAGACATGAGCGTATTTTATTAGCAGTGTACATAGGTGGATCTGGAGGGATGTGGTGGGGAAATGGGATTTTTGATATTTTGTACCCCTCCCTTTTAAAAATGTTGTATCCGCCCTTGCAGTGTACACTTTGTTTGTTGTCCGATCTTCTCATTATATTTTACGTTACAGAACGCCACGTAAATCTGTAAACTTGCCATACACAGTATATAGGTGACTGATTGAACCGGTATGTAAAATTATAGAAACCATATGGATGTCTTTAAACGCAGATTGCATTACAGAAACCCAGACGACTGTCCGAAATTATTATAATATTTCGAACAGGCAGGTGACTGTATATAGGTGCTGACAGTCGTCTGGTTTCTGTTACATTATATATTAGTTCAAACAGTTGCACGCCTTGCTGTACCATTTTCATTACCAAATGATTTTAAATGTAACTTTTATATCAACATCTGATTTTTTTTTATGACAATAGCTTTTATCCTGCACTATCCTGCTGTAGCTATTAAATCGTGATTTTCATTCAGATTTTCATTCAGATTTTCATTCATTACAGAAAGGCGTGTGGCTGTCTGAACTAATCTATGATATTACAGAAAGTGAGACGACTCTCTGAACTTACAGAAAGCCAGACGACTGTCTGCCCTTACAGAAAGTGAGACGACTGTCTGAACTTACAGAAAGCCAGACGACTGTCTGAACTTACAGAAAGCCAGACGACTGTCTGAACTTACAGAAAGTGAGACGACTGTCTGAACTTACAGAAAGTGAGACGACTGTCTGAATTTACAAAAAGCCAGACGACTGTCTGAACTTACAGAAAGTGAGACGACTGTCTGAACTTACAGAAAGTGAGACGACTGTCTGAACGTTCAGAAAGTGAGACGACTGTCTGAACGTACGGAAAGCCAGACGACTGTCTGAACTTACAGAAAGGGAGACGACTGTCTAGACTTACAGACAGAAATTTCAGACAGAAAGTTTGGCGATTCCCTTCTGAAAACCAGTACCTATGTGTACACTAGAAAGTAACATAGTAACCACATAGTAGCCAGATGCCAATACGGCATTATCACCATTATCAGTACAGCAAGTTAGATGACAGATTAATTTGATGACGGTTTCTTGTCTCTGACCTTGGTTGAAGCCGTCGATGGCCTTGCTTTTGTCTGTGCTGATAGACGTGAAGAAAACAACATCCTCCTTGGAGATGCCTCCCGGAAGTGACGCTCTGCTGGGGATGTTGCTGGAAAAAACTGTCACCGGCGTCACCGGTGCCACCGCAAAGTACTCAGCTTCTTTGGTGTAGCCGCTCTTTGAACTAGTGGAATACAAAATGGCTGATCACCACCGTGTCTATTACTGTACATGTGAGGTCATGGCTTCTCCGGACGTCTAGGGTGTAGCACTTCTCTGTGTCCCTATTCGTGCCGGGGTTCCTTGAGACCCGTTTGGCCTTGAGTCAAAATAGGCCCACCCGGGTTAAGATAGGCATGTTGTTAAAAGCAACTATTTTTGATCGGGACAGGCTGTGTGATTTGGCTGAATGGGCGTCATCCCATCTCGATTTCGTCATTTGCCTGGTCCCGACTCCATTATGTACATGCCGCCGTGAAATACATCGAATATTTGAGACTACGGCGTTTTAACACCATTCACTCATTTCCTTTTTTGTTTGGCGATTCATTTCCATAGGAAGCTTGTGTATATCACCGTTGTTTCCCACATAGTCTGTCAGCACTATAACCGTGCTCGTGGGTTTCACAGAAAATGGTAAATGTCTCATACCTGCATCACTCCGGGCTTTCCTCCCACATTAAGCTGACACGTCTTGATATAACTGGAATACTGATCAAAGCGGCGTTAAACTCACTCACTCACACCCACCATAACAAAACATTATCAAACGTTCGTCAATACTGATCTTCATCCAACACGAATATTGCCGAACAGGTGGACGTCTTTGCATCTCCATCGTCAACAAGCTGCCCAACTCAAGTTAATTACCCCATCGTTTATATATAAATATTGTTTATGTGTATTCATTGTAGATATAAACATTTTAAGTTAAACTCACGTGATCTGACCGCTGTCGTCAACCTTCGTCCAAGTGATGTCGTCACTGGCTGTGCCGTTGTTGACGTGTAAGGTCACCGCGACGTCACTGTTGCGGTTGTCGGACGTGTCGGCTATGATCAGCTCTATGGCGATCACGCTCGTCACCACTCTGTGTGCATACATACGTAGTTCAACGTAGAACCCATCTCCGTCATAGCGCTCATAGTATACACCTGTGATATACAGACAGACAATATATTTCAGTAACAATTTCATTTCTTTATTTGTAGCTTTTTGCTAAGTATAAACCCACATTTTGAAGGGCAAGATTATCGCCTGTTTGCATTATCTGTGTGAATTGTATTAGGGATAGATCTGCAGTGTAATATGGCGTTTTATACATACTTGTTATAGTGGCATATTTTTCACATATAGACATCACATGTTTTTCATCTTCAATATATTTACAGTTTGGGGGCAAACAAAAATCTCAAAATCGTTCATTATGGGAAGTGTAGCTGTGTCTTCTAATTTCCACATGTAAACGGAAACTATTACACGTAAACTTTGAAATATATATCATAATGTAATGTGGAAAGTCGTTTGTTCAATAACGTTCTGTGTACAACATAGATTTTTACTGAACAATCTTTACATTTCGAAGATATTTCCAGTTTTGCATTTTCCCGAGGCAAGGGAATTAACCGACTATGTGGAAACTGGACTTTTGCAGTCGGTTAACTCCCTTGACTCGGGAAGATGTCAGTTTGAATACAGACTATATGATGGTTTTTGGTGCAATTCGTTTAGGAATAATGTTATATCGCCGATTTCTTGTTGATATACACTATGATATTAATAGAGAGACGTGGCTCAGGAATTGGCACTTCTAGAATGTGTTATTTAAGTTGTCCAAACACCACTTTGTCTGCTACCCCAACTTTATGTGTACATCTATAGTAATCTTCCCTGATTAGATAAAGATAATGTCAGAGGTTCACACAAGGCACTAATTACTATCTTTAAAACCGGGGCTGGAAAGAGGCACCAGATCGTGGCACAAAATCCTTCATTAAAAAAAATAATATTTTTTTATTTCTTTAAAAAATAAGAAGGAAAAAGTCCCTCTTTCATGTGTATACACATTTATGCATCGAGACGTTATGTGTGTTTTCGTATATACATTTTCATAAACTCAACTCCGCTTGACATTACCCGGGAGTTCACCATTCAGGCGTCATCGAGACAAGGCAGCCATTTTGACCAACGATGTCTATTTTAGTCGCCGTTCGACTCTTACTAGTAATAGTTTTATGTTGATGTATCAGTATAAGGGGCGGTCGGGTAGCCTTGTGTTAAGCGTCAACTCATCACGCGAACGTCCGGGTTCGATTCCCCATATGGGTAAACTCACCCACTCACTCATAAATAGAGCCTTAATCTATAGATGGGCGTCTACTGCTCATCGAGTCCTCATCAGAAATGTCTTGGATTCATCTTGATGCTGAAGAAACCTAATCGACGTAATCTAGCTAACATGTATAAACATCTATTTCAAAATGGGTCCGTTTTATTTGATTTTTGTTTGTTGTTTAACGCCCTTCTCAGCAATATTCCAGCTATATGACGGCGGTCTGTAAATAATCGATTCTGGACTAGACAACCCTGGATGTATATCACGATCATCGATCTACGCAATTGGGATACGATGACATGCATCAACCAAGTCAGCGAGCCTGACCACCCGATCCCGTTAGTCGCCTCTAACGACAAGCATGGGTTGCTGAAGACCTATTCTACCCCGGATCTTCAAGGGTCCCATTTTATAAATATGATATTTAAATACGTCTGTGGAATCTCACCTCTGCCAATGTCAAGGGCGAATTTCTTAGTGACGTTGCTAGGGGTAATGGAGGTGATGGAGACGGCCACGGTGGACGGAAGTCGGGCTCTGTGACTGTCCCGTTCCTTGCCGTTATACAGACCATTCATGAACATGGAGTCGCCCTTGACGACTGTGGCCACGTGGCCATTGCCGATCTCGGGCCATAGGCGTTCATCTTTCGGGTACCTATCGGTGAGACCATGTATAAAGGTATGCTGGAATGTTCATTTTAATATTGAATATTTCTGTATAGACACATACATAGATAGCATGAAGATATTCTTTTCCCGTGGGGAGAATTAACCTAGACCAGAAGATAGGACCAAAGGTTCTGCAGCTAACCTTTTCAGTCTTGTGTATCGAACAGGTGAGGTAAAATGTGGTTGAACGTCGCCCCAGATTACCGCACTTGTATAGCACGAGTGTGTTTTTCGCTGCATGTACTAGTTCTGACTGATGCCGATTTTATAGTGCTAGCCCACTGAGATACCATGCTGCAATTTAACAGGAATACCCCACTCAGACACAGTATACTGACTTCGAGCCGACCAGCTCCTTAATGCTGAGCGCCAGGCAGGGTAACAACAAGTACCATATTTTAACGTCTTTTGGTATGACGCCGCCGGGATCTAACCCCGGACCACTCGCTATCCGGGCGGACGCTCTACCACTAGACAACGGAGGCGGTCAACGGGACCCTTATATCCACACATATGGGTACGAAAACACACCAGTCCAGCTAGGTCCTGGCCTCCAAAATCATAAGGAATATGTTATATTGCCTCTTATCCTATATCTAGAAATATAAGGTCGAAAAATACATGGTCTTTGTCTAATCGACATTTGTACAGTTTGATCGATCTTTGAAAGATATGTAAACGTCTTGGAGCTAGATGTACATGACACGAAGACTGAGAAAAGGGTATGTACCTATTATGATATACCAGTACTCTACTACGTATACTCGTGCGAAGACAATAACCCCATCAAGTTTGAATTTACCGTGTTCCAAATCAAGCGTTAAGTGGCCTTGATCATGATCACTAACTCAATACTCCACATCCAATTTCAATGTCTCAATTTTTGCCTTGCAGTGATAATGGAAATCAGGAACTTGGATTGTCCTTTCTCCTTTATAAGTGCGATATTCGTAGCCATCCTCGATTTATTGACGGTCAAGAGAGACAACCGAGGTCATGAAATGTGACAGAATCCTCGAAGATGAACAAGGGAGATAGTTCTATGGATGTACAACTTTTTTATTACAATGGATTTCAGTGTAGATATATACTTACACCGTTATGTTTGTTTTGTTTGTTTGTTTGTTGTTTAACGCCGCAATATTCCAGCTATATGACGGCGGTCTTAAAATAATCGGGGCTGTACTAGACAATCCAGTGATTGACATCATGAGCATCGATGTACGCAAATGGGAAACGATGACATGAAACAAAAAAGTCAGCGAGCCTGACCACCCGATCACGTACTCGCCTCTTCCGACAAGCAGTTGCTTTTTAAGGCAAGTGTGGGTTGCTGAAGACCTATTCTATCCTGGATCTTCACGGGTCCTAACACCGTTATGAAGCACACGTATATCCAGAGAACTATCTCCCTTGTACACCATACTAACTTCTAAATGTCACTTTAGTAAAGAAGTTACCCTCGAAGATATTTGTTTGTTGTTAAACGGCGTACTCAGCAATACACCAGTATAACGGCAGTCTGTAAATAACCGAGTCTGGACAAAGTACCCAGTGATTGACATCATGAGCATTAATCCACGCAATTGGTATGCAGTAGCATGCATCAACAAAGTCAGCGACCCAGACCTACGGAACCCGTTATTCGATTCTTACGACAAGCATTGATTGCTGAAGACCAATTCTATCAAGGACCTTAAGGGAGGCTTCGGAGGTGATCAATATCCGCAGGCCAGGACAGCTGTTATATTATCTGTTTAACTCAAGTTTTTTCTAAGTCAATCTAGATAAACAAACTATTCCCCTCGTGATATTTCACGACAATGGCCACAGTTAACACAAAGGCCATAGAATCTTGCCTCCCTCCACATCAATATGTGGGTGCAACTTACTCATCGAACTCAAACACGGTTGCGTCTTGGGGAAGAGGGGAAGGCGGGGCCTTGTCAGCGTCACAGGACACTCTGTAACGCGTGTCACCATGACGATTCGTACATATCCTGTCTGATGACCCATGTCCATGAGGCGTGGTGACTCCAGCAGACTGACCGAACGACCCTATTAAATGGACATCTGGACTTTTACGGGAATCCATCCACGACACGACGTTGCCCGTGTCTCTGTGTCCGTAGGTGTGAAGAAGCAGCATCATTGTGGTGACGACAAGTGTCAGGAAACCCGCCATCATGACGCCCTGGATGGAAACCTGGATTGAATAATTGCCGCATATTTGTACCATTCATCACTGATGAGGACATGAAGCTGTCTGTTGTGCCGGAGTAGCTCTTATTGCACCACCCATTTTAATGTATACAACATTCCTTCTTACATTCCAGTAACGATCTCCATTCGCAACCCTAGTCTCGCTTAGTCATGATAAAATTTACAGTCAACAAACAACTGAAATGCTGTTTTAATGTTATATTGAAGTTACATTCGGAACACACCTTTGATAAGAAACAAAAAATGTATCTCGGAAACTGCTTCAAGGCTAGATGTCACCCCAATTTCAGGCTAGATGTCGCAATTAATATAATCCAAATCAGAGCTTGACATCTGCCGTTGACCTATATTTCCTCATCATGATGTTAAGTGTTTTCCTAAGGAACTAATTATACTTATCTTGAAATGTGTGATGTTACGACTGCTAATCGCGTGGCAATATTTTCGACCATATAACGACGGGAAAATCCTCATTTTCCAATCTTATATAGCTAGTGGTATATTTCGGCTGCTGCATCACGTAATCAGTGATATTTCAGCTATATACAGTATCCAGCGGTTACAATAGCCCAGCATGGCGACAAGATACGGTGGTGTGTGTGTACGTGCGTGCGTGCGTGCGTGTGTACGTGCGTGCGTGCGTGCGTGATTGCGTACGTGTGTGCGTGTATGTTGTTTAACGCCACGCCCTGCATTATTGCTGCTATATGACGGCGATCCGTAAAAAATCCAGTATGGACCAGACAATCCAGTGATTGACATCATGAGCATCGATCTACGCAATTCTGATACGATGACACGATTCAACCAAGTCTCACCACTCGATCCCGTTATTGCTAACGGGACTCTTAAATCCACACATTTGGGTACGATGACACACCAGTCCAGCCAGGTCCTGGCCTCCGAAACCATGATGAATATATGTTATATTTTGCCTCCCATCACGATTCTAGATCCTATATTTAGTAATATATGGTCGGAAAATACACGCGAGGTTGTGCACACATTACTGTCAATAGAACCTATGTTACACCTACCTTATATTCAAACCGCACTCTGTTCTTACACTATTGATAGTTGTCAGTAAGTGGTTAGACATACACCCCAGCTGTCCACCCTCACAACAAGGTGGTCGTGACCTTTGCCCCTAGGTTAATCTAAGATACATACCATATGGATCCCGTATCTGGAGCAGCATGTGCCTCAGCATCGGTAGTCACGCCCCCTTCCGTCCCCGCTATAAGGCGTGATCGGTTCAACTGTTGAAACATGACGAAGTTGCTGGTCATAAAATACAGCGCGCTATCCAATGCACTTTATAAGAGGTATATAAACATGCCATTTTTATAAGAAGCACTGATTGGACCTATATCAGAAGCCGAAAAGATAACGGTATAACGAATTACGGACCGACGCTTGTCCATAATAAAAGCGTGTAAAAATTAAATTACTCTGATATGACCTTGATTTGCTACCAATTAGCAAATAACTGCCTGTATGTATGTTTGTCTACAAACCACTTTACGACGTTTGGGCAACAAGTCCTCCAGTTGTGCATTTTGCGATTCAGATAATGTGTTAACAATTTTAGAATACATATCTTTGCGTTTCCACGGAAACATGCTGTGAATAGGACAGTAGCATTGTATACTATTGCGTTCTTCGTCTATGTTGTACAGAAACGATGTATATATATATATATATAAACCTATCATTGTAATGATTGTACTGACCAGAGACCGTATGCCGGTATCTGTGCTGACCGTCTAGAATAAGCCTGGCTGCAGTCAAGTATAGAGTTGCATGTCGACTGCAAGACAAGTTGTCTATCTGTGCCAGCGCCTGGCCGATATCCACGCTGCAAAACAAGCCAGACAAACCTGGCAATGTGTTTATGGAGATCCTATTTCACACCACAATGTTACATCAGTCGCTGTGCAGTACTTTGTCCCTAAGCCTTGTAAGAATCAGCTTTTCGTTGTTCGAATCCCAGGTGGACTCCGATTACGATCCTTGGTCAAATTACATTATCTGGACCTAAAAAGTCCGCCTATCTAATTCCTAACGAGTTGTCAGCCGGCCATACGTTTTCGCACATTCAGTTTTTTTCAAAACTATCTGTTGGTAAGTGAATGAATGTGGTTTTACGCAATATTCAAGCTATATCACAGCAGGGGACACCAAAAATGGGCATCACACACTGAATGGGGAATCGAACACTGGTCTTCGGCGTGACGAGCGAGCGCTTTAACCACTAGGTTACCCCACCACACCGCAATTAGTTGGAAGCTTCGTGAGCGACACTGAACACCACGCGTTGTAGATCATACTGCAAACGTATACCCATTGGTACTGTGGTCGAACCCACACTGTGCAATTTCGTCCCTAGGCTTTCCAGAAACCTATGAATCCCGGTTCGCCCTGAGTATGTTTCTTGGTTTCTCAGTACCACACCCGTGCTAGTGTGGTTCACTAAAATGGTAAACATCTGAGATCTCCATAACTTCGGGCTTTCCTCCCACATCAAGCTGAGATGTCGTGATATAACCGGAATACTGTTTAAAGCGGCGTTATACCCAACTCACACACTGTCTGTGTAGTTGAGCCCTTGCACTCTGGGTCCTATTAACCGATAGCAGCAACCTATTTAACCAATGGAAATGTAGAGGAAGATTGGGGACGAATTCTGCCTCATGGAACAGAGATACGTTCTTGTATCCATGCTTACATTTCTCTTAGCCTGTCACTTAAGCTTCTGAGTAATTTATTCTACAATAAAAAAACCAATTGCATCTGATTCCTTGTGATTGGCGAAGCAAACACTTTTTTGCGCTCGTTTCCATGACCGATTTTTTAAGGTCAAGCCCAGTAACGGATTACTGTTTCCTGGTTGACTTATGATGCAATGGGTGACACTTGTGTTGCAATTCTTTTTGTCGTGTTAACAATAAAATAAGCAGTCTGTGAAATTATTAAAGTGGACGTATATATTTATAAGAGTAATCTTCAATGTGTTTTTTGCTTATGTATAAAACGGAATACGTTACCCGGATTTAGTTTGCACACTGGGTTTTCACGTTAATACCTCCATAAAATATGTCAATTCTTAAATATTCTTGTTCTGCACTTCTGAGATAAATATATTATTGTGTCCACCACAAGCTCAAATTCTATACCTTTATCTCCAATAGCCTCCATGTGTTCTTGAGCTGTCTTTCCATAAATTTGCATCAATTTTTCTACCAGACCCTAACCAATACACTTATTTCCCAAACATAATTCTGTCCTCTACTTTCAACTTCCTTTACTATCTATAGCATACCACTTTGGTGTCAGGGACTTGCCCTTTCCTCTTGCAAGACTTGTCCATTCCCCAGACCTTCTCCCCGGCAAGGACTGGACCTGTCCCTCTTCGTCGTAGGTCCACCGACCATAAGGATCCTTCTTGATAGCCCCAACGTCGAGTGATCTCTAACGGCCAACTTCTAAAGTAGAGCGAGCGAGTTTGGTTCAACACCGCTTTGAACACTATATCAGTTATATCACGGCGTGTCAGCATAATGTAGGAAGAAAACCCGAAGTGATGCAGGTCTCAGACGTTTACCACTTTGGTGAAACCGCGAGCGCAGGTATGAAAACAAACCCAGAAACATAATCAGGGCTAACTGGGATCATATGGTCGCAACTATATACATCTAATTGCATGCCTCAGAAGACTAGGCCATCCTTGAGAAGAGTGAGGAGGTTTAAGAATAAAGTCGTCTTTGAACCTATAAAATTGAAATTATTGAAATCCTGGGGCATTTGTTCTGATCTAGTTAAATTCACACACAAAAAAACATCTTTTCATCTATATTGCTTTCGTTTTGTGACCATGTACATTTTTTTATTCATCATATTTACTAGTTTGCTAACATTCTATTATGATGTAGAAATAAACCTTTCATTGTCCCTTTTATATGCTTTGTTTGTTTGTTTGTTTATTTGTTGTATAACGCTGCTCTCAGCAATATTCAAACTATATGACGGCAGTCTGTAAATAATCGAGTCTGGACCAGACAATCCAGTGACTGACATCATGAGCATCGATCCACGCAATTGGGATATGATGACATGCATCAACCAAAGTCAGCGAGTCTGACCACCCGATCCCGCTAGTGGCCTCTCAGGAAGCATGGGTTGCTGAAGACCTATTCAACCCCACATCTTCACAGGTCCCCTTTTTTTTATATGAAGAGTATGTGGTATGCTAAATAACATTCCAATTCATTTTTTAGCAAATGTTTATGTTGATCCAGCCCAAACCTCTGCCTCTGTCTTGACTGCTTTTTCGTCATCTCCTCTGAAACCTAAGCGTTTATTAACCTGGCAATTTATGTATGTGAACCCAGGAATGTTGTCTCTAAATCTGCTCACGGAGCTCTGATCCGACTTAAAATGTCTGTCATAACGAGTGAGTTGGGTTTAACGCTGCTTTTAACAGTATTCCAGTCATATCGCAGCGTGTCAGCTTAATGTGGGAGGAAAGCCCGAAGTCATGCAGGTCTCAGACATTTACCACTTCGGTGAAATCCACGAGCACGGGTATGGTGCTGACAAACCTAGAAACTTATTTTGCCCGATACGAACCCACAATCATAGGTTTCTGGCGTGCCCAAGGGACGCAACTCTGCACAGCGAATCCCGGCGCCTTAGACGACTGGGCCACCCGTGCCCCCCTGTCGTAAAGAAAATGTCATTAACACCCTTTGCTCAGCAACTGCTCTCCTGTACATTATATATACTGTAATCATGAGGTGTGCACAACAATTACATGTTACATATTGCTGTGATGATATTTTCAAAATGTAAAATTTGACAAGAAATGTAGGGTAGTGGCTGCCGACAGTGCAATGGCAGTCATGGTGAACATGCAATGTTGGCCCCTGCAAAGCCAGTTATGCATGTATCATTGTGTTATTTAATTAACAAGTTGTGGGGATGTCTGTTTTTTAGAGTTTTCTTCTTGTGCTTATTTTTCCTTGCCAGTGTGTGACCTTTCTGAACTATTGCAATATTCCAGAGTGAGTGAGTGAGTGAGTGAGTTTGGTTTTACGCCGCTTTTAGCAATATTCCAGCAATATCACACCGGGGAACACCAGAAATGGGCTTCACACATTGTACCCATGTCAGGAATCGAACCCAGGTCTTCGGCGTGACGACCGAACGCTTTAACCACTAGGCAACAGACCGCCCCTAATATATCAGAGAAACATAGGTGAGCTACAGAGCCTTAAGGATCTATATCCTATAACTGAGTTTACAAATGTACACAGATGGGTACAAAACAACTTTATAGTTCACATGTCAACTAAACTAAACCTTTTTCAATAATTGTTACTTGGCAATGGTATGATCACTGCATGTTTTGTCCATTTTCCAAAGGTCACAGACCCCCGCATATTTTCACGGACTTGTCTCAAGAAAACAATTTTCCACTTCACCTCTATGACATTATGTAACATACGATTTCACTATTAAACAATTCCTTTGATGTGAGGCTCAGAACGTTTCAAGTAACCCTTGTTTAAAAGCAGCATTAATCTGACCTAGTACAAGCAGCACACATAAAGGCATGCATCCACACACATCGTTACAAGTGCAAAAATCTTAACGTTAAACCCCATTTCACCTTGCCTAACTTCACTAGATCACGTAGATGAAATGGTTCATTACATTGTGCTCAACTTGTGTGTACTGGCGAGCACCTGGGCTCACTTGCACAAAGCCATCTTAGCGCTATGACTATTGTAAGCCTATGTTAAAATATGGGAATTACGATCACCTTAGCACTAAGATTGCTCTGTACAAGTGGGCCCTGATGGATGAGCAGTGCTCCTCAACCCCTATGAGAACTACTAAGACTTGAAGTTCACATGTTCTCACGGCAACTACTTGAAATAAAGTTGATATCTCTTTGATTCTTTATTCACCCCCATTTCCAGATACAGTAAACTACGATTATAATGAACTCAAAGGGACCACTAGTTTTAATTCATTGTATCCGTTGTTCGTTATAGGCATTTTGACCGTCAGACATCTTTGATCAAGTCATGTGACCACATCAAGTTACTTGATAAATAACAAAAGTGTGCACTGTACATGTATTATGTTTATTCATAATACATAACATAAATAAAAACATGTTTCTGCGATCTTGCTTTGAACATTTGTTGACAGACGGATTTCCTTACTCCAGTCATCGAATTTTATACACAGAATATATCCATTTCAAAGGCTATAGCCAAATCACTGTTACTATTTTTAATTGAGGATGTAATTTGAGGACAAGGTGTCAGTACGCAAGTGTAAATAAATGCCTTCAATTGTTTATTGCTGCTTTGAACAGCTGCGCTTGGCCACGGATGTTTTGATAGGCAGATGGGTATAACAGGTGAGGACCTCAGCTCAGGGATTAACAGCTTGTGATACACTTAAACATTATCGTTGACAGAGTACACACAGGACCAGAAGGTGAGTTGCTATATCCGTTATTTCGTTATAAGCATGTTCGCTATATCCATCAATTTTATATGATGAAATATACAGCAAATGGCCAGGACCAAACAAACAGTTTGTTATATCCGTCAGTTTGTTATAAGCGTGTTCGTCATAAATGTAGGTTACTGTATCTACATAAAAACACAACCCCACACATGACAGGGTGAAAGTGCACAACCTCTTCGTCTGTCATTGCAGTCTAGGTTCAGAGCATGAGTCAAATTTCCAGAAAATGTTCTCAATACTCCTGACAGTATCACTCTCAATGGTGTGGTTTGTCATGTGATTCGAGTCCATTTTTCACTGATCGCCCACAATCTCTTGATGACCGCCTCATCCACCACCTGCTGGGACAGGGCCTGCTCTTCACAGTCACTGCAACAGGAACATATAATGCTCAATATAGGACTACCATTTTGGAATCAGTGTTTTTGAGGAAGGTTCATTTTTACTGAACAAAGAACTTTGTCTAATTTTCTTCTGCGACTTTAAGATCACCAGGGCCCACTTGTACAAAGCGATCTTAGTGGTATGACGATCAGACTCATATACTTTTACATACAGTTATCATAGCCTTAGCACTAAGATCACTTTGTGCAATAAGGCCCAGAAGAGGCTGCAAAGGTCCAGTTTCAACCCTTGCCGAACTAGGCTGGAATTCTTACGAGTCTTACGAGTCTATGCATAGTCCAATCACAATCGCGCAACGAACTAGACATCCGGTTCGTAAACAACATGGATCTCAACGTGCAGATTTCCGTCAACTGATCATTCTTGACTGGGTGCTGCCATTTTGTTTGAAGCAAATGCAAGTGATATGAGAGATGGAATCTGATTGGTCAATAGCAGGGACATAGAAGGGATATAACTAGATAGTGATAGCCACTAGTGGCGCTACGATTGAGTCTGGAAATTCCAGCTTAGTTCGGCAAGGGTGGAAACTTGACTTTTAAAGTCCTGAAACTGAGGCTTTAGGCATGTCTATGGTAATCATGATTAGAATATTCTTTATTTTATTTGAAAGCACAAAGTCTAAAATTTGGATTGGAAGATCCATTCGGAGATATCTCTAGAAGCTGTTCACAAAACAGTAATTTGATTTTCAATAAGGCCTTCAAAGCAGCCACATTTGGCCCAAAAACCCAGTGTAGGATGAGTTTCAAGAGAACTTTGACAGAATCTGATATCGAAGGATTTCTTCCAAATGTAATGTAGTATTGTAGACACAGGGGACATTTAATATTAAACAAAATCGGTCAACATCACCAAAGTAAAAACGTCCATTGATATCTGGCTTCTGCACATGTACGCTGAAACTGCAGTGTTGGGTGAGATTATTTGGCTAGCCTGGGGTCTAGTGCAGCGTACAGTGTTGTCTGATAGTAAAACTAAATGTCCTGACATACAGTACCTGAAATATTTCCCTGTGACTGCGGCCAGCCTGGGGTCTAGTGCAGCGTACAGTGTTGTCTGATAGTAAAACTAAATGTCCTGACATACAGTACCTGAAATATTTCCCTGTGACTGCAGCCAGCCTGGGGTCTAGTGCAGCGTACAGTGTTGTCTGATAGTAAAACTAAATCATGTCCTGACATACAGTACCTGAAATATTTCCCTGTGACTGCAGCCAGCCTTGGGTCTAGTGCAGCGTACAGTGTTGTCTGAGCTCCCTGCCGTGGAGTCTTCAGCATCAGCCACAGGAAGGGGAACAACAGGAAGCTTGAAATGTAGGACTTGGTGACACTCAGGTGCCGGCCGATCTCCGTCTTCACAAGCCCAGGGTTGACAGCATTACAAGTTACGCCAGTGTCTGTCAAAAAACACCAATAGTCCTTACAGCGATCCTGGTTACCAGGTAAACATCTTTTTGATGGTATGAAGAACTCATCATGTTTCAGGTAATACTCGGATAGACAGATGCTTTTAAGATACAAGTGTGTCTCCCCTTTTAAAAGTGGCCAACTGGGAAAGATTAACCCTGACACAAACATGTCACCATGAAACATATGAACTAGGATGGTTTAACAATATAGGCTGTGATACCAATCTCATTAGTTCTCGCTACCGCTAAACAAAGATCTAAGGACATCTCTTTACCATGTTTACGGGTCACGTCAAAATGACCATTTATCCAACCAATCAGAGCATTGCTTACCAGATTGGGAGAGTGACAGTCGGAATGTGTTTTCTAATCATGCAACCTTGAATAAGGTTAACACAGGGCATTCTGAATGACAGCTACAGGCTGTATGACTGATTCTGTCTGAGTCATAGTCTATCTCTCCCTTCAATGAGATAACATTTGCAACGAAAGAGATTTTCCATAGTCCGTTGCAAGCACTGTCATACAATCTCAGGCATCCATTAGACATTCCACAATTTTCTGTTGTTCGGTTTTCAGATTTCATTGAGAAATTTGTCAAATACTCTGAAATGAAAGTCGCCAGTTTGAAATCAATGCCATAAATCTTGAGGAAGCTGCTCCCTGATTGGCTAATGTTGGCTTCTTGTAAGTCATGTCATTGGTCGGTCAACGTTTGCGAAAGGTCGTTCTGACGTGATCCCTTATGGGAAGTCCTAAGATCTTTGAGTAGTGGTAGCGAGCACTGAGATCTGATTTTAATGAAACTGGCTGTGAAACCTTTCAATCGTTTTGCCAGTTCCACCGTAAACAGCACATTGGCGAGTTTGCTCTGTTCATAAGCAGCAGCTGGGGCATAGCTGTTTGCACTGTTCAAGTCCTCAAAGTTGATTCGACCCCTGCTGTGGGCCAGGCTGGATACGTTGATGATACGACTAGGAGCAGATGCTTTGAGCTTGTCCAACAGCAGATGTGTCAGCAGAAAATGTCCTGATTGTCAAAAAAACTGGTGACTCATCATATGATAAACACAAAGAGTATATGCATTTCATTGGAGGACAAGTTTTAACTCAAACCTATATAGATGATTTATAGCTCTCTTTTTCACAAACCTACCTAGATTTTTGCATCTCAGACCTACAAGGATGGTTAATAATGAACAAATCTCAAAACTGCTTGGATGATTTACTGTCGCTGCATTAAAAACTTACCTACTTACTTACATCTCAAACATACCTAGATGGTTGACACCCAACTGCATCTCAAACATACCTAGATGGTTGACACCAAACTGCATCTCAAACATACCTAGATGGTTGACACCAAACTGCATCTCAAACATACCTAGATGGTTGACACCCAACTGCATCTCAAACACACCTAGATGGTTGACACCAAACTGCATCTCAAACATACCTAGATGGTTGACGCCTAACTGCATCTCAAACATACCTAGATGGTTGACACCAAACTGCATCTCAAACATACCTAGATGGTTGACACCCAACTGCATCTCAAACATACCTAGATGGTTGACGCCTAACTGCATCTCAAACATACCTAGATGGTTGACACCAAACTGCATCTCAAACACACCTAGATGGTTGATGCCTAACTGCATCTCAAACATACCTAGATGGTTGACGCCTAACTGCATCTCAAAACCGTCTTCAGTCAGGAGTTTTGGACATCTCATGATGCCAGCATTGTTGATTAGAATGTCCAGACGCTTCTCATCTGAAAAGTTCATTATATTTGTTAGATATATCACACACAACTGATAAGCAAATTGATCTTTATTTTATTCACTTTTATGCCGAGTGCCAGGCAGAGTAACAACAAGTACCATCTCTTAACACCTCTGCTGTGACGCGGCTTTGAACCCTGACCTTTTGCTCTCCAGGCAGACGCTCTACCACTGGACCACAAAGGCGGTCAGCCTGTTTCAAGACATTCAAGACACAGTGGGTTGAGACACATGAGACTGTTACAATGCTCATGATTTAAGATTGGAGTTTCAACTGATTGAGTGAATTGAATTGGCTCTACTGCTGCTTTTGATATTAAGTCAGAAACTTGTACCACTATTAGGAAAGCAGGCAACAGACCAAGGGTCATAATCAAGGCGAATCTAAGACGTTGCACATCAGCGGATCCTGGCACATCAAAGGGAAGTAACTCTGTACACCAAATGATGGAACATGGTCACATGTAATAGAATCCCACTAAACATTGCCATACTGGAATATGCAGAACCACTGACCAGATGTTACAGAAACTATTCCTCACTTTGATTGACTGCCTTTGCGAAAGCCTTGATTGACCCGACTGAAGCAAGGTCGAGCAGCTGACATTTGATGTTGCGGTTTGCCGTCTCCAACACGATCTCCGCCCGGGCACGCTCACACTTGTCTAGATCCCGGCATGCCATGATGATCCGACCTCCTGCCATACAAATACATTTATGTACACTAATCACTAATCCATATTGACTAAGACAAATTTGTTTTCAAACCGTCATCACTCCGGGCTTACCTCCCATATATATATCTGATAAAACTGTAATTCTGTTAAAAAAGAGGCATTCAACCCAACTCACACACTCACTGAAAATTTGGCAAGGCCAATTCATTTCTTGTTTTACAGATAAACAATATTGCAAAAGTAAAAGGATAGTGTTTTACAAATACCATCCCGAAATAAAACATGGAGACCCCACTCAAACACAGTAAACTGACTCCGAGTTAACCAGTCCTTGTATCTGTTGTAATTATCATTTCAAGTTCAATACTAAAAATAGCCAGTACGAAACAATGATTCTACAGCTAGCTTTTCCTTTTGAACCAACTCTGACATATTTTTAGTCACACAATTTGACGTAAATACTGTATTCGACATAATAAGCGCCCCACTCTAGTATTTGCTAATATATTAAAACAATACCAATAAGCGCCCCTTCCGATTGATCAGTGTACACAAAACTTACTTATTATGAGTATAATACGCACTCGTGTGTTATGCGCACCCTTAATAATGGGCAATTAAATTCTGGAAAAATATATCTCTCATATATAAAATGCACCAACCTTTTCTTTAGTATCATTTCAGGCGGTCGTATAAATAACTGTCATGATCCGTCATCGGAAATAGAATATCAACAAATCCGCATTGAATTAAGCAAGTTAACCCCTTTCTTACTATGTTTAAGTGTTCATTGTATATCTGGACTTATGTTTACAATCTATTTTATTAATTTTATTAAAAATTTCATTCAAGAGTGTTTACATAATAATTTCGGAGAAATCATGTCCCTACAATACTTACAACTTCCGTTCAACACGTTCAATGAAACCTGCTTTATCACATACTGCGACAGCCTAACTCATATTTATCAATGCATGAACAATGATCTTATTTTCTTCTGTTTCGTTATTTTACGAGTCTAAACATCAAGAAAAACATTTGTCAAGGTTAACTTTCAGTGAGAAAATATCTCAAAACCTGAAGAACTATTTCCATTTGCGTAGTTTCCATTTGATGGTGTCATCAAAGCCATATGGAGAGATAGCGTAAGGTCACTTTGATGCATAAATATGTATTATCGTGAACCTCACAGTCATAGTTTTAGTAGCAAAAAAATACTCAAAACAATATGTAAAGCATCAGTCTGTTCCGATTTCAGTGTTTGTATGAAAACGAGAGAAAAGTCCAGTTACATGATAAGCAAATTAGCCTGTGACAGTGCTGTTATGCGAAGTTAGGTTACTTCTGAAAACGATGATTAATTAAAAACTAGATGTACTTTTTAGGATCTTTGTATTTAAAAATTTAATCTTGGGTAGGTGGTTGAAGTATTTTTATTCACAACCTGTATATATTGATTGTTAAACTGGCGACCTGATCAATACATCATCATTCTCACCGAAAAAAAAGGTAAGTAATAAAAGGTAATATTTGAAAATCACAAACACAGAGCGTATGTTTATATTTCATTTTTCAACTTTACCTGCTGATTACCGGCACTTCCTGTTTGGAACAAATAATTCCAATAAGCGTCCCCTATTTCTAATTTTGAGAGCGCCCTGGGTGCTTATTACATCGAATACAGTATGCTTATTGTGATACAATTCATATCGTGATCTATGTATCTATCGTGTCAAGACCTTGCTGTATCGTTTCAGCCTGACCATCCATCATTCAGATTACCTCCATCCAGACCAGTGTCACATACCTCTCCTGGCCAAATCTCTTGCCGTTTCCTTCCCTATGCCAGTGTTGGCGCCAGTGATGATGGCAGTCCGTCCAGGCAACCTCTCCTCACCGGTGTACTTCCCTCCGCCCATGTAGTCTCTGTATACAACACATCAGGTAGGGGATTAAAGTTTACACAAAAATATTCAGCACAATATTAATTCATAAAAAAATGTTAAGAACCTGAGAAATCAACATCATTTGGCATGCATTTATCATGTTCTTGGCAGAACAAGCTATATAAACTCGGAATGTTTTACAAAATGGTGTGCCATTGGCCTTCTTTATTGTCAACATTGTCCTTTAGCAGTTTAGTGTCCTTTTTGTGCACTGACGTTCTTTAGTACACATTGTTCCTTCTTTACATATAAAGTCATGGGTTTGCTAGTTGTTCATTGTTTTGTATTTTTAATTCATTTTTTGTATGTACCTTTTTTGGTAACATTCATTTCTTTTGTAACATTTGACTATTATTGCTTACTTTTGTCCTTTATCATTTGTTTTATCAACTTTGTATTTTTTTACCGAATGGCGCCCACACATTGGCCTATCTGCACTCACTTCAAGAGATATATTCCTCCCATGAATGTACCAAGAGCACTTAAAGGAACAGCATACTTCGGCATTCTGTAGGAACCCATTGTCTACAAAACAGAATATTATTAACATGATTGATATAAGAAAGTCAAGGTGTTTTGTTCAATCCCTTCAGGTAATATAAATTATTATGATTTATCTATAACAATTACATTAACCAGTGGTTGATATTATTAGCAAAATCTCACACCATGGGTAAGGAGATTGCAGGTTTGTGTGATAGCTGGTATGGAGGTTGATTTTCCATATATGTTAATTTAACTTCTACACAACAATTTAAAAGTCACATTTTATTCATAAGACATTGTAATATCGGTCAGGTCAGCAGGTATAAGAAGTTGTCTCCTGGTTTGAAATGTGATGGTAAATTAGTAACATTATGTCAATGCAAAACCAAAAAAATCTTAATATTAAATCACTCAAACAAATCTGATGCATAATTGTTAAATTTGTTGTGGCACATGGACGCAATGGAAAAAAATCGTAAAAACTAATCATTATTTTGAAAACAAATTGATCTATGGGACATACTGTACAATTTGTCATTAGCAACAGGGAAATGGGAGGAGGAACACCTTCTTTAATTTTAGAAGTTAAAAAGGTGACTCCCTGACTGGCGGACATAACATAAACCTGTGAACTTACTCACTGTCCCGTGCTGACCTTTCCGTCAAGCCAAAGTTGGACCGGTCCTCCAGAGAAGCCTGTTCATCAATAACAAAGATCATCAAACACAAGCTACCGACATTAGTCCCGCAGTAATAAGGTGATCCCGCTGTAGACCATCATTTTATGACGCAAACATAACAAAACTAACTAATAAATACTCAAAAGTACTAACACAGAAGAATTAATATGGAACTCAGCAAGTCAACGTGAGAATTAGTAAATTAGAGTGACCTCCCCCTTTTTCTACACGAAACGAGTTCCGGACCGGTTGTGCATTACTGGGCGTGTTTTCATTGATCCTTCATCATGTCTTCACCACAGCTGCCATTCCCTGACCCCGAGAAGATTTTTACCTCTTGGTGGCCAATTATCATCGGTGTTACTGTCGGAATATTTTATGCAGCAAGGTATAGTTCTAATTCAGACTAAACTGACGAACCATTGTTCTAATTTCGATCACAAATGCTCATGCATTATGCATGTTATTGGTTATGCCTTATGGTTCCATGAAACCAGCTATTAGTTCATTTCATTCACTCCTTTTTAAAGTGTTGTGCACATTAATGTTTTTGCTTTTCTATGAACGCTGCACCATAACTCGAAAAAAAACCAAAGCAATATTGTTAGAAGTGGGATTGTACAACTTGAAAATTGTAGAAATGTAATCTTGTTAAACAAGTTAAATACCTATCATAAAGAATCTCCAAGGTCTTGTTAAGCAAGGCGCACAGACTACACTTTTCCTGATCAGAGGCAGAAAGGTTTCATTTAGTTTTGAAAAACAGGCACCATCAATTGTCAGGCAACTTAAATTATCGTGATTATGTAATGATAAAAAGAAAAACATGTGGGTTTTTTCTTTACCACAAGGGTCTGTGTGGTAGCCTTGTAAAAATGTTGTCTGGTCAGCACTTAGCTACATCATATACAGTTGACCCAATCACTTCTACAGTGATTTTCGGATGAACAAGTCAAATTTCCCCACACTCGAGGCAGTAAACCTGGTAAACTTGATGCATTCCTGTAGTACATTACTACAATTTTGTAGCTAGCCAACCCAAAGACCTATGTATGCGTTCAATCAAGCTGTAAGAAGTCCATGGTCATTTAAACATGTTGAAAAGTTTAACCTTATTTGTCATTCGAACTAAGCCAACTTTTCTGATTCTAAGTTCTATCCCTGTAAAAATTAATAAATTCTCCTGATGGAAAATCACTTGTTATATGATCATTTGTTTCATATCTGTGGAAGTCTGAGCAAGCTGATAACACATCATAATGAACAAAACACAGGGATTTATCCATGATTCCAAACTAAGTGCCCTTGGCAGCCAAATTGGGAAGAATCATTATTTTGTTCAAAATTGGAATTTGTTTTGAAGTTCATGTTTTCTTTAATTCAGACATATTTTAACAGTACATCCAATGAAATAATGTTAAAGTAAGCATTAAAGCCTCTTCATCTATCTTGATCCTGTTATCAGTGAAATACAAGTCATCTCTACAAAGCCATAACACTAGTTATAACTATATGAATTGGGAAATGTTTATTTCCATTTTGGGAATTTTTACTTACATTTCTTACAAGTCTCAGGAATGTTGAAATGTTTAGTGTTGTTTATGGAGTAGTTATAACGCAATGAGTGATTATGTCTTTATTCATTTGTGTTTATGATGAACTTAATCCACATATTATCTGCAGACAATGGTTGCGGGGCGCACAGTTTGTGGAGGAAGTAAAACTGGAAGGGAAGGTTGTTATTGTCACTGGTGGCAACTCAGGCATCGGCAATGCTGCAGCGTTATATATGGCCAGGAGAGGTAGGTCGACTCCTAACTGTTGGGTCATGAGCCTTGTGTTGTTGAACATACTAAGCATGTCTAGTGTACAAGTACTGCCTAACTTTCCTATGGTGCCACAGTGGTCTGAGCTACCAACATTCCTAATGTGCAGAGTTGCATCCCCTAGCTGTACCAGGATCTACTGATTGTAAGTGTCACCTTATGGTCCTTGGTCTGTCAGCACCTACCTGTACTTGTGGGTTTCAGAATGAATTTTATGACAGATATTTTCACTGGTTTATCTCATTATCAGGATGGTCAGCATTAACCGTGATTATTTTTTAAAAAGTGACCACTACCTGGCCAACTTATAATTCATGTGTATGGTATATTACTGCAAGTCTGCAAGTTGGTCTGAAATAGAATGTTTGATAAGATAGATGCCAAGCATTTCAAGCACAAGCTCGGATTGACTTTAAGTGTTGTGCAAGATTGCAAATTTTAGACTGTATAATTTTGATCAATTTTGGTTGATACAGGGGTTGATCATCTTGGTGGAATGACAACCGGTTGCCATTTTGTAATGTTGTGTACAACAACTTCTTTATTTGCTCATAAATTGCCACGAAACGAGGCAAATGGAAGCCAAGACTTAATCTCAGAGTTCAGGAAAAAAGGTTTTAGGGGTGAGGAGTTCTCTACAATTTTCAGAGCCCTGCTAGGTTGCTATGCGACGTCATGTCCGGCCACTTTGTGGCCTCCACCATTTAGTTGTAGGCCGGTTAGTTTGGAGAAGGGCCAGTAGCTTTTAAAAGAAGCAAACCCTGCTGGCTACGTGCACATTTGTTGTTAAATCTACCTGTTGATAGTGATAAATCCACACCTATGGTTTAATCATGGGTAGGGGCTTAGAAACGTCAAGGTGCTATCAGAAAAAAACCTTTATTGAATGCACATTTTATTATATCAGAAGGGTTGGAGAAGGACAAGTTGTTATGTTTCGGTTATTTGATCTCTAGATCAGCATGCTTCTTTTCATATCTGTTTGGTATCATGGTTGTAACATGTCAACGTCAGTGACGTTGTGAACCCCCGTGAAGATGATATACCAATGTAGCTTGTTTCTGTGTTGTCCATGCAGGTGCGAAGGTGATCATAGCATGCTGGGATGAAGCTTGAGGTCAGGAGGCTGCGGATGAGATTGAAATGATGGGAAGTTGTAATGTAGCTTGTTTCTGTGTTGTCCATGCAGGTGTGAAGGTGATCATAGCATGCCGGGATGAGGCTCGAGGTCAGGAGGCTGCGGATGAGATTGAAATGATGGGAAGTTGTAATGTAGCTTGTTTCTGTGTTGTCCATGCAGGTGCGAAGGTGATCATAGCATGCCGGGATGAGGCTCGAGGCCAGGAGGCTGCGGATGAGATGAAGACGCTCCACAAGCAGGAGGTGACCGTCATGAAGTGTGACCTGGGCTCCTTCAAGTCTATCAGGGAGTTTGTGGAAGCTTTCAAGAAGAGTGAGAAACCAACTCTGTCTAAATATTTGTTACCAAGCAGTTCCATGTATATGAGGATTATTTCTTTATGATGGGTCATGGTTATATCCATAAAAAGGTTTTGTTAACAGCAGTAGTATTTACTGTAATCTTGTGGGGTCTGTAAGTGGTAGACCGCCTCCTTGGTCTAGTGGTAGAGCGTCCGCCCGGAGAGTGGAAGCACTGGGGTTCGATCCCAAGCCATGTCAGACCAAAAGATGTTAAAAGATGGTACTTGTTGTTACTCTGTCTGGCGCTCGGCATTAAGGGGCTAAAACAAGGACTGGTCGGCTCGGAGTCAGTATACTGTGTCTGAGTGAGGTATTCGTGTTAAACTGCGGCATGGTATCTCAGTGAGCTAGCACTATAAATCGGCATCAGTCCGGACTAGTACAAGCAGCCACACAAACGTACATGCATGTCGCTATATAAGTGCAATAATCTTGGACACAACGTTAAACCCCATTTCACCTCACCTCACCTCTGTAAGTGGTAAGACCCATTGTAACCTGGTTCAAACCACTGACAGACCATTATCTTACCTCTGTGTCAGAACATTGAGACCTGATTCACGTGATCTTGATACAAACTACGTATCCTGTCTGGTAGGAAAATATATGTCTGAGCATGAGAATAAATTCCTTATACCCCATCACAAAGAATACTGACTGCATGTGGATTTCTGAGCGGGAGAATAGTTCTGTTATGGCCCGCTACAAACCAAAAGGGTGCGTTGCTTACAGGTCAATATAAGTCATGTGACACAGCACCAAGTTAACCTAAGCTCAGTGAAACAGCTGTTTTCTATTGATTTTCAATTTGTATTAATTATTTGACAATTGCAGATTGAAACATGTCGGTAAGATAAATTCATTGTGGCAGTATCACGAGGGGTATATATGGTTTTAAGTGTCCGTCGTTAAGTTTATACGTCCCTTCAGACTCAAGGTATAAAATCTAACATAGGACACATAAAACCACAAATGCATTTTACATTTGTCAGAAGTTTGAACGGATCAATCTTATTGAAATCAGATCCTAGTTCTTGCTACCGCTACTGCTAAACAAAGATCTGAGGACATCCTATTACCGGTCACGTCAGAACAACCTTTCATCCGACTAATCAGAGCGTCGCTTACCAGATCAGGAAGTGACAGTCGGAATGTGTTTTCTCGTCATGCAACCTCGAAAAATATAACACTGTATTCTGAACAACAGTTACAGGTTTTATGACTGATTCCATACAATTTAGGCCATCTATTAGCCATTCCAGAATGTTCTATTGTTCAGTTTTCAAATTTGTAATCGAGAATATGTTTTGAAGCATATTCACCAGTTTGAAACTAGTGCCATACAGCCCAAGAAAGGTGCCTTCTGATTGGCTAATGTCGACTTATTGTCAGTCATCACATTGCTCAGTCAAAGTTCGCAAAGGTCGGTCTGACGTGACCTGTAATTGGATGTCCCCAGATCTTTGTTTAGGGGTAGCGAGAATGAAACCTGTGTCAAGTAGTACCTCATTTACCTGGCTGCAAATTAACATGATGGGTTTTTTTTGCAGAGGAAAAGAAGCTTGACATTTTGATCAACAATGCAGGCGTGATGATGAGCCCCCAGACTCTAACAGAGGAGAAGTTTGAGATGCAGTTTGGTGTCAACTATCTAGGTAGATATTGTAGTTTCTGTTTGTTTTCTACTTATGCCCTCCATGGGGGGGAGGAGGGAGAGGGGGGGGAGAAGGAGAGAACCTGGTAGTGGAAGTGTTCGTATGTCACACCAACAGTCTGGGTTCGATTCTCATCAATGTGTAAAGCTGATTCTGGTTCCCCCAGTGGGATGTTTCTGGAGTGAGTTGTTTGGTTTTAACGCCGCTTTGAGCAGTATTCCAGTTGTCACTGCATGTCAGCTTGATGTGAGGGGCGGTCGGGTAGCCTAGTGGTTAAAGCGTTCGCTCGTCACGCCGAAGACCCGGGTTCGATTCCCGACATGGGTGCAATGTGTGAAGCCCATTTCTGGTGTCCCCCGCCGTGATATTGCTGGAATATTGCTAAAAGCGGCGTAAAACCAAACTCACTCACTCACTCACTCAGCTTGATGTGAGAGGAAAGCCTGAATTCATGCAGGTCTCGGGTGTTTACCACTTTGGTGAAACCCATGAGCATGGGTACCGTGCTGGCAAACCATTGTGCAGGGAGTAATGTGCGATGGAAGTTTATTATTATTATTGTTGTTGTTGTTGTTAAGAAATGTAATCTAGAGTTTGTAGATGAATGCTATGTGCAACAAAAAACATTTGTTTGGTAGGTTTCACCCATTGCTGTCTGGTTTCAGGTACATTTCTGCTGACGGAGCTACTGTTGGATGTCCTGAAGGCGTCCGGTTCAAGTCGTATCGTCAACACTTCTGCAGCTGCTAGTAACCTCGGAGAGATCAACTTTGATGACATCAACATGGCGGAGGACTACAGTCCTGGACAAGCATATGCGCAGAGTAAACTGGCCGTCAACTTGTACTCATTACACTTGGCACGACGGCTTAAAGGTTAGTACATGTTTACTTCTTTACATGTTGACCGCTGGCTTAAAGGTTGGTACATGTTTACTTCTTTACCCTACAAGTGGACTGCTGGCTTGAAGGTTGGTACATGTTTACTTGTTTACACTTCAAGTGGACTGCTGGCTTGAAGGTTGGTACTTATTTACTTCTTTACCCTACAAGTGGACCGCTGGCTTGAAGGTTGGTACATGTTTACTTGTTTACACTTCAAGTGGACTGCTGGCTTAAAGGTTGGTACTTATTTACTTCTTTACACTACACTGTGACTGCTAGCTTAAAGGTAGGTATGTTTATACTAAATGTGGATCGCTGGCTTAAAGCTAGGTAAATTTACTTGTTTACACTTCACGTCAAACACTGGTTTAAAGGAAGGTCCATGTGTACTTTTGAATACTAGATTTTGGCCTGCAAGTTGGTACCCATTTACCTTTTTATATTGCTAGGCCTGCAGGCTTAACACGCGGTAGATTGGATAAGCTTTGATTCAAGGAGAGAGGTCATTAAGATTCAGAATTGTTTGCAGTATTCTGTTTAGATACTGAGCCATTGTATTCATATTTGTTTGCACCAGACTTGATTATTTACTGGCTGTCAAAGGATAGCTGGAATATTTCTTTGTTTAGAATTAAACAACAAAGAAATCTTTGCCTGATCAGCATTTTTCAAGCTACAATACATTAGTTTCTCCATTATTTAATGTGTACTGTCAGACACTTGAGCAATACTTCCTAGATTGGGCTTTGTAACGAGTGGAGTCTCTCAAGGAATGTCAGCTTGATTAGGTAGCTAGTATGGTATGTCTATGTGTAGTCAGTCATTCATTGTTTCCCTCATTTTCACTGCATGTAGGATATAAGCGTTGGGGCATGGATGGCCCAGTCACTGTGCAGAGTTGCATCCCAGAAATCTATGATCGAAGGTTTGAATCATGGTTCGCATTGATTATGTTTCTAGGTTTGTCAGCACTATACACGAGCTCCTGGATTTCACCAAAGTAGTAAACGTCTTAGACCTGCATCACTTTGGGCTTTTCTTCCTCATTGTGCTTACATACCATGATATAACTGGAATACTGTTCAAAGTTATGTAAAACCCAACTCACTCACTCACTCACATAAGCAGAGTTTATAACTAAGGGGGATCTTTTTCCAAAATCCTTGATCCACCTCTGCAATACACAGAGCTCCAGATAAGCTGTGTATCTGCGTAAAATACGCATCATAAATGCAGAAATACGCAGTAAAATAAAATCCAAGCGTATCAAATACGCAACGAACATTACGGATAAGCTCCAAAAATAAAACTTGTGAGTATCATCAAAATATTGTGAAGTAACCCTGCATATTCGATTAGCAAATCAGCAACTTATTTTGAAATTATAAACGTGCATTCCGTCAACCTTGCCAAACTCCACGATGACAGTTATATCACGATCATTTGCCATCACACTTTCTTGTGGAAGTATCGTGGTATTTTTGAGTCCTACAAAGCTCTCGAACCCACACAACACCAGTTTGCAGGGACTAGATGAATAGTGTTTTTAAATATTTAACTTAAATACCCACATGTGTAAAAACTAGTGGGTAACAGAAAGTTGAATACCCAGATAGAATTACTGATACCCAATGATTTTAAAATGCATGGGTAAATTACCCACAACACCAAAAGCTTATCTGGAGCTCTGAATACATACTTTCTTATGGGAGTGATTTGGAAGTCTATTATTTGTGTGCTGTATGATATTGTTTTTCGCTCATTAAGACTTATCAATGATGGTTATTGATATTCCAGACACCAAGGTAATCGTGAATGTGACCAACCCTGGAATTGTCAACTCTAATGGACATCGCCATCTCCCCTTCAAGAACAACAGTTTCCTGCGTGTCAGCTTCTCCCCGATTGTGTGGTTTGTCATGAAGACACCAGCAGATGGCGCTCAAACCACACTCCTTCTGGCATGTTCAAAATCTATAGATGGCGTGTCCGGAAAATACTACAAGTAAGTAGTCTTTGTAGCACATTGTTATGGCATCTCGAAAATCCTTGGACATTGTTCTTCTTCATGTTGACATATTTACATGGTTTTAGATTTCTCTGAGTGACATGAATGAGTTATATAAATGTATTATATTAATAATGATAATAATAATATCACCGGTATCCACGTAATAGTATCTGCTCAAATGCGGTTTCATTTGTTCCCCGACCAGTGGATCCGTTTGCATTTCAGTTTTATCATTCTCAACTCCCTGGGGAGTATACAACCCAAGCTGCCTATGGGCGCTAGATGTTTTTAACACATTTTGGGTACCCATTCCCTGATGGGTGAACAGAGGCACATTTGCCCAGGGTGACACCACAAGTTATTGACACTTGTGTTTTGGGTGAATGTAGGTATTCGTGTTTCCACCATCTGGTCATCTACCATCGGATGAGAGGGTTCTTTTGAGTGCACAGGGTATGGCACTGTATGCTAGTTAAGTTATGTAGGGTGCATAACCACGAGTTAAGTGCACCTCACCATTGACATATATAATATTAGTGGCAGTGGAAACTCTTAATATATTTGTAGCAAATGTTGGTGACAGCAAATGAAACGTCTGCTGTGGTGATTTTGACAGGAAGTGATTTGAGTTATCTGCCCTTGGTTGCTTTAGACTCGGGATGGGGCAGTTTCTAGAAGACTTGCTGTACCTACATGATAGTGACAGATTTGAGTTCCCACTGCCACTAACATTACTTACATATAACACTATGAATACAAGACTGTGAGGGAACAGGAGGCCTCGTTGTCTTAGGTGTCACAGTCAGTAGTGAAGAGTTATGTCCCTCAGGCATACCAGGATCCTATTTTCATGGGTTGGAATCCCAAATTTGTCCTGATCATCATCCTTTGTTGGTCATCACCAAGGTGAAAACTATGTTTTCCTGGCTTTTAGATGATAAAATTGTTTGTATAAAATAATTAGTTAATGGAGGTTCAAGTGTACTCTGGGCATAGATCTCCATACTGTAACAGAGGCTTGTGAATAAACATATATGAAAGAAGTGAAAAAAGAATAGAATGTTTTTATTGAAAATCAAGTGAATATTTTAGATCATCTTGAAATCCATCAGGTTCATAACCATGATAACAGAGCAAGAAAATCTCACTTTTTAATTTGACTGAAACCTTGACAACCTCATCATTTTGATAGACATGAAATCTTCATGAAATCACCAACTATTTACAGTGGAATGTCTAACCTGGTATCTGACTAATCCAGATCACTGTTAATACCAGACCAAATTTATACTCCTAAATTCACTTCGTTCATTTATCAACAACTGAAATCTGTTTTATCCAGAATAAAACAGGTACTCACTTATTTGTATCTTAATGAATAAAAATAGTGAACTGTATTCTTGTCTGCAACAAAGGGCACATTAGTTTTTTTCTCTACCTTGCGAGACCCCACTAACTCCCACTGTTTTTCAGAGACTGCACTTTGAGTGAGCTGACGGGCAAGTCTCTGGATGAAGAGCTCCAGGAGAAGTTATACAAGGAGTCTGTGAAATGGACGGGCCTTGTGAAGAAGACACAATAAATGCTTGTCTGTCTTCTGTACCCATGTAGTGTTATTACAGAGTTCAGAAATATCAAAAGAGCGGCTTTCACTAAACATTTTCACTAAAAAGAGTTAAGGTTTGTTCTTACTGATCAGACAGTTGATAATAGTTTCAGGAATAGTTCCTCTGGTAGTGGCATTGAATGTTTTTAGGGAAATATAGAACAATGATTATGGAACAGAGTCTGGTAGTGGTGTTTACTAATGGGGAAATGTAAAATAAAGATTGTGGAACAGTCTGGTAGCACATCAACTAGCAAGTTTGTGTTTAGACCTCAGCTTTAGTTCTGTGTAGGATGTGTAGTGTTATTATACATAAGTCAGGGTGTCATCTTTTATTTTTCGGTTTCACATAGTCTGATCAAGTATTTTTTTTAACAAGCTCGAAGAAAGTTTGGCTTCCTTTTGAAGTAACTGTGATGAAGAAATGACTGAAAAAATCCTTCATTTAAATCTGCCATTGCATGAGCATACAAAGGGACCAGTCATTTGTTGTAGGGATTGGCAAGCTCCTCACACCGAAAGCCCATTGACAGAGCTCTCTATACTATCGCTGCCGCCAGTCAAAGCTCCCCACTGTGACAGGTGGCTACAACAATGCTTGGAGTTAAACTCACAACCGGCTGACCATTATTCTTTACAAACAAGTGATGACAGTCTTGATGCTGAATACCCTTATCCCAGTTAAATTATTTTGTTTGTCAATTTGAATTTCTATTTCATTTCAACTATCATGGAATTGGTATAGTAAGAATGTAAGGGAGAAGTTGGGTGATTTTCGGTTCGTCTGCAATCTGACCAATCTGATTAAACAAACAATAAGTTAAATTCATCTGGGAAGTATGGTCAGTCGTAAACCTTTTCAAAATTCACTATGATGGCATTCACAAAGACATAAGCAAAAGTATAAAGGTCACTACATTTGGGGTAAGCTCAAATTTCAAGATTTTGTAATGGCTGCTTCCACACTGACTGCAGCGATGTTACCGATAGTGTCACCCACTAGGAAGAGCTTGGGTCCGATGGAATCTGGGGAGGTCACCAAAAAATAATACACATATTTGGGGAGGGTCATGAAAAAACATACCAGGACATGGGAATGTTATCCAAAAATATGTCAAGCATGAGGGGAGGGTCAGTGTTTTCAGTACATTAGTGCATCAAAAGCCTCTGACCCATCCACCATGTAAGAAATGACCAGTCCCTAAGCTGTCATGACAAAATAGATCCATGTTCCTTGTAAGACATGTTGTGTGATGATTTCAAACGAAGCAACAACCTTGCCATCCTTTGTTCTGTAACTGCCTTCTGTGCTTACAGTAAATACTTCATTACATTGGTCATAAAATGACGGGTCTACATCATGTCCAAAAATGTCAAAAGCATTTGTTCAATAGTCAGTTCCAACTGTTCTGTTTCCAGGAACTCTGCACTCCATGCGTCTTGTATTGAAGTTTGTTTCACATTCTCACATCCAAATTCATTTTTCTTTATGGTTTGACATCATGTATTTTCAGACACTCATATATATTATACAGACATATCATTTGATTCATGGTAAAGGGATTTGTATGACCTTGAAGGAAGGGCAGTAATCCACTTGTAAATGAAACATCCTTGGATTCAGAATCTGGATGCTGTAGTACAAAGGGGTCTTAGCGCTAAGGTGATCGTAACTCCACAACTTTAACATAGGCTTATGATCATCATAGCACTAAGGTGATCCTAATTCCACTACATTAATATAGGCTTACACTCATCATAGCGCTAAGGTGATCGTAACTCCACTACTTTAATATAGGCTTACGGTCATCCTAGTGCTAAGATTGTTTTGTACAATGGCACCCTGAACTTGCAATGTACATCTTCATTCATGGAAAGTGAGACACTTACTACATGCATGTGCATGTTGTGTAGTTGTTGTTTTACTAAGATATTTATTCAGTGCTTGGTTCTAATAAAAATGGCTTTGATTCTGAACCAGATAAACCAGTAGTGCTGCATGTTGATGTCCACTGGAGGTCTAAACTTCACATTAGCAAACCTTTGCTAAAAGAAAAAGGGCAATCATTTCTCCCTTGGATGAGTATATTTTTATTGCAGTGGACATAAACTTCACAATGGCCAGCAAGAGTTTTTTTGAAAATCAAGCCTCATGACTAGTAAATTTTGAACCTTTTTACAATATATTTGAGTACATCTTTCCTTATCCTGCACTTCTTGTACTGTACTGCTGGTTCGGTGAATCTCCTCCCCCTCCTCTCTCTCTCACACACTCATATACCACCTAGGGGTGAAACAATAAATCGGTGTACCGGTGCATCGTAACGTTTTCATGCAATGATATGGTACACGATACGTTTTCTTCTGTATAGATACAAGACGATACACTTGCTAAAATATATTACTTACTTCTCATTTAATGACCCCCAGCAATTTTGTCAGTCAAATATCTCAAAATGTGTTGTGATTAGCATTCCAAGTTCACTACTAAAAGTAGCAGCTACAGACCTATCTGCAGCTAGCTGTTCCTTTAGAACATGCTCCAAAATATTTAGTCAAGGAGTTTCCATGCAATTTGATGCAAACGTGTATCGCGATACGTATCATGATACGTATGGTATGGTGACCTTGCTGTATCATTTCACCCCTAATACCACCCACCCCATTGTGAATGGTTGTGATTGTTGATGCAAATATGTCCTTTATTTAGGTGAATCATTTATACAACCCTGGATAATTTCTCTTTCACTGATTGTTTAACCAATATTGACTGGTATTTATTGCTGCGGCAACTGGACAGGATGCTACATATTGGTTTGGCTTATGTCACATGTCTCATTGAGGCTAACCAATACTGGTGATATACTGATAGTACAATTGTACAATGTTTTATAACTTTTCATTCAGAAGTAAATTCCACTTATTGTTTTCCTTACCTTTATAATGTCTGCGTTATCACCATGGCATGTGGTGATTAATGTGAATACTCAGTCTGCAAGTAGGTACCCAGTTATATGATTGTTATCATCATGATCAGGTGTTAAATATGTGTGACCTGACTGTCATCCTTGTCTAGGATCATTGCTCATGCTTTCAACCACTGGTTGCCCAGGCCCAAATTTGATTATTTACATGTTGACTGATAAAGCACAAATGTTGATGACAGTTGTGTAAAACTACACTTACTCACTCAAATGCTCCATATCCAGCTTCACTGGTTATGATGATCAGTGCTCAATCATCTTGACTCATGTAAACCAGCTTCAGTTGACTTGTTGAAGGAGTGGCCCAGTCATCTAAGGCGCCACAATTCACAGTGCAGAGTTGAGTCCCAGAAAGTTATGGTCATGGGTTCGAATCTCAAATTATGTTTCTAGGTTTGTCAGCACCATACCGCTCGTGAGTGGTAATTGTCCGAGACCTGCTTCATTTGGGGCTTTCCTGACAGGCTGCGATATAACTGGAATACTGTTAAAAGCAGTGTTAAAACTAACTCACTCACTTGTTCAAGCATTCCTTTACACTAGCGGAAGGAGGCAGCCCTCATCCTGGTTGTGTATAGCTTTGTTTCCACAACATGCCATTGTTGCATTTATGAGCATTGATTATGCAATTGCTGTATGCAGATCTGCTGGATGTATTTTGTACTATGCTTACACTTTTGTAATAAACAGCTGTTTTTACTTCTAGCATCTGTTGTTCACATGTCAGGCTCATAGCTGTCCGCTGCCTGGCCTGGTCTCTTCTCTGTTCACCAGTCACTGCATAAAATATAAAGAACCTGACTGCCTCCGTGGTCTAGTGGTAAAGCGTCTGCACGGAGAGTGAAAGTTGTGGGTTCGATCCCCGGCCGCGTCATACCAAAAGATGTTAAGAGATCATACTTCTTGTTATCTTGTCTGTTGCTCGTCATTAAGGGGCTAAAACAAGGACTGTTAAACTGCGGCATGGTATCTCATTGGGCTAGCACTATAAATCAGCATTAGTCCGGACTAGTACAAGCAGACACACACAAACACACGTGCATGCAGGTCACTATATAAGTGCAATTATCTTGAACACAACCTTAAAACCCCATTTCACCTCACCAATAAAGAATCTGACGCTCCTGATTAATGATTCCTTGTACTAGTAATATTCATCAAGTATCTTCACCAGTGGCCCAGTCACTGCAATTCGCAACTGCTTACTTTGGGCGTGCCAGAAACCTATGATGGTGGGTTTGAATCCCGTTTCCCCCATTATGTTTCTAGGTTTGTCAGCACCTTACCAGTGCTCATGGGTTTCACCGAAGTGGTAAACATCAGAGACCTGCATCCCTTCAGGCTTTCCTCCCACATTAAGCTGACATGCCATGATGTAACTGGAATACTGCTGAAAGCAGCCTTAAACCTAACTCACTCACTTATCAACTAGCTCCCCTTATCATGAATCTATTGCTCCCTTGGGGATTCCATACCCGTGAAGATCTGGTGTAAAATAGGTCTTCAGCAACCCATGCTTGCCATAAAAGGCGACTATGCTTGTGGTAAAAGGCGACTAATGGGATCGGGTGGTCAGGCTCGCTGACTTGGTTGATGCATGTTATCGATCCCAATTGCGTGGATCGATGTTCATGATGTAAATCACTGGATTGTCTGGTCCAGACTCGATTATTTACAGACCGCCATCATATAGCTGGAATATTGCTGAGTGCGGTGTAAAACAAACAAACATTAACGTGGACAAAGAACGATCGAGGTAGGATAAGATTCAGTGAGCTATAGCAATGAGTGAGTGAGTTGATTTAACGCCACTGTTGAACAGTATTCCAGTAATATAACGGCGTGTCAGCCATGTGGGAGGAAAGCCCGAAGTGGTGGCGCAGGTCTCAGACTTTGGTGAAAGTGCTGACGGCGCGAACCGTGATTCGAACACACAATGACAGGTTTCTGGCGTGCTCATCTTCCCGAGGCAAGAGCGTTCACTAGCCTATTAATCAAAGTTTTGTTTTCCCTCAGCTTTGATACAGGCAAGTGGCAAGTGGACACACTTGCCGCGGGAAGATGCCCAAGGGACGCAACTCTAGATGCAGTGAGCAAATGACACACCGTTGTAACATCATTAAGAAAGAGGCTCGTTTTGGGTATACTGAAAATTTTATTTTAAAGTAACTGACAACTTTAACATGTTCATTAACTAGCCTTTTAAACGTCTGAGACCTTATACCGTTTCATGTTATTACATTTACTAAAACATTTACAAAAACCTTTCGTCGTTCTTTTGACACAATTTAGATTAACCTCTACATTTGTAGTCAGCCATACGTCCAAAGCATGTTAGTGTTGAAAAGAAAGTCCACTCTTATGCACATAAACATATTTAATATAACCTTTGTAATATTTTATGAATGTGTAGCCCATTTCTCTAATTGTGCAGATCCAATCCAAATATACTTACCTCAATTATCATAGGCTGATCCAGAGAGGGTGGGAGGATGGGTGGAAGGTGAGTGTTGTCCCCTCCCTTTTTAAAATGCTGGACCCGTCCTTGATTATAGTACATACCTCGTCCTTTTCGCCAATTAGGCCAGGGTAGTCTCTAACCTCCATAACCATCAATCCGAAACCCGAGGTTTCGGCTTGACGATATATTCCATTATGATTTTGAGATTTGTATTTGCCGCGCTTTACCAGTCCAGCAGCCATGGCGTCAATCGAAACGCCGCGTGTTGGAAAGGAAGAATTGCTGGCCAAGCTAGCGGAGATGGGACTTGACTGTGATACCCATGAACACCCTGAGGTACGAGGATCAGTTGTATACAGTGTACATCAAATTTCTGTCCTTTAAATTACTCTAGTGCATGTTCGAAGGGATAGCTTCTGAGCGAGTGCACGGGTGATGCAACTCCCTGCTGACGAGAAATGCAATTACAACATTTTTTGTTCCTTGTATTCTACAAGCATTATTTACTACAGGGAGCAAACACAGAGAATACTGGAGCGGGATTGTGTGCAAATAATGAAGAATGCCACGTGTTGTTCATACATTGACACAGTAACTTGTTCGCCTCGAACACCCTGGCAAGATGTGGTTGGCGCAAGGGAGATAATTCAAGACTTATAGTTGGACAATACAAGCAAGTGGATATTAGGTTCAAATTCGCATGAAATGTTAGACTAAGATATTTCGATTTTTATCATATCTGCAACCCATTGCTTGTCATCTTTACCTAGTTGGTCATTATTGAGTACATATCTTTCAACAGACTCATTATGGATAAATTTTGGGATGTAATATCCATGCTGATGATGTTCTATAGTTATGACATGTATAAGACTGCATAATTGGTTTTATCTTGCCTCCATGTCAGACTGAAGAGATATGATTGATCCACGTATTCTTGATAAAATACTGTGTATTGGATGGTAATAAATTTCTCAGCAGGGGAATAAATCTCTTATACCCCTCCACGAGAAATACAGACTGCACCTGGATTTATGATAGGCAGAATAAATCCCTTATACCTCGCTTCAAAGCAAAAGCCGCACACGCTTTCTAGGTTGATGAAAGTCACGTCACGTGACTTAGCAATGTTAACCTCAGCTCAAACAGCTGTTTTCTATCAATTTTGAATTTTGTTAATTCTTTTACAATGTCAAATTAAAACATGTCGGTAAGATAAATTCATGGCAGACATGATGCATTCAGGTTTATGTGACGTGTTTAATCAACGATGAACCAACTCAAAATTTAAAAACAGAATAGATTCATCTCCACTCAACAATGACTAAAATGCATTTCCTAAAACACTCCTTTTCTTGCACACATGTTCAGTGCATTGGTGCAGTCAGAAGTGGATATCACTCATTAACTATTTTAAATTTAGTAAAATTAACCAATTAAATTAGGTCATCCTCCAATGCCATAGTAAAGTTAATGTAGAAAGCTACAGATAAGCTATGTATTTGCGTAAAATACACCCCAAAATTATTCAAAACCCAATTACTTTCAATTAACTTGCGTACTGAAACGCATGCATTAAATGGAAAACTCAATTGTTTGAAAACACCATGCGTAAATACGCATTGAAACTTTTTCAGCATGCATACAACAGAACTAATTTCCAAACACGATTACTTGCTAATTTACTTTCCAAGTCAAGCCTATAATAAGAACTGTTATATACATCTAAAACATAATTTGTTTATTTTTTTAAATCCCAAAATGCTTAACCATTTTGGGAAAAACCCAACAGAGTGATGAATAGATGAATTAAAAAATATGGGTAACCCAATGAAAAATGTAATAACCCAATTAAAATAGAACCTTCGAGTAAAAACTCAGTTGCTCAAAAAGTTATCTGGAGCTGTGTAGAAAATCCATTGCCAGACAAAATTAATTCTCTTAGCCATCATTGGTAATTAGGTTGCTGATAGTTATTTTGTAAATGTACTAAGTGTTTATATCTGTTCCAGGTGTATACCGTAGAGCAGGCAATTCCTCATGTGGCTCATCTAGAGGGAATGTTTGCCAAGAATCTGTTTCTCAGAGACAAGAAGAAGAAACTGTATTTATTCTGTGCTGCACATGATGCCGACATTAAATTAAATGACTTGGCTAAAGCTGTGAAGGCACCAGGTGGGCTGCGATTTGCGGACGAGAGTGTTCTGTCGGACAAGCTTGGACTGCGGCAAGGTAGCGTCACTATATTTGGGCTGATCAATGATAAAGCAAAAGATGTGCAGTTACTCATGGATTCGCGTTTCGTAGGAGACAACTACACCAGACTCTACTTCCATCCAATGACCAATGCAGCCAGCACTGGCATCTCGCCTTCAGATCTGAACAAGTTCCTTGAGGCAGTGGATCACAAGGCTACCCTTGTGGACATCGGTGCCATACAAGCTGCAGACTAGCTCGAGTGAGGCACTGAATGACTGACACTTCATCTGCCCTGGCTGTACACCACGATTCAATATTACCATTGCACTTTCTAAAAATGATTAACCAGAAATATAATATCCGTCTGCCAGTGCCACTTCAGTCTATATATTTAGCAGGGAAGATAGGATGCACTTAACAGTACATGTCTCACAATGAATCTCTCAGTTGCACAGACTGAATCTCATTCATCCTCTTACCTTCAGATTTTAGTGTCCATCGGTCTCAGGGAATTTCTGTCAATTGAACTACTGGTTGCCACATAATACAGTTGTTGTACCTCTTTATCTCAGCTGAGAAGATCTAAGTCATCTGAGAATGTTATCAATGGTGTTCTCAAAATGCCCAGGAAATCCTATGATTTGATTTGATCTGCCCATGCAGCATAAAGACTTCCTTAGGATAAGGTTCACGGTCAGGGGCTATGACAGCAGATTCTGTGCAAGGTTCATATGTTTTTACACCAAGTCATGATAGGCCTTTATGTTTTGATTTTTTGGATCACAGATTGTTTTTGTCATAGTTAGAAGTCGGAGGAGGGAATATATTATTTATTTTAAAAGCTCTTTTTTAAAAAATGGATCACATAAAGCTTTACAAATATTTCCAGCAGGAGGGGACAAATTAGAAGAAGAAAATGATGAACTCATGTTTACCGCCACCATCTGCTGGAAGCTTTGTATTTTGTTGATTTTCTTTGGAAGACAAAGGGAGTTAGTTTCAGCAAAGTCTGCATATCAAGGACAAGGAACAATGCTCTTGATTTATTATGGAAGGTGGTGAGGTGAAATGGGGTTTAACGTCACGTCCAAGATTATTGCACTTATATAGCGATGTGCATACACGTGTGTGTGGCTGCTTGTACTAGTCCGGACTGATGCTGATTTATAATACTAGCCCACTGAGATGCCATGCCGCAGTTTAACATGAATACCCCACTCAGACACAGTATACAGACTCCAAGCCGACCAGGCCTTGTTTTATAGCCCCTTAAGGCCGAGCGCCAGACATGGTAACAACAAGTACCATTTTTTAACGTAATTTGGTATGACGCGGACGGGGATCGAACACCGGACCTTCCGCTCTCCGGGTGGATATTATGCAAGGAATTTCATCATGACTCTTTGACTGAATGATCAGGCCATTATTATGTCAAATTTGAGCATAATTAATTTTATAGATGATTTTTTATTTAAACAGCAATCTCAAAATAATTTGCTGTTATGATGCGTTGGGGTGAAAAATAGAAAGGTTGTAAATATGGATTTATGGAGTTTTTTTCACCCCAATTTTTCAAGAAAATATGGTCACTGGATCCATGATGTAACAAATACAAAAATAATGGCCATAGAGAAACAAAATACTGGTTCAGTGCCACAAATGTTTGACATTACATGTCGCCCTGACTTTCGCTTTGAATGTTTATTCAAATCAAGTCCGAGAGATTCCATGCAACACCTATTGTGAATTTGTGATGCTTGTGTCCAGGTCATCATATGGAAAGATTTACTTTGACCGATATCTCTACATATCAAATAACACTGCAAAAATGTCAATTGAACATTTCACAATATTTTGAAAATGCACCATTTACAAATGTTATCATAATATATAGAAATAAAACAAAACAATATTATACAATAAGTCATAAAAACTTGCATGGTATTGGTTTATTCTGTACAGTTTGATGAGGAAACTATGTACAACTCCTAGGCCTTTAACATTACAATATTGACAGAAAAGATTAGATGGAGATGATAGCATGCAGCTGTGTGCACATAATCAGAAGGAATATATACAAGGCAGATACAGTGTAGTCCACATCTGTTGCCAACAAACTGATGATCAGTCTGTCCAAGCAGGGTGATGCCTGTCTCTGCATGGTTCAGGCTAAATGTTGGCTCTTCTAAACTAGGTAGTCCTGAGTAAATGTGTATACTATATATAGGTGTGTGTTACAGTCAATGTGATTCACTTAGACAATTTACAAAATGCCTGAAAAATTTGTCCATTTCATTGACTACAAATTATTAAGAATTTCAAAAGGGCTTTCAAACATCACAATAGACTAATTGGATAAGAAGAAATTTACAACACACACACACTTTCATGTTCTTAAGATCCTATCATTTTCAGTCACTGGGTGATGAAATTCAACGTCAACATATTTGGAATTCAATGTCATAATAAAATAAATGGACAGATTTTTCAGTTAATTTTTGTAAAATGACTGAAATATATTATTAAATTGCCTTTGGCATGATAATTGGAAATTTCAGTAATTTTTACACATTGACTGACATATTGGGGGTACACACTCTCACACACCATATACTCAGAGAGAAGAGAGCTGGTGAGAGGGCACCTGCTATTTAGTCATGTTGGAAAATGGTTCCTCACACATGTTGGAAATTATGTCTTCAAAGTCATCCAACAGATATAGTCTCAGCATTTGTATGAGCTATTTTACATGAAGTCATCCTTGCAACATGCCAGTAGCATAATGCTGTGCAGCCACCAGTTCACATATATACTCTGCAGCCAATCCCACCAGTTCACATATATACTCTGCAGCCAATCCCACCAGTTCACATATATACTCTGCAGCCAATCCCACCAGTTCACATATATACTCTGCAGCCAATCCCACCAGTTCACATATATACTCCCCTACATGCCTGCACACTCAGTATCCAGATAGAGGATGCCCAGTCAGCAGGAGTTGATCTTCTATAAGGTAATCCAGCGTTAGAAATTGGCACTAGTCCTGTAGTTCTTGCAAAACTGACCAATAGTTGAGGTATCATGAGGACTAGTAGAAATTTGCCATTTTAAGGGTTTTGCTATATGTTATCATTATAAGGACTAGTGGACTAAAAATGTTAGTTTCTACCGCTGTAATCTCCACAATACATGTCCTTGCATTCCAGAAAAAGCTGTTTCCTTGGTAATACAGGTATTTGTGTTCAGAAACTGTCTCTCTGAGTGACATGGATGTGTTTTTGAGTAACCATTTTCTTGGAGGTTCATGGCTCTGTTTTCAACTTAGAGCAAGCCATTTTCCTTGGATAAACATGCCCCTTGATTCAAGAGGAAGAAGTTTCCATGGAAATATAGTGAGTTCTAAAGTAAGCTTTCTCCCTGAATTACATATATTCCTTGCATTCTAGAGATACGTCCCACAGAGATACATGCACCTGTTTAAAGTACCTGTATGCTGTTTCCATGGAGGTCTTTTTGAAGTACTGGTACAATGTTTCCATGGAGATATACATACATGTGTTGTAGAGCACTGGTACACCGTTTACAAGGTGATACATCCACCTGTGTTGTAGAGAACTGGTATGCTGTTTCCATGGAGATACACACAAAGGTATTTTGAAGCACTATACAATGTTTTCATGGAGATCTATATCCGTGTCGTAGAATACTGGTACACTGTTTCCATGGTGATACATCCACCCATGCTTTAGAGAACTGGTACTGTGTTTTAGAATACTTGTTTCTATGGTGATAAATGAACCTGTGGTTTAATTGTTTGTTTGTTGTTTTGCTCCGCACTCAGCAATATTCCAGCTATATGACAGCGGTCTGTAAATAATCGAGTCTGGACCATACAATCCAATGATTGACATCATGAGCATCGGTCCACCCAATTAGGATACGATGACATGTATCGACCAAGTCAGCGAGTCTGACCACCCAATCCCGTTAGTCGCCTCTTACAACAAGCATAGTCACACATGGCAACACTTAGAGCCAAGTGGTTGTAGGCATCACTCAGTTTTTCACTTTTTCACCTAGTTGAGTGGTGATGTGGAGCGCCACCTGGTTGTACTTAGTAACAAGATTTGCCATGAAGTAGTCCTCCAGCTCACAGCGGATGGCAGCCAGGTCCGGCAACTCATCACAGCTGGGTATGTTGAGGAGTCGATGGAACACACTCTTCCAAAGACCAACATTCCACTTCCTGAGGAGAGACGAGACAATAGATTCAAACACCATATTTAAGCAAGTGTTAGAATCAACAATTGCTACAATTGTATTATAATAAAGAATGTGATCGTCCATACTATTTTGTTATAAGTTGCATAGCCAATTCTTAAATGCCACTCAAAGACCTAGATGTGTTCTAGGCAATAAGTATAGGTCCCTAATAAAACTTGATCTGCTCACCAGTCACTCCAAATAACACACAAGACTAGAATGTGTCCATTTGCAAAGATAAACCCCCCAAATCCCTGAAGAAATATTGCCTTTCCATGTTTTTCAAATTTTAATTTTATTGAGCAATGTGGTCATTGCACATGTATAGTTTAATACAAAACTTAGTAAAATCTAAATATTTTTTACATTTGTATACTTATCCTGCATTATTCTTTAATGCATTCACTGCTTACCTTACGACAACAAGAAGGACAGCGTAACAGCGATGGTCGTGGGTGAAGGGTTAAGTTGTTCTGAAATCCCACTTTTACTGACCACCCTCGCTGTCATGTGACCTTGATGACACCTAAGGTCACCTTCTTCACATCCCTGCCTGTGGGACTTCAGAACAACAACTTTATCTCTTCGCCAAGGACCATCGCAGTTACGCTGTCCTTCTTGTTGTCGTAAGGTAAGCAGTGAATGCATTAAGGAGTAATGCAGGATACGTAAAAAATATACCAACACCAACAGGAACCAATCCAAAAACAATGTGTCTCCACTCCATTTGGGGAAATAAAAACATAATGAAATCCTACCTCTGGAAGTTGCTTGTCATGTACCACACGCCTTGTGACTGGTACACCTTCATGTAGTCACAGAACACCAGAACATGTATCGTACCAATCAAACCAAACAGGTCAGTCTGAAAAACAATCAACTACTGTCACAGTCATTTCAAAAGGCAATGAAAAGGAAACATTTTGTTTGCTGTTTAATGCCGAACCCAGCACTGCTTGTAAATAACAAGACTGAACCAACCGAACCAGACAATACAGTGACCGATATTGTACGCAAAACAGAGCCTGACCACCCAATTCATTAAGTTCCCTCCCATGACCAGCAAAGGTTGCTGGGGGGACATATTCTAACCTGAAAATCCCAAAGGTGAAAACGAAATGAGTGCTTACATAGATCACTTGTTAACATAAAATGAATGGGACAACTGTACTGTATAACACTATAAACATGATAAATGTATCCAATTAGAAATAACATTTCCTTCATGACACAAATTGTCATAGCATGGTGTACATAATATTGGCTAATCTTATTTTCAATGTGACATATTTTGCATCTGCAAACATGGACTGGTATTTATACAAGTATTTGCATCACAAAGAATTCTTAATGCCTGGGTCTTGTTCCATTCCATTTCTACTTTCTAACCAAAGTAAAATCATCATGCAAAAACATGCAGATCACTATTAGAAAAGAGAGGATGTGGACATAAGCTCACTTGACTCTTAGTCAGGTGAAATGAGCCTATGAGCCACAGATAATAAACATGACGAAGATTGGAGTTGAGTTCAAACCTGATATGTCCAGGGCATGTCGGTCCTCATCTCAATACACTGGAAGCCAGTCGTTGTGTTCTTTGCCAGGAAGGTGGTGCCAGGAGGGTATCTGGTCATGTCAATGCTGCGCCCAAAGTCGATCAGCTTCAGAGTTTGAGTAGAGTGGCCAAATACTTCTTCCTTTGTAGTCTCACCAAACAGGCAGGGTCTGAAGCAAGCACAATACATACCTACACTAAACTCTCTCACCATACAAGCAGGGCTGGATCCAGCACAATACATACCTACACTAAATTGTTTTGATCAATTAAAAGACATACCTACACTAAACTGTTTTACAATACAAGCAGAGATGGATCCATTACAAGACATACCTACACTTAAATGTTACCATACTGAATAGGGCATGAATCCAAATCATACTGTCCCACCACTGGTGCCTCAGTCGCCGAGGGAGCTCATATCAGAGGATTATTTATGAATTTATTTAAGTCCTATAGTAGCATGCCTGAGCAGAATCAGTCATGCCCAGTCTATGCCTAGGGTAACCTTACATGTCTCTGATGAGGAAGTTATCAGGTTTGATGTCTCCATGAATGATGTGACATTTGTGCAGTTTCTCCAACATATGCATCATCTCAATCGTCATGAACATCACAAGCGGCTCCATGTCGTTCCGCAGCGTCGACTGTAAGCGGACATAGTTCACCAGCGACTACAAAGAACAAAGCCATTTATTACTATTTCATATACAACGTAGGAAGGCGCCGGATGTCTAGAAACATTTCTGTTCAGAAAGTTTACCCTTAGACAAAAGCAGAGACAGAAGAAACCATAGGGTGTTACCTACCAGCAGGGAACCTTTGGTGTGTAAGGTGCTGATGAGACAGCTGCCATCATCATAGAAATAACCCTTGTCGATAGTCATCAGGGAATCACTCTGAAAAAAAAATGTGACATACAGCAGGTGTTACCTGTACCACTTACAGCAGGTGTTGTATGTACCACCTACAGCAGGTGTTGCCTGTACCACTTACAGCAGGTGTTGCCTGTACCACTTACAGCCGGTGTTACCTTTACCACTTACAGCAGGTGTTGCCTGTACCACTTACAGCAGGTGTTACCTGTACCACTTACAACAGGTGCTACCTTTACCACTTACAGCAGGTGTTGTATGTACCACTTACAGCAGGTGTTGCCTGTACCACTTACAGCAGGTGTTACCTGTGCCAATTACAGCAGGTGTTACCTTTACCACTTACAACAGGTGTTACCTGTGCCAATTACAGCAGGTGTTACCTTTACCACTTACAACAGGTGTTACCTTTACCAATTACAGCAGGTGTTGCCTGTACCACTTACAGCAGGTGTTACCTGTACCACTTACAGCAGGTGTTACCTGTACCACTTACAACAGGTGTTACCTTTACCACTTACAGCAGGTGTTGCCTGTACCACTTACAGCAGGTGTTGCCTGTACCACTTACAGCAGGTGTTACCTGTACCACTTACAGCCGGTGTTACCTGTACCAATTACAGCAGGTGTTACCTGTACCACTTACAGCCGGTGTTACCTCTATCACTAATAGCACCTAGAACAGAATGATGGAGCTTACCACATCCATGGGGTCACAGATTTCCTTCAAGCGCTCTTTGATCTGATTGCAGATGTAGAACTCCCAGGGACAAGCCGGCTTCTGAACCTGCCAACAAAAATCTCCATTTCATTCAAGAAAGTGAAGATGGCATGAATAAAGAAATAACAGCCAGGAAGCTTAATGGTTGACGCTGTAGGAAGGAATTCCTCAGTGAACTACCTGCAAACCTTACATTGTCTGACATTGATTGCCCTAGCTGATGGTCTCAAGTCAAGAGGTACAAAAAGGGTAAACATGAGACAGGGTTTGTCTTCCTAGTTATTTCTAAAACAGTAATGCTTGGTAACATGGGGATGTTCCTTCGGCGGTTTTAAAGCTATTTCCATGTCAGTTTAAATCTGTCAGATTTTATACATAAAACAGATCAGCTACTTAATCAACAAGGCCTCATGATATTGCTTACATAGACAGACAAGAGTGCTCTGAGAGCACAACATCTCCTGCATGAATTGTTTGAACGAGTTTATATTTTCTTTGTATTTTATGAAATAACAACAGTAGATGGCACTGCATTTGAACCAAATTGTGCAGAACATTTTGTTGGGAGTAATCCAGTCTGAATGCTAATGCCATAAGGATGTAGCTCACCCACAAAAGCCTTATACAAGGGAACTTACTAAAGTTCTAGTTATAGTTAGATATTGTGATATTCTCTGGAAACTGGAGGTGGAGTAGATTTCATGAAGCTCCGTAAAACAGGGGCAGTAACTCTGTCAAAATTTGTCAAAATGAAATGGGACTGCTGTAAAATATTAGGGTTTTGTTTGATAAATTTTGATGGTAAACAGAAGTCGTTCATGTAATGTAATCAGTGGTTCGGAAAACGTTGTTACTTCATGTGTGGTGGCCTAATTTGGATACGGACATAGAGCAGCTAGTTAGAAACTGTGCATCTTGTCAAAGTGTACAACCGGTCCCACCTACAACCAGACAGAATCCCTGGATCTGGCCTTCCCGTCCTTATCAACGGATTCACGTTGACTTTGCTGGCCCCTTTATGGGTGAGAACTTTCTTATTGTGGTGGATGCTATGTCCAAATGGCCTGAAGTAGTTCAGATGAAATCAACAACAACAATAAGTACCATAAATGTTTTGAGAAAGCTCTTTTCTTCTTATGGCCTTCCCGATCAGCTAATCTCTGACAATGGGCCTCAGTTTACCTCTCACGAGTTCAAGACATTTCTGAAGAAAAATGGAGTAAAACCTATTCTGTCCTCGACGTACCACCCAAGCTCTAATGGTGAGGCAGAACGATTCGTCAGAACGTTTAAGACTACTATGAAATCCATGAGGGCATCTACGTCTACTCTTCAACAGCGACTGTGCAGATTTCTGCTGTCCTACCGAACCACACCTCACAGTACAACGAAAACGACCCCTGCAGAACTGTTCATGGGGAGGCGTATTCGTACTCGACTCGACTTGCTGAGACCAGATCTTGCTTCTTCAGTTCAAAGAAAAGTGTCTCCGAAAGTGGATGCTGGGAGGCGTTTTGAAGTTGGCGACCCAGTCCTGGTGAGGGACTACAGGGGACGTACCGAACAATGGCTCCAGGGGGTTGTACTAAAAGCATTAGGTCCTGTGACTTACAAGGTTCAGGTAGAGAACTTTGAGTGGAAGCGCCATGTTGATCAGCTGATAACTATGCCAGGTACGCCTGATCTATCAGTAACATCCACCACTGAGGACATAACAATCCCTGATAGGTCTGAAAGTGCGCCAATGTCTGGGGTAGAGAAGATTCCAGTTGAAAGTACCAAGGGGTCATTTCCTTGGGAAATCGGGGTGGAGAGTGTTCCACCTGGGACAAGGCCCCCGGAGGCTGACATTGTACCTGTTACAGAAACAGCGACCCGAAGATATCCTGTTAGGGAGAGGAAGAAACCAGATAGACTGTCTTATTGAATAGTTAGTGTTACCTTAACACTGCTGGGATCTTACATACCTGAATCACAGACCTTGTACCATTCCTGTCATAGTGACCTCGTATAGTGAATTCGTGTGTTGACACTGGATTGAGGAATTGACCTACTGACCACATTTTAGGTCAGTGTGACATTTGTGTTTCAACGATAAACATTGATTTGGATACTTTGCTTATGAAACGGCAGTAAGATCGTACTATTATTTCAGGTTACGTTATGTTTGTATATTTTTCAGGGGGAAAAGTGTAAAATATTAGGGTTTTGTTTGATAAATTCTGATGGTAAACAGAAGTCGTTCATGTAATGTAATCAGTGGTTCGGAAAACGTTGTTACATAACGCACGTGCAATGCGTGCTCAGGCTTGGCTACCGATTGTCACTTGTCGTCTGAGAAATAAACGAAGTGGGAAGTTGGCAGGTTGTCTCTTGGTTATTGAAAGAACACTACAGCGATATGCGTATCATCAACATGTCGACATCTTGTGTGTAGAGTGTCAGGGATATTCTCTAAAAGCTGGTGGAGGAGTTGATTTCACAAGCTTAGTACCTCTCTCACAATTAGGCAAATGAAGCTCCGTAAAACAGGGGCAGTAACTCTGTCAAAATTTGTCGAAATGAAACGGGACTGCGATACGGTATCATCAACATGTCGACATCTTGTGTGTAGAGTGTCAGGGATATTCTCTAAAAGTTGGTGGAGGAGTTGATTTCACAAGCTTAGTACCTCTCTCACAATTAGGCAAATGAAGCTCCGTAAAACAGGGGCAGTAACTCTGTCAAAATTTGTTGAAATGAAACGGGACTGCGATACGGTATCATCAACATGTCGACATCTTGTGTGTAGAGTGTCAGGGATATTCTCTAAAAGCTGGAGGAGGAGTTGATTTCACAAGCTTAGTACCTCTCTCACAATAAGGCAAATGAAGCTCCGTAAAACGGGCAGTAACTCTGTCAAAATTAGTCAAAATGAAACGGGACTGCGATATGCGTATCATCAACGTGTCGACATCTTGTGTGTAGAGTTTCAGGGATATTCTCTGGAAACTGTAGGATGAGTTCATTTCACAAGCTTAGTACCCTCTGTGGGACGGACTGACGGACAGACTGACAGACGGACGGACTGTGCCACGACATTATCCCCCTTCGGCCATTCTGGCCTGGCAGGGGATAAAAAGGAGACCAAGACAAATATTGCTATATATATGATATTGCTTAAATTGAGAGAAGTGGTAATTGGGGCCTCACAATATTGCTTACATGGACTAAGTGGATATTATGGCCTCATTGTTTTGCTTACATGGACAGAAGGTTATGACCTCATGCTTTTGCTTACACTGAAAGAAGGTTAAGATCTCTTTTTATTATATACATATGAATGAAATACTGGAATTTATAAGTGACGATAGATCAAGTTATCAGTCACTAGTGACTGATATAAACAAGGTGCGGACGTACCGCCGAGGGGAGAAGCGCCTGCTTGAATTTTCTGAGAATTGAATATCCTAATTTAATTCATGACAGCAAGCAACAATGTTTCAGTTAAAATGTTTGGGGTTCTATAAATGTGTTTATGTCAACTTTCATACTTATCTGTGAGAAAATTTGATCAAATTTGGCGGATTTTGTAAGCCTGGAGAGCGCTCAGCTGATCGTTTGACATGGTCACAGTACTAAATGTTTATGTATTCCTACGCCATTAAAATAATAGCTGTTTGAAAATGATTTCTCATTTTCTGTTTTCATTTTAAACAGGAATGTTTAATTATGACAAACAAAAATGTCCACGGAACTTAATACTTGATATGAAATAATATATTTCGCATAACATATATTAACAGGGCTAGTTTTATTCACGAACTATATTCTTTTCGCAAACCCCCTATATACGGCGGTGGTAAAGGGGCGACAGGGAGAACTTAGTAATTTATCAGACACTGTTTTCGAAAAAATATATAAATTGCAAGTAATAAAAATAAAACATGTATATAATAAATAGAAAATTCAATGTGTTTTCTCAAATACCACTTTTATCTCATCGAGTGAAGTGGGGAGAGTCTAATATTTTCACGAGTGACTGCGTAAATATGAGACTCTCCCCACTTCACTCGATGAGATAAAAAGTGGTATTTGAGAAAACACATTAAATATCCTCTATGTATTGCTTACATTGAAAAGTTATGACCTCATTGTATTGCAATATTGACAGGTTAAGACCTCATTGTATTTCTTATGTTGCCAGAAGGTATGACATTGTATTGCTTATGATGACAGAAGGTTATGATCTCATTGTATTGCGTATGTTGACAGAAGGTTATGACCTCATTGTATTGCTTATTTTGACAGTTTATGACCTCATTGTATCACTTATGATGACAGGTTAAGATCTTATTGTATTGCTTATGTTGACAAAAGGTTATGACCTCATTGTATTGCTTATGCTGACAGAAGGTTAAGATCTTATTGTATTGCTTATGTTGACAGAAGGTTATGACCTCATTGAATTGCTTATTTTGACAGGTTATGACCTCATTGAATTGCTTATGCTGACAGAAAGTTAATGTATTGCTTATGTTGAACCAAGGTTAAGACCTCATTGTATTGCCTACCTTGAGAGCTATTGCCTACCTTGAGAGCTTTTTCCTCCCCCTCCATGTCACATAAATCATCCAAGTTGTCCATGTCAAATAATCTTCCCCTGTACACACTGCCAAAACCACCTTCACCAATACATTTTGAGATGTTGTAGGTCTCTGTTCCTGGAAAGAGACAAATCATTCGCTCATTCAAATCTATTGTCAACAGTGCAGAGTTTCTAACGATTCATGCCGTTATCACTTGCTATCACACATATATTTTGGGGGAAAATGCTAGTCTGGACTTGACATATCAACTTGAGTGCATGTTGAAATTGTTCTTCGTGACTTAAGTAGTTTCACTCTCAAAGAAACCTTTAATAACAGGGTACATTATTTGTGAGATAGGTAAATATTAAATCCCAGGAACGCTTACCTAGAAGAACAAATGAAGTGATCATATGAGGCAAGGGTGCATTGATACGATAGTAGTTCCTGTATTCTTCTAAAGGGCGTTCCAGGCTGGACAAGACTTCATCAATCTCGGCTTGGTCAAAAGGGTCATGAGGGTTGATCATTATGGACATAGACAGCAGTGCTTCTGTCTTCTCATCCGGCTCAGGTGCCACATAGTCAGCAATGTCAATTTCGTGATGCATGTGATTGTCCGAGATGGTGCCGGGACAAAGTTCTGTGGTGGTCACATGGTGTTTAGAGGTGAGGTGGCTGGGATGACACCTGGACTCTTCCCCACTGCCCTCGGTACTCCCCTCAAAGATAGGACTAAAACAAAGACAGTTTCTGAACTGACATGCTTCACTACAAAGGCTAACATACTTTACTATTGGCATACACACATCATTTTAAATATAATTACTCTTGACGAGGTCAATATGTGAAAACAAGGTCCTGAGGACCCCACCCCTGAGGTGTTCTGACCGGACTTAGTCTGCTGGCCGAGATCAAGTCTGACTGCAGCAGGGGTCGGGTCCGAGGGTCCTTGTTTTCGCATATTTACCTCGTCAAGAGTAATCATTCGTTTTGTTATATTGAAATTCACTTTTAACTTTATGAAGTCTTTAAACCATCCTCATAACAGTAACTCAGCTGCAAACAGTGAAATGTTTGTACCAGATGCCATCTTGTTTTCCAGCAGACAAGTCAATATTCATCAAATGACAGGTCAATACCACTCATGTGACGAATCAATGATTTCGGGGTCTACATTGAAATGTATTGTTTCGTCCTGTAACACAGATTGACCAATTGAACTGAAAGATTCTTAATAGAGGTGTAACAAAATAATTCTATATTGTTCCAGTTTAGGACTAATGCTGAGTACTCACCTGAGAGACGTTTTAGATGGTGGTGCAATACTAACATCAAAGCTTGGCTGCTGTGTGTTCTGCAGAGTCTTAGGTGACCTGTCGTCAGGATGTTCCTGGGGTGCCTTGATCTGGCTGAGTGGGGGGTTCGGCAGCTGTGGTAACTTCCCCATTGAAAAATAAGGGGTGGATGCAAGACAGGCAGCAGAAGCAAAGCTCTCACTAGATCCAACGGTCGCCAGTGTCATGTCAGTCATGGGCATGTGTTCGATGTAGTCTTCGGGAGAATCGTCTCCTGACATAACCTGAACAAACAGACTTTCTTAATTTTGGGTTTTGGACCTCCAACACGAGTTAGAGACATTTTCAGTTAATTTTACAATAAATTGTATATTCATACACTTATCTTATCTCACACTATGCATTTCTCCTTCTTCTATCCTAAGTGGCAGTTAGGAAGAGAATGAGTTGGCCGGGGAAATCACGTGTTCAGCGTGTGTTGGTCAATCAGCATACAGATGTGTATGACCTAGGTTGTTGAGAGGTGACCATGGTGATGGGAGGTATGTTCGGGTGAATTGTTGTTTAGAACCTTCATTTAACTTGAAGCACGTTTTCTTAGGATCGAAGAAGAAAGACAAATGCATAGTGTGAAACATTTATTGCTTCAGAAATAAGTTCAAGCTAGGGAAGGTAAAAGTAGGATGGGATTGTAAGGTAACTGTTAACATTCTAGCGCCTCACAGGCAGCTTGGGTTGTCTATTCCTGGGGTCTGAGAATGAAAATTGACAGCACATTGATCCATTGATCGGGGTAATGATAGTGTAGCACCATGAGCATTCACTTGGTGATGGGATTTGGCACAGTGTAAATGGACTTTGAAGAGAGCCCTTCGTTGAACATGGTAGGGCTGAGTGAATGTTGTTTCATGTCAGCAAGCCAAGCCATCAGAACAACCTATTCCCTTTCATATCGGTCGCTGGGGATGAAGACAGAGATGGCTTCACTGAGGGGTGGAGAGATGTGCCTACCTTGACAGTTTCCACCATGACTATATCCTGCTCCCCCTCAGGGTCAACAGGGAGACCTTTTGATGGCTGCAGGTAACCAGACAAGTTGTGGCGCCGAGGAGCAGGTCTGTAATCTTTTGGGGGCCTGGAAGTTAACATCAAACAATATCACTACCATTCTCAAGTGAGTGATTGAGTGAGTATGGTTTTACATGATTTCATGGTTTTCAGGATTCCTACATTGTACCTATGTGGGTAATCGAACTCGAGTCTTCGGGCATGAAAAGCAAACGCTTTAACCTCAAGGCTACCCTTTCAGCCCATTAAATCTTGTCACAACAGTGTACCTTTCATGTATATTCTTCACTGCTTAAACAAAACATTGATTGGATTATCAATGAAACTTGATCAGCCAAGTGTTGCATCAGATATATCAAAATGTGAAGGGTCAACAAGAGGGAGGCCAAGTCATTACAAACTGACAATCACTCACGTGTTCTCTTTGTCAACAGCTGGATCCTGTTGAGCAATCATTGGCACAGCTTGCTCTTCTGATTCATCATAGATGGCGAAGGGCTGACTGCCAACAGGGGCTATCACTGCAGCAGGAGCTAAAAAAAACATAAACACTGACTGTATAAACCCATACATGTTCTGAACCAGAAGATGAATTCCGAGAAAATTGGTAAGAGAATGTTGTTTTAAGTCACAGTAAGTAATAAGGGTGAAACGATACACAAAATCTGATGCACTACAATATGTGGCCTTCTTTACAATACACGTTACATACACACCTGTATTGCGATACATGATACTACAAATATTTATATGAAAACAAGGTCCCGACCCCTGAGTCAGTCTGACCGCCAAAGGCGTCCCGAGGGTCCTTGTTATCGCTTATTAACCTTGTAAATAGTAATCTTTTATTTTGTTATTTAAAAATTCATTTTAAAGTTCATGAAGTCTCTGTTTCATAACAGTAACTTAGCTGTGAACCATGAAATGTTAGTACCAGACGCCATCTTGTTTTCTAGCAGACGCATGACAGGACAATATTGATATTGTGATGAGTCAATATTTGAGGGCAGTGTCAGTCACCCAATTTGGTGTCCACATTGAAATGTATTGTTTCATTATGTTGTATGAATTAACAAATGGAATTGCAAGATTCTTTTTAGAGGTATAACAAATGACACATGATACATATATAGAGGATTCATCACGAGTGTTTTTTAATATGGGAAATATCAACCGAGTCTTAGTTAATCGGTATTTGCCGAGCCTTTGGCGAGGCAAATACCGATTAACGGGACGAGTTTGATATTTCCCATATTAAAAAACACGAGTGATGAATTCTATTTATCATTTTCACATTTTTGCTTCCAAATTAAGGAATAATTGCATTAAACATTAACATCAGCAACTTGTCGAAATCTTACATATAGATCGTGCGTAGTGATACATGTTTTCCATAGCCATGTAAACCAAAATAAACAATTCGCTGAGAAAAAAAGTTCCTCGGATTATTTTAAACAAAATACTTGAACAGACTTTTGCAGAATAATTGAAACTTTAATAACGGTAACAACAACGATTCTGTGTAATCTGATTATATCTCTGGTGTAACTTCACTAATATATAGTTTCAAATCAAACCGCTCCCTCTTCCGGTTATCTAATTTGCATATCTAATTTGCATACTTATGTCATTGGGGTATAACATACATGTTTTTATGTCATAAGCTTATGTCATGGATAAATGCTTAAGTTAAATGATAAATATACATATCAAACTTTAACTGCAAGACCAACAACCTATATCCAATGACATTAAACCAGGCCATGTATTGTAAACACTGAATCGTCAGTTTAGTCGAATGACAAGCATGGTACTCTGGACCTTATCTGCCCCAGATCCCCATGACAAGGCAGGATCTATCTCACCTCCACTGACTTCTCCCATGGGTTCCTCACCAGGCCAGCCATACTGTTTCTCACAGTCCAGAGAGGCGTTGAACATTCCCCGGACAACCTTCAGCGCTTCCTGTGTGTTCACAGTAGGAGATGGGGCAACTAAACTCTGAAACAGCAACGTTCATCATGGAAACAAGCAAATGGACATTAGAATTTGCACATAAAGAAAAAAATCCTGTAATGTAATTCATGATTCATGAAATTAATGCAAAAGATGTGTGTGCCTTTATTGCATAATAAAGTGACACATTTTTATCTGGAAATATTGGAGTACACTGTCAAGTCATATTCACTACACATGGACTGAAACAATGACAATACAAAAGAGGTAATAGAGCCAGATTTAGAAGGTGCTTCCAACAAAGTTCAGTGGCAAGTGTGTTCATTTCTTTCACACAAGTTGATCAAGCAGTTATGTCAGTTGCCAACAGTTGCCAACAGTGTATGACAGCGTCTTTGGAAACCTATAAAAAAATCTTATGATTACAAGAAAAAACACTGCTCACCCACGAAGTGAAAACAGCACTGTAACAGCAGTCGTGAATACATAACATTGCTCAAGATGCTCAAAGTATTAGGCTAACTCATGAAACAACTCTTCGGACATGTAGCTTAGTCGTTCTCATCTATCCCATTCAAAAATGCCTTACTTGAAATTGTTTTTATTTATTTAATTGATTTGGATCACATGTCAAGCAGTTGAAGTTCTCACACTATATCGTGGTATTCTAATTCTGCAGTCTTGATGTTATTGTTTGCTTAGTAGGTTTTCAAGTTCAAAGGTAATCTACTCACATTAATTTCATAAACATTTTAGGCCATGGGTCGTCACTCACATTAATTTATTGACCATAAGTTTATTGTGACTCTGTAAATATGAAAGAAAAGATTTGGGGGCAAGAAACCAATAGAAATTATCAAGGGTACACATACACATAGTTTCAGACAAACTTGTTCCAAAATGTTCCAAACATTTGTGCATTTGATGAATTTTTGAGCATCATGATGAATAACAGTTTTGCAAGACCACTGACCCCCCGTCCATGTGAAAAACTGTTGCTGTCTGGCGTGGGTCCCCGAGACTTGGGCCTGGCCCCCGAGGAAGAGTGACAGGAGCTGACTGAAGTATTGAAGACTGGTGTCCTCTGGCTGGAGTTGAGACTGGTGGAGGGGTCCGTGTGGGCTTCCTTCTTCCTCCATGCATCTCGCGATGCCAGCAACTGTGCTGACAGACCAGGGGGCACATTCTCTGTGTTGCCATGGGAAGTCATGTCATCAAAGGTGAGCTGGCGAGTCAGTCGTTCACTGGAAAGTCGATTTTGGATCTCAATATCTGCTTTTGTCTAGATATAAACTAATTTGTGTGGGGCAGGATTTACCTGCTGTTGTCTTGTGCATCTGGAGCGTGAGGGGCAGCATTTACCTGCTGTTGTCCTGTGTATCTGGAGCGTGAGGGGCAGCATTTACCTGCTGTTGTCCTGTGTATCTGGAGTGTGAGGGGCAGCATTTACCTGCTGTTGTCCTGTGTATCTGGAGTGTGAGGGGCAGCATTTACCTGCTGTTGTCTTGTGTATCTGGAGTGTGAGTGGCAGCATTTACCTGCTGTTGTCCTGTGTATCTGGAGCGTGAGGGGCAGCATTTACCTGCTGTTGTCCTGTGTATCTGGAGTGTGAGGGGCAGCATTTACCTGCTGTTGTCCTGTGTATCTGGAGTGTGAGGGGCAGGATTTACCTGCTGTTGTCCTGTGCATCTGGAGTGTGAGGGGCAGCATTTACCTGCTGTTGTCCTATGTATCTGGAGCGTGAGGGGCAGCATTTACCTGCTGTTGTCCTGTGTATCTGGAGTGTGAGGGGCAGCATTTACCTGCTGTTGTCCTATGTATCTGGAGCGTGAGGGGCAGCATTTACCTGCTGTTGTCCTGTGTATCTGGAGTGTGAGGGGCAGCATTTACCTGCTGTTGTCCTGTGTATCTGGAGCGTGAGGGGCAGCATTTACCTGCTGTTGTCCTGTGTATCTGGAGCGTGAGGGGCAGGATTTACCTGCTGTTGTCCTATGTATCTGGAGCGTGAGGGGCAGCATTTACCTGCTGTTGTCCTGTGTATCTGGAGTGTGAGGGGCAGCATTTACCTGCTGTTGTCCTGTGTATCTGGAGCGTGAGGGGCAGGATTTACCTGCTGTTGTCCTGTGTATCTGGAGCGTGAGGGGCAGCATTTACCTGCTGTTGTCCTGTGTATCTGGAGTGTGAGTGGCAGGATTTACCTGCTGTTGTCCTGTGTATCTGGAGCGTGAGGGGCAGCATTTACCTGCTGTTGTCCTGTGTATCTGGAGCGTGAGGGGCAGCATTTACCTGCTGTTGTCCTGTGTATCTGGAGCGTGAGGGGCAGCATTTACCTGCTGTTGTCTTGTGTATCTGGAGTGTGAGTGGCAGGATTTACCTGCTGTTGTCCTGTGTATCTGGAGGGTGAGTGGCAGCATTTACCTGCTGTTGTCCTGTGTATCTGGAGTGTGAGGGGCAGTATTTACCTGCTGTTTTGTGCATCTTGTCTGTGAGGGCAGTAAATAGCTGCTGAGTGTGAGGGGTATATTTACCTGCTGTTGTTCTGTGTATTTTTTGTGTGTGAGGGGGACATTTACCTGCTGTTCTCGTGTGTATCTGGAGTGTGAGTGGCAGGATTTACCTGCTGTTGTCCTGTGTATCTGGAGTGTGAGTGGCAGGATTTACCTGCTGTTGTCCTGTGTATCTGGAGGGTGAGTGGCAGCATTTACCTGCTGTTGTCCTGTGTATCTGGAGTGTGAGGGGCAGTATTTACCTGCTGTTTTGTGCATCTTGTCTGTGAGGGCAGTAAATAGCTGCTGAGTGTGAGGGGTATATTTACCTGCTGTTGTTCTGTGTATTTTTTGTGTGTGAGGGGGACATTTACCTGCTGTTCTCGTGTGTATCTGTCGTGAGTGTCAGTATTTACCTGCTGTTCTCCTGTGTATCTGTCGTGAGTGTCAGTATTTACCTGCTGTTGTCCCGTGTATCTGTCGTGAGTGTCAGTATTTACCTGCTGTTCTCCTGTGTATCTGGTGTGTGGCTAATATTGAGTTGTCTCTGCAGATGCTGCTGAATATCCTGATCCACGGCACACTGGGCCTGCTGCGTCTGTGTGAGCCTACACAAAGCATAAGTGAATGAACGAGTTGGATTTATCATTGCTTCGAACAATATTTCAGTTATATCACAGCATATCAACTGAAGTTTGGTGGAAATCCAAATTGATACATGTTATTACATTAACATTGCTTTAGGATCAAGAGCTGTGTTACAGAATTCTGCATACCAAGAAAACACAGAACCCAGTTTTTGCCTCTGGCCAGAACTTTAAAAACAGAAAACAATAGAATTAGTCCGTCCTAAATAAAAATTGCAGCCACAGGATGCAGGAAATTTGTAAGCATGAGTAGGAATGAATGCTGCTATTTCATTATTTGATACCATTTAAATCTATTTCCGTCTGTAATCATATAAAAATAAAACACACAGTTGAATACTTCACGATCTTCTAGCACAAGTACTTGTAAATTTGTTGTTTGGTTGTTTTACGCCGCACTCGGCAATATTCCAGCTATATGACGGCAGTCTGTAAATAATCAAGTCTGGACCAGACAATCCAGTGATTGATATCATGAGCATCGATCCATGCAATTGGGATTGATGACATGCATCAACCAAGTCATTGAGGCTGACAACCCCATCCCGTTCGTCGCCTCTTACAACAAGCATAATTGCCTTTTACAGCAAACATGGGTTGCTGAAGACCTATTCTACCCCGGATCTTCACGGGTCTGTAAATTTGTTTCAGTTGGTTAACTCCATATCTATTTCTTATTAATAGCCTCACAGGATGCACAATCTTACGTCACTTGTGGTAGAGTACTGTATTCAAAGTTTTTACATTTCTCTGGGACTTGGGACCCTACAATTAAAGGCTTTGTGTCCCCAGGATCCCCAAAATAAATAACCCAGGTAAATCCCTGCAATAAAATCATCCTATGTATTGGAAACAAATTTCAAGAACTAATAATTGACATGACTTAAATTTTCTTAACAGCTTCATCATGTATGTTTAAACACATGTATAAGGAGGAAATATCCCCCACCTCTGGTTCTCTAGGTGCTCCTGCTGCAATGCCATCTGCTTGCGTAGATCCTCCATCATCTTCTCTTTCTCCGCCTGTAGCTGTTCACGGATAGAGCGATGATAATTCACCAGCTCTTCCCTTGCTTGCTTCAGACGAATGGCCTCCTCTACAAGTAAAATCCACTGATCAGTATGACAAAAGGCTTTGAAAATGTGTTACCCCTGAATACTGAAACTGGTATGAGGGACAAACTTGCCATTTCCCAGATAATGATTGCCCATTTAGGTGTAGTGCATCATTTTGAGAGCGAAGATTAATGCTAAAGTCAGCTTCAACATTTGTCAGTGATAGTTACCCATAGTATATTATCATATGTTAAAAACACTTCTCCACTTTCAACCCTTCATTGTCAATAATTGCAGAAACAATAGAAAAGTCCTAGCACACACTGTATTACTGAGTTCAAGCTGTCTTACCTTCTATTTTCTGTCTCTCCTCTGCTAGCTTTCTGTCCTGGTCTTCCTTCGCCTTCTGTTTGGTCAGCCAGCGTGCACCTCGCAGCTCCTCGAAGGAGAACTCCTCCAGGCCGCGGTAGATCTTGCCCTTATTGTACATGGGCCTCATCTCCAGGCCCCCTGCCGGAGCGGTCTGCTGCATGGGGGCTAGGGGGTTGACATGCTTCTCAGGCTTCCGAGCACTACACCAACACAGTACAAGCAGATACAGTATACACCAACACAATGCAAGTAGTTACATTATACAAAGTACAGCGACATAACCATTTCCATAATCATAAGAAATCCCTACTATTTGTTTGTTGTTTAACACCACACTCAGCAGTATAACAGCTATATGATGGTGGTCTGTAAATAATCAATCCAATGATAATGTGAGCATTGATCTACGCAGTTGGGATACGATGACATGCATCAACCAAGCCAACAACCCTGGCCGCCCGATCCTGTTAGTCGCCTCTTAAGACAAGCATAGTTGCCTGTTACAGCAAGCATTCTAACCTGGATCTTTATAAATCCCGACTACACTCCTCAAAAGAAGTTAAGATCACCTGATTCCTTCATGTTACTAAAGTTAATCTGTCAGACTTAGTAATATGTAAGAATCAGGTAGTCTGTAACTTCTTTTGAGTAGTAAATTTCATAAGCATGGAAAATAATCCCATGATATCCGTGTGTCTCTTGGTAACATTTGGACAGTTCAATCACAACAGCTAGAGGCACTATACATACCTCAACACCTGTGGGTCAAGGACTGATCCTTTCTGTGGTGTCCTGAAATAGCCCAGGAGAACATTATGTCATCATAGGGGAAAATGATCTTAGAGGATGTACTTCTAGTCATGAACTTGATTTAGATGCAGTTGAATATTTTACAATGGTACACATGTTAGTTATCACATGGTTGTTTTAAAGCATAATTTAGCAATTGTTAGTTTATCAGTACCAGTAATAGTTTACTAAACATGTTTTCTCTGGGGATTTCTGATAGTGGATAGTGGATAGAGGAAAAGTTCCAAGCTTACACCATAGGTTGGTCCACACAATCATCAACATGGACTGTGAAACTGGGGGTGGCATTGGCTGCAAGCAGGGCTGCATTCTTCATGGGAACCTGTTTCAAGAAGAGCATAAACATTCACAGAACCTGAGTGGGCATGTTGGGTCACACAGATAATACTGTTAAGTTAGTATGTTTTGTTTGTTTGTTGTTTAAAGCCACACCCTGCAATATTCCAGCTATATGACAGCGGACTGTACATAATCAAGTCTGGGCTAGACAATCCAGTGATTGATATCATGAGCATCAATTCACGAAACTGGGAAAAGATGACATGCATCAACTAAGTCAGCGAGTCTGACCACCCGATCCTGTTTGTCACAACTTACGACATGTATGGGATGCTGAAGACCTATTCTAACCTGGATTTTCACGGGTAAGTATAGTATGTAAAAACTTCTGAACATATCAGATGAGCTAGATAAAAACATTCATTGACACTATGAACATTGTTCATGGAAAACTCGAGCACCAAATGTAAGACCTTATCACATCTGTGTCAAGACCTTTCGTGGACAATGATCAGACTTGAATAGTAAATGTAAACAGATTTTATTAGGACATGGTTACTTTATTTCATTGGCAGAATGGCCCCAATGTACTTCAGAAATAAATAAGGCAGGTGTAAGTAAGTAAGTTTATTTCTGTTTTGTAAGCCAAGTTTCGAGCATATGTTCAAATCTCCAGAAAAGACGTCATGAAAGAACAAGGGTTTTTTTTGTGAAACGAACCATGCCTCATTCTCCTTTGTTCCTTGGGATTTATTGCGTAGTTATCTTATATGTCCAACTGAGCTTCAGCAGCTATGTTGCATAGATAAAGGCTGGCGAACCCAATGTTCGAACTCCAAAAATATCCCTCGATTATTTCTGAGAATATATCTGTCCACGCCCAGATGACTACACGTGGTACACATTTTGTAAACCCCGCAGTCAACCGAAATCTGCATGGCAGTCCATGCAGTTATGAGATTTTGATTGGACTATGCATTGACTTGTTATTCCTGCCAAAATATAACTCCGAAATTCCAGCCAAGTTCAACAAGGGTTGAAACTGGACTTTCATATCTTCTGGAAGATGACCTTGCAATCATGGAGTCTCCATCTGATGGTGAGCTCTTGAGTTGACGTCAGAAGTCCAAGGAGAACTTGTCAGCCGTTGGGCAGAGAAACCTGGTAGAGCATGGGTGGCATGTTCCATGCCATGGATGGGAGGTAAACCTTTCTTGAAGCGCAGTGGTTCAAAAACCGCATGTGATCCCAGATGAGTGGGGATAATTTATCCTTCACTGATAGTACCATCTGGGGTTCAACCTCAGGCCCGTGGGACACAACAGGACACAAACATCCCGATCAGCATCGTACAGCCTCTCAGTTGGGTAAAGCTTGCCCAATGCCGAGAGCCTGTCACACATCAAGTGCCCTTCCTCTTCTGAGTGCATGTCACGCTTCAAGCGCCCTTCCTGCTCTGATCGCCTGTCAGCCATAGGAGATGAGTGTCTGGCGAGATGTCATGGTGTCGAATGCCATACATCTGCAGAATCAGCTGCAGAGTTCCGCTGGGGGTCAGGAATAGCCAGACAGGAAGAGGCACAGCCAGGTTCCTCCAACTAAGAGCCACCACCTGGGGGATATTAGTGTGTAGCATCCCTGGGGTGGGGGACGGGGGGAGAGGAGGAGTTCCGAGACAGGTTTTTATACAGGTTTACTACAAGCATCGAGTCACCTATTCTGCCTACATATTCCAACAATGGTTAATGAGATCAGGACACCTACCCTAGCTTTTGTCCAGACACCAGGTTTCTGCTCATTCTCCCTGTTGGTGGTGCCTGTCTTGGGGACAGTCTCCCACTCCCCTGTCTGCTGGGGGTTACAGGCTATCTCTGCATTCTCATCAGTGTAGATCTGGAAGCCTGAACCACTTGTCTGTTTCGGCTTGTTTGCGTCACACTTTACCACACCTCCATGCGAAGCTGAAAAGGTCCCAAACAGTGTTCACTTCTACAAATATGAGGCAAGATGGAATGGAGTTTAACGTCACGATTATTGCACTAATATAACAATGTGCATGCATGCATGTGTGTGTGGCTGCTTGTACAACTTCAGATTAATGACAGTTTTATACTGCTAGCCCAGTGAGATACCATGCCGCAGTTCTACATGGCTTCCACACTCATACACAGCATACTGACTCTGAGCCAGCCTGTCCTTGTTTTAGCCCCTATTGCCATGAGCCAAGCAGTGTAACAACAATAACTGTACCATCTTCTCACATCCTCCGTAGACAATGATCGAGCCACCAATATCATGCTCTCTAAATATATGATTAAATAAATAGAGTGTCCCCTTTCTAGTCGGCTCATGCTTAAACTAAATTCTACGCTGAGAGCCTCTCTGAAGGACATATGACAACACAGCATGATGTATACTGGTAATCCCATACTAGTGAGTGAGTGAGTATGGCTTAACGCCACTTTTAGCAATATTCCAGCAATATCACGAAGGGGGACACCAGAAAGGGGTTTGACACATTGTACCCATGTTGGGAATCGAACCCATGTCTTCGGCGTGACGAGCGAACACTTTAACCACCGGGCTACCCAACTGCCCCTATTCCCATACTAACATTTCTTGGCAGTTCCTGTTCTGGCTGTGCCAACTTGGTGACGCCTTCCTACAGTTCTCAGTGGGCCTAGAGCTGTGCGCTGTTCCTCTTCCAGGAGGTCATCTTCTGTTTCCATCACCTCTGATCTCATCAGGCCACGAGCAACACGAGCCTGAAACTCTCTGAATAAAACACAGGAAAAATTCACTACCTCAAAATATTACAATGTCGTACAAAATTGATAACATCCACCTACCCAAACAAATATAAGCAGATTACCTAAGCAAATAGTGATGTGATAACTGGCAATTAAGTGCAAATGTTAGCACTTAAACACAGCAACTGCTTGTACCTGGATGTACTGTGAACAAAGCTAGAGAGGCAGTCAATGACATTAGCTGGACTAAGTTGGGAATTTTTACTGACATTTACAGCAGCCTTGGGGAAGAACAACAGTCTCTGAGCAGGTCTAGATAAATATCTAGAGTTATTACAGCTGAAGTGCTAATATCGATTTGTGGAACCGGACCCTGGAGACTTGGCAACAGAATATCCATGGGTAAATGGTTTTGAATGTCTGCCAAACTACATTGGAATATGAGCATTCTATACATATTTGGCCCAGTCATTTAAGGTGCCACAATACGCTTTGATGAGTTGCATCCCTTGGGCATGTCAGAAACCTATGACTGTGGGTTTCACCAAAGTGGTAAAGATCTGAGACCTGCATCACTTCGGGATCTCCTCCCATATAAAGCTGACATGCCATGATAAAACAGGAATGCTGTTAAAAATGGTGTTAAACCCAACTTACTCACTTTAACATATTGAAAACAGTTTTAATGGCAAGCAAAATAGTTTACCTTTGTTAACTAACCAAAAACATTGTTGTTGAATAAGTCTGTTTCCCATACAAGTATATTACTAAGTTGTATCAGTGTAACTTACTGGTGTTTTCTTATCAAGAACTCAGCCGGTTGAGCATTTCTTCGCAGCCCTTCTTGATAGATAGCATCTGCCTTCTTTGTATTCCCTGTATCCTCTAGCACTGTAGCCCAGGCATCGTACAGGAAAGACACCTCACAACCAATGCTCTGGTCAAACATGAAGGCAAACATCTCTGCTGGATCATTGCAGAAGTTGGCCTGGAATTCAGAGTTCAGATATAATTCAATGTAAGTGTTGAGTAGATGAGTTTTGCAGTGGTCAGTTATTACAAATCATGTTAGCATTGTTTGTTTGTTGTTTAACGCCACACTCAGTAATATTCCAGCTTTGAAAGCGGTCTGTAAATAATCGGGCCTGGACCAGACAAACCAGTGATTTACATCATGAGCATTATTGATCTACGCAATTGGGATATGATGACATGCATCAACAAAGTCAGCAAGCAGAACCGCCCAATCCTGTTAGACGTCTCTTACGACAAGCATGGGTTGCTGAAGACCTATTATCTACCCTGATCTTCACAGGTTACCATTTAGACATCAGGGGATGACAAGCCTAAAGCTGCATCAATTCATCAAGAAAGGATACAACAAATTTGTGCTTTAAAATGATCAAGGTCAAGACTTATATCTATTCAAATACTGACCATTTTAACAACCACAGAGACCTTCCACAAATCAAGATTACTGTAAGGTGAACTAAAGATGGGAAAGGAGTCGTGACCACAAAAATAGTAAAAACTCACAAATTTTATCCAAGCGTCAACATATCTGTGATCATTCTTGTATTTCTCTTCATCTTTAAAAATTGTAACACATCGCTCTAGCAAGGCTCTTAGTTTGCCAACTTTGCCACCCTTAGGATATACTTCATCTGTCCAGCGAATGTACCTGAATGGAAAACAAACATAAGCATGATAAGCATAAGATAACAAACTTGTAAACATGGCTAACACTAGTAACAGACAAATATACTCTGACATGATAAACTGAAGGAGTCAACGTCTTCATGCAGCATTGTTGATCAGTTGATAAACCATATCACATTCAACATGTCCAAGATGATGCAGAACTAATCATTTATAAAATGTTAGCATAATTTATCGATTCATGATGTTCTAGCTATGCGAGATGGCAAAAAGATGCGGAAAATGATGTACAATGATGTACATGATCAAATTGCTGCTGCTTACCTGTCCCAGGTGTCAAGTGGATCAGGACCTGCATATGTCCGCAACTCACTTTCAAATACTCTGTAATTAGGAAAGACATTACAATTTAGTATATATAGTTTTCAAAAGATCACCAGGAATGTTATTAACATTGTTAAATCAGGAGTAGTGCACTTAACCTGACACACGTTTTCGGATTTCGGATTGAACTCGTGATGACAGCTTGAAGCTAAGGTAGGCAACTGAGTTTATCTAATATTAGCCAACACCTCACCACGGGTGCTGTCACAAATAATTAGTTCTCATTTACCAAGTAATCAGCACCTGATTGTTTACGTTTATGCACATGCGCAGTAGCCATCTCTGTAAACCTCAAAAGTTGATAATGCAGTTTCCTCAAATTACATTGAATTATTTTTTTAAAACAGATAGCTAATCCATACCCTACCTCACAGCTAACCCTAAGGATGGTAAAGGAATAAAGGATTGCGAAGGGGCATTTGATTGGAAAGGTGTACCAAACCCTAATGATCACAAAAGGGTGCTTGATTGGAAAGGGGGGTTCAAAGCCTAAGGATAGAGTTTGGGATAACCTACTTTACCCCAAGCACAACTAACCCCAAAGATCGAAGAGGTACGTAAGATATGTGAAGCAGTATCATAAATCTTGATTATAAACATAGTCAAACATGTATCATGTTAATGGCTCTAAGCTTCAGCGGATGCTCAAAACGAGGCCCTCAAAATGACACATTTTCCTTTGACTAGCACTACTTTGTTCTATATATAAACATCGATCAAAGGCAGCCATGGGTTGATCGGACCTTGACTATCATTCCGACAGCTGGCAGCCTGAAAACTGTACCAACAGATGTAGTCTAAGATAAATGTATATAGTTTATACTTACTGTTTTTGTTGTTTGATGATCATCATTTGATCATCTTGCGGTTGAAGTGCAGCTGACAGCGAGGAGACATTGCGACCTTGTTTCCGCGGTCTCACATTTTCTTTGCTCAGTTCCCATTCATCAGAATATTCCTCTGTGTGATTCATTGTTAAATGCCTGACTACACAAGGCCACAAGTACCAAATATCAAGTTTACAGACTTTACTTTCGTAATACCATTACCCCCAATTTAGTTTTGAAATGTCCGCTTCGCGCATGCGTAGATGGGTTGACGGTGGGAAGTAATGCGAAACTGGTTCCACTGCTTGTACGCGCCGCAAGCTTAGCGCTTTGCGGACACAAACATTGACTGGGCACCTCTCTACCTAACATTGTAACAATGGAACCAGTTTAACACAAACACCAACCTATAATGTAAGGTTATTTTATTGCCGATCCCTTTCTTGATTGTGAATGCATAAATGGCTGACCGAGAAAAAAATCATGTCTTTTCGACATTTTATAAACACAGCACCTTTACATTCAGTGAATCCGATCTCTAGAATGACATCCAATGTATGAACATAATAAATGCTAAGGTAGAGTTGATGCAGGGGTAAGCATATACTCCGAAACGTTGTGTTTCATAATAAAGAAGTTGTCTTCTTTTCCTTATGCGTATCACTTCTAAATGCCATTCAAAGACATGAAAAATGATATGTATGTTTCACCTCTGCACCCCACCAACACCCAACCCTTCTCTCACGGGGTGGGGGCACGGGTGGCCCAGTCGTCTGAGGCGCCGCGATTCGCTGTGCAGAGTTGCGTCCCTTGGATATGCCAGAAACCTATGATTGTGGGTCCGAATCCCGGTTCGCCCCGATTATGTTTCTAGGTTTGTCAGCACTCTATACCCGTGCTCGTGGGTTTCACCGAAGTGGTAAACGTCTGAGACCTGCATCACTTCTGGCTTTCCTCCCACATTAAGCTTACACGCCGTGATAAAACTGGAATAATGTTAAAAGCGGCGTTAAACCCAACTCACTCACTCACTCTCACGGGGTAAATATAAAACCTTAAAACTTAAGGATTTATTATGTCATTTTCTAATGTATCTTTTTTTGAAAAATCATACGTTCAAAGTAATGTCAGCTGTTGGAATAGTACTTGAGGAACAACTTGAGGAACAACTAACGATGTTGTATTAATAGAAATAGCCAACAGTTGTTACATTTTACAGTTATAGTTTATCATCTTGTCTATACAATTGTCAATAAATATATCACGAACCAAATATTAGTTCTTTGTTTGTTTCTTGTTTGACGCCGCACTCAGCAATATTCCAGCTATATAACGGCGGTCTTTATAAACTTGAGCCTGGACAAGACCATCCAGAGATTGTCATCATGAGCATCGATCTACGCAAGTGGGATACGATGACATGCATCAATCAAGTCAGCAAGCTTGACTACCCGATCCCGTTTGTCACCTCATACGACAAGCATGGTCGCCTTTTAAGGCAAGCATGGGTTGCTGAAGACCTGTTCTGACCCGGATCTTCAAAGGTACCATATGTTAGTGATTCACATATATAACGAGACTGCTTTTTTTTCTCTTAACCCTTGAAAATCCGGGTTAGAACTGGTCTACTGCCATCCACACTTGTGAAGCGACTTACAAGCCTGACTACCCGATCCCGTTTGTCACCTCATACGACAAGCATGGTCGCCTTTTAAGGCAAGCATGGGTTGCTGAAGACCTGTTCTGACCCGGATCTTCAAAGGTACCATATGTTAGTGATTCACATATATAACGAGACTGCTTTTTTTTCTCTTAACCCTTGAAAATCCGGGTTAGAACTGGTCTACTGCCATCCATACTTGTGAAGCGACTTCCAAGCCTGACTACCCGATCCCGTTTGTCACCTCATACGACAAGCATGGTCGCCTTTTAAGGCAAGCATGGGTTGCTGAAGACCTGTTCTGACCCGGATCTTCAAAAGTACCATATGTTAGTGATTCACCTATATAACGAGACTGCTTTTTTTTCTCTTAACCCTTGAAAATCCGGGTTAGAACTGGTCTACTGCCATCCACACTTGTGAAGCGACTTACGGGGTCCGATGGTCAGGCTCGCTGTCGTAGTTGATGCATGCAATACTACTGGCACCATTAGGGAAAGAAGCATAACAGTCTTCCAACAACCGGGTTAGAATAGGTCTTCAGCAACCCATGGTTGCCGTAAGAGGCGACCATGCTTGTCGTAAAAGGTGATTAGGGGGCACGGGTGGACCAGTCGTCTAAAACTCTGTTCATACGGCAAAAAATTGCATATTTGCAAATTTGCACACATATGCAAATTTACACACGTGAGCAAAAGTATATTCGCTGTGCATTAATACGAAGTATAAATCCCATAAGTAAATTCTGTCATAAAAAAAAAAGATCTGACTGGAAAGTTTCCGCAAGCGCAGAAAATTTTCCTATTTCCTTAGTGTAGCTCTAGCTCTGAGTTGTTCAAATGTTAGAGAAATAAGAAGAAAACCCCGGTCGAAAGGGGGGTATGACATGGTTGTTCTGCAGTACTTTAGCTATGACATGATGACACAAAGTGAAATTTACTTCAACATCACTAAATGATGTCAAGGATAAAACTATATATAAACTCTGTTTATATGGCAAAAAATGGCATATTTGCAAATTTGCACACATATGCAAATTTACACATGTGAGCAAGAGTATATTTGCTGTGCATTAATACGAAGTATAAATCCCATAAAGTAAATTTGGAGTAAATTGTCAAAACCATCCATTTCTGTCATATCAATGGAACAGATCAGACTGGAAAGTTTCCGCAAGCGCAGAAAATTTCCTTATTTCCTTTGTGTAGCTCTAGCTCTGGGTTGTTCAAATGTTAGAGAAATAAGAAAACCCCGGTCAAAGGGGTGGTATGACATGGTTGTTCTGCAGCACTTTGAAGAGACAGACTGGCTAGAAAGCTTCAGAATGAGGAAGGAAATATTGGATTTCATTTGCAGAAGACTTGAAGATGAACTCTCTCCTTCCCAAGACACCGTTGAAGAACCATTGGGTGTCCAAAAGAAGGTAGCAATTGTACTGGTTTGCATCTTCGTCAGAGTACAGGACAGTCGGTAATCGCTTTGGTGTTGGGAAGGCTACTGTGTGTGTTTGTGTCCATCAGGTGTGTGAGGCAATTTTGAAAGTCCTATTGGATGAGTATGTCAAATTCCCTGAGGGGGAAGCCCTGAAGGATGTGATAAGAGGATATGAGGAAAGATGGGATTTTCCTAACTGTGCAGGGTCCATTGATGGTTGTCACATTCCCATCATCGCCCCCAAACAGTCACATGGTGATTACATGTACTCGAACAGGAAGGGTTTTTATTCACTGATCCTACAGGGAGTTTGTGACCATCGATACATGTTTACCGACGTGAACATGTCGATGTGTAGTTTGCTTGCATAGTGATTGGTTGTTGCATTGTCTTGCATAACATATGTGAGAGTGTCAATGAAACCTACAGGGATGAGTGGAATGAAGACACAGATGATGACACAGATGATGAACAAGTGGGCATACAGGATGGAGGTGACGAACCTTTCCGTGTGCAAAGACCCTTAGGGATGATACTGCACAGACTTTCTTGAACAACGAACTTTGAGCAATTTGTTGTGTGTGAAACATTAAACTTGGCAGCCATTTTAGCTACTTAACTGAAGGAAATAATATTTTATTCAACTGAACAGATTCTTTCTTTAATTTGTTTATTGCCTAAAACATTTCAAAGTTACGTCTAACAAATAGAATGACAGAGAGTTACACGTTTTCAACCTTTTTAATTGTATTTGCTTTCATGTAATTTTGACATGATCATCTCGCACAGCCTTGTGCAATTAAAGAAACCGTAAAAAAATTAAAGTTTTAAAATTGTTTGCTTGAGTGAATTATATCTCTTGACTTCGAACGCGAAGTGTAAATCAACAAATATCAAACGTTTTCACAAATTAAAATAAAATTTGTTTCTTTACTGTTCAGCATGTAAATGCATGCTGTGTCCTTAATTCTTCACAGGAATACAGTTCACAAATTGGGAAAAAGTGCCTTCTTCCTGCTTATCCGTGTCTGTAGATGGCCATTAAGGTACAGCCAGACGACTGACCATGACTTGAATACAAGAGTGAGGAAGGACCTTGACCTCTGTAAACTTGACCTTCACCAGGGGGCATAGGACTCATGCTAACAAGCAACACATCTTCGTCTCAAGGAATGGACCAGGCGTCGCACAAAGTCCTGTGGGATATCTGTCCATATCTGCTGGAGCATGTTTCGAAGTTCCTGGAGGGCTTGTGGAACACGTGGTTGACGTCGAAGGCGCCGATCCATCTCATCCCACATGTATTCGATTGGTGAGAGATCAGGGGAGCGAGCCGGCAAGGGGATGACATTCACGTTGTTTTGTTGAAGAGAATCCTGAATCTGCTGGAGCATGTTTCGAAGTTCCTGGAGGGCCTGTGGAACACGTGGTTGACGTCGAAGGCGCCGATCCATCTCATCCCACATATACTCGATTGGTGAGAGATCAGGGGAGCGAGCCGGCAAGGGGATGACATTCACGTTGTTTTGTTGAAGAGAATCCTGAATAAGTCGAGCAATATGAGGCCAGGCGTTGTCACGTTGAAAGGTAATGCCTGGGCCATGACGACGCAAAACGGTAGAACAACAGGACCGATGATCTCTTCGCGGTAGCGCTGTCCATTGAGATTTCCCTCTACCACTATCAAACGTCTGTCTTGCTGTAATCCCACCCCATACCATAAGGCTGCCGCCCCTGAACCGATCTTCTTCCATGACACAATGATTGACGGAACGTTCACCTCGAACGGTACACTCGAATCCGTCGATCGCTGTGGCAGAGGTGAAAACGAGACTCGTCAGTGAATAGAACTTGTCCCCACTGTATGGCCGTCCAGCGTAGACGCTGTCTGCACCACTGTAGACGTGCTTGACGGTGGTTTCCTGTCAAAATGGGACGTCTGGCGGGTCTTCTGGCGACAATCCCTGCACATCCAAGGCGACGACGTACGGTTTGTGAAGATATTCGTCGAAGGCCAGGGATGCTTCTTGCAGCCACTGTTGCTGGCTGGAATCGATTTCGTAGCTGTGTTGTTCGAATCCAGCTGTCTTGTCGATTATTGGTTACACTGCCTGCCACTCCGAGGATGGTCTCTGGCTGCATTCGTCTGTTGCCAACGTTGCC